GATATCCAAATATTCAAATGAGCCGCGTATCACGTGACGGATCTTAATCCCATGGATCCATCAAAATCTACTCCGTACGGTTAACTAGATAGAAAGCATAAGCAGTACCAGAGTCGCGTATTATTTCAATTAGGCTAAATATCTAACCAAAATATTATTTATGCCTTGCTTGATACGTTTTTCCTCTTAAATACTTACTATTAACGCCCATTTCAGCCTCTTTCGCCCGGATTACGTAAGATCTTTAATCCAGAGCCGCATACCAGGTGACACAAATAAAGATTAGCTCACCGCCTTCAGAGAGCTCAGTACTATTGGCTAGTCTCCAATAAAGCTTAATTCTGCCACTATCAAAGATCGAAATTCCGCAGGAAAAACAAGCAAAAAGGGAGACGAAAAGACCAAGAAAAGGAGAGGAAGGAGAGAAAAGGCAAAGGAAGAGGCAGCAGGCATGGGTGAAGAGATCCCTCCTACAAAAAAGCGCCGGCTGGACGATGGAAGTCCTCGACCCACAGACAGCAGTTCGTCAGACGAGCTCGGGAGAGACACGGATACTGGCCGGCGAAGAGCCAGCCTGGAGAGAGATTCACGGCCACAATCGCCGAGCTATCGCTCTCCGAAAGTGAACAATCTATCATCAAGGTCACGAAGTGCGTCAGGTAGCGATGATGAGCTTGCTGGGAGTGTAGAGGCTCCCTGGCGGTCTCGGTCGGGCCCCCGTTCACGGTCACATTCACATTCGCGGTCACCCTCACGGTCACCACAATCAAGGTCAAGATCGCAGTCTCAGACTCGTTCTCGCGGTACAAGGAGCAGATCGACATCTACAACGAAGGAAAGGGGAGCCCAAGGGTCTGATCGTGGGTCAGCGAATGACCGGGAATACAGCGAAAGTGAATCGGAGAATGAGGACCAAGCAACACGAAGTCGACAGCAGACTCCCAAGCAGACCACGCCTCCGCCACTACCTCAGCCTGAATGCCTTTGTTATAAGGAGAAGTTTGTGCTAAAAGGACATCAGCGAGGCGTTTCTGCAGTGAAGTTCTCTCCTGATGGGACGATGCTAGCAAGTTGCTGTAAGAACAACTTTTCCTTTAGACGACCGATCTTTTTACTAACCTATTTTTAATAGCTGCCGATGCTACAATAAAGATATGGAATACAGCTACGGGGACTTTGGTTCATACTTTTGAGGGGCATCTGGCGGGCATATCTACTATATCTTGGAGTCCAGACGGGGAAACAATTGCGTCAGGGTCGGATGATAAGTCAATACGGCTCTGGGATGTGATGACGGTTTGTACACATCTATACCCAAATTGCTACTATTATACAGCTCATCTGGGTATTAATTATGGATGTTTATAGGGCAAGCCGTATCCAAATCCGTTTGTCGGCCATCACAACTACGTCTATTCGATCGCCTTCTCGCCCAAGGGAAACATGCTAGTTAGCGGTTCATATGACGAAGCAGTTTTCATCTGGGATGTACGATCTGCCCGAATCATGCGCTCTCTACCTGCCCACTCAGATCCCGTGGCGGGCGTCGACTTTGTCCGAGACGGCACGCTTATAGTCTCCTGCGCCGGCGACGGCCTGATTCGAATATGGGATTCAGCAAGCGGACAGTGTTTGCGCACGCTAGTCCACGAAGATAATCCCCCAGTTGCATCAGTCAAATTTTCACCAAACGGGAAATTCATCCTGGCCTGGTCGTTGGATGGATGTGTACGGTTATGGGACTATGTGGATGGACGATGCATAAAGACGTATCAGGGGCATACCAATGAAAAGTACAGCATGGCAGGCACATTTGGGCTGTATGGACATCGACGACCCCCCGCTTCTTCTAAAGAGTCTCCCAAAGAGCAACAGGCAAACATTGAAAAGGAGTACGCTTATGCAGCGAGCGGAAGTGAAGACGGCAGGATAATATGCTGGGACGTGATAAGCAAAAAAACGCTGTTGGAATTGACGGGTCATTCCGACGTTGTTCTGGGGGTAGATGCCTTCTCGCCGCCCACAATGGACCAGAAGAGGCTTATGGCAAGCTGTGGTTTGGACCAGACGGTTAGGATATGGGAAGAAATCGAAGATACAGGAAAGGCGAGAGTCGAAGCTTTGAAAGATGTACAAGAGGAAGAAAGCCCAGTTGAAAAGGCAGAAAATGAAGATGCATCGATGAACACTGGGGAAGAGCCCGCGATCAAGGCTGATGATAATGAAGGCTCAGATATGCAAGAGCAGACTCCTGTGATGAAGAAGGCTAGCAATGACAAGGACAGCGATGGTGATTTGGTTATGGGATAGAACACCATCAGCCATGATCGTTGTATAGAGTTATGACCATGGCCATGGTACTGCATATTGGCGTTGTATCGCACGTTCATGATATATTCATCAGGGATATATACATCCAGCTATCTCTTTCACACGGTGACCAGCACCAACAACCGCTATAAGTGATCTAATAAGAAGAGGTATATGCATATACGAGGAACGGAAGAAAGATCTAGGCATTTTCGATGATTTCAGCGTCCTGCTTACGGTCTTTGGCGTTCATACCAGCGACCTTATTCTTCGCAGCTTCGGACTCGATCTGCTCCTCAGTGACCAGCCCGGCCACTCTGGCTTGCTCTTCGACGCTCAGCGGCGCAATAACGTTCTCTTCTGTGAAGTAGTTGGTCTCCTTGACGTAGACGACCAAGACATACACCATACCGATGACCCCAATCACATATAATCTATCCTCGTCAGTACTATAACCAATACCATTATATAGACGAGCAATAGCAACAGACTTACGAGAACTGGAGAGACAGCTGGCCTACAAACGGCACATTTTGAGCAGCCATAACAAACGAAAGGCAGATTCCTAAGCTGAGAGTCCCTTTGAAGACTCCTCCGAACTGAGCCAGCTTCGACGGATCATTGGTAAGGGCGCTGACAACCCATTCGATAGTCATCTGGTAGGCAGCGTAAATGGCACCAAAGAGGAGGAAGAGAGCAAACATGCCGCCGAACTCTGGATCGGTCCAATCCTTTGCTTGTGGTTTCTTGAGGCTGCCGATGTGGTTGATATCAAGCCAGGCATAGAGACCCGCGCTGGCACCGAGAGATATGGCGGCGATGAAGGCCACACCGACAAACCCTCTGGTCTTGCGGCTCTTGACCTGTCGATTATCGAGGATAAAGACCATGACCCAGGGCATGAAAACCTGGATTGAGTGGAATGCCAGGTTATTCAACGACCGGGTCCTCAGATTGAAGTAGAATGCTCCAACACACATATTAGCATAGAACTACTTAACATGCAATGAAATCACACATACCATTGATACTACTGACCAAGGCAAGGCCCATCTCGCAGCCTAGGATGGCAGGGAAAAGAATGAACATCCGAGGGTCAAAGAAGGCCCTGGCCATGGACTTGAGCTCGGTAGACAGCTTGGTTGGCTTGAAGACGGCGATATGGGTCCCATCTTTGCGGACGACTTTCTGCGGGTCGACAAGGAAGAAGAGAGCCAGGAAAAAAGGCAGACAGTGGATAGCTGTGAATGTCCCGTAGACAGCACTCGAGACTCCTACGGCCTTGTGCTGGTGGAAATTGGCTGCGAAGGCGATGATGGCACCCACAGTCGCGCCGGTTGACCGCAGCATCCACTGAATACTGATGAACTATATACTGTCAGCGTGTACCTACTGTTCCTCATGCATGGGGAGTACCTTTGCCTTGTCCTTTTCCTGGGGATAGGCAAACTGGATGAAGGCTGCCGCCGTCCACAGGGGGCCGCACAGGGAGCCCAGGAGGGCCCCGGCTAACAGGGGGAACCAGCTGTGGCCTGTACGGTCGTAGTACCAGAGGCCGGCGACGTACAGCGGGTATCCTATCGAGCCCAGCATGACGCTCTTCTTGGGCTTGAGGATGTTGAGCAGCGAGCCGCCGAACCAGCCGCACAGCGTAAAGAGGCCGTAGAGGATGACATTGGTCAACGAAGCAACCTGCGCAGAGCTCGGCTTGCCTCCGCCAGCTCCCAGGCCTATGACGGCAACGTAGATGCCGGGGGCACAGAAGAGGACCCTTGAGCAGTCAGCGTTTGGTATCTGGCATAACTATATACTTGTATGTTTATGTTATGGTGTAAAGGAGCGGTCAGGGGTAAGGCGACCAGGAACTTACCATCCCATGATGAAGTTCTGGGTGTCAGGCCGGTTGAGCCGTAGAAGACTCTCCAGCCTTGTTGTAAAGGCCATCTTGACGAAGATGGAGTTATACCGATAGATGTACAAGGTGTATACAGCGTGGACGAGTGCCTGATATATATAGCAGCCATGGAGATATGGGGTCCCCCCCGCGTACCCCAGAATCTTGCAGCAGCTAACGAAGATAACAGCGCAGGGATTGGCCAGAATGCCTCTCCACTGGGCCCATACGTACACGACCGACTTGGACGACGTGAGAGATGCGAAAAGAACCTGATGTTTGCCGAAACAAACGCTTTACCGAGAGATACGAGGCAGGTCGAGCATCTCCGAGGTTTTGAGTGCTGACAGCAGCTTGCCAGGAGCTTGGCTGATGCTTGACTGCTGCTTGTTATCTCATTGGCATGCTATTATTACACTTATTCATACCATGCTGGCGGTGCTGGCAACAAACTAGGAGCCTGTGGCTGGCCGGGATGGTTCCGAGATAACGACGGCCTTCGGCTTTGGAGTGCGGGAGATTGATAGGGGGTATATCTAGCAGACCAACCCCAGACAACAGCAGGCTGTTTCCTTCTGATGACTAGATAAACTGTGAGACTATTTTGTATTACACTAACTAACTACCTAGGAGAGTCGTAAGAGGGTGGAACAATATGTACAGAGAAAAGGAGCAGAAGAAAAGCTTCAGCACTGCTGGAATCGAGGTCATGATCAAATGAGCAGGAGAATAAAAAAGAGTAAGGGAATAAAAGGGAAAGGGAAAGAGAAAGGAAAGAGAGAAAGAAAAAAAGCCATTATAGGAGGTATTCGCCGTCGCCAACTCGCTCGCAGAGGTCCTTGAGCATCCTGCCACCCCATTCGAAGTCGTCCAGCTCGAGGTAGATCTGGGCGCTTCCGCGAGCCCACCAGGAGCCCTGGAAGAAGAAGACAGGCATGAGTGTCTCGTACTCGGTGGCCATCTTGCGCATGATCCAGTCGCTGACACGGAACTGCACGCCTGGCTTGCTCCTGACGGCATACCAGCCCTCCGGGAGCGGGTTTTCATCACCATTGCCAGCATCTAGCTTCAGGGGCAAGAGAACGTTTGTCATACAGCAGGCCGACACGCTCTGGGACTTGTTATCCAGCACTTTTGTGCCCAGTATGCTGGCCATGAGTGCACCGGCTGCCCGGGCCAGGTTGACGCAATATGTCTGGATGGCCTTTTCACCGCCGCATACTTCCTGGCGCCAGCGGATCGACTCGGGAATGCAAAGGTAGCCGAAGTTGTCCATGGGAGCGACGAATTCAAAGTTGTACACAAAGGGAGTCTTTCCGCTAGCCAGGGCCTGAGCCAGCTTGCCGTCGACTTTGCCCTGCTCGATATCTGCAGTGGGGATGAAGCCGTGGCTCAGGGGCAGAGTGCTGCGAACCATCCACTGGTTGCGAGCAGCAACGTATAATGCAGCACAACCACGGGGTATGAATAGCCATTTGTGACAGCAGGTAACGAAGAAGTCAGGGTCAAGAGCAGCCAGGTCGATCTTCATGTGTCCAGCAGCATGAGCACCGTCGACAAAGCTCATCACGCCCTCTTCCCGACAGAGAGCAACCAGCCGCTCAAACGGGAGCCTGATGGCAGGTGTGGACGAGATGGTGTCAAAGATACCCAGACGGGGACGACGCCCGGCTTCCCTGGAAGCTTGGATGCCCTGTCTGAAGAGCTCTACGACCTCGTCGTCCTCGAGCGGATAGTTGAGCTGGACCTGGCGAGTTCTGACCAGCCCCTGGCTCAACTCGCCGACGTAGCCAGTCATCTTGCCCAACGGCGCAAAGATGATGCTGACCTGAATGATCTCGTCAAGGCCGTCTTCGTTCCAGACGAAGTTACGCATGATGGTGTTGGAGGCCGTGGAGCCGTTGGCGACCAGTACGATGTTGTCTGGGTCAGCGTTGAGCAGGTCGGCCACGGCCTCGCGCGACTTGTCCAACCATGCAGGGAACTCGTATCTGGAGAACGAGCAGGGCCGGCCCTCACAGCGTCTACGCAGCTCATGAGCCCTGTTGAAGATGGCTGTGGGCACGGTGCCAAAGGAGCCTATCCTGTTGTCAGTCTATACATTCAATACATTATTTGGTTGACTGGTTACTGGGGTAGTACCATTGTTGAGCTCGGTGTATGTTGGGTCGATGGAGAAGTGCTTGAGCATTTCTCGTCCAAAGGGAGTTCGCTCATAGCGAGGACGTGGTGGTTCGATGCTACCCATGACAGTGATACAATAGTCAATGTGTTGTTGCAATTGGAAATGTTATTGCTGATGATGTTGATGATGATGATAATGTTGGACGTTGGATACAATGGGAGATACAGCTTGGTAGACAGACAGACAGATCGACGATGGGCTTCATCTCCAACCGTCCTGACAGCCCGTTTATATACCCGTTTTCTCCAACTAGTTAGCTGCTCCATCCACCGCGTTCCCCAGACTCGGCGGGCCGTAGAATGAACTGGTCTGGCTATGACAAATAGCGGTGGGCTAGGTCGAACACCCTGATTCCTCATTCCTCATCCTCATCACACGGCCTTTGCACCCCACGGGGCAGAGGACAGAAAGGGGAAACCTTTTGCAAGCAGGCTGGGGAAGAAAAATTCAAACATCCCGCGATTCTGGTACGTAATTGTGAGCTGGTCGACCGAGAAAGGGGAGGGGGGGCGAGCTACAGCCTTTGCCCGGCGTTCTAATCCCCTTGTCAAGCAAGCCCATTAGTATTGACGGAGGAGAGCGTCAACCTGTTCACTTGTCTCATTTGTCCAGTGAGAGGGCGGGAGGATGTAACTGGAACTGCTCCGCAACGCAAAGAGGGAGATCCCCTGTCCGCTGGTAGAAATTAAGAGTTGTGATGGGTTAATATCAAAATGCTGATATAACCAACCGATAGCAGAGACATCCCTGCCTAGAACACTCCAGCTTCACGTGAAATGCAAGTAAGGTCCCTGTCCACGAGAGCTTTTGAAAATGCTTGATCGGATGCATCGACGAGGAGGTTGCCAGCTCGCCAGCAAGGAGGAGCTCAGGCTGCAACAAAGGCAAGCAAGGCCGTGTTTTCGTGGCAGGGTAGGGGAAGCAGGTCGATTGGACTCCTGGTGCTGCGGGCCCGATGACAGAATCATGACGATAGACCGGGGACTGATATGACCTCATCTCGCCCCCCTGGCCGTGTATATAGGGAGAAGAAAGAGGAGAGCCCCGGGAGATGCGAAGAAACAGCTGCAGAGTTATCAAAAAAAAAAGGACTATCAATATCAAATAACTAGATATCTGATTTCCACAAGATTGCCATGGCAGACTACAACCCGGCCAACTTTGCCAACCGGCCGCAGGAGGAGGTCGAGGAGATTGCCAGGAAGGGCGGCCAAAGCAGCCACAGCAGCGGCTTCGCCAGCATGGACCCTGACAAGCAGGTGTGTCGTCTCTCCCTTTTCTCCCTTATATTAGCTGCAGTTCTCTATATTATTATTGGCGTCACTCTGTTTGATACTCGGTGATGAGCTGTCTCTCTCTCCCCTTCATCATGAGACGAAGCACCCCCCCCTGGCCAGCGTCTGTTCTCTCGCCCGAGGCCATGGCTAATATACCTATACACGAGGCTAGCGTGACATCTCGTCCAAGGGTGGAAAAGCATCCGGCGGGTCTTTCGAGCCCGGAAGCGAGCGAGCCAGGGAGGCCGGGCGGAAGGGTGGAAAAGTCGCAGGAGGCGGCAGCAGGATGCTCGAGGAGGACGAGGAGGACCTCTTGCAGGCCGAGGACTAGTCACAAAATGCCATTCTCTTTTGTCTCTGCTCTGTTTGTCTCTGCCGTAGTCTGTACATCCGTTGTTGTTGTTGTCGTTGTCGTCGTCGCCGCCGTAGTAATAGCAGTTGTAGGTGTAGTAGTAGTCGTAGTAGTTGTAGGAGCATCACCGCCACCGACGTCACCACCGCCGTCGCTGTCAAGGCGATGCAGCTCCCGCCGGCCTTCCCTGGCGACTCGACGACGGAAGCCCGCGTTGTACAGCGCATTGCGGACGGCGAACTGGCCCACGCCCAGCTGCAGGACGGTCGCGAGCTCGAGATACGAGAGCTGGCGGTTCTCGGGCGACGCGCACACGTACTCGACCAGCCGGTTGACCTGCGCCCGCGACAGCTGCGACGGCCGCCCGCTGCGTCGCTTGGGCGTCGGATCGCCAGACTCGCATGTCCACTGGACCTGGCGGTGCGTGATGCCCTTGCGCTCGGCGATTTCTTTGTACGTGAGGCCCTGCGCGCGCAGCCTGAGGATGTCTGCCCGCGACTCCTTCGACAGGTGTCTGGCCATGCTGGCAGCGACGGCGAGGGGTCCCAGCAAGCAGTCTGGGAGGAGACAGGACAGCAGGACAGCAGGATTCAGGATTCAGGATTGGATTCAGGCTTCAGGATGCCGGACAGCAGGGGTCGGGAGGCAGCGAGCGAGCGAGCAAGCTGGCGGGCGTTTGCTTGGATAATGCTTATGGGAGCTGCTGGGCGGGCGTTGCTGCAGCTTGCAGCGCGATGGCGGCGCTGTGTCGGCCGTACGCAAGTTTTGTTAATCCGCCGCGGGTTCTGGGCCGGCGCTGTGCGTGGCGACTAACGTTATTTACGTACGGCGGCCACACCCCGGGCATAGCTGCAGCCGATCTTTTTATATCTCGAGATTTTCAAGCAGAGACACTTCTTCGCCTGCGTTACGATGGCCGATGACGCTGCGGCCAGCCAGGATCGCCGGCGACGACGGGCTTGCTGGCCAATGGGCGGCGGCTGCCCCGGGTTTTGGCCGCCCCCCTGCCGGCTGTCCCCAGGCCGTGCCTTGGTTGCGGGCGTGCTGGCCATCACACGACGGGGGCCAGGACGACGGTATACTTACAACTCATCGACCAGAGCACCAGCGCGCGCAGAGCTGGCCGCTTAGCCGTCGCATCCTGGCGATGATGTGATCGAGTCAACCTTGCGGGCTCTCGCTGTCTGTTCTCTGGACGGCTACATCACGGATATCCAGCAGCCATGGATGATATCAAACCGGCCCCGGCTGGTACATACAGCAGTTACACCAAAACAGCGGCAGCAACAGCAGCAACAGCAACAGCAGAAGCAGCAGCAGCAGCAGACTATGGCGTCGAGCCTAAGCGCGAGCTCGAGCAGAGGAATGTCGGCAGCCTGCAGCGGCGACTCAAGGCCCGCCACATCCAGTTCCTGGCCCTGTCCGGCGCTATAGGGACGGGCCTCTTCGTGGGCAGCGGCCAGGTGCTCTCGCTGGCCGGGCCCCTCTCTGCCTTTCTCGCCTACCTCATCACGGGCGCGAACCTGTACGCTGTCATTACCAGCCTGGGCGAGATGGCCACCTGGCTGCCGCTGCCGGGTGCGGTTCCTGTGTATGCAGCTCGATATGTTGACCCTGCGTTGGGCTTCACCTTGGGCTGGAACTACTGGTACCAGCTCGCCATCGGGGTGCCCATCGAGATCAGCGCCAGCGTGCTGGTCATCGACTACTGGCCAAACCCCGTCCCCAAATGGGCGTGGATCACCATCTTCCTGGTGCTGCTCGTCCTGCTCAACTGCCTGCCCGTCAGCTACTATGGCGAGGCCGAGTTCGTCTTTGGTGCCATCAAGCTCACCACCATCGTCGGCCTGATCATCCTCATGTTTGTCATCATGCTGGGGGGCTCGCCTACCCATGACCGCATAGGCTTTCGATACTGGCGCAGCCCGGGCCCCATGGCCGCCTACCTCCAGCCAGGCGCCCTGGGCAGGTTCCTTGCCTTCTGGAAGGTCTTCATCCAAGCTACCTTCAGCTACGGTGGCAGCGAGATGGTTGTCATCGCTGCAGGCGAGACCCAGAACCCGCGCTACAATATCCCCAAGGCCGTCCGCCGCGTGTTCTGGCGCATCCTGCTCTTCTACGTGCTCGCCATCTTTCTCGTTGGCATGTGCGTCTCGTCCGAGGACCGCAGGCTGCTCAACGCTCTCCGCACCGGTGCTCCAGGGGTCGGTGCCAGCCCCTTTGTCATTGCAATTGCAAACGGCGGCATCCCCGTCCTGCCACACATCATCAACGCTGTCGTCCTGTCATCTGCCTTCTCTGCTGGCAACACCTTCTTCTACGCAGCCACTCGAGTCCTGTATGCCACTGCCCTGGACCGCAAAGCTCCCGCATTCCTCCGCTTCGAGCGGCTTGGCGTCCCCTACGCCTGCGTCGGTGTGACCACCGCCCTTAGCTTGTTGGTCTACCTCAACATCTCCTCCAGTGCAAGCGAGGTCTTCTTCTGGATAAGCAACATCTCCTCCGTCAGTACTCTCCTGGTCTGGGCCTCCATCTCAATTACCTACATTCGCTTCTACCACGGCATGGCGAGTCAGGGTATCCCGCGCTCCGCCCTTCCTTATCGTTCCCCTTTCCAGCCTTACCTTGCCTGGTTCGCGGTCACCTTCTGCGCCGTTGTGGCCTTCTTCAACGGCTTTGATGCCTTTTTCCCCGGTAAATTCAGTGCAAAGACGTTCATACCCCCTTATATAAACATACCCATCTTCGCTACCTTGTTTCTCAGCTACAAGTTTATATACCGTACCCGGCTCGTCCCACTGCACGAGATGGACTTTTTCTCCGGCAAGGAACATGCTGACCGGCTCGAGAGCACATGGGTCAAGCCTGTTGCAAAGAATTTCCTACGTAAGTGGCTGCTCTGCTTTACTGTCTCACAGGACTCCTTGGTGTCTCACCATGAGGCGTTTTACTTATATGACGCTGATTCGGCCTGCCGTGCCCTTGTGCTCAGAGCGTATCTGGTTTTGGATTGCTTGATCGTAGAAGTAGACCCTATAGTAAATACCAGCCAGCATCTATCCTGCGTCTCCACGCTACTACTATCTAGCACCTCTCCCTACCTTAGGGCGTTCCCTAGTTACCATGCTTACCAATCACCTACCTTCTTCCGTCCGGTTACCACCAGCTCTCAACCTCCACTATCCTTTCTATCCCTCTTTTATCTCCTTTATAACTCCAGTCTACTACCCCTTATCCCCATCTAAAGAACGTTTCTTATATCCGGATGCTGACAAATGGATATAAAACTTACTCTGATTGGTCAGCGGAGTTATGGCGGACTTTGGGCGGAAGGCGGGGATAGCTGGCAGAAAAGACGCTGAGGCCGGAGTTGGAGATATAAAAGAAGGCATAGGAGGCGGCGAGGTGGGCGACGTAGAAGTCAAAGATAGCTTCATAGTCATTTGCCATAGCTATATTTATTGTCCTATTGTCAAGTCCGGTCAAAAATGTCCAAGGTGTGGCTGATTACAGGGTGCTCGAGCGGGTTCGGCAGAGAGATCGCCCTCGCAGCAGCCAGACGGGGAGACACCGTGGTAGCCACAGCTCGCAACGTCTCCAAGATCGAAGACCTTGAGAAGCTCGGCCTCGGAATCATCAATAAAAGACTCGACGTGCTGGACAGTGACGAGCAGATAAAAGAGATTATCGCGGACGTCGTCAGGACAGTAGGACGCATTGATATCTTGGTCAACAATGCAGGCTACATCCTAGAGGGCGCCATCGAGGAATGCAGGTACGTGCTGACGCCCAGCAAGATCAGATCCCCGAACTGCATATGCACACCGCCCACGCGATTGGCACTGACATCATCACAGCACAGACGAAGTGCAGAAGTGCTTTGCCACAAACGTCTTCAGCCAGTTGACAGTTATCAGAGCTGTGGCTCCGTACATGCGAGCCCAGGGTAGCGGTACCATCGCTAATCTAGGCTCGATTGGCGGCTGGCACGGCTCGGCGTCGATGGGCGTATACTGCGCCACCAAGGCTGCAATCGCCATGCACACGGAAGCCCTCAAGGGCGAGCTCACACCCTTTGGTATCGACGTCACCTGTATCGAGCCGGGATACTTCCGCACCAACTTCCTTACAAGCGGGAACAGGACCATTGCTCAGAACAGGATCCCCGAGCTGTCCTCGACCACGGACCAGGCAAAGGCCCTGCTAGACGCGTACAATAAGAAACAGCCCGGTGATCCCGTCAAGGGTGCAGCTCTCATTGTCCAGGCCTTGACCAAGTCGGGGGTATGCGAGGGGCGGGAGCTGCCGATGAGGTTGCCGCTGGGCAAGGATGCCATCCGCTTCATCAACGAGGACTTGAGGAGGAACAAACAGGTTCTGGATGAGTGGGAGGCGATCGTCTCCTCTACAAACTGCGATGATATCGAGTAGTCTAGTAATAATCGGCAATCTTTATCATTAAGGAGTTTCCCTCCTCTCTTCTTCTATTTGATATCAGCATTAAGTCCAGTAGTAACAGATCGGCTACTCACATAACTATACCCCTTATATCCAGCATTGCACAACACACTCGGCTACCATACACTGTCCCTGCAACTGTCTCTCGTCCGCATTTTCACCATCTTCTTCTCACCGTCGCGTCTTCTTGTCTGCTTCTTGTCTTTTCTCTTCGGTTTTTTGCTTCCAACGCCGAAATACCGTGCTGACTAAGCGCTTCGGGCCGAGCCGCCTCTTCCAAAAAGGGAAAGCTATCAACTTTCAATATTTTCTGGTCAACATCAGGAAAAAACTCGATCAAGACTTCAACTATCGTTGGATTGGGTGAAGGAACGGTGGAAAATATCTTTGATATATAACTGCTGGAGAATCCTTCTGGCCACCGCGCCTCCGACACCTTCGTCGCCGCTACCAGAGATGCTGTCGCTGCTTCCCAGCCGCCATTCTTGCTTGCTAATTCATGCTATTTCGCTGTTATTCTATGAGAAAGCCAGGCAAAAGATGGTTTGCTCATCATACGGCCACGCACATATTCTGCTATTCTACTTGTATGATACCCATTCCTAAGTACAAGCAAGCGGAGAGGGAGACGTCTGTCAGACCCTCTGCCACAGCTCAGTGGGAGATTGGGCTGCCAGATTCCCATGAGTTCCACGAGGCCAGCCTGGCGAGCTTGACTATTAGATATAAGCTTTTGCAGAAGTTACACATCAAAGCAGAGGACGATCTATATAAACTCGATCTCATATTCGAGTGTTGAGCCTTGGGCTGGAGACTGTACAGCGAGATAGATAAATATCCAATTCGTGGGGAAGATGCTGTCCTTAACTCTGACTGTCTCCCTTGGCTTCCTTGTGTCCTTCTCCAACGCGGAAAGGATAGCATCCACGCCGTCATGTGTATGTCTGTATGGTGGTGACAGACTGGTTCGTGATACTGATGGTGACCTGCCCCCTTAGTGTTCGTTGCTTTCTGAGGCCTTTCCAGATACTGTCTACAACAAAGATACCCAGGCTTGGAGCTCTGAGAAGTATAATTTCTGGTGTCAGTGATTTTTTTTTTTTGTCAGTTTCTGTTGTTATGGCGTTGAATGTCTGGTCTTACGTTTGAAATAGCTGCAACTGCCGTTCTTGATCCCGCATGCATATTCGCACCCAGCTCTACCGAGGATGTCTCTCGTGCAGTCATGCTTTTCTCTCAGAATGGATGCAAGTTCTCTATCAAAGGCGGTGGTCACTCGAACATCCCCGGAGCGGCTAGTATTGATGACGGTGTGATGATGGTCATGTCTCAGATGAAGACAGCAGAGATACACCCAGAAGAAGGGTATATCCACGTCGGTGCAGGTGTGTTGTTAAAGGATATTTATTCTACTCTTGACCCCCATAATTTGTCCGCAGTGATAGGCCGCTACGGTGAAATTGGCCTTGGACTAGCAGTGGGAGCTGGTATTTCCTACTTTTCCAACCGTGATGGCCTTGCTGTGGATAATATGCGTAATTACGAAGTCGTTCTCGCCGACGGAAAAGTGGTTAATGCTAATCTAAAGGAGAACAAAGATCTCTTCTGGGCCCTCAAGGGTGGGAATAACAACTTCGGTGTCGTCACTCGCTTTGATTTCAACACAGTTGCCACCCCAGGATCTACATATGGTGGCCTCATTCATTACCCTGAATCGTCTCTTGACAAAGTAGATGACCTGGTATATGATTATCATACTCGCCAGGCCGTGGAAGGCCTTCTTACTCATGCTATGCCTCAGTGGGTGTATAACGGGTCAACGAATGACACCTACAATCTTACCCCTGTGGTCTATAACGACAATGTGGAAGAGCTGCCTCCAATCATGAAGCCGTGGTTGGACGTCCCTCATACCTCTTCTACACTTGCACCTCGAACTTATGAAAACTTGTCTATATATTTAAACGAAGGCTTCGGCGATGGATTGATGTAGGTCAAGTATGCCTAATATATTCGAAGAGGAGGCTAAAATTGCGCGTGATTTAGACAAGAGCAGCGAGTATTCACTGTCTACGCAGATAAAAAGTTTTACAAAGACGTGCTTTACAAGTTTCGCGAGTGGCTTCAGAACTTCCAAGATGTCCCCGGTTTCCTAGGGGCCCATCTTAACATGCCTATCACCCCACGACAAGTCCACCAAGGTCTGCTTAAGGGAGGGAATGCACTTGGCCTGGAAGGTGCTGGAAATCGTACTTTAGGTGGTGAGTTGGAGAGATGTAACCCGCTTAGTGTGAGTAATCTAACTTATATCTGCTTAGTCCTCTTTTTCGGGATAACTTTCGAAGACCCGCAATACAAAGAGCATATCTTACCAGAGCACGACAGGTTCGTTCAGTCAATGATCGAGCTAGCTAGGGAAAGAGGGGTGCTATATCCATATATGTATGCCCCATCCTACCTAACCCCCAATCCAGCTTACTGGCTCTACCCACCATACCATACATACCCCGGGCCCGTCCCTGACAGCTACTATATGATGCATGGTACATGGCAAAAGTTTGCTAATATTAGACTATCTGCACAGCATGCTCACATACTGTGGCTACAACCAAGCTGCCATCGCCAGCTATGGCCCAAATAATGTGGATCGGCTCTGGCAAGTCCAGCGCAAGTATGACCCCAAGGCTGTGTTTCAGCGTCTTGTACCCGGGGGCCAAAAGCTGCCTCCCCAGGAACAACAGGTGCATTAGATGCTGCTCGAGCTGCGTACGTGGGTCTGGCCCGTCAACTTTATCACTGCTTAATCCTCCGTTTCGCCATCGAGTTACTCATCCGACCTGCCAGTTACTTAACCAACTATCATGAGTAACCGACCTACTAATCGGATCCTGCGGCTTTGACAGGGCAAGTCATGTGTCGTTCTGAGTAACACCTGCGCGTGTCCCTCCCTTTTCATTATGTCTCTGTCTCGGAAGATGTTTATGACGATGGGCTGTCGTTTCATCCAGAGGCCACTGTGTTATTCTTGCTCGTTCACCTTCAACTATGGCCATCATAGCATGTAGCCTTATCCGTAGTATCATACCGAGCCCATCGTCAGTCACGCCTGACTCCCTGCACCCCAGTAGACTCCCTAATCCACTGGTTCATTGCTCTTCTTTACTTGACTCCTGAGACCTCCTCGTCTTCTTTATGCTCTGATGTAGGTAACAATAAACAATCGCGCGTATAGACTTTCCGCACGTCCGTTCACGCTCAAAGAAAGTTAAGTTTAGTTTCCCGCGAGACGCAAAAAACTCAAACAACTTCGCCTTGACCAACTTCATCTTGTCTTTTTTTTTTTTGCTTGTGCTTTCACCGTAACCCATCGCCTTCATCTCGTAAATCTCGACACGATGCGCCTAGCTCTCTTGCTGCCTGCTCGGGGCTCATGTTGATTAACGGACTGGCATGGCCATGGCGTGTTTCATCCTTCCACACGGCCCAGATGGCCCCCCCAGGCTGTGTTTGTGCCGCCGCTGCTGCTATGACTCTTGCTGCTGCTATTCCTGAGGGCTTCTCCCCTGCCACTCAGCCTCATAATTGCCAGCCAGTATTATCACAGGAAGAGAAAAGGTCTCCTCCGCGGATCGAGGCCCTCGGTTGAGGGCGGCAGAGACTGGAGGCAGCAAGAATGGATTCGTATCAGCTGCATTTGCTCGCTCCTATTCGCCTGCGGGTTGCATTAAAAGCTCGAGGGGAGAGAATCCACGCCATGTCGGCTGCATAGAATAGTTACGGTTAGCAGGGCCGCGCTTTGCTGGGATGCGATGCATAGCTCGAGCAGTTATTCGTGGGCCCCAATTCTTTCTAAAATGACTGCTGCATATCACGCTGCTCATTCGATGGCTCGTTGGCAGGACTGGAGCATGCGTGGGGACTTTCGTTCCCCCCTGCACTGCCAGAGGAGGGGCGAGGGCGAGGGCGAGGGCGAGGATGCCCTGGAAATTTCGCTTGAGAAAACAGCTGGACCGGAAATGGAAAACACTTCAACTCCCGTTTCTGGGTCCTTAACGGCGCTATGCGCTTGTGATAGCGGGAGGTTGGCCATAACTCCTTGCCCTCCAATATGCAGCAACTATTCAGTGACTACGGAGCACTACGGCTGCTGCTGTTGCCGCGGCGTAGTTGGTGGACGAAGAGGAGAGGAAAAATTTTCCTTCTCAACAGTTCCGATCCATGCATTCTTGTCCAACCGTGTAGCCTGGCACCCTGGGTGTCGGGATTACGCTGTATGACGGCGAAACAGATTGGTGGGCGGCCACACAGCAGCAATATGTCGAGCTCGCATATATTTACCTAGCCAGTGAACGGGGTTCTCCCCTGTTCAGACTGCCCAGCTTTTTTTTATCAATTGTCAGGCTTGCGACACCCTGTGACTAACCTGCATACATGATTAGCATTTCGACATGCGTGTTGTCCAGAATATCGGTTCGAGGCGTTGCAAGCAGCCAAGGGGGTAGCTAGGGTCTCCTTAACACAGAGCTCATTTTTCTATCGCTCTCTTTCTCTCACCCAGGCGGAGTATATATCCGGGTACTGAATCTTGTGTGTTGATATTTATAGCAGTCACACCATCCTCATGCCATGCATGATGATGAGTTTATGGGGGGGTTAAGTCCAGGGGATTAACCTGGAATTAGCCCCCTATATTAAGCGCAGTTACTAATTGCGCAAAGTCCTTGGCGCCATGAATGTTTTTACCAAGAAGCCAACCAGGGGTTTATTATGGGGGAGGGGAGACATTGCTCTTGATCACCGAGAGACGGCAGACGAAAACTAGACTGACCAGGGCATGAGGAAGCTGAGCCCATCACACTACCATGTACTAAGGCACAAACCATGTCTGTGCCTTCGAGCTACTAGTTCGGGGTCTTGACAGCTGAGCCTATTGTTTCTCAGCAGTGGGAAAAGCCATGGGATATGCCGATTGGATGCTCAACGTGCGAGCAGCAGAAGCCCTCGGTCGATAGCTTCTCACTCTGCATTTAGTTGGCGTGTTGGCGTCCCATTCTCGTGTTTGACTGCCATGATTACTTATAGTTATGTGAGCAATATTTTCATTGAAATGTACCACAAGGGGAGCAGCGAAGGTGCTACAAAAATACAGAGGCGTACTCCGTATGAGACTTCAAACCAGAAAAAGGCTTCTCACCTGCGGCTGCCCATGGCTAGAGACTGCCACGACCGTTACATCGGTAACTTTCCAGCCCACCGGGGTCCCTACAATGCTTGGTCTATCCCCAGGCTGTGGGCTGTGCGACGACCTGCACTCAATTGACCCCTGCGACTATATGCATTCGGTATGCTATAACTATACACCCGCGCCGCCCCAGTGGGATCCACAGCTACCACACTTTGTGTGAAATCAGCCTGTCGAACACGGTGCATTCTGAGATGCTCGCTTCTCTCATAGGATGTGAAGGCGTAGCCAGCGACATGCAATATCCAACTAAGGCGCTAAGTCCGAAGAGGCGCCGGGGTAACGTAGATTTAGTTAAGTTACCTACGCTGCCACATTTATCGCATAATGGGGGCCTGAATTATGTGTCATGCGATGCTACCTCTGTGGAATGGGGCATCTGCCTGTCTGGCAAGGGGAGGAGAATAGGCCCCCCTTGATAAGCAGAAACACCCTGCAGATCTGCAGCTGGGAATAGTGCAGCTAATTATGAATCTTGAAGGGTGTTTTGGACAACGATTGACTTCTGCAATCTCGAGGTTTCTGGCAAGATATATAAAGCATAAAGTCCAGAGAGTTTCGGTGGATTTCAATACTTCCGATCGACCAACCTTCTACCCATCAAAGTTTACCTCGGAAAAGCCAGTCACACTCTCTCATTTCCATCTACCTTTCTTACAATGGAGTCTGTTCGTCGAATTAACCGATGGACTCAGGAAGAGGACTCAATCCTCATCCAGAAACTCTACGAGCAACAGACCTGTACGTCTCACCTATCTGCCCCCTTTTCCGATATTCCGTGCCTGACATCGTTATACATTTACTAGATGACCTTGCTGGCGCAGCTACTGATTGGCAAAAGATTGCCGCCGGCCTCCCTGGCCGGTCGAACAAAGACTGCCGGAAACGATGGTTCAATGTCCTCAGCGGGGGCCTACGAAAAGGTGCTTGGTCACCTGAAGAAGATTCGTACCTGAGGGATGCCGTGCGGATCGAGGGAAAGTCGTAAGTGTCTGAATTCAGTTGAAGAACATCATATTTGTTGGAGAAGAACTAACAGGAAGTCACAGATGGATGCGTGTTGCCCAGCATGTCCCCCAACGCACTGCAGACCGTATGTTTTATCATGATAACATTCATAAGAAACAATTCAGAATCTAATTGGGTGTTAGAATGTGCAAAACGGTGGCAGCATTTCCTGGATCCTACCCTCGATCGCTCTGAGTGGACATCAGAAGAGGTACGGCAACTATACACCGACTGTAATGCAAAGCACCATGCTGATATATACGGTATTTCAGAATGAACGTCTACTCCGCGCAGTGCAGCAACACGGCCGTCGTTGGCTGGATATCCGTAACCAATACCTCCCTCTGCGATCTCCAAATGCCCTGAAGAACCAGTAAGTGCCAATGCATTATCATTGCCTAGATCTACTTTATTATATCATTACTAACTGCAATATAGATATTCAATTCTTATGCGCCGCCATGAAAGGAATCTTGCAGCTGTGGGAAAGAAGACCCAGAACGTAATGGACATCCCTTCGAGCTATCATTCAACCTCAATGAGCACACCAAAAAACCCCAGTAGCCGCACTGGGTCAAAAAAATCTCGCAAATCTCACTGCGGGTCTGAGACCTATATTAAAGCAGAACCAGATGACGATTTTATGGACTCGTTTTATGGAGAACCTGAGTTCAAGCCCACCACGGACTATGGCTTTGTTGGAAAAGGGGTCACGACGCCTGACCCAATTGCCAGTCCATACGCTGGATTCCTCAAACAAGAAGAGGTATCACTGACTGAATACGACACTCCATTTTATACTTCGAGCCTCGGACCACAGTACGAAGCCAGCGCTATTCAGATATCCCACATGGATGCCAGTATCCCAAGAAATACCACTGAAGACATGTGGATGGCATATCCCACATCGCCAAGCTCAACAGCACCTAGTGATGGTGATCTCGGCGGTCTCCCTCACAGAGATCAATGGGGCTACAGCGTGACAGGCATACCACTGCAAGACCAAAATGCACTTGCGACATACGCATACAGCGGTTACCATTGAAACCCTGCCTAACTCGACAGAATGATATCAGCACGGCGTATTTCCTGGCATTATGCAGCATTAAATACTGCTGGGCCTTAAGTCCACCTACCCTCGTACCACTCCCTTGGCCTGTCAGCTGGCTTTTCAGGCTCCATCTCCCAGCTCTTTGTTCTTTTTTTACCCTGACGGGCCCCGTTGCATCTTCAGATTGTATAATGTTTTTCATTTGTTATATCTCTGTTTTCATTTCTCATTGCACTATGCTTAACGGTTATGATTGATGGCTAATTTGAGTTATTCGAAAAGTTATGACTAGATAAGATGAAATTTCTCTTTAATCATATATTCGTTTTCCAATAGGCTTGGGTTAAGCGTTCAGTCTTGGTTCAACGTAGTTGTTAATTAGCCTAGTCTTAGGGAGCTAAATGAAATTTAAAATTATACACAGCGAGGATTCTTTTCAAATCCCTTGTCTTCGTGGATGCGGCTCAATTTCACTCCTAGCAAGGGGACGAAGTTCTCATACATTCCTTCCAGGCTGTTTAACAAGAAAAAAGTTGGCTAATTACCCTGCGTTATATAAATCATGACTAGTTATACCAGACCTCAAAGAGAAGAGCGTCCAGGGGCCCCTGGGCTGACCAAGTACTTCCTGACAACCGGGCTGTTTATTTATTGTTCTATGCTTTTGCGCCCAGTTGACACACCCGGAAAAGACGACGCTTCTTAACTGATTATAGCCTCACAGAGAAAGTTAAAAATAGTAGACGATAACTAACTACTCCATACAAAATCTCTGCATCTTGATAACAAAATTTTATCTACCCTGCGATATGGCCGTTACCTGACCATTCAGCAGTAATTATAGCGGTTGTCGGGCTTTCAGGAATCCGTTTGATCGTTATGAGTGTAAATCCAGTACTTGCATTTGAAAAAAGCTGCCTCCAGTCGTCCTCATCACGCTCTCTAGAGTTGAACAGAGAAAGCATTATAGCATCCATAGACCTAAGAAACAGAATTAGGGCCATTCTAGTGACGGAAAGGGGGAACAAAATTCTTACCGAACTTGCATTTCCTGCAATAACGTCATGGTACCTGGACCTGGTAGAAGGTGGTCCTGGATGACGACCATGGCCCCCTTTTTCAGAGATGGGACTAAGTTCCGTAGTATTTTGACACAATACGAATCCTGCCAGTCATGAAGGACGAACCGCAGAAAATAGACATCTGCATTCTTGACCGGCTGTACGGAGAACATGTCGTGCGGCATGAACTGGATTCTGTCCTCCACATCTTGCCAATTCCCAGCTGCAACACCTTCAATTACATTTGGGAGGTCCTGAACCACGAATACGAGATGTTGATATTTTCGCGCGAGGTGGATGCTAACATGGCCTCGGGAACCTCCAATATCGACAACTTTACCCCCCTGAGGCACATTAGCCCAGTCGAAATAGTTGCTCAGCGCATCCATACTGCTAGCTGAAGTTGAGCCCATTGCACGAGCAAACTGCTGAGCGCGGGCTGCATTCTTTGATAGAAAATCAAAGGTAGTCATAGAAGAATTAGCGAAGTCGTTGGCTAGGGCGTAGCCGGATACGCCTGCGTCTTCGCTCTGGTATGCCATGGCCTCAACGGCCCGACTATGTGCTGGCCAGCATTCTTGGAACGTAAGGCCCATCAAGTCCCGCGCTACCTGGCTCTCAGCGAGAAGTTTTGACGCTGCGGTGTGCGCTACATAGCCCTTCTGAGGTTCTGAAAAGACGCGGTGATGTACTGCTGTGTAGCGAACGATACGTTGGATATCATGTTCAAGAATGTTGCATTTGGCTGCTAGATCAGCAAAGGAGATTGTTGCGTCAATAGGAACCTTTGAAGCAATGTCAAAGTTATAGACAGCAGCCAAGGGTGCGAAATTTGACTGTAGATTGGAATTAGTTGTAATATCGGTGGGAATCTTGTTCTGATGAGATAATTGAATATGTACTAACCTCTGGCAGAAGAAGCTTCATAGGCCCTTCAAGGAGCTGCCGAAGTTCGATAGTAGCCTCGAGAACTTCGTTCTTTACTCTCACCATATCTTCTTGTGTGACAGCCTCAACGGGACTGTCTGGATTGAACGACGGCGTGGGAAGACCGTTATCACCAAGATGTGCATCTATGGCGGTTATTCCAGAGCTGATAAGCTGGGCAAGCTGGACGATCCGAGACTTAGACATCACGAATGGAAGCTAATCTGTGTCAGTAGGTAGTCGAACACAACTAATTGTTGATTATTGATTATGCTAGGAGTCGTTGACAGCCTGGAAATTTATATCCAATACTACCAGAGGAGGCTTTCCCCGCTCCGTAAAAGGCTTCTCACAATGACTCATTGCTATTAAGCAGGGGATAGAAATGTCTTTGTTAAGTAAAGGTTAACTATAGTTGACCGATTAGCGACTTTGTTGGCTGCTAACTTAGAAGTTGGTTTAACAAGTTGACTAGCAGAGCCATGCTCCAGGCTTGATGGGGTCGGAACCACGTTTACTCAGTAGCATTAAAACAGACTTAGCTAGTTATTTTTAAGTGAATTTATTATTGACCGGCTTAAATGGTCATCCTGCTACGAGGATCAGGCTATTACGACCCATCAGGGACTTCAAAAGAATCTCCCGACTCACCATAGTGGGAGTTGGGCCCATAATGGCGCACGAGCTCTTCTAGCGGCTTCGAGTCTCTACAATATCTGGTCTCTAGGCCGCCATCAATCACCCTGACAGCTGTTCCCATGGTAGGGCCTGGCTGTAGGCTAACACTCTCTAGTGTTCCATCCGCAAAACACAGGATAGACTATATAAGTAAGTATTTTTGTGTATCTGAAAGGATGTTAAAGGGTGATGGGATCCATACCGAACGTAAATAGTCAAAGCAATGGGGCCAGTGTGCGTCGTCTCTCCAGCCAACTCCAATATCTACTCCTTCCCGAGCTTTCTGCAAAGTATGACGCATCTTAGCGAGGCAATGCAGCTGATGGTACCTGCGTGTGGGTTAATATATAACTTGAAAAAGCAGAGCAAAATAGCACGACTTACATGCTAATACTCTTTAACGTAGTGTTCCCCTTCCCATCTGGAAGCCTGATATTTCCTGTTGCCATGTGAATGTGATCTTGCCAAAGATAGTCCATTGATTTATCCAATGTCATGTATCGCGTATCTCTATAATATTTTCTTGTGATCAAATTTCCTTGATTCCAGGCCTCCGCTGGGTGTGGGTATCGTGGTATTGTCATCGTAGCCTCCGCTGCTTCACAGACCAAGCTGGTATCTCTTTTAACGTATGCCACGACCACTATAAGTGTAAAAGTACAGACGGTCATCACAAATGAGTACCATTTCCATATTGGGCTCTCGTTCGATAGCCATCGTGGTTTCGATCGCTGCCGTGCTCTTCTTGGCGCGAAATTGTGTGGCTCAGGTGCGAGGGGAGAATCTTCTAAGTCTGAAAGGGATGCGCGAGAGATCTCAATCTCTGTGTTATTGGTGCCCTTTTCCGTGTTCATTCTGTTTTATGCTGAAGAGGTGATCTGTAGAGGATGATTGACAGAGGAGTGTTCCCTTAAACACAACATATCTTATCTATCGGGTATTCGGAGCGGAGTTAGCAGGCAACCATTTCCCCGCACTTTTTGATCCGGATTATCCGTTTCCAGGCATTCGTTCTGGTAGCTTTCCTGGTAGCCCAAGATGTACCAACTGATTGTGATTCTGTCCAACTGCACGATGCTTACTCTGAATCCTTTGATATGTAATTACTTGTTTTAATATGGGCCAGCTGTACGGGTTGGCCGGCTATTATCAGACAGATGTAGCGTAACTCACTAACCTCCACAGTGCAGGGGTTGGCCGATCAAACTGCAGTAACGCTTTACCAACAATTTGTCCATGGTTTGTGTTGGATAACTTGCATCAAGACACTGATATATGTACATTAAAGTTAGCTCATTAAATCAAGTGGCGCGCCAAGCAATCCCAGCGCCCTGGAACAAACACGGGACGGAAGCGGGACGGTATCCACCCGCAAACTCTTTTTTACTATCAAACACAGACAGTATCTTCTTGCCAAACTCCAATATATTAACTACTGCACAGAGCATGTATGTTGGCAATCAGAACTTATACGGAGTATATGCATACATTATGCATCTGGACCGTCCCATACGGCTCCATGCTTCCAGTTACCCCTCCTTTCGCCTTCCACAACCCCGTCAGTTCCGTCATCGCAATGCCCGAAGTGCGCTCCAAAAGGGAAAGTGTCTGGGTCTGCATCCCGCGGAGTATCCATGTAGCAGGCAGAGTGGTCCGTAGCAAATTGTCTCAGGGCATCCCAGTCCTTGCATTTGCGATACTGTTCGTCTCCTGCAGTATCGTCACCATATAGATACAGTGGTGTAGAATCAGCTTTACAAATGACATATTGGCGTAGAGTATCGATACAGTGGGCAGAGTGTGGCGGATTGAACGTGTATTTATCAGCTCTGTTGATCGCCTCCCAAAAGGTACGGCGTATAACTGCCTGAACTGGAGTCAGCTGTTGATGTTAATCATTTTAGGGGTGTAAATGTAGCCTCACAACGCAATGCAGAAGATGGTATGCCTCCAAAAGATAAACGTTTTTGCTGTCATCTGAAGGCAAATGCATACTGTCAGGCCAGTGTCGTTCCTTGGCCCATTTGCGGTCCACAGCAATGAACCCGTGGGCTGTATTCATTGAGTCCCAAGCAGCATCGGTTTCTGTGAAATTCTTATCACTGTACTCTGTCCACCAGTTGAAGCGGGTGAATTTGGATGGTAGAGTGTCGATACGTGCTTTGCAGAGAGGTTAGCTTTGAATAATGAACATATTAGTCTGGTCAGATTTTCTGGTATATCTGAGCGCATACCCCATGAATTTGGCGTATGAATTGGCTCGGCTGCTTCGATTCGACTAGTAAGGTGTCGTGTGGAAAAGAGAGCGGCAAATGTAGTCAGATTTGTGATAAGGAGAAGTAATATAACAGAGAATCTCCAGAACCGACCAGAATTTGCGTTGTGTGGAGTTGTCCTTAAATATAACGGAATCTTGTCTTCGACTTCGCACTCGTCACCAGGTGAAGAAGTTCCATTCTGGAGAGATGTATACTCTTCTCCTCGATTCAAATAGGGTATTTTTGCAGACATCAACTTGAAACTAAACATATTCACAAAGGTCTTCTCAATGATGGAGAGATAAAATATTGAAGAGATAATTTTTGTATCAAACGATTCTTTGAGTTCCTGGGTTGTTGAATCTCATGTCTACCCAAAGGCAATAAAATAGTGAGAATGAGCATCTTCGGACATATCAGTCCCGTCAACTTGCGTGGGTTACCGTGAAGTTGCATCGCAGCCTCGCAAGCAACTAATGCATGCCTGCAGCGGGGCGTAAGGGTATGAGTCCTATTGTCTTTTCTTTTTAGCAAGAGATACATGACACCATGGATACCGGCCTCCGACACTATCGCTTGCATATATGATGTTGTTGTATTCCATATTCAGATAACCGATGGTACATTAAAGACCATAATCCCGGAATGAGGTGTTTCTGTCCTAGGTATAAAAATGCAGCTGCATAATTATGCAGACATATTCAAAATCCAGCTTGCTTTATAGCAGGGATTACGGCATGTAATTGGCATTCTGCCATCATGTGTCAATGGATAGACAAGAACAAATACGATGTCCAATTGAATCCTATGGAAAAACATGGAAGCAAGTATATTAGCATGTGAAGTTGACTTGAAAGATGTCTAACGGGGGTTTGATGCGAGAGTTGATAGATAACTATGTTGAATGGCGGATCATTGAAGGCAGCGTACCAGTAGAAATATCATAACTATAACAGCCCCCGATAGCCATCACCAGAATCTGAAATTCTTTCGATTCGCAGTTCCTCAAATTATTCGAGAATATACAATAGTTATTCTGCTCACATCTACCTTTCTAACCACTGCCAGCATGAAGCTTTCTCTGGTCGTTGCCTATGCACTGGCAAGCATTGCCATTGCTGCCCCTATTACTGGCGGCTAGTATTTGTTCCTACCTGCTGTTTGAGCATTTGACTGATTGACCTAAAGAAAAAAGGGCACCGTCGTACCCCGAGCTTGCCTTGAATCCAACTCAGGTCACTAGTGCCGAAGGGGTTGACCTTGTGGCGCCTCGCATTGGCTATAAGGCGAAGCGCCGGTATCCAGAGCTCGCTGAGAACCCAACACAGGTTACCAGTGCTGAAGGAGTTGATCTTGTTGCTCCTCGCATTGGCTATAAGGCGAAACGACGGTACCCAGAGCTCGCCGAGAACCCGACTCAGGTCACCAGCGCTGAAGGGGTCGACTTAGTTGCTCCACGAATTGGTGTGTACTCCACTAATTATCTAGAGAGCAGCTGGCAGCGGCTAACTGTGTTTTTAAAGGGTATTGAAGTGACTTGAAGTGCCATACGGAGTGATCGAAGTGGACTTTTGGAACTTCGGCTGGTTGCGTTGAGAATGAATGCGGTGCCCAGTAACAGGGGTGACTTCACTCGTTATGATTGGATTGTTAATTCTTATTAGTACCTCCTTGACAATCTCTAGCAAATGCAAAGCCTATACATAAAGTTATGGAGTTGTTCCCTCTCAAAACTGTTCTGTCGGATCTATTGTCAACGCCCGTCCCTCTTTGACTCGGGTATTCGCAGCATATCCTGTATCCCAGCACCGATTGTTATCTTTGAAACGTCAGAACTAGGAATGCGGTGAGGCGGCAGCGGGTACGAGAACATCAGGGGTATTATCAAAATGATGGGCTGGATATCTGCATCATGTAACCGGACGATCGGATTGCGAGTAGCAATATTGGCAAAGGATTGGCTATCCCCAGCTATGAGCCTGGCTATCATCCGGGCTTTCTCCGTTACTTAGAGTGCTACCTGGTACTCCGGTTATCAACTAGTTATGCACCTTGCTCGATGGGAGGGTCTAGACCTGGCAGACTGCCAACTAACTAGTACTTTGCCAGAAAGTTTGGCAAGATGCATGTACAGTTGCGCATATGCATTATGACGAGGTAACTAGGATCAAACTGGTCATTCGGGGTTATTGGATATGCATCCATTGCCATAGAGCTCTGAACGGAAAAATCGTGACGGTGAGGATAGATGATGTGGTTGAAATCACCTAGTTAACTGGCTACAAACCTGTTTTTTACGCCTAAAACTGTGCCCAAGACGTTCAACTTTGCATTACAAGAATGATCTTCGAGAGATGGTTATCCGTCCTGGCAGCATGTACACTTAGTACATTGGCACTAACAGATGATACATACCCAAGAACTCATCGAACTCATGATTTCTTTGCCTTGCATCTCAACATGTCCATTGTGTCTCCCGAAAAAGTCGCAACCCATCTCGGAGCACGGTACGAAGGCCAAATCGGAGAATTAACGGACCACCATAAATTTTCCGTGGTGAAGTCAAAAACTGGGCCAGTCGACGCAATTTCGGGGCCACTTGGTCACATCAACTGTACCAATGGCGTGCTTTGGTCCCAGGTTCTAACCCCAGGGTTCCAGCTACGGCATAAACGGATCCCTCAACCGCCAGTGGCGCATCTCAATACCACAGGCTGGGTTGAGGATGCGGCCGCGGTTCGGACCCGAAGTAGGATCTCGTCGGCGCTGGGAATCACCGATCCATTGTTCAACTCACAGTGGCACTTGGTTAATACCGTTCAGCTTGAGCAAGACATGAACGTTACTGGTGCTTGGTTAGAAGGGGTGACTGGAAAAGGGACTGTCACTGCCGTCATCGATGATGGCTTGGACTTCCACAGCACCGACTTGAAAAAGAACTATTTCCCTGATGGGTCCTATAATTTTGTCGAGAATTCAAAGGAGCCTGACCCAAAACTTGTAAACCAAACTCATGGAACTAGATGCGCAGGAGAGATCGCTGCTGGAATAAATGGAATTTGTGGGCTTGGAATGGCATACGACGGAAAGATAGCAGGGATTCGTCTGTTGTCTGGGCAAATAGATGAACGTGACGAGGCTGCTGCTATCAATTATCGATATCAATTGAACGATATCTACTCTTGCTCATGGGGTCCTCCTGACAATGGCAGGGTAATTGGAGGACCAGGAACACTGGTTAAGCGTGCCCTAGAAAACGGCGTGACAAATGGCAGACAGGGCAAAGGTTCGATTTTCGTTGTTTCTGCTGGTAATGGGGGATATCTCGACGATGACTGTAATTTCGATGGCTACGCAAACAGCATTTATACAATTGCAGTCGGCGCTATCGATCGGGAAGGGAACCATCCAGAATACTCTGAACCATGTTCTGCATTATCTGTTGTTGCATACGCGAGCGCTGGCTACCAAAGTGATGGAGCAGACAGTATCTATACGACAGATGTTGGGGTCGAAAACTGTGCTTCTGGCCATGGAGGCACATCCGCCGCTGCGCCGTTGGTTGCCGGTGCCATTGCTCTTGCTCTAAGTGTAAGATCGGAGCTTACCTGGCGAGATATTCAATATCTTTTGTATACAACAGCAGTAGCCGTCAACGAGGAAGAAGATGACTGGCAGATGACGAAGCTTGGGAAACCATTCAGTCATAACTACGGGTATGGCAAGGTCGACTCATACAGTTTTGTCCAGATGGCTAGGAACTGGAAACTGGTGAAGCCCCAGACATCATATCACTCTCCATGGGTGAGAGTAAACAAGAACATTCCACAAGGGGCAAAAGGTCTCTCCAGTATTTTTGAAGTGAAACCACCGATAGTATCCGCATTTGAAAGACTAGAGCATGTCACTGTCACCACTCACGTCAACCATACTCGCCGGGGTGATCTTAGTATCGAGTTGCATAGCCCCGAAGGCGTAGTCAGCCGTTTAAGCACCACTCGACGTAACGATAATGAGACTTCGGGCTATGCGGGCTGGGCGTTTATGTCTGTTGCACATTGGTATGTTGCTTTCCGAGTACGCATTCAGCGTCGTAGAGCAGGGGCTAGCTAACATTCACCGTTCCCAGGGGCGAAACCGGCATTGGCAATTGGACGATAGTGGTAAAGGATACCATGATAAATGATTTCTCCGGGACATTTTTGAGCTGGCAACTGAATCTCTGGGGAGAAGGCACTGATTCGCTGTCCAGCAGCAGTTCCGACAAAACTGATGAAGTCAACAATAACGAGACACCTATGCAAACGCCGGATACTGAAGATGCGGGGGTATCTTGGGACCTTTTGGTAGCATCCACAGGTCTTCAACGACTCAGCGGATGGGCCTCTCTCTCTGTGTCGGTTTCAGTCGTGGTCTGTGGCGCGGTTGGGACTTATCTTTTGTTTTGCAAGCTGTCTGGTCGTCATGCTGCCCCTATTATTGCCGATATTGATAGTTGAAATATAGTTATAATATCATTTGCTAGGGCAGTCATTCAACCCTAGCCTTAAACAGCATCTTGCTTTTAGTGAAGCGATGCACTCCGTACTCTGCACGAAGAACACTTCAGCTCCGTTGCTTAATAACTAATAGTTATAGCGCGGACCCAAAAAATCATGATCCAAACTGCGTCGCGCCTTCAGAATCACGAGCAAGTGGATGTGTTCAGCTGGGCCCAAGTGGCGGGAGCTTTGTTAGCAACCCGGATGTCTCGGCTAGACTCTTCTTGGACTCTCAGGGTTGATGCAGAGACGGGATTTTTCGGTATGCCCTGCTTGGTGAAAAGACCATATCGAGAGTTAAACTTAGCAACAACAAGGGCCCTCCCACAAAGTGGGTTTTCAGGAGAAACAAGGACATCTTCCACCCACAGCCCAGGCTTCACCCCTGTAACCCCAGGGCCGAGAACATTTAATAAAGAACCAGCTAAGAGGTCAACTAGTTCGCCAAGATAGACCGCAGCAATTCACGATGGATAGTTAAAACTATAAACAGACAAGTTCTCAGGATTCAACCATCAAAGGATGGCCAGGGGCACTTTCATTGACTCAGAAGGTGAAGAGACGAATGGTAGGACCATTCGTAGCTATGTACTGTGTTTTTGTACCAAGTTGTCGTATCAAACGATCCAGCTTAGATACATATTTTATGTAAGAACGCCAAAATGTCATGAACGAGTGAATGCCCAAACTATTTTATTGGTCGGGCAAGAAAGAGCAAAAATGACAACTACATACAAAACTCCTTTCCAAATATGAACAAAAAAGCCAGTTCAAAATCTTTAAGAAGCGTAGGCCTGGCCGACAGGGGTGAGTTGGCCACCCTTGACGAGGTCATCGGCCATGAAGTAGGAGTAACGAGCAACACCAGGGTTGCTGTCAAGCCATGGAAGAACCTGGTGCAAGAACTGAACCTGAGAGTTCTCGTCACCGTCTCCGCGGAATTCAGTGAGCCAGATCTTGTCAATGTTGTGTTTGTGGGCCAAGTTGATGGAATCGGTGATGTGCTTCTTGAAGGCGTCGACGTTCTGAGCAGAGTCGTACCAGTGGACGTTAAGGAAGTCGATGTTGCATTGTCCAGCACAGCCGTCAAGGAACTTGCCCAACCAGCTGAGACCCATCTCGCCACCACCGTTAGAGACTGCAGGGGAACCGATAGAGGCTTTGCCAACGAAGGGTTTCATGTATTGCTTGTGTGCCTGGATAGCATCCTGAGGAGACATGTTTGCCTGGGAGGGGATATCAGGCTCGTTGAAGCTGAGGACATATTTGCAGCCGGTGGAGAGGATCGAAGGAGTGGATTTCGTCCAGTCGTTGAAGAACTTCTGTCCCCAGAGCATGGGGGCGTAGTCGATGCCATTACCAATGTTGTTGGAGTTGGAGCCCCAGTTGTAGGCCCAGGCGGAGGCGCGAGTTCCCTTGAAGGCAGCAACGGCCTGAGGATCGTTGTAGGCCATACCACGCTTGCCTCCATTGGCTCCCTGGACGGGAGCACCAATGACAGAGCTAGCCAATGCGGCAGCAACGAAGAGAGCGTTGAAGGAGACCATTTTCGTGATTTAAGGTTATAATCGACAGATGCTTGCGCAAGGAATTTCTAACGGTGGATTGGTATGAATGAATGACTGTAAATGACAGCAAGGTAGGGATTGGCACGCTTCGCGGAAGCGTAGTAAGGAATGACTGAGAGACTTGAAGGAGTGAAGTCTGGTATGTTAAAGAAAGTTGGGAGGTACAAGGAGAAGGAAAAGTCTGGGAGGGCGAATGAAGGAATATATACTCTCACATCCTGAGGGAGGTCACCCTTTTTCAGGTACCACCGCCAAAGTAAACTTTCTGCCCTGAATTTATTTTTCTCTCCTGCCAGGCTGTTATTGGATGGCACAGAGGGCGCCTATCGTGACATGGCTCGATAATGTAGGTGTGGAGCGTCAGAGGAGATGGAGCGCTCCTCTGACCGCATCTAGACCACTACACAGGGAGGCTTTTCACAAGGACGACTTGGCTGCCCCATAACTATTGTGGGCGTACCGCCAAAAAGTACGGAGTAATATGGAGTTGTCCTCTGTTCAGTGAGCCGAATCCACTGGTCTCGATCGCTCTAATCGAAGCCGGAAACGTTCTCCTGGAGGAACAGGTATATCTTTCCCCTCCTCACCCGACAAGCTGTCTGGAATGTTTCTGTGATAACCTGCAGCATGTTTGCATAACGTTTCACCAAACAAGTCGGGCTCTCGGAAATCCTGCTGGATCGCTCGGAAAACCTGCGTGTCCAGCCTTGGACCTTACCAGGCGACAGGTGGCCGTGGCACATTGGTACAAAAAGAAATGGGGGTAAAATCGATGGTCGATGCGACAGACATGTGGCATCACAGAGACAGGAGACTGGAAAGGGATAGAAATGCCTTTCTCATAACCGTAACGATCGCTTGTCTGAGGAGTCAAAAAAATTTTTTTTTTTTTTTTTTTTGTCATGCCCACGTAATCCCGTATAAAAAAGGTTTGTACCTGAAGGCCACAACCCAAGGGAAGGCGTTTTGGTATGGATTGGATTCACCCAGGGAATGGCAGTTCATTGGCTTGTTCCTGGAACATGCATAAGACCATCTGCGAGCCAGAGAGGAAGGCGTTAAAGATTGGAGGCAAATTTTTCTTTTTCGTCTCCAATGGTTGGTTGCCAACCAGGTTCCATGGATTCAGCCCCGGATGGAGACGACAAAGCGCTCAATAGCCTGGGCCACCATGCATCGGCAAAAATCTGATCAAAGAAAGCCGTCTACCGTTTGCTTTCATCCCAAAAAAGCCATTTTGAAGCCATCGTGGCCCGCACTGCTTCCTGGAGCCCCCTTTTGCGCTGGAACATTTTGATATTGAACGACAAAATAAGCTGCGGTCAATGCCAAGGCTTGCTAGATTTGTTACATAAGCTTAAACCCTAATCTGTCGCCATATCACATGACTACGTACAGACAAGGTTGGAAAAGGAGCGAGCCACGTAAGTAAGTAAGAGTTTGGGGCAGATGAAACCGACAGGATCCGCCGATGGAAGTCGAGTATCGGGGCAAGACTTCGAAAACGCGGGGGAAGTGACTGTCAACCTTCGACTGAGGGAGTCGTATGACCCTTGCATGCATAAATTGGTTCATGACAAGTATCAGATCTTCGATTGAGATGGGACGTACCCGTCATGACGGTGTTGTAAATCAACGGAGAGATCGGACAGCGTCTATGTCAATCATGTCCTCATGGAAAACCTTACCTGATTAGTATATATATCGGCGACGGCCCGCCTGTCATTGCCTTCTTTCTAGATAGTTACTGGATTCCATACACACTCCTATCTCTTGTCGTCATTTAGTAGAAGTGCCAGCAGTATGCAGAAAGTAAAGTCTTCCCCGTAATACGGCAAACTAGACATCGCAATTGATGTATAAGTACGGAGTACGCAGTATGGGGTTTCGGAATGGGTGGCGTATCGCCGAAGGGGGGAGCCCCAGTAAAAAGAGAAAGGCGGGAGGCTCGGGCGGTTATCTCGGGCGTAGTGAAGGTTGCACAGAATTCAACCCCGTTATCCCTTTCAGCGTACTCAACCCTTCCCTCTCCCCTGCAGAACACTTAACACATCACTAACATTGTTCTTGTCTCCCTTTTTCTTCTTCGGACCGCGCTTCCTCTTGTTCTGGCTGGAGCCCTGCGGAAGAAACTCCTCCTCATCGTCATCGCCAAATCTACTATCACCGAAACCCATGTCCATATCCAGAGCATCTTCCATCTCCCGGCGTTTAGCTTCCTCAAGAAATGATTTATGTTTTTCAGCAGACCTCTTATCCACGTCATTGGTGTCGTCGTCGGATATCGGCTCTCGTGTTCTGATTGTCGCGGCCTTCTTCAATGCTTCTCTTATGGTAGGATCGGACATGAGCGGATTGGAACGGTCGGTAGACTCCTGCTCAAACGGTTCTGGTTCCCGTTTGGCTTTACCGGTAGCAAAATAGTCACGTCGCAATGTTGAAGAGGGTTTGTGTTCGTCGTGTGTTCCCACAGCAGATCTAGAAGGGTGTTCCTTTGGTGTTGAAGCGTCCCTTTTGTCACTCTCCTCCTCTGAAGATGTACTCTCATCATCAGCAGCATTCACTAAGGGGTTGTAGTCATCTCCAACCCCGGCGAATATATCCTCATCATCCTCGGCCTCCAAAGCGTCAGTTGGCTTCATCCTCGCCAAAACCTCTGCAGGAACATCCATTCCAAGCGGCTTCGCGTTCTTGTCCACAGACAAAAGGTGTGCATTGGCACCATCCTGCTTGTCCAGCCATCTTACTTTTCTCTTTGTCTTCCCATCCGCGTCCGTTATGACCAGTATTTCCTTCCGTCTCCCACTTGCATCCGTCTCAACCCACCGTTTCTTCTTAGTTTCTGTAGATCCAATCTTCTTAAATTTGCTTCCAAGTGAGGGTTCCGGTTGCGTCGATTGAGCTAAGCGGCTGGCTTTGAGATGCTTCAAGATCTCATCGCGTGTCATCTTTTTGCTTCCCACTTGTGCCAAAGGCGCCAGATTGCCTTTCTTCTTGTCTTTGCCCCTTATCTCGACGCTCTCGACTTTGTCCTTCTCCTTTTCCTCAAGGATGCGTTCGAACTCATCGTCATCGTTCGGTATCTCAGGCGTTGGATCCTGGCTCTTGGCAGTGATGTCTTCACCTGCTTTAACCCTTTTCAATAACTGCCAGTCAAGTCCCTTGATTAAGTGAGTACTGGAGATATCACCGCCCACCCCAATCTCGGCTCGTAGTTTGTCAAACGTAGGCTGGTCAATCTGCCCTAGCTTCAACAGCTCTTCTAGCCCACGGACTCGCTCCTCCCGGTCATCTGCCTCCTTGCAATCATTTCTCTGTCGTAGTGATGCCCTGTCTTCGTATCCCGGTGCGTATTTGAACCCTTTTGGGCCACTGGATGATTTAAATTTCTTCGATGGCGGCTGGTCCTGAGAGTCGCGCCTGTGTTCCGCTAGCTGGCGAGCAAAATCTACGCCTGAAACCGCACGTCTAATATCAGACAATCAACTTAGCATGGAATTTACAAAGACCTTCCAGAAGAAGTGGAGGGACTTACGGTGTCATTGGGATGCTGGATCGCATCCTTGACCCAAGCGCGCCGCTTCTTCCTTTGGCAGCAGCATTGTCACTGGACGAGGCTTTTTTGGCCGTAATATCTGTCGGGCTGGAGGAACCCGTTCTGTTATCGAAAAGCAGCCTCCGGAACTGTTCGTTATTCATCTTGTAGGTAGCCTGGCAATAACGCAGGTTGGCCCAGCAAGCTCTGCATGAACAGGCCAGCACCTCAAGAAACGAAGCCTCGACGTTTACGGGCCTTGCCTATTTCCGTTAGCATGGTCATCACGTGAACAATGCTCATGTAATTGAAGAATATTATGTAATTCCAGGTTCATGGCAATCCACGTGATATGGTCCTGGCGCGCTTTTTTGTTTTTGGTGGATGAAAAAGACCTTTAAAAGATAAAAAAAAAAGCCATGAACGAGGAGAACAAGAACAGCGCCTCTTTTTGGCTGGCTGGCTAACTTTGGGCTGATTCCTAGATTCAACATCTGCTTATTTTGTGTACTGTTTAAATAGTAGTTGGTGGTTGCAGAGTGCGACTCCGAGACCTCTTCTCTCGGTCTTTAAAACACCGATCTGGCCCCTGGCATGGCCACCGTTTTGCCCCCACTCCCTCGGGCATTCGCTGTATGGTAAATATTTTCCCGCCCTGCAAGGATAAACCGCTTCCTCACTCGGGAGTGCTGGGCTCTTCTTGGATGAGAATTTGTTGTTTGGGACGATCACATCTCTACCTATCACATTTACGGCCACTCCTCCGAGTATTTTGGGCAATCCAGATATGAGATATATCTTGAGTACCGTGAATAGACAGCAGTTTATACTCGGAGGTTGGCCTCATAGCCTCCGGAGTACCTTCTTCTAGAAGCCAACAGGGAGTATATTTTTACCCGCCCCCTTTAGTTACCCTTACTATTCATATTATTATATCCCTCCTTTAGGGCCAGCAAATCTCCTTTTCGGTTTCTCCGTATAGCCCCTGACTCTGTTTGCCAGTGAGGAAGGAGAGGAACAGGCAGTGAGCGAGGGAGTTAGGTATATAAAAGAGATATAAGGACAAGGAAAGACAAGTTGACTGGACAAATCGCTAACCAGAAATATATTAGCTTGGAAACTCGTGGGCTCATCTGCCCTCTCCGTTCTACCGGAACAGTGCCCAGAGGGGATGTACGGAGCAGATCGGCCCTTTCATGCGGATTGCACTCCGTAGATACAAACAAAAAGCTATAGTATCAATCGCTGTAGTGGCAAGTATATACGTTCCCTACCCACCACGTTTCAAATGCAGTCTTCCACTCCTTTGCCTGTTCTTGAGCATACAGGTTTTCGCCAGGAGGTCGTAGTGGGCTAGGAAACTCGATAGCAAGCTAATTCTTTACTGAGTGTTCGTTTTCCGTCGATAAATGATCAACGAGGCGATCTTCATCATGATCAACCTCATATAACTACTCCGTACACCAAGCATGCTTCCTATACAAAGCGTCCATAAAGAGAAACAAAAATTAGGCTGCTCTTGTTCTACAACACTAAACACTATTGCTGTCTGGGGAGAAGAAGAAGAAGAAGAAGAAGCCCAGAAGCCGGGAGCTTAATTCCTAACGAAGAACATGCAGTATTCTCCTGAGTTACTCCGTAGCGCGGGGGGGCTAATCTCCGGTAGTTATCAAGACCCAGTTCCTCGTGATATGGTGTCAGCTTAGCGTTTGCTAGCATAATCCACTCTAAACAACTGGGATCAAGCTCTTCCTCAGAGCAGTTAAAGATATCCAGAAATCTTTCGTATAGGCGAGGGTTTTCTTAGAAGGCGTATTTTATATTGAGAACTCTCCAGTGGGGTTTAGACGGTGCCGAGGTCTTGGGACTTCTGTAGCATAGATATTCCTCCATAGCCATATGAATCAGGGTCATCCCAAAAAGTCAGATATTTCCGAGATTAGCGCATGCTATCACCAAGCCAGCTGTGGGCGCACGTTATGATCGTCAATGATTGACGGCAAAGCTTAGACCTTGTTCAGTTGACATACATCTGATCTCTGGTTGTATGCAAACTAAGCCGAGCCCAGATACACTTGGTAGCCACTACTACTGGGTAATAAACACCCTGCAGGACCCTAGTTCCACATGGCTCCCCGCCACGGTTGTGACGGTGATCTTCTGCTGCCAGGAACAATGCAGGAACAGTAAAAAAAAAAAAAAAAAAAAACTGTAATCCAATCGGGTGAGAGGAGTTAGTTAACCCCTGGGGATGCAGAGCTGGCCCAAAGCAAAGTGTATACTGAGGAAACTGGCGGGAATGTCTTGAGGACTCAACGGTTCAAGCTGTAGCATTCACCCAAGTGGATGTCCTGTTTCTCCTCCTCCAACCGGGCAGGGATTGCTCCCCTGGTAAAGCTAGTCAGTGCTTAAGATATAAATGCCCCCTGCTATCCCCGGTGCTGGCAAGAGAGAACCTGTAGCACAGATTCCCAATTCATTTCCATCGACGCCTCTTCAAGCACCCGAGGCAAAGCAGTCACAGCTGCAGACATGAAGTGGAATCGCGCCATCTCTCTCATTCTCTGCCTTGCGGCATCTGTCTGCAATGCTAAACGTGATGGCTTTTTTAACATGCCAGGACGGATGCAGTGCACAGAAGTTCTCATGATCATAGCCCGTGGCACGAGTGAGCCACCAGGCGAAGGACCCCAGCACGTCTTTGGCGAGGAGCTTGTCCGTAGGCTGGGTGAGGAGCGAGTCACTCACATTCCTCTTGCCTGGCCTGCATCTCTCTTCCCCACTTATGGCGAGTCCGTTCGGCTCGGTACTGTAGCCACCAAGGAGACGGTCGCCAGATATGTTGGTTCGTGCCCAAATATCAAGATTATCCTCATGGGATTTTCACAGGTATGTTAAATCCATGATTTGTGCAGGAACCGTCCATCATCCGGGACATCTGCTAACATGCAATCGCCAATCGAATAGGGAGCTCAAGTCATGAGCGATACAATGTGTGGTATGGCTGAGCGAACCTTCCCCAAAACTGATCCTATCGACCCAGAGCTAGCGAAGAACAGTAAGTCTTGCTTTTAATTTATTGACGACAATGTTGTGTCGAATGTTTGAAAGAAGCTGCTGCTGACTGTCTTTTTAGTCATTGCTGTTGTTGGAATGGGAGATCCCACTCACAATCCTGGCCTGCCATACGACGTGGGAACTTCTACGCGCAAAGGAGTAAGTTTGGCCCTTTCGAAGCTATGCTAGGTGAGCATGGTTCAATCGTGGGAATAGATGCTGACTCCTCTTCAACAACTAATAGTGGTTCCCCCGTCTCAACGATGCAGAGTGCAAACATTACGATCATCTTCGTGTCTCGTACTGTGACCATGGCGATATATATTGTGATCATGGTATTGATCCATTGGTTCACAGCAGTTACTTCCAGAAGTACTTCGAACATTGCATGAAATTCATGATCGCCAAGATCGAGGGGGTAAATCCTTGATCCTTGATTTGAATGCGGGTGTGCATAGACGTTGGTATATATAATTGCGCGAGAGCGGCATTCTATGTGAATTTAATAATTAGTAATATATTAATTTTGCCTATTATGGATGCACTGAAGAATATTGTTTTTCAGGCCTGGTGAAGGTGCGTTTTCCACGACGGTATATCTCCAGTATCTAGCCATGGTATTATAGTGGTTCAGTTCCAATTATTATATTAATTGGATTGTATAAGACTGTCCAGCGGCCTTGGAGACTTCATATTTCTCTCTTGTTCAATGCTGGAAGTTGGTGAATAAGCGACGAATCCACCCGATTACCAAATATCGGGCGAGAAAATGGATGGGCTTAAACGGGCCGCAAAGCCGCTGGCCTGTCCTGGGCTGGCGGTCGACCTTGAACTGGTCGGGCTGATATTAAGTGCGCATCTTCTGCGACAGATGCCTGGTATAGGTATTATTAGCGAGGCATGGCCTCTCCAGCCGTCCAGCCCAAACGCCACAAGCAAGATTCTCTGCTGGCCGTCGTGATGTCGCGATGTCGCGATGTTGTGATCCAAATGCTGGCGGAAAATTGGGGATTTCCTCAGCCCCATCACGTGATATATCTATTTAGGTACCCTTCGGCCGTAGGTTCCAATGTTGGCTGGCATCAACATCCAGACAGAAGCTGAAGCAACGCCACGACAGCAACGAAGATGCGGATACAACCTGCCGGGAGACACGCTGCTCGCCTCCCTTGGATAATCGTGTACGTAACTCTCGGGACCAGGTATGGTTGAAGCTCCCTTTATGTGTGTTTTCTAATCTAATATACAAACTGAGTAGGCATGGCATGCAAGAGACGCCTCCGACCGGTGAATGAGGGGGGAGAGTCCGTATAAGGCCACAAGTAGCTATGGCTCGTGTTTATATTCTAGCCCTGAGTTTTGAGCCTCCTAACCGGACTCGTAGCGCGGTATAGCCAACTAGCGACACGAAGAAGCTTACTCCAGAGAAGACGCATGGATACGTGAAACTGCCGCTATCTCGCGCCACGATTGCTCCGCCGATTGGAGGGCTGGTGAGCGTGGCAATAGAGGCAATGGACACGATCATTCCCATCCGGTACCCGAGCTCCTTCATTGGAGATACGGCGGCTATCAATGGTAACCCGAGCCCTATTCCGGCACCAGAGCTGATTCCGAATAAAGCTGCAAATGCAAATATGGCACCTGTACTCCTGCCTGGAAGCCAGAGCGCCAGCACGAGTATAGCTGAGAATAGCGTCATTATGATCATGACGTTGAATCGCCCAATACGATCGCCGACATAGTTGGGCACTGTACGGCCGATAAAACTTTTTCAAAGTTAACAAGAGCACTAACAGCATATGCACACTCCATTGATGCTTACCTGGCGCCATTGAGAACGGGTACAAGCGAATAGGCCAGGCTTTGTGGCATGCCATAATGAATGGCAGACACTACTATGTAGTTGAAAGGAATAAACATCCCCCCTGGATAAAATGAGTCAGCCCGCCATTCGCATGAAAGAAAAAATTAATACCACCTACAGAATAAAAAGAACATGGAAAACCACATGATGTTGAAGTTCAACTCCTTCAACGGAAGGAAATAGTTCACTAACTTGAAAGGACGCGGGCCATGGTTGAAGTTCGACGTGATCGTCAAATCAGCATATATGAGCAATCCAAGGATTAAAAAGGCGCATATTCGCATGGTCCAGCCGAATCCTACCACTGGGAGGAGATGCTGAACCATAAGCGGGAATATTACCCCGCCTAAGGATGAGCCTGCAACAGTCAGGCCGGCAATGAGGCCCCTCCTCTCTCGGAAGAATGTTTGAGGCTGAAAAGGTCAGTTAACAGTTAGGTTACTTCGATCATTGGTAAAAGAAATGATACGTACTGCGGCCATTGCTGGGTTGAAAATAAAAGAAGCCCCTATTCCTGAGCATACAGATTGGCTAAGCACAAACTGATAGTACTTGGTCGAAATGCTTGCCATCATGAGGCCCAGAACATGCAATACTGTTCCAACGAGCAGTGGTACCCGCGGGCCATACCTATCGAACAGTCTCCCTGCCACCGGTGACATGAACATCATGAAAAAGACTAATTGTTGGTGGTTAGCAATGGCATAACCGGGAAGAACAAATGCACGTTACTACCACCTACATTCCATTGATGTGATCCATGAAATGGTAGACCTAGGATACCCCTTGAGCTGGTTCATTTCATAGTTTGCCTGGAACAACGCTATGCAGTTGACCCACCCAAAGGAAACAAATAAGGCTGCAGCCGCTCCTGAAACCGTAAGCCATGCCCTGAATCCTCCCTCTGGAAAACTAGGGATAGCATCCTTGGGGAGCCCCCCCTTCTTTTCCCTAGGCATCCCGATATCTAACCCTTTTTCAAGGCTACCTACATCAGAAGTAGCAGTTGATTCTTCCATGGCTATGATTGTTTGAACTCAGGGGCGACGGAAAGGAGAAAGACGCCACTCGTGCAGAAGGGAAGAGCAAGATGGCGCATACTCTCAATCAGCCTGAACCTCTCCATGACTCTTATATTTTATTTCTCCTTCCTTCCGGCTATTTCATTCCTGCGATTTGACATCTCCGCCACCCCTGCGATAGCATCCCGTTCGGCGATATACCCAATCTGTTCCGGCTCAACATTATGCCGAGTCCGACCGCAAAGCCGAAGCCTTTTTCACCCGGATTTAGCTTCACCTTCGGAGATAATCTCGGCCCATGAAAATAGCCGCTTTTTCTTATCGATATCAAGACGTTTCTTCATCTTGCATTTCTTTGGGACTGCGATCTGGCTTCATCCAGTCCTATCAAAAAATACTGACGAGGCGACTGCGGAGATACAAACCGAAGACCAGAAGAAGGGCCTCCATTGTCGACTATGCACACAGAGTTGAAGCTGTTAGTACTGCTGCGCCAGGTCACGGAAATACGTCGCTTGTCCGCAGTCAATGACCACATCTAGCTGATCTGCTGGAAAATAATTACTAACTTCCTGCCTTAGTTTTCCTAGCCAGGGATGCACACACGGGCAAACACAGGGGACCACGACGTGTACCCTGCCCGATGCACATACCCGTTCGCCTGCCGCTTTTGGCTTTTGGCTTTGAGTCTGCGATGGTCTCAACCAGGCTAGCATGCTGTAACTCTGTGCATACCCTTTGGCATCCAGTGGCCCCCCGTGTCCAGCAAACATTGCAATGGACACTTACACTGCCTTGGATTTTATCCACCCTAGATTGCCCAGCAAGCTAGGGTACAAAATTTTCGGTTTGGCAAAGTTTGCTTAATCTACCCCCAGTATACCGTGTATCTTTTGCCTATCATAGCTTGCCTCGAATGAAGGATAAAAGGGCTCACATTTCCTCATGGTTTCCTTTGTCCCAGTTTAATATCGTCAGAGAACAAACTACATTTCTCAGGGATTAATCATGTTTTGGCTTACCTTTCTCTATGCCTTTATTGCTGCCTCCCTCGCGTATGGAGAACCCACTGTGCGGGGAGCTAGAAATTACCCGAGAGGCTCCTTAGGCGTTTCGGAGCTTGACCCGACCATTGCGCACAAGTGCACACTCTATCACCAAGTACTCCAAGGAGAAACTTGCTTAGACATTGCCCTCCATTATAATATCCCACCACAGGATTTGTCTCGCTGGAATCAGTGAGTTCTATCATTTCCTCATCCACGTCGGAGGTCTTATTAGGGCCTGGTTGCTGATTAATGCCTTCTTCATAGTCTTGGAACTAGATGTTCTAGGCTGAGGCCTGGGCGAGTAATCTGCGTTGGAGTGCAAGTTACCTCCAACAAACCAGTTCCTCGTTCAATACCCACCGGCGGTCATTGGGCGGAAGACGCTCCGACGCCGAGCCAGCCAAATGTCTCTAAGAATTGCGTCAAGTGGTATAAAGCGCATCCAAATGACAACTGCAAGATCATTGCAGAAGAAAAGTTCCATTCCTTCACGCTTGAACAATTCATACAGTGGAACCCGGACGTGGGTGCGGATTGCACAAGGCTATATGCGGGATGGTACTACTGCGTTGGTGTTTCCGGATGGTCGTTTCCCACACTGACGAGGGTACCAATACCAACGACTACCTCGTCAGTAAAAACAACACTTACCCCCATCCCAACCGGCCCTGGCCCTGAGCGTCAACAGCCCGGAACGATTCGTGGCTGTAGGGTATTTCATTATGTTCGTCCAAACGATAACTGCATCAAGATTGAGGAAACATATGGTATTTCCGATACTGATTTTCATAGGTGGAATTCCGAGATTGATCCTGCTTGTTTGAATCTCTGGGCTGGCTACTACGTGTGTGTCGGAGTATAAGGAGGATGACCGCTTTACTTAGAAACGATGAGGACATGACATAATTTTCTATTTCTGGTGGTATCAGGATCAAGCGAACTCTACTATTTCTGACTCGAGAATATCATCTAAAGCTTCTCGGCTTGCTATTCCCCCAGCGATTATCTGCATATATTCCTGCATTTGCCTGACCTCTAACAGTAACCTCTTGTATCAACGGCAATGAGCTTTCCGCCTTCTGTCACTGTTCCGTTTATCGGGAAGTTGAACGCCCCGGATGTTATAGCGTACATGGTATGTGTGTCACCAGGGAGCTTCCCGAATGCCGGCTGGACCACCCCAGACACCGTTAATTCGTCTGGCTCACCCAGAACTACAGTGACATTACCATCGGGTGAGACTGTGATCAAACGGTTATCTGCATTGGTTGCAACCCACATCGTGTCGCCATTCCTTGGTCCAAATGTGAAGTTGTCAAGGAAGAATGAGCGGACCTCCTTAAACAGCTCGCCCTTTGCTCCGGGCGCCGCAAATCCTTTCCGTGTCATGCGGATGCGATAAATTCTTGCCTCGAAGCTGTTTGTCCAGTATAGGTATCCCTTGTGGTACTGCAGTCCATCGATTCCGAACTGTGTCGCTGCCCATGGAGGACCAGGCATAGCTGGATCTTGAATTCCGAGCTTGTACTTGCGAGCAACGGTGTCCACATGCCATACCACCCCGACTGTCGAGTCTGCAACTAACAGAGTGCTGGAATCATCTGGGACGACATCCAAGCCGGACAGGAGGCCACCGTTGGGGATATGGACGAGCTCCTTGACAATCGCCTTGCCGGGGTTCAATCGACGGCGAGTAGGTCGTAGATCGAGCTCCCAGACACCAAAAGTGCCGTTGATGCCGATGCCCAAGTGGACTTGCTGGCCTGCGAAAAAGGCGTAGACGTCAGGCCGTGTCTCGATGATACTGGTTGTAACGTTTACGACCTTGGGGTCGAACTGGTAGACCTGGGTGACTTTGGGTGACTTCGTCGTGGGCCCTGAGACATAATAAATTGTCCCATTTGGCCAGGCGGTAGTTAGGAGGATGTCTCCATTTGATCGGACGTAGAGACTTTGCAGATATGTCGGATCTGGGAACTGATGGAGTACCCGGTAGGGAAGTGGAAGAGACGGCCGGCATTCTGTGGCAGCATTCACAAGAAACGGCAATATAGAGACCAGAGCGAAGAGCCGGCCGAAGCTAAAGAAGCCCATGCTTCCCTGCAGATTGATCATGGTATTTGCTAGCATGCCACCATGGAAGGGAGTAACTAAGCAGCGTCTGGTGTCGTTGACCTGGCCTGTGGCGGCCATCCCGCGATCATATATACCAAGCTACCAAAAGGCCGTACAAGGACTCCAGGGACCTCTGCAAATGCAGATGGACTTCGTTTTGGGCCATATCCTCCGAATACTCCATTTGTGCTATTCCTCCGAAAACATCCCAGGGTTCGATTTTCCGAGCGTGTCTTCCTTCCGCTCCCTCCGATTGCACGAACTCGAACTCTCCCCCAGTGAGATCCCTGCAAACTTGCATAACGACGACTAGTGTCCCTGGCTATTCGAGCATAGCTTGGTTCATTCCGTCGGCCGATGACCCTGGAGTTACTCGCTATATTCCATACCTTGCTCTATATGACCGGCTGGATACCCACTGTAGCCTGAGCTTGGCTCCGTGCCTCCTTTCGGCTATATCGGAGCATCTCAGCTTTGTTAATACCGTTCGACTCGCTCTGGACGAGACGTCATGACCGTTGATCCAGGAGCATAAGTACATCGGGTGTCGCACCGAGCAGGCGCGCCATTCTCGAGCTATTCCTCTGCCGGTAGAACCCCGTGGTCATTTCCAGTGGTTTACGTGTCCAGCTCGTTGGAGAGCAAACTCCGTCTCCAATATGAAATTACCTCTCCTTTCCTTCCTGGCCCTGGCATCCTGCTGTCACGCCCTACCAAAGATTCCGGGCCACAGTTTAGATACTAAACGGGCGACATGCGAAAACACTCCTACTTCTCGACACTGCTGGGGGAAATATGATATCGACACGAACTATTACACTACGATACCAGACACAGGGAAAACGGTTGAAGTTTGGCTGTCGGTTGAAGAAGGTATATGTAACCAAGATGGATATCGACGGCCATGCATGACTTTCAATGGCACCATGCCGGGTCCTGCCATTGTTGCCGACTGGGGAGATGATCTCGTTGTCCATGTTACCAATAATCTGAAGAGCAATGGCACTGCCATCCATTGGCATGGTGTTCGACAACTCAATAGTGTCGAACAGGACGGAGTCCCTGGCGTTACTCAATGCCCAATTCGCCCGGGAGAAAGCTACACGTACAAGTTCAAGGTCACCCAATACGGATCGAGTTGGTACCACAGCCACTTTTCTCTTCAATACACGGAAGGACTATTCGGTCCTCTTATATTCAAGGGTCCTGCAACCGCGAATTATGACGAAGACAAGGGTGTTCTGTTCCTCCAGGATTGGTCACATACATCTACTTTCACCGACTGGAGTGCGAAGGAGAAGTATGGCATTACCAAATCATTGAATAGCCTTCTAATCAATGGCACCAACGCATTCAACTGTACTGGCTCGATGGACCCCAACTGCATTGGAGGGGGTAAGAAGTTCGAAACAGTGTTTGAGCCTGGCAAGAAGTACCTCATCCGTCTGGCCAATGTGGCAATGGATAGCCTGTTCCAGTTCAACATTGATGGCCACAAGTTCAAGGTTATTGCCGTTGACTTTGTCCCAATCATACCATATGAGACTGACAATGTTCTGGTCAACGTCGGTGAGAGATACGATATCGTGGTCGAGGCAAATGCTACCCCGGGCGACTACTGGATGCGTGGCGGCTGGCTGAGGGCCTGTCAAGGTGTCGCAAACGATAACCCAGGCTCCATCACGGGCATTGTACGGTATAATTCCAAAAGCACCAAAGAGCCAACTACCACCAGCACAGTTCAGCCACCAAAGTTCTGCGCAGACGAGCCAGCTACAAAACTAGTACCTCGCGTGAAGTTTGATGTCGGCACGATCTCTGGCACGACTGTCGAGGGAATAAACGTCCGCCTCACACATGCCGCCCTCTTTCAGTGGACTATTAATGGCAGTAGCTTGGCTCTGGACTGGAATAAGCCGACTCTGCAATATGTCTTCAAGAACGCATCAGACATCCCTACCCCTTACAACGTGGTCTCTGTTGATGTAAGTGCTACCCGTAATTCCGTGATGACATAGAATTTTCTAATATTTGAGATAGAGAAAGAATCCCACCGGTGATGAGTGGGCGGTTCTAGTAATTCAAAATACTGCGGCAGCACTCTTTGCAAAGTAAATACTATCTAGCCATTTTTGGTCTACATGAACTCTCGAGAATGTTGTTGGCTAACAGTGTCGGGTTTATAGTATTGCCCATCCTATCCATCTCCATGGACACGACTTCTGGATTCTTGCTCAGGAAACGGGCAAACTATGGGACGGAAACATGGACTCCTTCAAACTAAAGGGCGTACCGCGAAGAGACACTGCTTTGCTTCCTGCCAGGGGATATCTTGCAATCGCGTTCCGACTTGATAACCCAGGAGCATGGCTTATACATTGCCATATTGCATGGCACAGCAGCCAGGGGCTGGCACTGGAATTTGTTGAGAGTCCACACTCTATATCAATCAATAGTGGAGCTCGAAAAGTTTTTGACGATACTTGTGCTTCGTGGGAGAAGTGGTCTCCAAGCTCTCCCTGGCCACAAGATGATTCTGGTATATAGAAGATTCCCACTTAATATAACTGGACAGCTTTTATCAATTTTAGACAGCACTTAATTCTAGTACGTTATACATACGTCATATCTACTAGCTCGAATATATAATTCTTGGGAAGAATGTTCAGAGGAGATATCTGTATGCCAGATCATATGATACGAAGTATGTGAAATTGACAATTTAAAGCTAAGCCTTGACCGGCAATGATTTTGGCTAAACCTATAGCTATCAATATACAACTAAAATATGACTGTGGACATATTCAGTGGGGATTATAGTCGACAGCTGTGTGATTCACCAATGTTGGTTGAAGAAGCGAAGAACGGTCTTGTAGCCACGAATATACTCCTCCTTCGACCTGGGATCGGCAAGGTCAGCACGCGCCGCCATCCAGCCATGAACCTGGTCACCAAAAGTCTCAATATGGTGTGGAACGTTCAATTTGCTCTCAAAATCCTTGATGATATCAGCTGGCTCTTCTTGGGATGCAAGGAGCATATACGGCACTCGAATTTTGTCAGCACCGGCGGTGTCTACCATTGCCGGATGGATACCAGCAGCAATGGAAAATGGATTAGAGTCACGAGAAGTCACAAGTTCAGTGACCTTGCCTCCCCAGCAGTACTAAAAGTCATTAGTGGGCTTGCTTAACTGGTAAAGTAGCGGACTTACACCGATGAGAGCCCAAGATTGGATAGATGGGTTCGCAGCCTTGAGGGCCTCGACGTAGCCAGGCAGCGCGTCAGCAACTCCATGTGGAGCATTATTCCCAAACCAGGCACCAAGATCTTTCTGCTTCTGCTCAGTGTCTGGAGGGTACCTAGGAAATCTGAGTGTTATTTGCTGTCTCATTGAAGAAGAGGGCGATCGACTTACCACTCAGTGGGACATGGATTTCCCTTGAACCAGTCAGGCATAAACACTTTGTATTTGTTACCGCTACTGGCTCCGAGAATGTCGGCTCCCTGAACGGTCTGGTCGACATATCCAAAAATATCAAACACGGCGACAATACCCTTGGTCGCGTCAGAAGCTCCGGTGACGTCTAGTTACGTGGTCAGTAGTCTATGGAATATCACAGGGTGTAGACGGACGTACATGTTTTCAGGCCTCCGAGCTCTTCATATGAACCCTTGGGAACATACCCCGACGTAATGACGGGTGGGATATTACAGCAGGCCTCGTTATGGCCATGGGTAGCAGGCATGGTAGACATGGCGGCGGCGTGTAGACAGTAGTTTATGGAGGGGGATGGATGGGTTTTCTTGAGATGCTGAGCGCGTGTGCTGGCTGACTGCAAGGTCGAAAGGGTCCTAGCTGACTGAGACAGTGACAACGGAGGACAAGAGGGTGAGGTTGATCTTATAGAAGATGTCGAGGCGTCTGTTGCGGGTGACAATACCGCTGGGTATGCCCTGAGAGCAGAGCGGATGGCACGTTTCGTCACTCTTCCTGGTATCTGCGAAGACATCTTGACCCTGGAACTGTCACAGGTAACTTTGCTCTGGCTCGTTCACTATGCAGCCACCGATACTCGACTGGACCAGACGTGTTCAAGTAGTCCGACTTCTTGCTGGAGCGAAAGCAGGCGAAGTAGAAAACAAAGACCACACCAGCGGCGGCTGCCCGGCCACATCGGAGTTTAGAGCTTCGGAGCTTCTTTTCTGGAGGCAGCGACCATCCGACCGCCGGACCTGCATTGTGGCCATGCGCCATGCGACCTAACCATTGATAGATACGGCATGGCTTCCGGTATATGTCGACGGGAGCGACACGCAGGCCCGGATCAAAGAAACCTCCAACTGGCTAAACGAACGAACTAATAACATTGGAAGCAGACGTCGGATGGTCGGAGCGCCCAAAGCGGACGGTCGGGTGGGGCCAACCTTAAGCGGGCCAACTTAAGCTTAAAATACTTTATTTAATATTGTTTGCGCCGACACAAGGATGCCAACGCACTGTGTAGTGCCGTAGAGACAGCGCTCGACAGGAGGCAGATAACGAGAAGAAGCGCATGGAAGGTCTTCTGAAAGCGGGAGACGTCTTCCTCTTGCTGATGGTTTTCTTTTGAAAAATGTTTCGTCCAAAGCGAGGACGGTCGGAGCCGGAACTTACTGCACTCGGAGGAATTGACTAGAAAGGAATGCCGGCGAAATGGATATTCTGTGCCGAAAGAGATGTAGCTAGCCGCAGAGAGGCCATTCAGGTGTAAGTGAAAGGTTTATCGGCTCTATTTAAATCGGTAACTGCTGTTATTGCGGGAGGACAACATAGACACAGAGGGAGCCACTTTCCACCCGTCAAATCACTTCCTCACAATCTCATCATAATACGCCAACGAAAACCAGCCGTGCCAGCCATTCCAAGATGTCAGCTCCCAGTGTTCCAACGGGCGTCATTGTCCCCATGCCTACCTATCTCTTCAGTGCAACAGTGACGCTCGCAAAGCCACTCGACCCAATTCCACTCCTCGAGGGTGGCGTCCGCATCGTTGAGCCCATCACCGGCGGAACCATCGAAGGCCCTGCTTTCAATGCCACTATCGAAGGTGGAGTCGCCTCTCCAATTATCGTCAAGGGTGACGGTGGGGCAAAAGCGCAGATGGCATACATTTACGCGTACGGCCATGCCAGCGACGGATCGCCATTTTATATCGAGGAAAGCGGTATCGGGTCTGGCGCAACTCAGAACACTAGATTGATTATCCAGGTGGGAGGAAAGTACCAGGGCCTCCAGACGATGTATGTGCTAGGACAGCCAACGGTCAACGAGGCCAGAACTGTGGCATCGGTGGAGTGTTTCAGCATACCGCTTCCCTGAACATAATGACAGGCTTAATGGAAACAGTGGAGGGAGAGAATCCGGTCCTTTGCAGTTATAAAATTGTATACTGCCGCATGTGCATGGTTAGGTTTCAAAGAAAATGAAATGGCAGTATCCTATGGCACCATACCATCTTGACTAGTCATAAACATACAGGTTTCAACAAAAAAACGAAGTAATGGGTATAGTGAAGGGGAAGAAGAAATATTAAATATCATAACACATGCATCGTATGGATTAAATCACTAGGAGGCTAGTGAGCTCACTAGGGCTATCGACTCGCTGCATCAGAATTCGAGCGGTGTTCATCCTGCACATGGACGGTCCAGTCCGTGGTGTACCGGATGATGAGTTTATCGGGCCCTTCCTCTTCAATCTGGGACCGGCTTTCAGTAAGTATCCTGCTGTCCGAGAAAGCGTCCGCATGCTGGCTGTATTCGTCCGGGCGAAACGACCGCTGCGTGCCCCCGAGTTTGTTTTGTATCGAGCCCTTGACGCTCTTGAGCTGCCGCTGACCCGACGCCCCTATTCCACGCGGATGGACAACACGCCTCAGACTGGTCATGGCATATTCGGTAAACGTATTATCGTACACTCCGCCGGCCAAACGGCTTTTGAAGGAGATACTAAGTAGACCAGTGTTCGCCCTGTCCATGAATGGCTTAAAGCCTGGGAGACAGGTAATGATCGTGTTGAGCATTGCATGACACTGCGTTGCAACATGATAAGGGACGCTGTCGAACATGGAGTCCCCTGAGCCGTCGATGTGCTTAAGATATGTTGCTCGCAGGATAGAGGCTGCTATAACACTGGTTTATAATCCACATATTAAAAGCTGTAGATGGTGAGAAGAGATGGAATAAATGGGGAACTTACACTCCTCTGCTGGCAAACACGCCAAAGACGATTCTCTTCTGTATTTTGTTCATTTGCAAGTCCCATAAAATCCATCCCGGCACCACAATCAGACAGAGGTCGGTGAACACGTCTATACCAGTGGCAGCCGACCAGAATGCGACCTACGGTGCATTAGCACGCTGCACAACTGTAAAGCAAAAGTCAGAGGCCGGTCATATCATACTATATTGAAACACTTTGCAGTGGAACGCGGGTCCCAAGGTGCAGAGGCGCCGCACTGGAATCCATACACGATGATTGATACCACCGTCCAGGCCAGCAAGAAGATCAGGGAGCCCTTGATCGCGCCTCTATACTTGTTTGCCGGGACAACCCGCTCGATGAAGCTAAGAGTAGACAGCTTTGCCAGCGAAATGGCCAGGATATACATGATCGACGAGGCAAACACGTCCTATCTCTGTCATGTTAGACACGCTGCGAGCCAGCGACAAGAGGAGCGAACAGCTAGACACATCCTGCGTACCTGTCCGGCTTTTGACACTTGGGCTTCAGTCAGCTTCGACTCACGCCGTCCCAGGCCGTGAGTGACCGCCAGGGATATGGCTATGACGCCGCCGACATTGACAAGCTGTGGCCGAGTCAGCATGATCCATATACTATAGCTATGCCCAGCTGGACAAGGCCCTCATTGGGTTGGTTGATATATACCATGGAGCCTACAACAATGGCATCGTCCATTCCGGGGATGTGGGATGTCAGGTATCGGACAGCCAGTCTCAGTGCCGTCGCCAGAATCATCACCACCATGGCAAACCAGGTCACGATTTGGATTATGGGCCCATGGTTATCGGGCGTCACTACCGTGTGCCTCACACCATCAGTCTGCATAGCTCACGACGACAGAAAACGAAGAGTTATCGGTGTATGGGATCAGTCTCGACGGGGGGACTGAAAGGCTCTTGATGCCAGAGTGATGATGGGTAAAAATCCATGGGCCAATGCTCCCAACGCAGGACAGGACAAAGACGGGATATTATCTATCTACACGAAAGCAACGCTGGATTCCAGACAGAAAACGCCGGCGTTGGACGGTTTCAAAAAGGCACACAGCAGCTCTAAAGATAAAAGAAAAGAGACGAAGCATCAGAAGTCAAAAACAGAAGAACTGACGATCCGGAGGCCCAAGAGCCAAAACGTCTATTCCCGAACGAAGCCCGGCTACTGTGGCGTGCAAGAACGAGAATGGCCGGACTTTGAGGAAAAGGTTCTGGCTAGATAAAACAGTTGGACGAAGAGCCAGAGGAAGACGAAAAAGATGGGAGGAAAAAAAGGAATGAAATGAATCTTCTTCATCCTGCAGAGGATGATGGCTGGCCCGTTACAAGTCGACATGCCAATCCAGGTGTCATATTCCTCCCTCCCTCCCTGGAATCAGCTTGTATACTCCGTATGCTGCACGATATACGGAAAGCGCACGAAGCCGTAACTAGCGGCAGCGGCAGCGGCCCTTCGAGCCTCTCGCTGAGCTTTGCGGAGGGACAGCCGTCAAATTCCCAGGGGCCCATCATGCCATCACTCAGACAGACAAGGCTCGAGACTTAGGCAGAGCAAGCCACCCCAGTCTCGTCCCCTGCCTTGCGCTTTTCATGTTACGAGCCATGCCTAATTTACCACGCAGACGGCAAATAGGCAATAGTGGCCAGGCTAGGCAATCCTTGCGCTTTGAGCTAAGCTGCGAAACAAAAGAAGCGAAGCGATAACCACCGGTTCTCCCGAGAGCGCGGCCAAAAAAGTCACCGTTGGCGTGAGTCTCACGCTACAGAGTTATCCTTTTGTCTCTCTGCTTCGTATTAGAACAGGCTTCCTGGCTAAGAGATCCGAGGGCAAAACGGTGGATGGGGGTCTGCTGTTTGACCATCTGGCGATCTCGAAATCCTGGCCCGTATCAATTACGAGCGCCATGCCAATATTCCAGCTCTATTAAGGGCGCTAACTGGCGGACTTGGACCTCCGACCCATAATTAATGGTGTATTGGTATCTCCCATACGCAAGCAGCGAAGAAAGCGCCCTGCTGATAGCGTGGGGACCCATAACCATTCTCCCTTTTATGGTTTGGGATGCGCCTCTTGACAAAGTGCTTCATCGTGGCCGCTCGACCTGCAACTAAACTGCAACTAAACTGCATGGAGGATTGTTCTCCAGTCCAGATGGAGACGTGTTATCCCCTTTTCTGCTCCGATCCCCAGCAGAAGTAGATGCTATTGGGCGCCAGCAAGAGCTCGACTGAGCTAGTTAGCGACGTACTCTGGACTCTGGACTGATAACTTATGGAGACACTTGGAAAGTTCTATTTTTTTTCTCCACTGCCTGCTCGACCTCTCTTGCTCTCTGCATGGCCAGGTCGTTAACTAAGTACCCCAGAGACAGGCCTTCATCAGCCCAAGGCTGTCTCTCTCCAGGCTCCTGGGAAAACTCAACAGGACGCCAGCTGCCGATCGAGTGTACCATTATTGCATTTACGGAGTACGGAGTACGGATAAGCTGTGTAAGTACTCCGTATGTGGATGGTGGCCAGCTGAGGAATGCAGGGTGGCCAAATGCTACTCTGTGCCCATCTTTCAACAGACATGGTAGAGAGCACAGCCATCTGAGTCTCGACCCTCCTCATCCTCATGCACCCCGTAATTAGTCCGGTGGCGGGCCAACCTTCAGCGGGAAACACAAATCAATTGTGAATACGGAGGAAGCGTACAGATACCATCGCCTAATGGACAAGCAGCGAGGCCGTGAGCCGCCCCTCGTCCGCCAATCCGCAAGGGAGCGGGATGCAAAGGAAAGGATCCCTGAACCTGCCAAGCAGTGTCGAATCTCCAGACACTGTGCAGCCCGTTCTCCTGGCGTTCTCGCCTGTGGCTTGCCTGTCAGTCGCATATTGGGGGTATTTGGGTGGAGGGGGGCGGCTTGTACGCTAGGTTTTTCGGGACGAGAAGCGCCCGCGAGCGAGCTTGGCTGGGGGTGAAACATATTCCTGAGGCGAAGAGTCGACGAGCCGTTCACTGACTGAGCTTTCGATGTTTAAATATGTATGCACAGGATAACTCTAACTGCTCTGTCAGAGAGGCATAGCTGGTTAAGTTGTAGCGGTTGGCTGTTTGTCGACAAAGAGGGTGCTGCGTCTGCCCCTTTCCAGCGCATGTTCGCATATTGAAATCCCAGCAGGGCACCAAATATGCAGCCAACAGGGTCGCCTGTACCTACATAAACCACGACGATAATATCCTACCCCGGTCTCCTTTCAAGGGAAGGGTGAAAAAAAGAAGCTGGCCGGGGAGTCCTACATGCAGTTCCCGAAATCCACATTGCATTTCTCTCCGTTCTTCTCTCTTACTCTGGTCCCTCGTTGACGTCCTCCTTTTTCTCTCGAGAGCTGCTCACCAAAAGGATTTGTTTTAACCAGCGGGTAGTCAATCAGTTTCTCTACTCCTGAAGAGGAATCTATCACCATGGCGCTGGGACAGTCAGAGGAGAAGATCGTTTCTCAGGTGGAGAACCGTCCTGTTAACCACCACTATGATGGCGAAGCAGCCGCACGGCCAGATCAAGATGCCGCTGACATGGCCAGGCTGGGTGTAGCCCAAGAGACAAAGGTCTGTAAGCTTCAAACCGTTGCAATTGTTGGATAGCCTGGGGAAAGCCAGGCCCAGGCCTGGCTTGACAGGCAACTGACAGTCTTGCGCGATAGAGACGATTCGGTTTGGTGACAATATTAGGATTCACAACATGTATCATGGGGACATGGGAATCAGGCCTTCCGTATGTTTTCTTGGTGTTCAGCAGCAAAGAGAACGGCTAAAAGAAGTACTAATTTACCTACAGATTCTTCCTTACCGCGTATATCAATGGAGGACCGGTTACTATGGTCTATGGCTTCATTCTGGCCTTCTTCGGGTCACTGGCGACATGCGCCTCTCTTGCTGAGATGGCTTCAATGTAAGCTCCTATGTTTCCACCCCGTATTGCTGTAGAGGGATCGCATTACTAATTGTTGAAAGGTACCCTATTTCTGGAGGACAGTACTATTGGGCGTCTCTTCTCGCTCCTCCAGGAAAGGTCAAATTCCTTAGTTTCTTGACCGGTAAGCATGCCTGTCTGACCTACCCTGCAACAGGATCATAGCTGAATAAATCTAGGCTGGCTCTCCGTCCTCGGATGGCAGTCTGCTTCTACCACTGGTACATATCTTGGGGGTACCATCATTCAGGGGGTCGTCAAGCTCAACTACCCTGAATATACGCCCGAGAGATGGCAGGCTACACTTATGTTATATGCAGTCCTTATTCTCTCTCTCTCTGTTAATGTTTCTCTCGTCAAGTGGCTTCCTGGAGTTGAAGGAGTCATCTTGATTATTCACGTCGTTGGATTCTTCGCAATCATGATACCCCTGGTCCACCTTGCTCCTATTAGTTCAGCTAAGTTTGTCTTCACCGAGTTCATAAATACCTCCGGCTACAGCAGCAGTGGACTATCCTGGCTGATCGGCCAGTCAGCCAGTGCTGTCTTGTTCATTGGATACGACGGCGCATGTCATATGGGTAACCATCCATACATTACCTCCACTCAAGTATTGCAAGGCTAACAATACTATAGCTGAAGAAGTACAAAATGCGCGCATCAACGTCCCCAGGGCCATGTTCTTTACAATGTTTATCAACGGTGCCATGGGACTAGCAATGTACCTTGTCATCCTTTTCTGCATCGGAGACATAGACAGGGTCATCAACACAGAAACTAAGGTTCCTTTCATTGAGTTATTCCGAAATTCAACCCAGTCAAACACAGCTGCCACCGTCCTAACCTCCTTATTGATAACAACCTACATTGTTGCAAACTTCAATTTCATGGCCTCTGCTTCAAGACAGGCTTGGGCCTTTGCCCGTGATGGCGGTCTACCATTCTCACATATCTTGCGGAAGGTACTGTTAGACGACTCAATATTTTTTTATATATCTTAGTATGTTCAGGAAGCCTTCTAACAGACATATAACAGATTGACCGCAAACGATCAATTCCTCTTTTCGCAATCGCCCTCACTGGAGTTCTTAATGCCCTCCTTGGATTGATCAGCATTGGCTCAAATGTCGCTTTCTCTGCTGTCGTCTCTCTGGTTGTATCCGGTTACATGTCCTCCTACGTTATCGTCATATGTGTTATGATCCATAAACGTCTTACCCATGGGAAGATCGAGTTCGGCCCATGGAATCTTGGTCGGTATGGCCTACCGATCAACATTGTTGCCGTCATATATACCACTGTCACAGTCATATTTGCGTTTTTCCCCCCCTCTGTCCCCGTCAATGCTGAGAACATGAATTACTCTGGCCCTGTTTATGGTGTGGTTGTTGCATTTGGAATAGTATACTATATTGTACGCGGCCATAAAACATATACAGGCCCGAAGCTGCCCCGGAATGGATTATAGGGGTTATATTATTAATTATCCTTTTATGATGACTGTTTAATGACTACTATGTGAAAAAGCTATTGAGAGTGTTTTTTATCCTACTCAATGCGGCGGCTGTTTTGAAGCATATAGATATTGCTGACCAGCAATAAATTTTGATGTTTACTTGCGCCTTTCGCCAACAATTTATATTATAATAGGTATACACATTCTATCGAACACAATTTATTGCCTTTGTGATGAGAAAACTATAAGCTTATATACATCATGCGTGGAATGGAAACATTAAGAATGGGATGAGTCAACTGTAGACGATGGATAAGAAATGGTATGAATACAAAATGTAAAATATTAGGTGTATGGGAGAGCTCGGTGAAGCCCTTTAGAGAGTCCAGAACCAATAGCTCCGCCTTTCTCTAAGCAATGACAGTACGTATAGGCTTTCCTTGACTCTTCAAATCACCTTTCTTCACGAAATCTTCTCGAGATGGCAGAGGCGTGGAGATGGAGTCATCATCGGAGGGCGAGGGAGTATCTCCGAGCGCGGGGGTAAATACAGGGCTTCCCATTGATAATGGTGAGGAGCTGGCTGTCTCTTTCTTCGGTATAGACCCAGAAGGCTTTCCTGGCTGGTGCTTTTGTTTGGGAGATGGCTCCGAGCTCTCAGGAGCATCCTCTTTGATGGGTTCCATATTCTCTAACGCAGTCTTCACTAGATCGGCAATTGAACCTCCTCCTAGTATCTTGAGCGTGGGGATATCAACCTCCAGTTCCTTAAGGAACCAAGAGCGGATATCAACAGCAACAAGTGAGTCAACGCCTTGATCAACAAGAGCTATAGAATCCTCCAATTTCTGTTCTTCCGTCATACGCAGCATACGTTTCAAGTGGCTCAAGAATGCATCCCGAGTAATAATGTAGGAATCTTCCGCATTTTTGGCAGCTTGTAGTTGGACCCTGACACGTACCCCAGACTTGACAGCCTGAATCTCCGAGCCAGTCTCTTCGCGTTGAATGAAATGGTTAAACTTGACATCTCGTCTATGGGCTTCCTGGACGAAGAAATCATTCGGCAAGTAGTTCACTCCCATGGCAACTTGAGCTTTCACCTGAGGCGCTTGGCTTGGCCGACCTGATACCACGGCCTCTGCGAATAAAATGTGGAGATCCTCTTCACTAATATTGATATAACCAACTGACTGGAAGTAGTCAAAGTCAAAGTTAATCGAATTCGCGGCATATCCCACTCCGAGCACAGCCGGGATGCTCATGGCAGATGCTGCAACTCCACGGTTGCGCCTCTTGTATACAAGGGAAGTCATGTATTCATTAGCTGCTGAATAATTGCTCTGGCCACTCCAACCGATGACGGATGCAATGCTAGAAGCCACGATGAAGAAGTCGAGAGATTTGTCGTCATAGAATCGTTCATCTAATAGCTGAGTACCCAGGACCTTGGGCTCAATAACGCGGGTATACTGTTCATACGTCATCCTGGAAAATAGTTCGTCCTCCAGTATCATGGCACCGTTCACGACACCTGCAATGGGAGGAAGAGTAGCCGTAATAGCTGTGTGTACGTAGTGAAGAGATTCTCGGGACGTAACGTTGAGAGGCATGGCTTTGACAACAGCTCCGTACCTCTTCATCATATCTTCTATGAATGATGCATTCACCTTCGGTGTCCGGCTAGTGAGGACAATATTCCGTGCCCCGTGGGCAATCATCCAGCCAGCAAGAGACTGACCAAGCTCACCCGCCATGCCAACGAAGAGGTATGTGCGGTTGGCTTTGAATAACATTCCAGAGTCGATAGGTTGGACTTTGGCCGTAAGTGGAGTACTGGTAGTCCATTGCACAACGGTCATTGGTTCTCCTATAATTCCATGCGAGGGTAGAGAGTCAAGAGATATATAATTGGCATCCTCTGATGCAGCTTTATCGATGTCGTTTAGCGCACTTTGTAGAATCTGCGATATATCTATCAACGACTTCGCACTGGATATCTCTGTGAGTTCATGACCTAGAACCGCTTCTTCGTTTATTTGAAGGCAGCTAGCCGGTAAACAGGGGATAATGCAATCTCTAACAGCATCAGATGTATCTCCTCGCAAGAAATGTAAGAAAACGGCCGTAGTTTCGGGGACAATGGATTTGATGATATGGCGGGGGAAGTTTGGATGCAGGAAGAGTGAATCGCCGTTTGAATTCTGTCGTAGTTTAGCGGTAATGAACACGGGCTTCACGTCCTTAGCGCTGGCCTTCCTTTGTATAGCGGACACCAGAGAAGGGTCTGCCTCGTTCACAAGTAAGATACCCCCTTCAGGAGTAAACGAAAGGACCCGTTCAGCGACAATACTGGAGGCTATCGAGACTAGGGTATTGTTATCAAAAGTTCTGGGGACAGCTATACAACAATGTTCTGGGACGTTGACAGGGGATTCTGGTGAACTTGAAAGCGCCAGAATGGTTTCATTCGAATTGACATCAACACCCATGCATAGCCTGAAGAATCCAGCTGCGCCCACAGCAACAGTTTGAAGAAGAGAATGAGTAATTCTCAAGGCGCGGTATTTGGTTTCCGGAATGTTTGGTAGTCTCAGTGGTGAGACTTTGTGAAGCTCCAAAACCCGCCCTTTACCAGAGCCAGCTCCAACAAGCTCCAGGGTATCTATCATGGGGTTAGCTTCAGTAAATATCTCTCTTCGCTGTGAGTTATAACGCATATTTTTCTCAGGATCCGGCAGTAGCCTTGTAATTAACTGCTTCCCGTTATCCATAAACACCTCAGGCTCATCCGTCCACAGAAGTGCGTCTTCATCGATACCCCAGCTTTGAAGTACCCGTTGCCTTAACAGTGTTTCAGCCAGGATAGCTGCAGTTTGTGGTTCAATGCCATCATTTGCAGCTTTGGAATCCAGGTCAAATAGCTGTAAATTCAAGTCAGGGTTCTCGTTCTTGATTGTACGGGCAAAACCCATCATCATGTAGCTATATGGGGTATCTTCACGGGATCCACAGGTTACCCAAACAACAGTTCCAGCTGTTGTACATGCCTTAAGTGCATTGAACTTATCGGTGGTTAAGCCATCAAGATATGGCTGGTCAAGATCCGTGAGGGAAAGAATTGTTACAGCACCAGAAATAGATACTGAACGAGCCATGGTAGAGCAAGCAAAGTCTTCCACAGTATCGAAGAACTCCTTGACAGGAAAACGGTGGGACAGAATGCCAGATACATTATGCCCCAGTTCTTTAACGCGGTCCGTTGTTCCCCCAATAATGGCAAGAGCATCAGTTCGTACGCCCACAGGGTGCTCTTGGACATTAAGGGGGTTTCGTAGAAGCGTGACTTGATCGTTAATAGCCTGGCCAACAAATACACTGATTGGAAGAGAAGAATCAATGTTAGGAGTGACAGTATCAATTCCAGAGAACCCAGTTTTCTTCAACACTGAATCCCACTGGTCAAGGGTAAGCAATGGTCCCCATGGGCGGCCTGTCTCAGCACCAATCCACCATCCCGGGAGAGTTCCCACAGTCATACCACTGAATAAGAGATCAGTAGAGGTGAGCTCACCCACCACTATGTAACCACCGGGTTTGAGGAGACGACGGATATTAGACATTGACGCTTCCATGTCAGCAGATACATGAAGCACATTAACAGCCACAATCAGATCGTATGAGCCTTCGATGAAGCCTTGTTCCGCTGGGCCTTTCTCCATATCAAACACCTTAAAGGTCATACGACCACTTTCTTTGGCGAATCTTTCCTCTGCTGCCATAAAAAATCCACTGGAAATATCTGTAAAAGTATAAGACGAGTACGCACCCTTAAGATTGCGGAGTACCGATGATGTAGTTGCGCCTGTTCCAGCTCCGATTTCAAAGATATTGAGACCAGGGTACCGATGTGAAATTTGTGATACAACCCGAGCGAGCCAACGACTTGTTGGGCCGGCACATATGGCATTCTCCTCGTAAAAGGCTCGGAGAAGGCCGTCCTGGTTCATGTGTTCAAGCATGGAATTTCCAGCGCGAATGACGGGAATCAAATTGTCCCCTACCACTTCAACGAAGCGAATATCCTTTCGGCCCTTGTAACGGGCCAGAATCTTGCCAATATCTTCACGAGAATCATTGTTGCATTCTGGTTCAACCTTCGGAGTTTCGCCTCGACTGACCATGCCAACCATACGGTCGCACCACTGTAGGTATTTTTGAAAATGAGGGAGCAGGCCAGCACGCTCCTCAACCGGGATTGATATAGAGGCATGACGTGCAAACCAGTAGGAGACACGGTCAATATCCTTGTACATCTGGACTTCAAAGTCAGTCACTGTTTCACCCTCAGCGGCCAACAGTCCATCAGGTGATGCAACTCGGTATTCGAAGTGGGAAAACATTGGAAGGTCATTCTTAGGAGTAGCTGGGGAGAATGGAACCAGAGTTGCACCTTCAAACTGCACAATAGCGTGAGATTTATTATCCGTATTTAGATAGATATCTCCAATAATCTGAGATCTTTGCTTGCTTCGAATAAGGGTCTCGAATTTCATGGTGCCCTGCTTGCCACCGGCACCAAGTATCGTGAAGTATGGATTTATAGTCACAGAAGAGATTGAAACAGGAACATGCAATGACCATAGCTGGGTATCTCCAGGATATGACCACGCTGCAAAAACGGTCTGGAGCGCGGAATCGAGCATACCAGGGTGAAGGACCAAATTATCATCCCACTCAGATCCGGACTGGTCAAAAAGCGTACCGATACTATAGCCAGACTTTCGTTGTATATCTGACACCCCTCTGAACGGATGAGAGTAACCATACCCAACTGTGGAGAGGTTTGAATAGAAACGATCATCCTGAACAGCAACAAGGTTGAAGGGCTCCGCCTTAACTAGAGGTAGGGTATTAGGTTTAGCAGATGATAGTTGGACAGAAACCTTGCCTTTGGCATTTAGCAGGATATTACTGCCATCAGCCACTGAGTAGCAACCCCACTCCGCTGTAATAGTAGTGGGTGAGATATCGATTGAAGACAAGCTGAAAATGATCTCGATGCTAGAATCATCATCGTTAAACGCAATTGCTCGAGGAATGTCGACATCAGTTAGTCTAATCATGCCGATGGAGTTCCCAGCTCCATTGTCAAACACAATGCCCTTAATAGCTTCTACCGCCATGCTCACATATCCAGTGGCGGGAAAAACGGTTTGACCTTGGAGCCTATGACCCTTGAGCCAGGGCATGTCATTTGGTCGCAGGAAGTTGCGCCATTGGAATTCCCCAGGAGTGGTAGCCTCAGAGCAAGGGCTGCCCAAAACTGGGTTAGGAAGATGTATAGCTCGTCTGTTTTTAAAATGGTTGGCCAGACGACTATTCGTCCAATAGCTGCGCTGGTGCTCGAATGGATATGAAGGTAAGTCTTTCAAACTTTTCCTACTTTGGACACCAGAGAGTAGTGTTTCGACGTCAGAGAATCGCACGCTTCCAGAGCCAAGTCGAGTCCAGATAAAGCCTAGGGCATCGCTGAGTTGCGTAACATCTTCAAGTCCGCGGGAGAGCAACCCTGTATAGGGAATACTACCAATAGTAGATGTTGCAGGGCCTTTCAGAGCAGGGTGTGGGCCAACCTCGATAGCAAGGTCAAATTGGTCAACGTGTTTCAGAGCTTTCGAAAGTGCATCAGCAAATAGCACAGCATTACACATATTGTCAACCCAGTATTGGTTAGTAAGTCTGTCACTAGTCATCGGTTCGCCCGCGTAAACACTCGAAAACCAAGTAGTAGCTGACCCCTGTAGCGGTGCGACTGACTGGATGGCACATCCCTCTAAAGAAGAGAAATACGGCCCAGCACATGATGCCATATGGGCACTATGATATGCGGTATCAACTTTGAGTTTCCTGGCAAAGATCCCCTGAGATTTGAAAATCTCTTCGGCTTCAGTTACAGCGTCCTCATCTCCACTCAGAGTCACACTAGAGGCTGAATTTACGGCAGCAACCTGAAGCCTACCAGAGAACCCTGTCGTAGCGCAAAAGTCGCGAGCATCGTCAGCTGATGCACCAACAGCCATCATGGCTCCACGAGGGGCATGTTCATTTGGGCTAGATGCTAGCCGTGCGTGGACACCGCGGAAGTAAGCAACGCGTATAGCATCCTGTGCAGATATAAAGCCTGCTGCATAAGCGGCACCAATCTCACCAGACGAGTGACCAACCACAGCACGAAAAGAGATGCCTGCTTCTCGGAGAATATCGACGAGGATTATCTGCACAGCCGTGCACAGAGGCTGGGAGAGAGCAGCTTCCGCTATGCGTGATGTGTCCTTTCCTGCAAGGAGTTGGTCCTTGAGTGTCCATGTAGGCCGATCTCCAGGGGATGGCAAACTTTGAAGAGCGGAATCCAGCTCAGATATACGAGATGCAGCAAAAATAGAGGTTTCAAGGAGCTGGGCTCCCATTCGTGGCCATTGAGCACCTTGTCCGGTGAAAATGCCAATTATCTTTGGGTCAGAGATAGTCCCAAATCTCGTTCCAAGCTCTGCACTACCTGTAGCATTCGAGGTAGAATTCACAATCTCATCTAGGGATTTGATAGCATCTTGTATTGTCATCGCCGCAATTGCTTTTCGGTACGATAGGGTGGATCTCCTATGCTGTAAGGTATAGGCAAGATCAGAAAATTCAGTTTCCGGGTTTGCGACGAGATAATCGAGATGTTGCGACAACATCTCTCGAAGTGTGATCTCTGAGGAAGCGGAAAAGGTTAAAGGAGTAAAAATAGGAGATACAGCCTTCTTTTCTGGAATATACTGCTCCAAAATGCAGTGGGCATTGGTTCCACCGAAGCCAAAGCTGTCAAACGGTAGTGTTAGCACGGTAATGGGGGAAAAAAGGATCATTTGGGGTTGATCTACCTATTCACACTCGCCCTCCTCAGCTGACCTTCCTTGGCAGGCCATGGGGTTGGGACAGTAGGAATATCCAAGTGCTTAAAGAATGGAGCCACTTTGGCACTGAGGTTTGCAAAGTGCAGGTTGGGAGGAACCACGCCGTATTTCAACGCCAAAGAGGTGCTGATGACACTAGCCAGGCCAGCGGTGCCTTCAGTATGCCCAATGACAGTTTTGATAGAGCCGACAAGCAGCTTGTCTGCCATCTTATCGGCGTAGGATCCAGCAGGGAATAGCGCATTCGAAATAGCTTCGGCTTCTTGGGGATCCCCTGCCTGAGTACCCGTGCCATGGGCGTGGAAGAATTGTGGCCTATCCTCCAGATTGTTGACTGGATCTAGCCCTGCCCGAGCATAACACTCGCGGATAAGATTTGTCTGCGCAACATTGCTGGGCATCGTCAGACCAGTAGTTTTGCCATCCTGATTGACTGCCGTTTCACGAATTATGCATTCAATTGGGTCATTATCTGCTATAGCCTGGGAAAGTGTTTTCAGCACAACAGCCGCAACACCCTCGCCTCGCGCATACCCATCCGCGGAGGCGTCCCACATAGCACAGCGTCCGGTAGGTGAAAGCATCCCAAGGTTGCTCTCGGAGATGTACATGGCTAAACAACAAAGAAGTAAGCATATCGAGAGCCTCTATATTACCTAAGCCAAACATGTCTGGACATACCTGGACTCAATATCAGATTCGTGCCGGCAGCAACCGCTACCTTTGACTTGCCGCTTCGTAGAGCTTGGACACCGAGATCAAGAGCAACCAAACTGCTAGAGCATGCAGTATCAATAGTCATGCTTGGTCCATGCCAGTCAAAGAAATATGACACACGGTTTGCTACAATGCCTCTTTCGAGCCCTGTAGCAGTATATCGGGGTAATGTCTCCCAGTCTCGCGTTAACATAGTGCTCCAGTCATCGGACATTAGGCCAACATAAACGGCAGTATCAGAACCTCGCAATTTCTCCATAGGCTGCCCAGCAGCACAGAGGCCATCGTAGACAACTTCCATTAGCACACGTTGCTGGGGATCCATGGCATCCACCTCACTAGGCTGAATATTGAAAAACCCAGCATCAAATTTGGTAACATTGCTCTTATCTGTGTCCTCCAGCCAGTAAGATTTGGTAGCGTTGGTGGTACCATGATGTGTGCCAACAGGATGGTAGAATGAGTCTATATCAAAGCGAGAAGTCGGCGGTTTGCTACTCAGGTCACGAGGGTTGTGGATAACAGACCAGAGTTTCGAGGGTGTGTCGGCGCCTCCAGGAAAACGAAATCCGGATCCGATAATAGCAATGGGTTCAATCATTGTTTTATTCGTCCACAAACTTGAGACAGCCGAATCTGATAAAACCTGGATCAGCTGAATGCCGGTTGGTTGGTATGGATCTGGTTTCTAGATAGGTACACTCTAATGAACGGCTCCTCGATGCCAGAACAAGCCAAAATAGTTGAATGATGAATTCAGATCTAGGTAGGTAAAATGCAAGTCAGAACAGGGCAAGGAGATGAATCCTGCAAAACCGATTTGATAAGACACAGAAAGATGAAATGATTGCCTTGGACGATTTTGGGTCAGAGAATGATATTCTACTACCATTCAAGCGGTCTCGTGGATATTTTCATGGTATATAAATAATTCATTGCAGAATGTCGTTTGCCTCTGAGGACACCCGGAAGTTGGAATCTTGCTGCCATGCTTCGGAAATGGCATATCGGGCCTAGGGGAGGCGAAGCGTGTGGTACCGAATAGACACAACCTGATGGTAGATTGACCGGAGTGATTACACACTCAACATTCGGAGAAGGGAGAGATATGGAATGACTGAGCAGAAGGCAACTCGAGAGATACCGGAAACTGCATGACCGAAACGGAAGTCGGAGAAGGAATCATGCATCATTCGGTGATCAAGAGAGTAACTTGTAGGCTCGGTATATCAGCCTTGAGGTCAGCCACGCAAGTCTTGGTCGGCTATGCAGGGGGTAATGCAATCAAAACGGTTAGCCAGATACTCTCTAGGAACTCGGAATAACTCACTGCCTAGACATGGACATCTTGCCAAGGGGCCAGACTTGTGGGAGTTGGCACGGACAATCTTGTGAACATGTGCAGCTCGGAATTGTGCCATAGTTAGTTAACTAACTAGTTAGGAGCTCCACGTTTCTAGTGGAGAATAAGAATGCTGCAGCACCGTTGCAGGAGTTCGGGCAGCAATAACCAACCAGTGAATGAGATACCAAAAGTGCTCCATTCTGAGGACTTCGATCCCTTACAAATCTGCCGAATAAAAAACTGGTTACTTGCGGAGAAGGATCTAGGAGGTTTCGCACTTCCTAGGTTGCGGCTGAGGTATGAACCATCATTTACTAACCGAACACCCCCTCGTTTGATGCATGCGTGGCTTTTAATTAATGCAGCGATGCGCAGTACTATAGCACCTGCATCTGTGCGAAGAAATGTTAAGGGAGTGTTCCGATTATGAAAGATCGAGATGGGCGATAATGATTGAGAGGCAGTTGGGTTTGTCCTACATACCAAGCAGTTATCTTTATCTCTTGGCTCACCTAGCTGTCTGGTCCGATTCCATGCTGATCTCCTCCGTTCTAGGCTAATCTAGACAAGACGTCGACCCATAGAAATCAGGTAGATCATCGAGCCCTGGGGGCTACTACAAGCTTGTCATTCCAGGCCAGTTCATTAACATCCAATCGTCCAGAGTCGTACCCCTCTCTAATGAGTTTACATCAAAGGAAAAGTTTTGCTGGTCAGGAGGTGTGAAACTTCCAAGAAGGCCTGGCATCACGAATTTGTCCGCTGGTCAGATGTTTTGTTAGTTAGCCACAGGGAAAAACTACATAAACTTAAATTTCCACAACTTACGTTCATAAAAGCCCATACCCATACTATCTGCTAACACCTCTTTTTCGTCAAGGTTCATGCCCGCTTCGCTACTATTTATAGTAGAAGCGGCTGGGTCGGTTGAAGGGCCCATACCCTGAGACAATCCGCTATTTTCCTCGCCTTGGACTCGTCCTTCCCCAACTCTTGCCAAAACAATGCTCACAGTCTCAGCGGCCTTTTTGGCCTCCTGGGAATGAGAACTGCGTCTCATCCAAATAGCACGGGTCGTACGGAGTGCAGCAGTGATTTCCTGCTCTCTCTCCAGATGTTTTCCACGATGTAGTAATGAGCATAGTATCATAGTCCCTATTAAAAACTGATGATTCATCATGGAGGACACACGCCATCGCATAGAATATAGCTGACCTCCCTGGCAAGTTTCTTCGTCGAGGACATGCTGTATATTTAATGTTCCAAGTGAAGCATCAATACAGGCATTTCGTGAATAAGCATACTTATCCTCCTCTCCTGCTGGTGACTCCATGTATAGATATCTGCGGTGAAGCATTATTTGTCCTTTATAGAACATATGGCCAATGAACAGACGAGCCATAATCACCTGTGGAGAGTCAGTCACGCTTGATGCCATAGGCTTCATTTTCAGCGGCGGAGGGATGCTGGCAGCAGCATCATGTAAAATTCCATCAACTCGCATGACTTCTGCATAGCTAGAGGGTTTCACTGCGTCGGTAACATCCGAGATTGCACCTAACGCCATTAACATCCTTCGCCGGGCAATGATACCTAAAGCTGTTGTATGTTCGGTTTCTGGTCGAGGTGGGGGTAGTTCGGTGGTATTTTCATCCATGTCATTATCATTCAAATTTCGCGGCTCAGCAGTATCGCACTTCCAATCTGCAATCATTCGTGCCATGCCCATTTGGCTGGAAACAAGAATATCACTCATTAGGACCGTTGCCCACACCCTGCGTCGCATTTCACCCTGTAGCGGAGAGATGCCAGGAAAATGACTGGGATCACGATGGTAGCCCATACGCATTGCCAGATTCACTTGGATAGCAAGTAAGAACCAGTTATCCTTGCCAGCGTCCGCTCGAACAATATACTCCACATACACATACTGGATCATTGCCTCCAGAACGTACGGTCCGGAGTTTGTATATTCCCCCATTATGAGACATTGGACTATTTTTTCACGGTATAGGTCAGCCTGAAGAGTTTGCTGCTCTATTTCATTGTTACCGTATGCCGCGTATGGCAGGTCTGAGGCAAGCAACGCCAGGCAAATCATGCCAAATAATAGTCCAACCCAGACAATCGGAGCGTCAGATGGGTTATTCCAAAAAGATTCGTACTATAACCGCGGGTTAACTTATAGGGATAAATACACATGTAATAAAACAGGACCTACTTGATTTAGAAAGCTGGGACCATGTACCACTGCTATATTATCGGTTTAGTTAGTGCTTTCATCAAGATGCTCGTTATTTCGTTGCACTTACAAGAGGCCACAAGGTCCAGGCAGTTAAAATAGCGAGATATATAGCGATCCACGGCACTCTTTGGGGGTAGAGCGGCAAGTATTTCAGACCGTGAAGTTGGGCGACGACATCCATACAAAAGTAGTGCGTGAGGTGACCTAGGTTTACTTGTTGGATCACCATTGTTACCCTCCAGATCCTCGGGGCTATTCGCAAGTCTCAACTGTTCTTCCCTGTCGAAATGGTCTTTTAAATCAGCAATGTTTTCCAGTATGGCCGCCCAGTGGTCCCCGCCGACATAGCGAAGTTCCGACGCAGTAACCCGCATGCTTCCACACTCAGAATGCCCATCAATTGGAGCATCTACTTGGGTATTAGCACTATTGCCAGCCCCAGGTAAAGGAACTGGCGCTTGCCCATAATCTGACCCTGTGCGTGGGCCTACTTCAGCAGCTGGAGTATTAGTGGAACCATATTTTGCTTTTTGGGTAGGGTCAGACATCAAAGTCATAACAAGACGTTCTAACTGGACCAGGCGATCGTGGACTGCAGGAGGGGCTGAAGGTGCCGTTGTGCTTAGTGGCATTGACGGCTTCGTTAGCGAGGGATGGTTTTCTACGTAGACACAGGTTTGTCCTCGTGCCAAACACGTTGAACATGGCTGTTGGCGATCACATCGCGACCTACATATTGTTTGCCAGCGTTAGTACTTAACTCTGTATACAAAAGAAACCAGATCAGGTTTAAATCATACTCACTTACGGCGACGACAGAGGTTACAGGAAAGCTGAGGTTTGTCCCTGCGCCGGCTAGGCTTTGGGCGGGGCCTCGAGACATTATCGGTATCAACTTCCTGATATTCAGCATGCGGTGATGTGGTCATGGCAGATCCGGGATTGACTGGTGATTCCGGCATGATGGGGCCAGGTGTGAAGGGGGTGCTAGCCTCAGTAACGGGCACCATCGTAAGCTCACAGGTTAGTCAAGATGGAACAAAACAAGTCTCTCAGCTGAATAAATGGCGCTGTCCTAGAGAAAATAGTGGCGCTCTAGGTGATATATCACCCTTATTGTTAAGGTGGTCTCAGAACGCAGATAAAAGTGCAAGGCTGCTCACCTATTTATCATTTGCGCGGCTGAGATGTTACATCAGTGCTGTTCTCGAAAAGCTAATGTCCTGCAGGCTGATACTAGGATATAAGCCCAGTCAAACACCCAAACGCGCCGATCACGATCATTCTTCATTGTTATATGGTTTCTGTATAGCTAAAATGCTGCTGATGCTGTTGGTCTCGACTTTTGTCGCCGGAGCCTTGACGTTGACGATCCACGTGACATTAACCGGGCGGAGTGGACCCGACCTAACGGCGTCATGTGACTATGATTACATAAATACAATAATTATGATCTGATAATGACTAGTTTAATTGACTAAAAAAGATTGACATAGCAGCCATTCTGGAAGGTGGTTGGATATCACAGCTCCCGGTACAGTTAGTCACTATTTTAGTTAAAAAGTACAACGCTCAACTCCGCGGATTTGTTGTTTGGTTGTCTTTATGGATTCCTTCGAGCTTATTTTAGGACAGTTCGGACGGAGCACAGAGTATACAGATACATATAATTTATCCCAGCTCCTTGTCTATCCAGTTGTTCGCTGCGGGGATCCATGCTGTCTGGACACTCGAAACATGCCACGCGGTCAGCCAAAGCCTATAGCAACAGTTGGCGAACACGAGCTGAGCTGAACCTTTTTCGAGCAAGTGAAATAAAGTTTGCCCTGCCGAGCCTTGGCATGCGTTAAAAAGGCTTAATCAGATGATAAGCGGATCATCCGACCATCCGACCCTCCGATGCTCCTGTCCTGACCCTCCGACGATCCGCGGCCCCACTTTTTGGCGCGACTTTCACCATGTGCCATGCGGCTCAACATGGCCACGTTGGGAAAGAAGCACGGATTTAGGCGCGATGAAGTCATAACTCCGTCGTCCTTGCTCGCTTTTCACAGTTGGAGAGTGCTCATAAACGGCTACTTAAACTCCGTCGCTCTTTATTGCTTACAATATTCTCTCTCTCATCACAACGACTCGCCTATCTACTTCCAAGCGTCTTCTTCTCTAGATACTGCGGTCATTTCAAGCTCGAAAATCAAAATACCACTGTCTCAGCCGCACCTGACGCCATGTCAACGGCCGATGCTAGCACGGACACTGTTCCGATTGAGGCGGGCCCAATTGAAGAGACCAAGGTCGCTGACCCTGAAGTCGTTGATTGGGATGGACCAGAGGACCCCGAGAATCCTCATAACTGGCCAAGCCGTAAGCGGTGGGCGCACGTTGTCGTTATTGCAATTATCTGCCTAGTTATGTATGTATTATGCCCCGTCATCCATGACGGTGCAAGGTGTTCTCGTATATTGCTTGACCAATGCTAACACGATATGCGTCTACCCGAACAGGAACATTGCACCTACCATGTGCGCTCCGAGCATCAATCTACTTGTTGCCGAGTTCAATATCCGCTCATTCGTGGTCAGCACCTTTGCGGTGACACTCTACCTTCTTGGCCTCTCAGTAGGCCCCATGTTCATCTCCCCGTTGAGTGAAGTGTACGGCCGCTTGCCCGTCTACCATATCTCCAATGTAGTTTTTGTCGCCTTTGTCGTTGGCAATGCGTTGAGCAAGAATATTGGCCAGTTTCTCGCTTTTCGTTTCCTCTCTGGATGTGCGGGAGGTACCCCCATGGCTCTTGGTGGGGGTAGCATCGCGGATGTAACTCCTATCCAACGCAGAGCAATTGCCATGGCCTTGTTCAGTCTTGGGCCACTGACTGGACCAGTAAGCCACCCTTCCATCCATCCCTCGGTCACCACCCGTTTAGCAAAAAGCAAATACTAACTACTGGCCTCGTGTGACTAAAGGTTCTGGGACCTGTTATCGGTGGCTTTATCGCTGCTGGCAAGGGCTGGCGCTGGATCTTTTGGATCCTGGCGATCATAGGGGCTGCCGCCACGATTACTGGATTCGTCATTCTTCGTGAGACACACCCCGGAATTATTCTCGAACGCAAAGCCACTCGTCTTCGCGAGTCTACAGGCAACCCACATCTTCGATCAAAGCTTGCCCGTTCCCAGTCACCACGCCAGCTCCTTGCTGCCGCTCTTATTCGGCCCACCAGGCTTCTGATTCGCTCGCCAATTTTACTGATTATCTCTCTCTATGTGGCTCTTGTTTTTGGCCTCATGTACCTGCTCTTCACAACCTTCACCGACGTCTTTGAAGGCGAGTATGGCTTCACAACATCCACCTCTGGCCTAGTCTATCTTGGACTTGGAGTCGCCCTGGTTATCTGTATGCTCCTCTTTGGCGCTCTCAACGAGCGAGTGCAAGCTGCGTGCCTAAAAGCAGATGGTGCTACACAGCCCCGGCCTGAGTATCGTCTCGTTCTCATGATCTTCTTCAGTCCCTTGGTTGGTGTAGGCCTGTTCATCTACGGCTGGACAGTACAGTATAGAGTTCATTGGATTGTTCCCATCATCGGCACTATGGTGATGGGATTTGGAGCCTTCTTCGTTCTCGTGAGTTTCACTTCTGCCATCAATCCCTCCTGGTCGTTATCAACACTAACAAATCCCACCAGATGCCTGCCCAGCTATACCTGGTCGACTTGTTTGGCTCTGAGGCTGCCGCTTCAGCCCTTGGAGCCAATAATCTTATGCGTTATCTGTCAAGTACGTTTTTGCCACTAGCCGGACCTAAGATGTATAAGACTTTGCACTACGGCTGGGGTAACACACTACTTGGCTTTCTTGCCCTTGCTTTTGTCCCAGCTCCGATCCTTTTCTACAAATACGGCGAATGGCTCCGTGCTAAAAATGTCGTCAAATTGTAATTATTGCTTAAACTTTGCCGGAGACTTGTAACTCGTGGGAGTGGGCATCTAGAATGGCGTTATTATAGGTTAAATTAGTTAGGTAGCTCTAACGACTTAGTTGCATCTTTGCTCCTCTTTTCTGCGCCCTCTCCTGTTACCAGAATGCGCAAGGTAGAAATAGTAGTATCCATTTTTACACTGGGGAGGTACAGCATTAGCCTGTGTTATGGCTATCACTCGGCCCCTACCACGCTGTGGTACCCGAATAGCCATGTGCCTGAAGTCCGCGCACACTCGAGGAGCATGGGATCTTCCAATGATTTTGATCACATAAATTATGTAACTACTCGGCCATCATTTTTCGATATTTCCCTGCATAAGTTCACGAGGCGGATATACGAGTGCGTTGTAGAATCCACCGTCCGGACTGAGGCAGGTATCAACACCATAGCTCCGCCAGCTAACTCCTGAATACCACGCAGCACCATGAATATCTGCATGGAAGTGGAGGAGTGGAGAAGGGATAACACCGTCGAGCCGCTCTGGTCCGGCCAGGGATGACCTCGAGAGAGAGAGAGAGTATTGTGCCGGATTTCCATAGGCTAGTAGATCCTTCAGGAGCGACACCATTTCCGTAAGAAGAGATCTCTACGCAGAACCATGACATGTGTGAGTTCAGACACGAGGAAGCCATGCAATGTAACAACCACCGAGATCCCAAGCCTTGTCCATCGTAGCCTGGTAAAACATCAGTCTCGCTTCGTATGCATCTAGCTGAAGGCTAAAACATGAGGATTGCGAGTGCCTGTGTGCATGGAATCTTAGTCGATTGGCCGTGTTGCCGTCTTTCCTGGCCCTATTAATAGGCTGGGAAGTTATTGTTCACCGTAAGCTTTCTTTTGTCCAGTCCAGGAGAAGAGCTCCAGCTCGAGTTAGGCCGCAAGTTGTGATGCCGCTTCCGCTATATCAGTCAGACTACTCCCACTGCTCAGGAGATTGGAATTGTGCACAGCATCCCCAAAAAACGAGGTCATATCTTCACGAGACATAACTACGCCTCTCCACAACCATAACTAACTACATATCAACGATCAGTCGTGGAATAGCGGAGCTCGAGCCGTAGCATCGTGAGGGAGGAAAAAAGAAAGAAAGATTATCCGTATTCAACGAACTAGTCAGCCATCCCTTTGCCTTCCAGCTTGTCAAGCGTTTTCATACCAAGCCGCACGTTGATCGTCCCGACCTCTGGGAAGCCCCTGTTCCGCCATGAGCACCACTAACATCACGCCGCCACTGCGAGCATCATGCGATCGATGCCGGGCCCAGAAGCTGCGGTGTGTGCCGTCATCGACCTCGGACGCCACAGCGCCATGTCAAAGATGTTTGAGGGCAAAGTCGCCGAAATCATGCATATTTAGCCAGCGTCTGCGGACGGGACGGTCCGTGAAAACTGGGACCGTAGAATCCCGCCAAGCTGCCACCCGCAGAGAGAAGGAAAAGTCGCCTGGGCTGCCCGGGATGAGTGCCTTTGCGTTATCCACTCCACCACCGTCAGAATGCGCAGCCGCCGGGAAGCAGAAGAAGATGAATGAGGCCCATCGTGGGCCAGCAAAGCCATCTCGCAGTAAGAGGCAGTTGGAAGGAATGGACCTTGGATGTGAAGACATTATATTGCCACCAACAAGCGCAGCAAAGGAACCCCTAGGCACTCGCACACCTGTAGAGTTTTGGGATGTCAACAGCAATAACACCCCAATACTGCAGCCTGCTGATTTCATCTTTGATGCAGATGAGTTCACAGGCTCTCCAGAAATGATATCCGACTATAGCTTTGACGCCAATCCGCATCTAGATATTCAGGATTTTTTGCCCCCTTTACCGTATCCCACACCCGTCGGCCTGGAAATGGAGATGGATATGCTGATGGCTGAAAAGCCAGGCCCTCTGGTTGACCTGACAGCGCTTCTGGCGAAGATGTCGCATTATGAAAGCCAGCTACCGAAGTTACCGGGAGGCGATTTGGACAATTATCCCATTGGTGACGCCCTCTTCCTTTCCCAGCGGTTCTTCACAGTGCTATCCGAGCATAACCCTGTTAATTCGATAGGGAAAACCTCGCACCTTGATATGCCTACAAAATTACTCACCTTATCCTGTTATATGACCCTAACTCGCATCCTTATATCCGTATTTGGATACCTCCATGGTCGACTCTGTCAGCTTCAAGAGGTGAACTTCCAGAATGACGGCATGGGGCACTCTGTCTCTTCCTTGACGGATATGCATGCATACCGCGGCCTTCGCCTAGGCCAGATTCAACCAATCTGCGCGTGTGCGGGAAAGGAATCGGCCACTCGGGTGAAGAAAGCAGTATCAATGTTGTTAGCATCCCTTGGGGGTGCTGAAGGGAGGTTAGGTTTGCCGCCAGACGTGAGAGTGATACCCGATGTTCAAGTAGATACCAATCTTGGCCGAGGAATATCCACATTGCCCGATCAAGGGGACGAGATGATGGTACTCGAGGATGGCTTGCTCGTCGGGCTGACGAATAGCCGCCTACACAAGGTGGTAAGAGAACAGGCGAGAGAGCTGCGAGAGAAGGTAGATGAGGTTTACGACGTTTTGAAGGGGTTATTGGAGATATAGGCAACTAAAGGTTGGTCAGCGAACCACTTATCAGGAGATATTAGTTATACCATTCCAATAGACTCACCTCAGATTAGCTATAGCTTTTCCATGATTGTATACGACCATATACTCTGCACATAAATGTGAATATATATTTATACAGAAGCCACCATTTGATCAACAGTAGAATCACCTAAATCAATGGAGGCTAGACATGCAAATGAGTAGTTAGTATATTGAAGAAGATCGAGTAATAGTGCATAAACCAGAAAGTAATCTACGTGCGTCACTCCATACATTCACCATCAATTGGTACACAGAACGGGTTCCCCAGGCCAACACGGCGAGGGTCCAGCAACAATCCCAACATCTGAGATGATACATGTTGATGCTATGCTGCGACATGTCGTACGATTCGGAAGAAATACCGGCAATTCGGAGCTTCTATTGGGTATATCAGTCGATTTGGTTGTTCTCCGACTCCGGGTTCGGATTCACGATAGCTCAAATGGGAAGTCTCCGATGCTCTATATGTAAATACTCGACCCAGCACCAGCATGAGAAATCAAGGTGAGGAGCAGTTAGAAAACAAGTGCAGCCTCTATATGAAATTGTTAGTTTCCTCTAGCCACCTCACCACTGGGTTTGTTTAACGAGGGAGCTATAACTATGCCGCCCCAATCCGTGGTAATTGTATGTAAAAGCCCTTTGATAGCTATTTATTCCGATGAGCTAATGAGCAATAACTGGCACAGGTTGGAGGTTCAGTTGCAGGGTTGCTACAGGGACTACAACTCAAACGCAGCGGTAGTAATGTCATCGTGCTCGAGCAAGACCCTTCCAAAGACCGCCACAGTCATGAATCGGGGGTATCGATCGGACGAACTGTGGTGCACTTGCTGGATAAATACGATGCAACAGGACGACCAGCTGCAATTCCGGCAAAGTACTTGAGTGCTGCATGGCACAAATGGCTCAGGGTAGCGAATACTCACTGGCCACACAGTATGAGCAACTGGGGATGTCTATACCTGATTCTGAGAGCGAACTTCGACGGCTTGAAATCTGAGACGGTTCCAAACCCACCACAGCCACGCAAGGGAGATGGGAAAGTGGAGTATTGGCCTGGAAAGCGCGCGACAGGACTGAAATATGATCGCGATGCCGGTAAGGTGCACCTCCAGTATGTGGATGTGACAACCGGTGAAGATGGAACTGTGAGCGCAGACACCATTATCGCAGCAGATGGGGTGCACTCCACGATTAGGAAAATATTGCAGGTACCGACACGCAAGGAGTATGCAGGGTATATTGGCTGGCGTGGCACTGTGTCAGAAAGCTTGCTGTCTGAGCAGACAATCGAATACTTTTCCAATCGACTAAATTTCACTGTTATGAATGGCACTTATTTCATAAGGCGAGTCATATCGCTCGATCAATTGTGGATGCCCGCTGACACGGTTTAGTTACTTTATTCCAACGGAGACTGGACATGTTGAACCTGGCAAGCGTCTGATCAACTGGGTGTGGTATTATGTTCTTCCCGACGGATCCCCCGAGATGGATACCATCTTTACCGACATACATGGCAAGGTACACCCCAACACGGTTCCTCAGGGGCTTGTCAACCCTGGCGTCTGGGCTTCTCAGGTGGCGCGATACCTCCCACAAATGACGGCTCCACTAGCTGAGGTGGTTAGCAAAACACCTAGGCCGTTCGTAACGAAAGTGGGAGAAGCGCAATGCTTTACGCCCAGCTTCTACGATGGGCGTGTTGTCCTTGTAGGCGATGCTTTCACAGGCTTTAGGTCTCATCTGGGGATGGCATCCGAACAGGCTGCTCGCCATGCTGTGCAAATGGACAAGGTCTGGCGGGGAGAGATGACCATGGAGCAACGCGACCGGGAGGCAATTTTATACGCGAAACGCTTCATTTTATTGAATAGGATGGTTGGATGGACGGGCCTAGGATGGGTATTTTCCCTTTTCACCGCAATGGCGAGTTATGCGTGGCTGGCCATTCAGCAGGGGCTGGGTATTGCGTAAGTAATTGACAGATCTCCATGTCTCCGAATAAGCGTCTACCAGCCCATAGCATCCATAAAGTCCAGTTTGGTTACGGAGTACTGTGAGCAGCTTCCCACTCAGTAGCAGTCAGATTTTTACCTGAACAATGGCAGATATATCCGTACGAGTTTGGAATGGGGCGATTGTCTAGGTTACCATGTCCCCTGGCTCTTTAGCTGACTCCTTTATATGTACTCCGTACTCCGTAGTTAGCAATGCAAGGCAAAATGTGGGGGTATACTCCGTAGATCGTGTCAATAACCCCGTGATACGACCTCTGCATGAATAATATCTCGAAAACACGACTGTCTCGTGCTAAATAGCATCAAATATCGCAGTGTTTGCTTTGCGGCTTTAAAGGGGGAAAACGTCTAAGCGCGAGGTTAAAAGTTTAAATTTAAGCTTCAACGAAATAAGAATGGCTGGGATACGCTAGGCCTAAAGGGGGGGAGAAACGTTAAGTCACGTGCAGATTACTCAGCATAACTTGTCCCCAGCCACCAAGAAAAACAACATCGAAAGATCTCGCGATGGCGGGAGAAGAAGCCTTTTGTTTCGTCTGAATGGTTGCTTAAACAGGGGGGCTGGGGAGGTGGCAGGGGAGATAGCCTCAGGGCTTTACCCATATATTGCCGCTGCGGTCGTACATTTGTTCTACTCTCTTTTTCCATCTTCCTTCTCCTTCCATGTCGGCCTCCAACTTTCCCTTCTATATACACCCATTGTTTATCCCGAGTACGCTGCCATAGTATACCTGGTGAGTTCCCCACACTGTTCGCTAACCGTACAACCTGGGTAATTCTAACTGTCAGATAGATATATATTACTTTTTATCTACTTCTTTATATATCATTCCACACTTTTGAGGACAACCTATACCGCATCCTGCCTTCATATTTACCAAGACGCGGATATAAAGGCATCCCGCTATTCCTACTACGAACCAACGTCCATCGAACAGCTGCTCACTGGCTTTATTGAGCCTAGCCCATCGGCAAGCGAAAAAATGGTTCAACGAAATGTCACAATCGCCATTATTCTCATTGTACTATTCGTCCTCCTTGCCGCAGTCGGGATTGTAATCTTCTACATCAACAGCCGTCTGGGTTGGTTCGCACGAGCAAGAGAAGTAGACGAAGAGCAATAACACCGACTACTTCCCATGAATCAAACGGATGGAAAGACCCCTTGATAAATCTACGAAATCGAATGAGGAGGGAAATACGATATATCACGTTGATGCATTTATGGTATCACGACTCTCTTATGCATGAGTGCAAATTCCAGGCGTTAAAGAACGGTTAAAGGGTAGTTTTTTTTTTTTTTTTTTTTTTTTTTTTTTTTTTTTTTTTTTTTTTGAGAAATTATAGGTCTACAATGGGTGTTTGCTACGTGGGAAGAAAATTTAAGGCATTTTTCACCTTGTTTGTGTTTTTCGTTGGTCTAATGGAATTGAAGCCCGAGGATTTTATTAAATGCCCACGCTGTGGGTATTTTTGTTTTACTTCTTCTCGCCTTAACTATATACATCAACGGCGGGCCGGGGGAAAAAAAAAAAAAAAAAAGATAACGAAAAGGAAAGGGGAATTTCACAAGTCGGCCGTCTCTAATACATGTTTCTTTAATCCATAACTTCTACCGTTTTCAATAATTAAGCAGGCTCTGTATAAAAACGACAGGAAATGCGTATTAATGTGTCTCTCGCGAGTCTTGTTCTTTGGGGGTATACTGTATCTGTGTTTTAGGGGATGCTTCGACCCTATCGGAGCCGCTCCCATCCGTGGGGCCCGAGGCGTTTGACAGTCGGTGTGGAGGGGCTACACCTTCGCTAGCTTGTCCACCAGACTGCCTGGCGGCGCTTCCTGATGCCGGGGGAGTAGCTGGGGTTCCAGAACTGACCGGGAACACGGGTCCGCGAGGAAGGGTCGGGGACAAAACTGAATTAGATCGATTCTGCGGGGTAGAGTATGGTTCAAGGGCAGGTGGATGATTCCAGGAATATCTAGGAGATGAGCTGCCTGGGCTGGAAAACCTATTAGGCGGCTGATCCTCATGCGGTCGTGGGCGTTTGGGTGGACGGAAATATTCAGCTGGTTCAATCGGCTCTCTGTCTTCGTTCCGGGGGGATTGTCTGGCAGGGGACGGTGGAGGATGGGGATGTCGTTGGAATGGCGGCTGGTGTTTTGGTGATGTTGAAACTGGAGGTGGGAGCTGATTGCTTCTCTGAAGAGGAGAAGCAACTCGTGTTGAATAGGGCTGGCGAGGTATACTAGGTAGGGCCGATACTTCGGTGTTAGTGTTATCTAGACCACCCACACCGCTTCGCCCCATGGATCTATCGTGCATTACAACACGCTGCCATTTAGCTACAAGGTTGTCGTAGTCCCATTTCGACGACTCAGGCGAGTGTATCCGGCTATCATGCCTGTCAAGTTCCCTGGCGATATCAGGGGATATGGGCAGTAGGTTCGGCGGGAAGATAGCGAATTCCCTTGGCCATTGGCAAGATGCAAGCTTCTCGACCTGCGCACGCAACTGATTGGCTTCCTGCTGTGTGCGGTGTAGCTGAGCCTCAATCTTCTTCCGTTTCTCAGCTTCTCGTGCAAAGGCACGTACTATCTCAAGATGCCACAGCTCCCGTTGGGCCGCAGGTGAAAGCTCCATCCAATTCTGCAGGGACAGCTCAAGATGCCGGGGGATAATCTCCTCATGCTGATAGGCTACTTTTTCGATCATACCTGCATCATGGCTTGATGATTGGCTTTGGTGTGACGAGGACGAGGACGACGCAGAGTTAGCTGCTGTGAGCTGGTCGTATTTCCATTGGTGGACCTGGGCGCGCAATGCTTGCTGTACTATCTCCCGCTGGTTCACGCTCGGAGGGTCAATAGGGAATGAGTTGGGTGACGGGAATGGGTGGGTGGAAAAGAGGCTCGGCGGGTGCGGTAATGCCTGGAGGCACAGGGCAGGAAACGTTTGCGATTGGAGGTCAAAGTCGAAAGGAGAGATGGACTGGGTATGGTTGCTGTTGTGAAACCGGGTCAGAAACAATTTCAAGCTAGATGTACGAACGATAAGATCGATTGGTGTGGTGAACTTACGCTGCTGCTTTCACACTATCTAGGACCTCCCTCAATGCAAGCTCCAGAGCTCTTGTAGTCTCGGTTGAGTTCGAGCTAGTAAGACGATTCGATCTCTCTAATGAAGTAGAAGGAATCCTTAATTGTGAAACCGGGGAGGAATTGGGAATGTCGTTGATGACGCCGGTAGCATGCCATGTTGGCTGGTTGATTAAAAGTCGATATGGCTTGCCTGCACCACTTGAGTTGAGCTGCAACGGAGCGACAGAGTGCGGATCTGGACCCGTAGCAGTAGAGGCCGCACCTACTGCGGCCGCGGACCCAGAGGCAGGCCCTGATGCAGTCGAGACCTCCGGACTGTTCTGCTTTGTCCCACCGCGCGCTGTTCGCCGAGTGATACTGCTGCGAAGCTGTCTGATTTCTTCCACATTGTGCACCCCATCCGGCTTCTTCTTGTAGAGGTACTGGTCCAGATGGCGGCCGAGGGAGGACGAAGTAAAGGTCTGATTGCAGTATGGACACTGCTTGTTCTTGACGGCCAGGGCCTTGGGTGCTGCAGAGGTTTCTCGCTCGTCCTTGGAGACATTGGGGTCCCTCACCTCTTCCCCCCGCGCGGGAGACGTCTCTTCCATAGCTCTAAATCGTCTGGCTCATCGAGGTAAGGCGAACAGACAGCTAACTAAGATAAGGGGGAAGGGTTAAAAAAAAATATGGCGAACGGGAAGCGACAGTCGATGGTGGAAGAAGATGAAAAAAAAAAGCGAGAGCTGGCGCAACTTTCTCGGCAATTCGGGTGAATAAGAGAGCTCTCACCTAACGTACAGCTGTTAGCTACATATCCTCCGGACTCCCCAGGGCTTGCTCGATGCCTCCTCTGCCCGTGGAGGCGATGTGAGATTGCTTACCTGCCAGCAACAAAGCCGCGCGACAGGTTTTGCCGTGGGCGCATGCAAGGCTATCGCATGCGTATATAACAACCCGATTTATCACCACCAGGAAAAAGCAAGCAATGAAGCTAGCAGACAGGAATAAAAAGGCTGAAAAAGCATAAAAAAACATAAACCCTCCTGGGATAATTCGGAGTAAAGAAAGGCATCTGTCCCTGAGGTCGCGGTCAAGGAGTGTTTGCTGCTGCCAAATATAATAATAATGGGCAGCGAGAATGCGAAGCGCCGGCGGTAAAAGCCGAAGAATCTGGGCCAGAAAGCAAGCCAATAGCAAGCCAACAGCGGAGGAAGAGTGGAATATCTTACTATCGGGCCCCAGAAATTATGAAGAGGACCAAAAATACAGAGCCAAAAGAATTATATGGATTAGCAATAGTGACAAAAGTAGAAAAATAAATATACAGGCGAGGGAAAGGCGATGGATGCTTGCTTCTGCGGTCGTTGGGAAGAAGCAAATAAGCGTATATATGCAAGCACTCAAGTATTCCAGGCCAATATGAAATAAAAGAACCTGTTGCTCTGCTGTCTTTGCTTCTTCTTCTTCGTTCGCCGAGCAGGTCAACAAATCGGAATCGCATGGAAGGGGTCCCGCGGGTGAGACGGTAGCTAAGGAGGGCCTGCCAGACACGATGCAGGGAAGAAGCAATGAGCGACGGCCAGTAGAGCGTAGAGAGCAGTTGAAGGCGGCGGGTTCTGCTGGATGGGAGAAGCGCCTGAAAGAAGGGCTGTCGTGGTCGACCGTTTGGCCTCGATGGAGTCCGTAGCTGGATGTGATAGAGCAAGTCCATAGTGCGTTCCATGCAGAACTGACGGGTCCGGGAGTGTGAAGCCGGGGGGACCCTGGTCAAGGAACGGCGATGCGATGCGATGCGCTGCTGCGATGGGTGCCGTGAGCGAGAGTGCATGCAGACGGACATATCTTTTCCCTTCCCTTCCCGCGAGGTACATACATATGTCCATCCGCACTCCGTACATGCATCCGGACAGACAGGCCTCCCGTTCGATGTATGTACGTCGATGCATCTCCACCAGTGGAAAGACTCTTTCCCGCACCGCTCAAACACCGCCATACGCTGTGATTGCGGGTAGGCTTTTTTAGGGGCTGGGCATGCATGGGAAACAATGCATATCAACCGAGTTCGTGCCTGAGCGCGTCGCGATCTTCTCAATTTCGAACTCACATCATCGTAGTGGACTCTCTGGCGCTGCTGGCTGACGAGACTTGGTGGCGGCACTCTGCTCGGGATTTCCCGTCAACTCCCTGCGTCTCTCAGTCTCCTTCCGTCTCCCCCATGCGTCGACAGCCCGTTGTCGAAAAGAAAGAAAGAAGATATGAACCATCACAATCATGAGATGTGTTGAGCAATTAAAGCGCCATTCGTCTGGGGATACTATGTTTAATAGCGTGGTGGAAAGGGGCCTTGACTTTGTGACTAAAGGGCGAGGACAGGGGGGAAACCAGACAAGAACCTGGCCTATCTTCATCGATATCGTCGGCGTCCCCGTTCGGTTCGATCGCGGGGCCTTTTTTATCTCCCTTGCTTTCATTCTTCATATTTCTTTGCTGCTCTGTTGCTTTGTTGTTTCTTTTCTTTTTCACCCTTCCGTGGGTCTAATTTCAGCCATTGAGGACTATGGGAGGTCCGATCTCAAGGGGGCAGATATGCACATATGCCCGAGTTTCGATGCGCCGGATGCCCTGACCAGGTACTTGTGACGGGTTACACGAGGAGCACATAGTGCTGTACGAGGAACGGACTGGATCTCTTGTGTATGTGAAATACACCCTCGACTGTGGCTATCATTGGCACAGAACCTTCGATTCGCGCTGTGCGTCTTGACTTGTTGCACCGCCTAGGGCTGGGAATTAAAACGGTTGCTTGGTTGAGACTTGTTGACCAGATTCGGATGCTAGATGTATACGAACGGCACAGAGTGCCTTTGATACCCCACGGAGACCCCCACTGCCTTGCTCTCCTATATTGAGCGCAGCTGAACAGATACCCTTTAAGGTACGTGCAGTTTACGGCGGGCGTGGAGGCCGGCCGGCGTCGTATTATTCCCAGAAAAGGGACCAGATTATGGGGAGAAGAGGTCTGATACCATATACACGGCGACTCGTAACGCCGATTCACCAAGGATCTCGGGCTTCACACTTGTCCCAGCCATCAGGAATCACATCCCATGTGGGCAGCTGCTAGCCCTGTGACGTAATGATTCGAATTCAACCGATTGGGCCTGACGGCTTCATCTGTCTCACGTTCAAGTTGACTCGTTTGGCAGCCATCCAGCCGCTCCACTGCTGGAACCTACCACCTCCTTTTTTGCTCGCATCGCCAGGCCAGTCCTGCAGCCAGCTTGGACAAGTATCTGGTAGGATTCTAGGAACACCATGCCAAGACACCCTGGATGCGCCGCCCATGTAGACTGCGTCGCCTGAGCGGAGCCTGATGACGGCCAAGTTCGAATTATCTGCATGGCTGACCATGAAGAGGCCATCGCAGCCAAAACTGATGCTTATCAAGCCAGTATCACATTCTTCACTGACATCCCTGTGGATGTGTAGCGTGTCTCCCGGAGAGTAGACGTTGACGATTGCCGCCTCGGGCTGGGTAGCTGGAAAGATACCCTGAAGTAGATGAGATATGTCCAAAGGGAATGGCGGAGGCGGACCGGCGGGATAGCACTTCTTAGTCCAGTCGTACTGGCCGCCAAGCGTCATCCACCGGAGTTTGCGGTTCAATATCGCCTGAATGGTGAGCGGGGTGTGCACGGAGCTATCTTTGGGCGAGATGGAGCGGCTCAGTGAATCCTCAAAAAAGGACGGCTTGTCACCGGCCTGTCTAATCCCAGGCAAGCATGAGGCGTCTGGGTAGGTGACGTTATAGTGTAGGTGGAGGTTGGTCTGGTGCCGCTGGTCTGATAAATCACGATGTAGTAGCCTCGACAGCAGCTCAACCTGGACTCCCGGAGGAAGAATTGAAGGGATAATCTCAAGGCCTGCCCCATGGATAAGTTAGTCCTTGCTCGTCCGCCTGGGATTTGCCCTGTTTCTAGCTGCTGACTTACCGGGTACGTCCCGATGCGTATAGACAGGTAGCGGCTCAACCGCTGGCTGGGGAACGCCCTGGACGTCACATCCCCCCATGAACTGGCTAAATGCAGCTTCAAGTGGCCCTTGAGTAAGCCATCTGTCTAGCGATATGCCATCAGGAAGGGTGTCGCTGTCGCCATCTCGCCGCAGATCAATTATCGCGGGGTGCGAGTCGATATCAGGGACCTTCAACGCACGATAAGCCTTGTACTGCTGCCGCAGCCTGGCTGGAGGGTGTTCATGGGCATCTAAACCCCCAATGGCACCCATCCCCGGTGCTACCGCTGCACCAATACTTCTTCTTCTTCCTCTTCTTATTCTCTGTCGTTTTTGTCTTTCTCGTTTTGTGTCTTTCTGGTCTTTGATATTTTGATATTTCTTTTTCTTTCGGTCGTTGAAAATATGATTATGTAATATCTAGTCACGTGCTTATGTTACAAATACATGACTAAGCAGTGCTGACTCATATATATGACTAAACAAGGATGAGTAATTTTCCAATATTAAATTTACTATTGGGTGAAATATGGCTAATTTGTCATTGGATAATTATTTTCAACTTGCGTTTTTATTGGCAGAATCTCGCGTCGCTTTTGTTTGTTTGTTTTTCGCTCCTCGCCCAAAGATAAAAGAAAAAGAAAATCAACAAGAAAAGCAGAAGGAAAACACGCAAAGCAGGACATCTTGAACCGCCACCAAAGGACAAAAGACAGACAAGAAGATAGCAGAAAAAGACAATCAAGAGGCAGAGACCAGACCACAGACGAGAAAATACCGGGCAGTAACGCTGAAAAATGGAATAAATAGCGTTGTGCAGCGACATCAAATTCCCCGCCGTGTCTCGAGAGCTTGACTCCCCCCTTGATATTCTTCGAAAGATACACGAAACCCGCGTCGCTGATCTACTCGCTGCCACTTGTGAGCCAGTTATTAGCCGTGTGCAGTCGAATAGATATTCCAGTTGTACTGATACCCGGTCTCCGCGCTTGCGTTGATCTGGTGGAGGAAGATGGAGAACTACCAGAAGATAGAGAAGATTGGAGAGGGTATATCTGCTGCTATATCTAATACTAGAGGGACACGTTCACTGACTCATTTTATATAGGAACATACGGTGTTGTTTACAAAGCTCGAGATCTATCCAATCATGGCCGGATCGTTGCGCTAAAGAAGATTCGACTCGAGGCAGAAGATGAAGGCGTTCCGAGCACAGCAATTAGAGAAATATCCTTGCTTAAGGAGATGCACGACCCAAATATTGTCCGGCTATTTAATATTGTTCATGCAGACGGACATAAGCTCTATCTCGTCTTCGAGTTCCTCGACCTGGATCTAAAGAAATATATGGAAGCTCTGCCGGTGAGCGAGGGTGGCCGCGGAAAAGCCCTGCCGGATGGATCCCATGAGATGAGCAGGCTGGGTCTCGGTGAAGCCATGGTGAAGAAGTTCATGGCCCAGCTTGTGGAAGGAGTCCGATACTGCCACACCCATCGCGTGCTCCATCGAGATCTCAAACCTCAGAACTTGCTTATTGACCGGGAGGGTAACCTTAAAATTGCAGACTTTGGCCTTGCCAGGGCTTTTGGTGTTCCTTTAAGAACATATACACATGAGGTGAGTCCCTAGGGGTTTACTCAAAGATTTAATGGCCTATGTACTAAGAATTGACGGAATAGGTTGTCACCCTGTGGTATCGTGCCCCTGAAATTCTCCTGGGTGGCCGTCAGTATTCTACAGGTGTCGATATGTGGTCTATCGGTGCAATTTTCGCTGAGATGTGTACTCGACGACCTCTTTTCCCAGGTGATTCGGAAATTGATGAGATATTCAAGATATTTAAGTACGCTTAGCTTACTTGCCGATTAAATCTACTCATTCGACACTTAACTAATAATTTATATAGGTTACGTGGTACTCCTGACGAACGGATCTGGCCAGGCGTAACATCGTTCCCTGACTTTAAGACATCATTCCCAAAGTGGAAACGAGAAGATATTCGCAAGTTAGTGCCTGGTTTGGAAGAGAACGGCCTCGCGCTGCTAGATGCTATGCTTGAGTACGATCCCGCACGCCGCATATCAGCCAAGCAAGCATGTATCCACCCATACTTCCAGGCATGCAGCTCTGCATACTCAAGCCGCGGCCGAACTCCTGTCTACCAATGATTTACGAACTCCTATTCATTTACCTCCTCCCCTTGCTGTTCCACGTCTAGTCCTCCTTTGCCCTTGCTCCTAGCGTACCTCCGTCTATATTCTTAACAAGGAGGAAACAATATGTCCCATCTGCAAGATGCTCAACCTTCTAGATCTCAGACGAAGTATTGCTGCTGTAAATAATAATAATAGTAACCAGAGTAAATCGTCTCCTGCATATTTAATGTTGTCTTGGCGGCTGAAGCTTGACGCGATCATTTAGCTAACAACGCCGCAATAAATGGTCGACCAACTACCTAGGCCGGTAGTTAATTGAACAATTTGCGACTCCATCACATCATGGAGCGATGCGCCTATCAATCTCCACTGCTTCTTCTCCTCCGTTCAGCTACAAGAGGTATACCTGTTTAGGCTGGAGAATAGGTCGTTGTCTCTCCAGCGCGGCTGTTCCATTCCTTCGCGAAAATGCTGTACAGGTTCCTGTGGGAAGTAATGGGAACATCACCCTAACGTACGTACCGCATCCCCGTTGACTGTCAAAAGAATCAAAGATAGTCCAGCTAACGCATTTACACAGTATCCTGTCTCCTAAGGCGGAATCAAAGTCCAATAGCTCGAATCTCATACTCTACCTCCCTCCCGGCCCCCTTTTTGACCGGTCACAATACACCAAAGGCCATGGTTCTACGGGTACAACGAGTACATCAAACAGTTCCTCTGTTGCAAAGCAGAATACTTTCACATTGTTACCAGAAGAGAATCTGGCAGTAACTACTCTATGTACTACTGTGGTGGTGAAATACCGTCTTGGAAGAATACAAGTGGCCGGAATCCGAAAGACCTACAGGTATCCTACGCCAGTGCACGATACATTGGCTGGACTTGACTGGGCAAAGAATCAGTTTCAGCCAGATAATGTCTTTGTTTTTGGGAGACATATCGGTGGCTCGTTGGCGCTTATGTTGGCGCTAACCGAAGCTCGGGGACTCAAGGGTGTTGCAGCAGAAGAGCCAATATGCGATTGGGTTGGCTTAGACGATTACTGCATTACAGATATCGAAAAAGCAGGGCCTGATACGGAGAAGCCTGAGATAGAGCAACATAAAGAATCGGCACGGAAACGCGGCCGGAAGAAAAAGGAGCCTCTACCAACACCAGCGGACCTTGTACCTCTGCTTGATGCAAGGCGCCGACTCTTCCCTACCCCGGAGAAGTACTTTGATTCTTTCGCGTCTCCAACCCTTTTCCTCCGAACTTCAGGAAAATATATACCTTTGGTGTTTCCGCCTTATCTGACAGGGCCGGAGTATCCCACACCTGTTCTAAAACGGCAGCCCAAGACTGAAGCGGACGCGTTATACATGACGGATTTACTTACTTCGTCACCGTCGGAAAACTCAACGAGCACAGATGACAGAGAAAATATATCAGACAAGTCTCTCACGTCACTGATCAAACCTGTACGTAAACGAAAAGTGATATCGCGCTGGCCGCCCTCGGGACTGGATTATGGGCTGGAAGCTTATGAAGCGCAGAATCGATGGGTTAAACGGGAAGAAACTGTGCTCCCAGATGTTCGGATATTCGTCCGTGATGAAGATCTGTATGCAAAAGAGTTGGAAAATCAGGATAAGGCTACGAGTTTGGATAGCAGTATCAATACCCAGATGGAAGCTTTGAAGCTGGACGGTTATTCGAATGGCCAGGAAATGGGTCAGAATTCCCAATCAAAAGGCAAACCACGTGCGGCCACTCGATTCCGGGGATCTCTTCGAGACATAGGACCAATAAATGGTAATACTGTGCTAGCTCGCCAGGGACAAGAGATGGTTTCCCTCATGCGCAATGCTTGCTTTTGGGGCAGAAAAAGAGGAGCTGCTGAACGATGTGTGAAGCTGGTTCCAATCTTACCTCCCGATGCGGATCATATATCTAGTTCTTCCGACAATGAAGCTGCAGATTCTGCCCCTTATGAGGTAAGACCTGTTGAAGTGCAAGCTGGCCATCGCTTCATGGAGATCCTGCAGGAAAGTAAACAAGAGTAGCTGGCGAAAATATTTTAGGCACTTCAATAAGTACAATAATTCCTGCTTGGGTATCTAAATGCGATGGGTATATAAACAATAAATGCTGCTCCATATTTCCCCTGTAAATGCTCTAATTTTCAAAACATAGAACTCCGTTTCTTCGCAAGGGTATTAGGAGGAGCTCCGCTCTCTTTCTTCCGGAAGCCAAATATACTCCGTTTCTCCTTTAATTGCGATTGCTGTTGTTGAGGCTGTGGCCTTAGCCCCCCGGCTACAGATTGTGGTCTGGGTGGAGCAAACTGTACTCGCGGGTGTGGCGGAACCGGGTGATTTTGAGTCTGGCGAGGGGGCTGTGGTGGCCTAGGGTTGGCCTGCTGCTTCTGCTGCAGCTTCAGCACCTTACTTTCTTCCTTACCATAAATTTTCCGCAGTCGCTCGGTCTCCTTGTCAACTTGTGCTTGACGTTTTCTAGCCTCCTTTTCTTCGGCTTCAAGAAGCTTTTTAGTTTGTTTTTCAGCCTCCTTCTCCCTCTTGAGCCGAGCTCGTTTCTCGGCTTCAGATTGCTGTTTTAATGCATTGGCTTCAGCGTCTAGCTCCCATTGCGTGCGAGGGTCTGCAGGTGGGATGTTCTGACGAGGAGGTTGGGCGGGTCGCTGCTGTGATTGTTGAGGAAGTGGTTTTGCGGGCGGTTGAGACTTTGGTGGAGGACCAGAAACTGGAGGGTAGCCTGTTGAGCCGTTTAAAGGTCTTGAAGGTACTAGGGTGCTTGATTGTTTGTCAACTGGGCTTGTTGGGTTTGAAGGTGGATTAACTATGTTAAAAGCTTCCTTCATCGGGGCGAAGAATACATCCCGGATAACCATGGCTCCCAGCATGAGAACAATCTCCAAGCCTTTGTAGTCCTCCATCTCAACCCGGGAAAAGTTGGGCTCGTAAAGGGTGATCTCCTTTAATGCACTAAAGATGGCAACAGTGATATCTGGCTCACGGTTCTTCTTTGAGTTCCCACTAGGCCCGACAACTTTGCCAGACAAGTAACACCCAAGGTCTTTCGAGCCCATCCTACCGTCCTTTCTCCAGTTGAATCTTAATCGAGAGGTAGCGTCTGATGTTGCGGGTGTGGTAAGAGTCTTGTCAAGTTGTGACTTGGATGGTTCCCGAAACGTCTTCTGCGGCATCTCAAAGGCCCATGTGGCCGGTGTATTCCATGTCTTGGGCTTATGGCGGACTAGAACTTGTTGCTCGGGGTTGTATAATTGGATAATGAACTCGGTGGGCATGATAGGTTCTGGCGGTGGTTGTATCCCTCCATTTGCCCGGATAGCCTCTTGGGAAAATGTAGGATAAGTCCACTTGGGTATTATCAGGACCTCTCCATACAGTGCATCAGGACAGAAAGCATCGTATAGTGCAATAGCGTAACGATTTCGGGATGTCTGCAGTTCAGGGTCCAGGTGTCGGACGGTGTATGCTGGCTGCGGCTCTTTTCCATGTTGAGCAACGAACAAAGTCGAGTATGACTTGGGGTTCTCCGATGATGGCTTCACAAAAAATGCTAGAACGAGTCAGTGCTAGGTAAACAATACCAGGGTAAGGGTAACCAGGTTGATGAACGGTGAATGTTGCATACTAGGGAGGTTCTCATCAAGCATCCTGGCAGTCACGTTTCGACCAACCACGCTTACGGATAGTAGCGCTTAGCAGTCTATGGCAGTTTTTTGGTAAATAGATAAAGGTGGCTGTCTCCAGTAATATCCTCGATAGCGCGAATAACATATATATACCCATCCAGAGGCATACATCCGGCTCTCTATCGACTAGAAGTTGCTGCGGCCTGTAAGCTTCGTCTCAGCCTGCGTCACGCGGTTTAGTCAGCCAGCCGCATCCGTCTTGGCGCCCTGAGTTCTATTTTAAGCCACGCGAGCCACGCAATTTTATATCAAACGAAAGACGACGACGGTGACGAGGCAGCTTGGGTATTGGCATTGGGGCCGGCCTATGGGAGTGTTACGTGGCTTGCGTGTAGGGGTAGGGGTAGAAGAGAAAGCAACTGCAGGAGGTGACAGAGTTGGAAGAAGCTACGGGGCGGTTTTATGATTGAAGAGAAGAGTCAATAAAACTAGTCATTGTCATTATTTTGCATATCATAAGTGGAGTCTATCGCAGTAAAACTGTAGAACCCATAACATAAATCATACGATATCCGACATGAAAGTGGCCGAGATGATCACTGGAGAAGATGATCCTACAAGGAATGTTAGTATGACAATCCAACATCGGATTTGAAAGGCGACATACCCTGAAATGTTTCTGACTGTTTGCTCCCTTATTGATTTTCCATTCGTACTGTCGTCGAGATCGATCAGCTCGTCGACGTTCTCTCACCTCGGCTCCACGAACCTCCTTCTTCTGGCTCTCCGAAGCACCAATCATGCCCAAACCTCCGTTAGCCCTAGAGATAAGAGCACGGTTCTTGCTGGCATTATTAGACTGCTCATCCTCCTCTTCATCAGCGTCAGGACCGGCTTCTTCAATCATACGCTGTCTGGTCAAGCGTTCTTCCGGGGTAGGATAGTTGTGCAAGTTCTGGCGGAAATATTTGGCATTGGACCTGTGGCCTGCAGTGCGCCCAGTTGGCAGGTGGAGTTCACCATCATGTACAAACGCAGCATGGCCGTGCGAATGTGCATGCGAATGAAAGCCATCTATATTACGATGCTTGCGGGGATCAGTGTTTGAGTGATGGGAATGCCGTGAGAGTTTAGAGTATTGATGTGATCGATCATCAATGGGCTCAGCGCCAATCTCAGCCGAGTCGAGTGATGAAACTGAAGTATCTGTCTCCCAGCCATCATCCTGCGCTTCCTTCCCTTCCTCGCCCCCCTCCTCTCCCTCCACCTCTTCGTCATCTGAATAGGTGCTTGTGAAATCGTAGAACTGGCCAATCTCAATCTGTTCGTCCTCTGTTTCAAAGGCAATCATGCAATGGCCCTTGTCCCTCATGTGTGTCTGCACAGCCTCTGGCGTTGCCTTTAACTTATGGCAGTAAAGGCACTCACTGTTCTTGTAGATCTTTGCTTGTAGGTATTCAAGAAGACCTTCACCGTCAGTGAGATACTCTTGTTCAGGAATGAACATGCCATGGAACTTTCCCATATGCAAAACATTGAGTTTGACATTAGGCGACTTGTAGTTGCAGAAGAAACATTGGGCAAGCGATATCTCCGTTTTTTCTCCATCTTTCTCTATCCGGTCGGTGCTCGCCTGCTCTGTCTCTGTGGTGTGGCTGGGACGGCGCGGACGAACAGGTAGTGGATCATGGGCATCAATCTTCGTACCCTTGATCCCACTAATAATTTCGGAGAACTCTTGTTCACCGGGTTCAACGTCATGCTCGCCAGTTTCGCTGCGTTCGTTGATCGGATCTCCCATGGAGAATGTACCACTCATAACCGATGCCGTCTCGTCCTTTCCACCCTCTCTACGCAGCATGGCCTCTCGCTGCCGGTGTTTCTGGCTTCCTACATGGTTTTGGAATGCATTTTCGCTATAGTATGTCTTCTGACATGCAGCACAAGACTTTTCATAGGTGGCTTTGGCGGCAGCAGCGGAGTTGGATGCCTGGGCATTCAGCACCTTGTCGGTAAAGACCTCGGATGATATGGGGGGCAGAGTAGCAACACGACGCTTTAAATTGTATCGACTGTAGAAACACCTTGGGTTAGCCTTCGTCTGAGACTGTAGACACTAAATTTGCTAGCACTTACTGCCAGTCACTTCGCATATGGCCTCTCTGCGCTTCGCTACTGCGAAAGGCCACCTGGCAAGTGTTGCATGTGTATGGATGGGTCTCCATATTGCTTCACAACTGAAGTAAATATCCTCAAGAGTTGTCTTTGCTATTCTTTGGCTGTATCTGATATGGCGGGGTGGGAGGGCTGGTATAAAACTTCGACGAAGATCGTGTGGGTAACAGAGTGTCCAGGCTAACAAAGACAGCAGCTGAAAGCCCTTATATACAGCTGGTATTCCGTTCTGTCCCGCAAGGCTTCCTCCTCGATAGTCCCGGAGTTGCGGTTGATATCAAATTCGCATCTCCCGGCGTCGCTCTGCTTATCAAGCGACCTTTTTTTATTTGTGAGGCGAAAAAAACAGAAAGCCAAAAAAGTATGACGTTGTGCCGATCACTTTCCCCTTTTGGGGTTGGCTTGGACGCTTGGACGGGCCCGTCTTAATTTCGACCTTCGACGTCAAGAAAAAGAAACAACAACAGCCAACAAGCAGCAAAAGGCCGGGCGACAACGAACGATATATGAACGGGACACCAGCCGTGGAAGGATGCTAAGGCAGTGCAAATAGCTTGCTATAAGAGACGCTGCGACGGAACGGACGGACCCGGACATGTCATAACTCTTGCGCAGACAAGATGACGAGGCTGCAAGGGGCGGCGCATGGGAACTGCGCAGCAGAGAGGACGGCTTACCACCATGCTAGGTTGCCATCAGGGGCTCCGGAGGTGATCTCAAGGCATACAGTGAACGTCTTGGACCCTTCGAGAGTGCTGTCTTGGGCCAAAGAGGAGCGGCAGCGGACCTTTAACCATCTCGTCAAGAGGTGAGGAACCCTTGATCCTCCCCCCCCCCGCTCTCCTTCTTGCGATCACCCACATACCGTCCTTCTTACTTCTAAGTTGGATATCCGACTGCATATAAGAACTCATTGCTAACGCTTTACCGGAAATAATTACAGGTACAAAGCACAGCTGCTCTATGGTTGCCAGGAACCAAATTGCATGACCCCTACGTGCCTTAGTTTCCGTCGTCGAAACACCAAAGCCCCGCTGCGCAGGTTTACAGATCTCAGTGCTAGAACAGTTGCATGCTATTTAGCAAGCCAAGATGACGCGGAGTCGGGCCTCTGCCACTATCCGTCAGCAGCGGTGTCGACCTCACTTGCTCCGGACGTGGAACGTAAAACCCGGCAATCTTGTTCCTACGTTAACGCGGAATCCTCTCGCTCACAATCGCATCAAAGAAGCAACAGCGCCCTTGGGAATAGGCCAAGGAGGCCTTCCGGCTCACCTCCGACCACGCTAGATACAACGCCGGCAGTCCTAGAAAGCAGTTCGAAAACAAGAAAAGATCCAAAGTCGTTTACGCAGAATCTCTTTGACACCCTGTCATTACGAATGGTGGAATGGCTACCGCTTAAGCGAACGACATTCTACGGAGTGAAACCGGAGGATGAGGCGAGCCCTGCTCCAACTTCTTCATTGCTCGAGAACCAGCCCCCAAACAATAAGCGTCCCTCGCATAGTACTGCATCTGCTGACACAGGGAGCTCGGGCTCGAAATCAATTTCGTCATCTAATCAATCAACCCCTTCGGTGAATCATACCTCATCAACGCTTGAGGTCAAAGTCCCAGGCCATCCTGTGAAGCGCCTGTCACTCGAACCTTTGGAGTCACGGAAGCAATCCCAGCGCTCTTCTATAACTGACGAACGCTCGAAAAATCAACGAAAGCGATCCAAGAATGTATCAGTCAACAGTACACCCACGGCAGCCGCCAATACCTCACAATCTCTCCCATCCCCACCAGCTTTACGACACAGGTCCCAAAAACATCGCCGCATTGCCGATGGCACATCCAAGAGCAATGCGCACGTTTCATGGGGCGATCAAAGTACAGTTAGATGGCCTAAACCCGAGCCCAACGGTGACTCGCCCACAGAACCTACAATAGATACATTCTTCCCTCTTGACCAGCAAGGCTTAGCTCCCGAACTGAAAACGGAGGAGTCTGACGAGGGCCCCCCGGTACAGAGTCTTTCCCATCTCTCAGAAGAAATTGTCGATTCACTAGAGAAAATCATGTTCGAGACAGAGGACGATAAGCACGTGTGGAAATCTGAAATATCTCAACTGGAGTCAATGGGGTACTCTGAGCCATGGGAATGGAAATATGCTACTCATGAGCAAAGATTAGCATTTCCTTTCATTGCACAAAGCGTGTTCTACGTACTAGGAAACCCACGACAATTACTGCTTTCTTTTCGAAATAGCTCCGACGGCCGGCCTACGTCTTCACGATTAGATATCGACTCGTTGGATGGCACGTTTAGGAAACTGCACCGTATATGTCCTTGGGAAACCACCCTTCATAGTCTGTGGCTCAGCATGGAAAAGCTCTTTAACCCTCCCGCAGAACTTTCTCTACCCAGGATGCAACGCCGCCACTCCAAATCATCCAGTTTAACTACTCCTACATCCCCCAGATTTGAACACCTGGGGCCAAATGATTACATTACAGATTCCGATGCTGCCTCCATTACCGTTGTCGCACTGCTGGCCTTATCAAGCGCCATTCCTCACATGGACACACGGACATGGGAAGCTATCCGTCATATGAGAGCATCTGGGTCAGTAATGCCAGACAGCATGATGCGAACTTTTTCCAAGCTTCAAACGCAAACTATAATTGAAACATCCGACCGATTCGAACATGACCTAGCCCTACGATTGCTTAATAGGTTAGCACGCGTTATTTCGACCCGGCTTGCCCTCCACGAGGTCTCCAAAACAAAGGCGTCCCATGTCACTGACTTCACGAGCAATGATAAATGTGAGCTCATAGAGAAAGTTATTCTCATGCTCCAGCGGTTTCATAATCCTGAATCGAGTGGTAGTAGTAACAAGATATCACTACCCGGAGACAGAAAGACTACCATGCCCATGGTGGTGGTAGAGTGGTTGAGGAGTGTTCTCCTGAAAGAATGGGACGGCAAACCAGAGCTGTCAAAAGCCAGTGCAGCCGGAGGTGCCTTACAACTCCTAAGCTTCCTATACAGGGACCGGACCAAACTGGGGTTGTTACCAGAGGACTTCCATACGCCTTTTTTTGCGGACAGGCTAGATCCAATTGACATGCCTACCGAGTGGGTAGACCTGCTTTACAACAATCGAACAATGCATTTGCTTTCCTGTTCTTTCATATTCCCTCCGTCAGCATTGGTCACTTACTTCCGAGCAATAAACCATGCAACCATGTCCAAGTCATTTGAGAATGCGGTTATTGCCTCAAAGCATGTCACTTCTATGGCATTCTCTGGTACTATCTCTGTGGATGATAATCTTAGCTTACTTGCCAGGTTAAGGACAGGCCTCACCATGTTTTTTGTTATCAGCGTTCGACGAGACCATGCCTTGGAAGATGCCCTTAACCAACTATGGAGGCGAGAAAGGCGGGAGCTCCTACGGCCATTGAAAGTTCGCATGGGAATGGATGATGGTGAAGAAGGCGTGGACCAGGGGGGTGTTCAACAAGAGTTTTTTAGAATTGCCATGTTAGAAGCCATGAACCCAGCATTCGGGATGTTCACGGTTGATAGTCGGAGTGGCACGTACTACTTCCAACCTTGTTCCTTCGAGCCTCTCTACAAGTTCGAACTTTTGGGTCTTTTGGTATCTCTTGCTATTTACAACGGCGTGACTCTGCCGGTGGACTTCCCAATTGCGTTATATCGAAGACTTCTCGGACTCAAGGTGAAAACCACAGATCATATTCGAGTTGGTTGGCCTGAACTTGCCAAAGGTCTGGATGAATTATTGACCTGGGAAGACGGCGACGTGGGAGATATCTTTATGCGGACATATGAGTTTAGTTTCAGCGCGTTTGGAACTGTTATCACTGTTGACATGGAGAGAACCGATAAAAACGAGCCCTGGCCAGCTCCGGAGAGATATGCCCAGTGGGAAAAGACTAAACAAAAACTAAATGACCAGCGGGTCGCTACCAGGAGACTTAGTAACCAAAATGGTCCCGATGGAAGTAACAGTGTGTCCATGTTGAAGGAGTATTCCACTGATTCGCGGCAACACCCTCGAGATACACATGTCATTGGTATTTTAAAGGGCGCTCCCTCAAGGCTGCCACGACACCAAGTATCCACAGAACCACAACCGGGTGCTTCCACCGTGACGAATGCTAATCGTAAACAGTTCGTCAAAGACTATATTTTTTGGCTGACTGACAAGTCCGTTCGCCCACAGTATGAGGCATTCCAGCGGGGCTTTTTCACCTGCCTGGACCGCACTGCTTTGTCCATCTTCAATCCTGAGGCATTGAAAACAGTTCTCGAAGGTATCCAGGAGATTGATCTGGCAGAACTGCAAAGGCATGCTCGCTACGAGGGCGGATGGGATGGAAACCACCCGATAGTCAAAGGCTTTTGGCGCGTCGTCTTACGATACCCCCTTGAAAAACGGCGCCGACTTTTGGAATTCGTCACTGCCAGCGACCGAGTGCCAGTTAATGGAATAGGCAGCATCTTATTTGTCATCCAACGCAATGGTGTGGGTGATAGCGTATGTTACAATCCCTCCATATTAACGAAACTATCAAAAACTTTATGCTAACTTCGCTGATAGCGGCTACCAACTAGCTTAACTTGCTTTGGCCGACTTCTACTGCCTGAGTATACTTCTACGACGGTACTTGAAGAAAAACTAGAAAGAGCATTGAATAATGCCAGGGGATTTGGAGTTGCGTGATTCACACATACGTTGGGAATGTGGCAGTGGTTTTCTTGCCCATTTTGCATTTTTCGGAGTATTCTTCTCCACGTTTTCTTGTTTATAGCCTTGTTTATTCACCTTCTGTGATGCTCTTATGACTTACCTGCCTTTTGCATTCCTCTCGCTGTTTGTTATAGATGGCCTTTTGGTTGTTTAGATTTATGGATTGGTCAAAGTGGTTGGAGAGCTGCTCATCAATTCTTCCAGTTTGATAATTTTCGGGAACAAACTAACTAGTGAAACGTTACTTTTGATGGCGGAAGTAGTCACTATTGTTATAGAGTGGGACAAAACATTCTGCGTTCGCGGACTTCGCGCATCATCTAACTCTAGCCAGCGACCATTGTCCTATAATTACTGCCGTACTTTCTGTTCTTATTTTATGCTTTTTATATTGCAAAGACTTTGGCTTCATGGTTTGTTCCTGGCGCTGCCGTCGCCAAGGCAGGAAGCTTTGCCGAAGCTGACTAATAAACCTTACCTATTAATAGCAACTGTCCCGACGGCAAAATCCCCCCGGGGCTACCGCCGATATACCCGAAGCCGAAAGGGAAGGTGTGGCGACTGCGGCATAAAAGTCCAAATTGCATTCGAGTCAAATTTGGCATCTAAGGGGCGCTTGATAGAGAGAAGTCGTTGCTACGTTGTTTCAATTTGACATTCGTCTGTCCTGCGTTACCTAGAACGATTTTATTCTGTTCTTTTGCATCTGTTTTGCTCGCTTCCTTTGAAAGACGCAACAGAAATTACTCTCACAACCCCGCTCATATACGAACACCGGGGTAATAAGATGCCTCCAGTGCTTCACTGTGTCCGCCATGCGCAGGTTAGTAGAAATTATTCTCAGATGAAAATATATTCCATCCTAATCTCGTTGTACTAGGGCTTTCATAACCTCAGCGTGGAAAACCATGTCCTCCAGGACCCCTTGCTCACCCCGTTCGGCGAAGAGCAATGCCGTGCTCTCCGGGCAAACTTCCCCTATCACGCAGATATTGAATTAATAGTCGCCTCGCCTCTTCGCCGAACTATTTACACAGCCCTGCATTCTTTTGCAAATATCATCCAAGAAAAAGGGCTTACAGTCATTGCACTGCCTGAAATACAAGAAACGAGTGATGTTCCTTGTGATACTGGAAGCGACCTTGCCGATCTAAAGAAGGAGATCGAAACGAAAGGACTGCCAGTCGACCTATCCTTGGTCCCGGAAGACTGGAATGATAAGGTACGAGGATCCTCTAACCTTGTTTCAGGCAAAGAGCGTCAAAGCTAATGAGTTACTATATAGACAACAGAGAGGTGGTCAGCGAATGCTAAGTCTGTTACGGTACGTGCTCGTGAGGCCAGACAATGGCTGAAAGGCCGGCCAGAAAAGCACATTGCTGTGGTTTCCCATGGAGGTGTCCTCCACTACATCAGCGAAGATTGGCAAGACAGCACTCTTTACCAAGGTATGTAAGATCACGCTTCACACCCTTCCCTCATATAATGCTCCTCAACTGGCATAACTTTGAATTCCTTCCCTTGTTAAAATGTGCAAATAAAGTCACCAAAAAGCAACCAAGCCCGAATAATTATGCTAACGGTCGTCCTTCGCCCAAATGGCCAGGCACCGGCTGGGCCAACACTGAGTTCCGCACTTTTCACTTTACCGATTCCGCGGACACCGACGACTTGTATGGCAACAAGATTGATGGTGACAATGCAAGTATCAGAGAGACACCGGATTCGAGGAAGAGAAGGGGGAAGACAGTAGCCGAACCCCCATCCCGTGAAATGCAGAAGGAGTTTTTCCTCCAGGCTATTGCCGGTTGGGAGACTCAGGCGGCAGAAGCTTTGGCAGCAGATCGCACCACTGGGGAGAAGGAGAGAGCTATGGAGATCATGCAGAAGCAGCCTATCCCCACTGCTGAATAAACTGTCGGCTGGTATAGATGGGGATAAGTTACACTTTGCACTGGCAGGAAGCGTTCATTTTTTTCTATAGATATTTTCTACTAGACGAGCGCAACCTAGAATTCTCTTTGTAGATAGTTTAATTCGTAGATTTACAATACAGCTACTAGGTTATGTGTTAGAAGCTGAAACGCCCGGAGAGGATAAATATATTGGCAATTCTATAAATGCATCGTCCCTAGCTATCGAGCACATGGTGAACGGAAGTGATAGGAAGGCAGGATTGATTAATAGCAAATTAGAATAATTAAGCCCTGAAAAATGGATGCTCTGTGGATATTTAACATGAGTAACAGGACGACTGATATACAGACGACGGCATGCTTCAAACGGATGTATTCATCTTGCAAAGAAAACAAGAAACTTAGTAAACCCAGCTATTAGTAAAAGAAAAAAAGAAAAAAAACCATTTCAATCCACATCAATAAAACAAGCAATGGTAACATGAATAAAAAAAAACTTGGAAACGGAATTATGTCTCGTTAATCTAGAAGGTGTTGCGATTCGTCATTCTGATCGTCATATTTTGATGATCCGGTAGGTTTTCTTTTGCGTCTTCGCTTCTTTTTACCAGAAGCACTATTTGATCCATTGGATTGATGAGTCGATTGCTCGCTGGTGGTATGTTCCAGATCGGCAGATTCCTTGGTATCACTTGTTTGAGAGGAGGATGAGGGACGAACGCTTTGATTACTGTCGCATTCTGAGAGGTTGCGGTCGCTTGTTTGTAAGACGACTTTGCGGATGCCGTGGATGTCAACGACTTGTTCGGTTATGCTGCCACTTCTTGTAGGGCCGCGAGGGTGGAATATTGTGGATGACGATGGTGTATCTGAATTGGCACTCGGTGAACGAGTTCCATTTTTGGATGATGGAGAAGGACCATGTATAGTGGGCAGTGAGTCGGTAGTTGTATTTGTTGTGTTCGGTATTTGAGACGGTGATGACGTGCGAGGGACTGATGCATCACCTTGTTTGATATTTGGTTCCGTAGTGGAATGAGGTAGATAAAGTGGACGGTTAGATTGGTCTGTTGTAGTACCATATGATGTTGGCTCCCTGGGGTTGACTGCACGTTCACTTGTAGATTTTACCAAGAGACTGTCTGATTCAGATGGTTGGACGTCTGAGTGTGGATGATAATCATAGGAGTCGCGGGCGCTCAGAGCTTGGGAAGACCTCGAAGGTGAGATTCCACCTCGTTTTATTTTGACCGCATTGTAACGGGTTTGGCGAGGACGGCTTGCTAAGTTTGATGGTCCGAGATGTTTGAGTTGCTCTTTAATCTCTGCCGTGGCGCCTCTATGGATAATTGGTTTGCTAGAACCATCAGGTTTGTCGACGACGGGTGTTTGCCGTAAGTAAAATGTGGGTGGTGGAGGAGAACCGACATGAGTAGCGTTTTTTGATAGTTGAGTATGTTCATTTTGTTGTTCGCTGTCAGTAGTACGGGTGGTAGTGAGGGTTTCTACTCCGATATCGTGAGCAGAGGGAGGTACTTCGACGAAATGTCCTTTTGGAAAGTTGAATTTGGGTGCTGGAGCCATACGGCGAATTGCTTTGTGAACGTCGATAAAGACATCAGATTCGTCGATAATTTCTTCACCAATGAGCTCCTCAATAACATCTTCGAGTGTAACGACGCCGAGAGAGCCATGATCTTCACCCGGGTAATCGGAGACTAGGACCATATGAGCTTTGCCTTCTTGGAAAAAGTTAACAATGTCAAGACAGCTTGTTTCTGCTCTGGTCTCTGGAAGGGTGGCAAGGGCAAAGTCTCGGACTCTTTTGCAATCTTCGGGATCATATGTGATCAGCATCTTGACCAGAAGCATGCCAACAAAGTTTTGGGGGTTATCTGGAGCATGGATTGGGATGCGGGAGTATCCTTGGGAGAGGATAAGGTCCATCATTTTTTCGTCGAGAACAGTGTCGGCCGACATGATAAAGACGTCTTCCATTGGGATCATGATGCTGCCAACGGATTTTTCCTTGAGGTCCAGAACGGCGCTGATAATAGTAACCTCATCCGAGTTCAGCTGGTCACCAGCTGTGCCGAGATTCTTGTGTAGCGTAACGAGGGTCTTCAATCCAGCTTTCTTATAAAAAGTCCCATGATCTTCACCGAGGAGTCTGTCGAGAAGCTTTGCGATAGGGTACGAGAGGGGAGAGGTGATGTACATCAGGCAGAGGACAGCGGATGCCATCCAAGCTCCAATCGGCAGCCCATAGCGCACACAGATCGACTGGGGGACAACTTCTCCGAAGATGACTGCAGGTCTAGCGTCAGCATATTCTGTATTGGCTGCATTGCAGCAGTCACACAAGGAGGCAAAGGACACCTACCAATCAATGCGGTACTGCCGACGACAGCAGGCCAACCACCACCGAGAGACCGATCCAAGACGATGGGAAGTGTTTCATTCACGACGACGTTACTCAGTAAAAGTGTGACAAGCACCCAATGTTTTCCCTTTTTCAACAGGTCAAGGACCTTTGCAGCTTGTTTTCTCTCTGCTCCTTCGCCAGACGTCTGAATAACTTGGAGATAGATTTCATCCTGGAATAAGTATGACAGTTAGCATCGAGCGTCAATGACAAAGGTGAAAACTGCTCCTTTCAGGCTGTCGATAGAGTAAATACTAACCTGGCCCATCAGCGCGATAGTAAGTCCGGCAAAGGCACCGCCGCTGAGGACGAGCGCCGCAGCAATGCTGAGGTAGAGCCATAGACTGAACTCATCTGGAGGCTTTGGAACATGAGCGAGTTTCTCAACGGCCGAGGATGTCAGCGGCGCGGCATAGAGGAGAGGTAATCGAGACAGCGAGCATAAGACGAGCTTGGTCAAGGCAAGACCAGCGGGCAATCCACCACCACCACGAGTCAGAGTCATTTAAAGTGGTCAGGCCAATCGAAATAGCTGTCTGTGTCTGTCTGTCTGTATGCGGTGATATCCACGGTAGGTCGGCGAGGGTTCGTATTATGCCTGTCAATGCGGATAGCCGAATGCAGGGTAGTTTAAATATCAACTGAGACTGTCAAGGGCGTCCTCTTCTCAACAAGACATCAAATGGGTGAGGTCGGAGCGAGCTGTCTTCAAGATTCTGATGGGGATGGAGGAAGAGCTGATGCTTGAGAGGGCGTCCGCTTGGTGCAGTCCAGGGTTAAATAATAAGTTAGATTGATGCGGCCAGGGAAGAACGACGGGCGGACTTGGCTGGACTTCGCGTTTCGTCTTGCTTCTGCTTGTTTGCTTGCTTTTCTTCTGCTGCGTCTTCGCTTTTTTCTTTTCTTTTCTTTGCTTTTCTTGCATCAGATTTTGTTTCGAATCTCGCGATGCTGGCAGAAGTGCTTAGTCATTGCTGGGTAGTTTCAAAGCAGTGGCTGAGTCAGCGCGGAAGCTAAAGTGGACGTCAGGTCAACTTTTGCTGGCAAAAGTCGATGTTGATATGTTGAATATCGACGCCGAAGACGCTGTGCTGGAAGGGTCGCGTTAGCGGCACAGGATCTCTCACATCTCATGCCGCTGTCCATGTCGTTTGTCTGTCCGTGTGCCCGTCATCTTTCCCTGGTCGTTCCCGTCGAATGTCCCGGAGGAACTTACAGTGGCAACTCGACGGGACAAGGTAGGAAATCAAAGAGCTTGGATCTATCTGTCGATCTGGATGGTTAATATGCTGGCTGCAGGCGAAGATCTGTCGAGTCATTCTTTCATGGAGGCCTGTGCTCTTGATTATTTCCTTGTCCCGGGGTATCTCGGCGAGCAGCGCCTCAGTCTTTGGTTATCATCGCGGGGTAAATGTGAGGTTAGGTAGGTAAACTGGCGGCGATGTGTGTATGAGGGTGGACCAAAAGACTTTGTATCAATCGAAGGCGCTGCTCAGCGACGAGGGTCTCTCTGTCTCCAGTGTATAGGCGGGAGTCGAATGCTGGGTATCGCAGCTTGCATCTACATGCGAAGCTGTATGGGTGAATCGACGACTGGAAAACAGGTAGACCTGAGTTGCCAAAGTACAGTTGTTGCTGAAGGCTAAGTGTGCGTCTGTACGCTGGTGATATTTTTTGGAAGGAGAGTCACTTGCCTTTATACCACAGAAAGATATCCATACATTGGCTTCGTCACAACCATGCATGTATTTGTGGTATATCTTGCTGCAACTTCTGCACTATCATGTAAGTTCCTGGTATCAAGAAGAAGGATAAGGTCCAGATCTCGTGCTGATGCATCCGGTGATGCAAAATTGGCAAGCCAACACGAGACCGATAAAGAGAATTGATCAGGGTCGCCAAAATTGTCGATGTCGCCTTTGCTCTACGTCTCCAGGGGAAAGGGGAACAACTTCTCATCACCCAGAGTCCGAAGACTCGGGCAAAGCAGAAGGAGACCCTGCTGGTGGCTGGAGGCGGTGATTGTCTGGTTGGCAAGAGCAAAAATGGGTGGTGAAGGTGAAGGCGAGGCGGTATCCGTGATTAATTGTCGTTGGCAGTCTCTTTACCGGGGCTCTTGGGGTGAGGACTCCGCCGAGTTCAGGAAGAGGCTGGAGGAGGTTGAGAAGCACCAGAGGCAGCCGGCTTCTCGCGCGACTCCTCATTAGTTGGCTGTGGTGCTCCTCGGGGAATTGGCTGGCCTCCTTGGGTTGCTTGTCCCTCTTGCTGAACCCGGCGGCGCAGTTTCTCGATGGTGTTGGCGTTTTTGAGAACCTGCGCTCTCTGGACATTGTAGTCCTTTGTGGTCTGCTCGAGCTTCTGTTTGCTCTGCTCGAGCTCCTGAGAGAGAGCGTCCTTGCTCTCCTTGAGCCTCTGGATTTCCTTATCCTTTTTCTGGATAAGTTTCTCCTGTCTTTGGATCTCCTTATCCTTCTTCTCGATATCTTCGTCCCGTTCTTCAAGGAACGCTTGATACATGGACTCTGTCACGTCGACTTTAGAGTCCTTGTCCTGGATGGCTTCGCTTTGGCTGCGCAGCTTTTCCTCCAGTGCGGCAATTTGGCCGTCCTTCTCCCGCGCCTTGCCCCAGAAACTTTCAACAACGGCGGTCTGGTCCGCAAGTCGCTGCTTGAGGTCAGCCACGTATGCTTCGTGCTGTTTCTCGAAGTCAGCGACTTCGGCATCCCGCTCGTTGTTTTCCATTTCCAGAGCGGCAATCGTTCGAAGTTGGACCTCGTTGCGCTCCTTCAGTTGGCTGACAGCTTTCTGCTCAGCCTCCAGAGCCATGGCCGCATCGTCCATGGCGCGTTCCTTAGCGGACAGCTGCTCGCGGCATTTCGAGTTCCCGGCGATGAGGTTGCGTCTCTGGCGGCGTGCTTGCTGGAGTTGGCGTCTGAGCAGCGCCGCCAGGCGTTTGTCGGAACGCAGGGCCTCATGGTGGTAGTGGTGGTGGTGGTACTCGGTTGGCTGTGGCCGGGAATCGACCATCATCACGGAAGCCTCGGCGACTGGTGCCTCCAACCCCTGGACGGGAGTGGTGACAACCGGTGCTTCGGCTGGCGTGACAATGGTTGCCGCAACAAGCTGTTGGGCCGCTTGTTCTTGAAGTTGCAGGGATTGTGCAGCAACCTGCTCCTGCAGAGCGTTGTTGGATGATACGAGAGCTGCTATTTGCTGCTGCAGGTTCGTCATCCTGGCCTCATTGGTGTTTTGCAGCTCTCTTTGCTGGGCCAGGAGTGACTCAAGGTTGGCACATTCCTCTTGCGTGGTCAACAGAGACTGGTTCTTGGTCATCAGTTCGTAGGCCAAGTCGTAGGTCTCAGCCTGGAGGCGAGTGACAGTCGTGGTTGAAGTGCTGTTGACACGCTCGAGGTCCCTGATACGGGACGCCATCTGGTCCATCACAGCGAGGTTGTTGTCGGCGTCAGTGCTGGTGGCGGCATCCTTGGTCGTGCTGACGGTGGTCTGGTCGGCGCTGTGATGGGTGCCAGATGGCCGGGATTCGACGGGTGTTCCAACTTCGTTGGCAACGGTATCGCCATTGTCTGTCGTTGGGGCGGAGGTTAGGGTGTCGAGCCAGGCGACACTGATGCTGTCACGCTGGATTTCGATGAAGGCCCATTCCGCAATGAAAAAGATGGCAACGACAGCCAATACCGTGGTAAAGGCAACGAGTTGGAACATCTCCCAGTTCTATATACCCCATTAGCATATATTTTTCATGTTGGGTATTCAGGGGACTGCTCAGGGGCTACTTACATAGAGCTGGGTCTCTACAAATTCCTCCCACCATTCCGCGAGTTCGAATCCGGCGAGCTCTCCCTCGCAAAAGAGACGTCGGAAAGCGACATCGCGTTGCCCAGAGTACGGGACCGGAACGCCTAGGTATTCAAGATTGTGGCATCTTGGGGACTGCGCACCGGTGTTGTCCATGAATACGCCAAGCATTCCGGACCCGTAGGCAAGCAATGATGGAGCTGCAATTAAGCAGCCTACCATAACCGCGGACGGAAGCTATATACCAATTAGAATTATGCCTGTTCAATTTGGTAATTGCAAAGGGCAGGATGAGATATCAAAACATGCAAGAATGAGGGAGAGAAGGGGGTAACTCACGAGAACCGCGACGACGACTGGCACATCCTGATGGATGGCAAGGTCGGCGTATATGCGGTCGGCCCATTGAGGACGGATCAGCGACAGCGTCATGTCGAAGGTAGTCCCCAGAGCGAGGAGTACCAACCCCAGCAGGTCTCCCTTGACGAGTGCGTGCCAGAATGGCGAGCCCGTGATGCCACGGATGACACCACGGGAGGCACGCACAAGCAGGTCGACGGTGCTGGAACCGCTGCACATGGCGTATGCAGCGAGGACGAGGGCGCTGAAAACCGTTGGGCAGATTGTCGCATAGTCCACGAGCGAGCCCGAGAACAGAGGGTTGTCCCAGACCAGGAACAGGAGGTCGTTGTCAACGTCGGCGGCAAGCTCGACGCTTTCGACGATGGTAGCGAGCAGGGACCACGCTACCATCGTGACCAGCACACACAAGATGGCCAGGGGAGACATCTTGTATGGCATTGCTGTTGGATGATTGACTGGCTGGATGGCTGAAAAGGGGGTAGTTCGTTGAGAGAGCGGGACTACGAAAAGAAGAACGAACGGGATCAAACTTCTTTCTTCTCAAGACTCGGTAGTCTCTGGCACTGTCGAACAGGGAACTACGACCTCGACGTCTTGATATCAGGAAGATACAAGCGCGTGAGGGAGCTGCTCAAGTTGGAACAGTGGGGTTTTGGCTGTCGAGAGTAAGGAGTCGAGGCAAACGGGGGTCGACGACACAGGAAACAGTCGAAGACGCGCACGAAAACGCGAAGAGAGAGTCGACTAGGGTCGACTCTTGGTTGGCAGGGCTCTTCAGCGAGCTTTCGTGGAGGAGAAGTCTTTTGTTGATTCGATATCAAGTGGGAGAGGTTTGATATCGAGCGAGGAGAGAAAAGGGGCTACGACTTGATAGCTTTTGAGGGCGTCTCAAGGAGCACAGGAGGAGGCGTGAGGGTGTAAAAGTTGTCGATATGGCCGAGATGGTCGATATGATCGTGGCTGTGATGGTAAAGAGAGGTGACAAAAGACTTGCTCGGAGAAGAAGAAGAAGAAAAGGAGAGAGGAAAGGGGGGTGGGAGGTAGAGAGGAGAGATATTTATACCCAGCTTGGTGATCTGGCGAGGACAGTGACTGTTGCGCTAGCAACGCAGGAAACAAAGAAAGAATTTTCACTTCTCTCACTTTGTGTCTGTGGAAGAGCGTGATTAGCGAGAGCAGGACAGGCTGCTAGCGCAGGACATCAGACAGGACAGGACAGCAAGTGAGATTTGGCAGCAGGACACGCTGATGCCATGGCTACGAGGCTACGAGGCTACGACGGTGACATTCCTTGATGTGGTACGGTGATCTGATCCAGTTGATCTGACCTAGTTGACTTGATCTAGTTAATTTGATTTGGTTGATCTGATGTAGTTGATCTGATCTGGATGTCGATTTGATATTTGATGGGGCTTTGGTTTGTTGATATCAAACGCCCACAAAGCTGATGACAGTGAAGCGAGACAAAGACGCGCTAGCCAAACAAACAAAGGCTTAGTTACCTAGACAATGGCTTTGTAGTGAGTAATATGAGAAGAACAGCTTTGACAGCATCTAACGCTCGTATATTTCTTATAATCTAGGTCAAAGTCTATACATCTGCCATCTTGTCCTTCTGGCAAGATCATGGCTAAGTATCCAACAGTTCTCTGACGATGTATACATTGCAACATGTAGGGCGTAATAAGAAGCAAAAATAGGTTCTTTTAGAGCAAACAGAAAATGGGAGGGAATGGAAGATAAGGAACTATGCGTGGCATAAAACATGCTGCCAACTGCACCTGCGCTTGGGCAAGCATCTTGTCATTGAAGATAGATGACTCTATACTGCTAGGGGCCTTTCTGAAATGTCACTGGGCAAACATCAAGGAGAAAGGAGGTGCCCCCCAGTATCCAAGAGGAAAAGGGGGATGGAGTGACGTCTGGAATTCGGGATTGATATGATCATGTGATTTGGATAGTCACGTGACACGGGAAAGGGGAAGTTAAGGGGAGGAAAGCAAAGGATGTCGAAGTTATTGTGCCGACGACATAGAGGCAATCGAAAGTGGTGATGGGAGGGCTAGAATCAGTAGTGGAGGGCCTCCTTGATGGCGTCGTAGATTCCTACAGAAATCAAAGGTTAGCATGACATGGAAGGTATAGTTTATGATGTAGCTAAAGCAACATTGCTACTATAGAGAAGCTTACTGGTAACGTCTGGCATGTTGAAACGCTCGTAGATAAGTCCTGTGTGGATATCCCAGCCGGTGACACGCTTGACAGGAGCCTCGAGACTCAAGAAAGCGCCTTCCTGGATACTGGCAGCTACCTCGGCACCGACACCTCCGTTCATCATGGACTCGTGCACGACGATAGCACGACCGGTCTTACGCACACTGTTGAGCACTGTCTCACGGTCCCAGGGGTAGACGCAACGGAGGTCGATGAGCTCAACGGTTGCGCCCTTGAAGTCCTTTTCAGCCGCAGCAATGGCTTGGCTGCAGAGATAAAGTGGCTGGCCGTAGGAGATGACAGTAACGTCAGCTCCCTGCTTAATAACGTCCGCCTTGTCAATAGGCAAAGTATACGACTCAGTTGGGACATGCTCGACTGCAGCACGGTACAGAATCTTGGGCTCCATGAAGATGACCGGGTCGTTGCAGTGCAGGATAGCATTGAGCAGGAGACCCTTGGCCTGCGTGGGGGAACGAGGAATGACAACACGCATGCCGGGAACATGGGTAAAGAGGGCCTCGGGCGACTGCGAGTGGTACAGAGCACCGTGGCCAACACCACCGCACGGCATTCGGATGACGAGCCCACCAACATGGCCGCCGGTGCTGCCCTCACGGTATCTGAATTTGGCCGCCTCGTTGACGATCTGGTCAAAAGCCGGGAAGACGTAATCCGCAAACTGAATCTCGGCTACAGGCTTGAGGCCTTCAGCAGCGGCTCCAATGCCAAACCCGACAATTCCTTGCTCTGTCAGCGGTGTGTTGAAGACTCGCTCGGATCCGAACTCGGTCTGCAGGTCGACAGAGCAGCGGAAGACACCACCAAATGCAACATCTTCGCCGAACAGCAACACTCGCTCGTCAGCAGCCAGGGCAGTCCGCAGAGCCGAGTTGATGGACTGGTACAGGTTCAGGCGCTTGGTGGGAGCGTTGGCCGGCAGCTCTTTGTTCGAGGCGAGAGAAGAGGGAGCGTGGTGCAGCAGCGGCGTGGCTGCGTAGTTGACGGGCACATTCATCGTCGCCCCGGGGGCGTGGGACGAGTATAGACGGGCATTGCCTGGCTGTGCTCTTGACAGGAGCCGTCTCACGGCTGTTCGGGACGCCATGCCGAATCTCTATCTGGTCTCTGCTTAGACGGCGTATCTGTCGACTGTCCGTCCGTCCGTCCGTGCTGCGTCTGTGGCGGGCGTCTGCCTGGGTATAGCTCAATTGGCGGCCAGCAGTGAGGTCGGCGTCTGCAGCGGCAAGCTCAAGGTGTTGTTGTTGTCGTCGTTGCTGGTGGAAGTCGTGGAAGTTGAAATGTCGAGAAGTCGCTTTTTTGCCCGTTTCGGCTGCGGCGCTGGGAAAGGCGGGACTCGCAGACCGACGTTAGCCGGCGTCACGTGGCCGACGTGATCACCTGATTGACCACGGAAGAATCTTGATCCATTTGATTATATAAGATGATTATTTAATCACATTGACGGGACCTGGAGAGTGTCCATCACGTGCTAAAGCCAGCAAGCCCAGCTCCGACTTCAACTTCGACTTCAATTTCGACTTCGACTTCAACGTCGTCAACAGCCGCTTCAGCTTTGAATTGACAGGTTGATAACCTACGATTGAATAGAATAAAGCTGAAAGCTGCCAGGATACTGATTCTATCATTCAACAAACGACAAAGTGTGTAGGATACATATAAGAGAAGATGTCATGACTGAGCGGACTGCTCCTTCATGTAGGCATCCACAGAGCGCTTGATCGCCTCCTGCATGCCCACCAGCGGACGATAGCCCAGCCGGGTCTTGATCTTCGAAATGTCGAATGTTCGCGTCATGGACAGGTAGCGAACCATCTTGCGGTTGAGCCTCGACTCTCTCCTGCCTAGGCTGATGGCCCAGACAGTCCACTCAACCATGACAACAACGGCAAAGAAGAGGGCTGCTGGGACCTGCCAGATCTCCTCTCGTTTGGTCGGATAGCCAGCTGCATCGCCCACAGCATAAACAAACTCCCAGAATGATATATGCTCGTCGTTGGTCACCACAAAGACCTCCCCGTCAACCCGCTTGCCGGCCGGTGGTGGTGGCGCAGCCGGATCAATCTCGACCAGCGCCTTGGCGGCTAGAATATGGGCGTAGGCACAGTTGCCTAGATACGTAAAATCAAACAGGTTCTTCCCGTCACCGACTCTGACCTTGTTGCGCCCGGTCTTTGCGTTATTGACCATTTGAGGGATTGTCAGAGTGTCCCCTTCGCCGAAAAGCGTTGTGCCTCGCAGGATTACCGTCAGCAAACCATTTGTCCTGTTCGCTGCAACTATCATCTCCTCTGCCAGTGCTTTGGTGTGCGAGTAGAACTCTGGCTGTTCTGGATAAAAGACTCTGGGTAGGTCTTCGGTGGCCTCTATGATGTCGGAAAAGCCATTGTGGATAACGGAGGAGCTGGATGTGTAGACCAAAGCTCTAACGGACTGCACCTCCTCGATGGCATCTAGTAGATATCGGTTGCCCTCGACGTTTATCTTCTCGTAGAGACGCTGGGTATTCTTCTGCTGCATAAGCAGAGGCGAGGCTGAGTGGAAGATGGTACGAGGCTTGACCTGTTGCAAGGCTTTCTGGATGTCTTCCTTGTTGCCTATGCTTCCCTTGATGTACTTGGATCCCTCCACGATGTTTCTCTTCGTCTCAATGTCAAACACTGTCACGTCTGATGCGTCTCCTTTCTCCAGCAGCTGTTTAACGATGGTATGTCCCAACCCGCCACATCCTCCTATCACCAGAACTGGATCCATCATAATGACTCAATAACTTTTGTCGATGGTATTTACGACCTGAAGTAATATGATGATGTTTCATTAAGGCTATCGACCAACAACAGGCGGGCGGGCTGTGTATTTATAGTTGGCTAACAAACGGACAAAGAATCCAGGACCCCTGCTCCAATTAACCACAACATACAGACCATGATGTGGAATATTATTACTGCAAAGGATTGATCTACCCTGGGGTTCCGGAACTTGGTTCACATTAAAATCATCTATACGGTAACTAGGAGAGTCGTTACTCAGGGGTTGCCGGCTTTCTCCTGCCGGCGTTCCCGTTAATTTATTTACAAGTCTATACATCATAGCCAGTGTATCATCTACTACGCTTCAGAATGAGCTTCCTTGCGTCGCTAAACCTTTCGTCTTTCTTTGCCGGAAGAAAGCAGGGAAGAAAATAACGCAGCTGCAGATTATTGCCAACTTCATCTCAACAGCGCTACAGGCCAGTCAGTAGCTGTTATGCGCAATGCATCAACCAAATTAAAATGGATGGAAACGAACCTGTACGGTGATAAAGAGGCACCCGTGTATATCGCATCTTTCTTGTTGAACTTGGCTATAATAATAACCAGTCGGACTATACTCATCGAACACGCACTAAACATGCGATCAGCACAGTCACATTATCAATGAACGCGGTAGTTCGTACATGAACCCAGTAAGGAAGAGGGTCAGGACTCCTATCTTCCTCTTATTCGGCATTTTCAAGCCCTGGATTTGGCTGATAGGAATTGCAAGGATATAGAAATCACTAAGAACATTCCACAGCCCAAAGACGAGGTTTGTCGTGCTCACTACCTTGTTGCTGCAAATCATTATACCCAGGGCCTTGATGCCGTTGCATCTTGACACGCGGATGCTAGATATTGTCAAGTACGGGATGGTTACAATCGATATAACCACCATGCCGATGTAAATCAACAGGCGAACTTGCCTTATGACATGGAAAAGCTGGTTGAGCAGCAGAAGGATTGATATCTTGATGAAGAAGCTCGTCAAGATATAGATAATGTCGACAGCAGCATATTGCTATTTCTGTTAGTATGCGGCAGCCCACCGTGTCTAGAGTTAATGAGAGTGGCTCACTTTGGTCCTCGACTCCGTGAGACTCAACGCTGGGATATCCCACATATGCCTCCCATAGTTGATAGTGGTATCTAATGCACAGGTAAACCTCTACGCCACATTCATGGAGAAACAAGGGGATGTACTGTGAATGGTTAAGGCTGAGTGGGCTATTGAACCCATCTACATCACGATGATTAGTATTGCAAGGCTGGCTATGTGCATCAGTCACTATTAGGTATGTATATGCATACGAACCGTCGCCAACACACAAAACACTTATACAAAACATCAGCAAAATACAAACCATAATAAAAGGATAATTCATTTCTTGGGGCCAACATGATGCTCACCATCGGACAAGTCCCAGCGCTGCTGAGAATAACGGCTCTTTGCAATAAACCTGGCCGTCACTGCGACCATCATCAGAGCTAGTGAGACCGCATTCACAATGACTATCGGCATAGCCAGGCTTGGAGGATTCACGAAATTGGACTTCACGCCCGGCGGCGGGGGGCCGGCCGGCAGCATCCATAGGGCACTGAGATCGCGCGATTCCATGGCGACGAGGATGGCAGATTCAGGGCATCGCTTCTTGCGAGGGTCGTCAAAATGGGACGGCGTACTCCGTAGCATCTTCGATAGCCCCTTCACCAGCCCTTATATACATGCATGCGGAACAGAAGCAGTCATCCGGATCTGAATCTCATCCTTCCATCTATCTTGGGTTCTCGGCCGCGATGAGCTGGAGCGCTGCTCTGCAGCAACCTCTTTTGGTGTCATAGCCTTGCAATTGGGGCTCTGACTTCTTCATGGGCATGAAGCATGGACTCCAAACGAGAAGAGATGCATCTTTGCAAGGATGTCGGAACGAAGATGCGTTTAAACCATCCTGTGTTCAACAAGGAAATATATTATTATCTGCGCATTGCTGCACCTCCCCAGCAGCCCCTTGACCTCGTTGACGGAAAACTACTCTGGGTCCACCAATTATATGCTCCCCCAAGGTGCTGTTTTGCATTTATCTTCACGGGGAAACATGTCCATATCACTCTGCATGGCATGGCAAACCATATCTACCAGGGATGCGCGCTCAAATCTCAGCCTTGCAGTCTCGCTGTGCCAATAATGATTTCTAATCCAACAAGGAGAGAGGTAACTTAACTATTTCTGCCTAACTATCGCCCCCAATGACTCTCGAGATGCTTTCACACATATGTTCCTAGTTCATTCATCGGCGCTGGTTAAAACATGATGCCACTCCTAGATACGAGTTGTTCCATATACACAAGTTTCCCAAAAACTCCATACGCCTCCAACATATCCCATCGCTCATCAACTTGTTAACTAGTTAACCAAAAGAAAAAGAAAAGAGAAACATTCATGGATCCGCCCACATGGAGTCCTGCATCACTCAATGACTTCCACGAGGTGCTGTCCCACACCAGGGGATATCAAATGACGTCGCGAGGCCGGGATGGTGAATCCTTCAGCACAGGCGGGAACTCAATAACCGAAACACGATGTTGGCAAGCAAGAGTAGAATCCCTTAGACATCATCAGTTTCCATGCCAAAGCTGCGTGTTGAGAATTGCTCACTTTAGATCACTACTTGTTCGCCCCTCGCCTTTGCTGATTCCTTTTGTCCCTTCACCATCTCCAGCTGCAGATAATGGACGAGCCCGAGGATGCCGCAGTATGCCAGGAGATAGCACATCCACTGACTGCTGGTTGGCTGTATCATAGCAAGTGGTTCAAGCATCGTGGTGGTAGTATGGACGTTTAGTTTTCGATAACAATTTCTGGCTGACTGTATTTCTGGTTGTGATTTGAGATACAGGGACTTTGATCTCCTTTTGGCCCCAGCCCGATGTTCGATATTTATATTTTAACCTACCGCCCTGCTACTGACATGAGCCGCTGATCACCATACTTATTACATATCGGGCGACAAGGCTGAGAAGACGGGTGCAACCTGCATGGCTAAGGCTGAGGGGGCCATGACTATCTATAGCCCCCACAGCCATTGCCATGACTGCCTTACCCTGCCTCCCCAGACTTACTGTCTACAAACGTGATGCATCAGCTTCGCGCCTATACTATGAACATGCTGACTTGGCCGCTGTTGCAATAAGTTAGAAGCCAGAGAGCACCGAATCGCATACATCTCTCATAATCCCTGATCAAGTCTTGTCTAGTATTCCTAGCCTAGGCTGAGATTCTACTGCCTGTTTACCCCAGATAATGGCTGTATTAAAGCACTCATATACGCCGGCCCCTCAAGAGAATACCCCCAGATTGATTTCCATTTCTTAGACTCTCTTTCTCCCTTGACTGGCGTTGGTATATGTGATATTGAACCTTCAACATCTTAGACAAGATGCTCTCTAGACTTGGATGGACAGAGTTCGCATTATGGATTCTCCTACCACTCTACCTACTATACCTCATACAAAGATGGTTTGCACTAAGAGTTTCTGTTAAGATACCTCCATTAGGCTGGTCTAAGGTGCCTTACATTGGACATACTCTGTCCTTTCTTCGAGGAGGAGCTGAGCTGCATTCAATGTTTGAGTAAGTAATCAATATGACCACCCATAGAACCATACATGTTAATCATTAACTACAGGCCATATCGCAAGACTACAACCCCTATCCATTTTAACATATGTGGAACCGACCTGTTTCTCATAAATTCACCAGAAATTATCAGGAAAATTGCCAACAAACCTCACATATTCACAGAAGGTGCTCTACGAGGGGATTTTGCTTTAAAGGTGCTTGATCTCCCTAAGAGCGCCGCTCAAGTACTAGGCAACGACAACTCTGGATCTGCTCTCCGGCCGTTACCTGGAAGCACTCTACCACCAGAGAGACGTATCGTGAGAATGCAGCATGAAACGACATTCAACCTATTAACGTCTCCATCCGGTATACATATGTTTGTTCTTCAACATACCAACTTCATGGAGAAGTTGATCCTTTCTACTGGGATAGGAGAGCAATGGGTCGAACTACCCGATTTATTTCATTTTATTCAAAACCTTACCTCTACAGCCATGATGAATTCTCTCTGCGGTCCTCGACTCGTTGGAATGAACCCCGAATTCGTCGACGAATTCTGGACTTTTGATCTCAACATTCATTACCTCAACCTAGGTATTGCTCCCTTATTCAGGGCTGAAGGTGTCAAGGCTCGTGACAGATGCATCAAAGCTCTCATAGAGTGGAAGAAAAACGCCATCCAGGACTCAGCAGATAAAGAATACCCTGAATCATTGCTCTGGGATGAAATTTGGGGGTTCAAGATCATGCGGGATAGAGATGATATGTATAGTCGTTTCCCCGAATACTGTAATGACCAGGCTCGCGCAGGTGCTGATCTAGGCATCCTTTGGGCGTAAGTAACCCATCCCAACCCTTCATGTTTATATATGATGGCTTTCTAGGACTAAGTTTGGCTTAGATGCAACGATAATCTCATTCCTGTCGGCTTTTGGCTGGTCCAAAGAATTCTCAACTCTCCTAACTTACAGGATCGTTTCATGAAAGAATTTGATAATGCAAGGCTGCCCTCACAACCAGGAGACATTCTCCCTCGTTTCAATACACATATTCTGGCAAAGACCCCTTTTCTTCAGTCTACATATCATGAAGTCCTACGGACTCAAGTAACCAGTTTCACAGCACGCACCGTTCGTCAAGACTTCCAAATAGGAGAATATATGTTTCCTAAGGGTTCCGTCACCCTTTCATCATCTTGGGGTGTCCACAATAACCCGGGTCTCTGGGAATCTCGGCCTGGTGCACAGGAACATCCTGTGGAAAAGTTTTGGCCGGAACGATTCCTTGTTTGTCCGTATGAGAGGGCGGCAAGGGAAGGAAGGTCTGTCCCTGAATCCGGAAAAGAGCCAGAATTTTCATTGAAGGGACTAGATGGCACGTTCTTCCCGTTTGGAATGGGCCACAATGCGTGCCCAGGCCGTCATTTTGCTACCCATGCAATCCTCAATATAGCGGCTACAATCCTGTCTGTTTTCGACTTTGAGCCCATTGATACCTGGGCAGGTGGGGGCATGGACTACACAACATTCGGGTATACACCTGCTAGGCCGTTAAAGAAGATACCCTTTAGAACACGACGAAAGATACTCCCAGTGGCAGTAGAAGATAGATGTCGTTGTTAGAACGTCAACCTAGTCCTCCGTTCGCGCCTTCGGCTCATTTTCCTGGCATGATTGGATAGTGGCATTACCTATTCTCAGTCTATTCTCCCCCAAAAGCCAACTGGGTGAAGCAGTATAAGTATAGTTATTTGTTACGTACCGCAGGTTATCTATTGCTTTATATTTTCTCGCACAAGCAGTTTCGAGGCTTCTAGATGTGCACACATTTAAGCATATAAAACCACTTATGTGTATACATAGCCAGATTCCAGTTTCCATTGTTAGAAATATTGAGGGATGATGATAACAGAGTCTGCAATAAATCCTGTTAACGATTCAAAGAACAATATCCCGTCTTGCCACATACGTGATGACCTTGAATATGACTCAGTGTGGCTTACATGGTTTCTGAGCAAAGTCGGACAGCACCGGGCTTGAAACTTCAGCTGAAATAATATTCTTTTAGTGTTGTCTAATGATTCTAGAATTTCTGTATCAAACTCTGTAATGGACATAAAAAAGACAGTTCAGTAGGTGTCAAATCCCTCTACGGCCAAAGCCGCTTTCCGGTCATGAGATAAACTCTGATTACTGCTTATCATCCAAATTCCTTCACGGTATCGGCCGTTTTTGGTCCGTACGGTTCACTTCTGTGGCGATGAATAAGATTTATTGGTACATGTTGAGGCATAGATAATGACGTATCTGAGAAGCAATTGCCTTCTGGGAACCTTTGGAGCATGTATTCCTTGAAAAGGGCTGCTTCGTTCTGGTTAACTGCATTCTGATTTGCTCCTTTGCTTTCTGACGTGAAAACAAGCACTAAGCAGATCTTCATGATGTTCATAACGCTCCAAATCCTCGGATCAACCCCTTGGCAAAATTTATGGCTGGAAACACCCTTTTATTTTATGTAGCCGTGTAGATCACCAACCCTAGTCTGAAGAGAAAAGACCCATATTTTATTCCTATGCTAGCACTAAACCACAGACTGAAACATTACTGCCCGCACGATGGTAAATTAAGCCACGCGTGAAGTGAAGATTCTGTCTTCTAACGTGATTCATAACCACTGAATCCTTGCTGGGGGTCATTCAGCAAATCATGCCACTGATCCTCTGGAACGCAGGGTATCGTGATATTTTCATTATCATGTCCCGGACGAAGGCAAGGTTTCTCTCAGGAAAATGGGATCAAATTATATAATCACCCTGAATCAACGCCTTGAAGGAGCCAGCCCAGCGGCTGTGCTCCGAAACCTAGGCCAGGTCGTCAGGGCATTGAATATCTAGTGAGTGACAAGGAAGGTATTCTAAGCCTCCTTTTTGGATAATTATTCGAATATTCCGGTTTCCATATAGGTCATGGTCGTCAAGCAGCTGAAGGAAATCAAGGCGATAGAAAGATCCCACATATGGTGGGCCAGTGGGGAGTTTTCAGTTGCAAGCAATCAGACGCTGTCACCTGACGTATTTCCAAGCCTGCAAGGATGCTGTTGTGTGCGCAGAATGGCAAAAGATTACTCCGTACTCCGTATGTCAGCTCATAATGTAAGAATTTGTGAATTATCTGAAGTCTTTGGATTCTTCTCTTCTGCGGCTGATTATTGCTGTAGTTAGTAATCTCGCTCTCAAGAGGGCTATGAACCAATGACATCCCCTGAGAGTTGAATAGCTTAGCGCATATCGAGATATTCCAGATGTAGAATCACCCGGCGAACAAGTTTAAGGCAATAATACTACCGGGTTTGCCCGGTACTGCTAAACAAACGGTCATAAAACGTCCTTTTCGGGATAGCCCTCGTCACTTATTATTCCCTGCACCATTGAAGCCACATTTTCAAAATGGAATCATGGTATTGCTGAGCCCATCCTACGCTGGGTCAGGAGGATCAAGCAAGGTCTAGGGAGTCGGGAACCATTGGATGGGTGGTCTGGTGGGTATGCAGGCTGACACACCGAAATAATTGGCTCGATGTCCGCTTCTGAGTAACTATTTGGGAATTTAGAATACAATGGGTAAACGGAACCAAATAACGAGGATGGCACACCTGGAGTCTTGATAATTATGCTGTGTTGTAGAAAAGCGGAAAAAAAAAAAAAAAAAGGCCGGTTTATTGAACGAGAATGCCAAGATTTAGAGGCTGAATCATATGCTTTCTTGGCATCTTAAAACCTTAACTGGAGGCTTGTGCTCTGCTTAGTCAGCTTTCTAGTCTTTTTTTTTTTTTTTTTTTCTTGTTTTTCAGCTTTTTGCTCGACTTCGACTGGATAAATGAATATAATGATAATGGGCAATACTCCGTCCGCACGGAGTACTGTGATGCTGGTGATGCTGGTGCTGCTCTCAGAATAATGGAAAATGGGGGCGGTTGATTTGCCGCGAAAAAGCCAATGGCCCCGCCTACCCTATCTGGCTCAAAAACGCATATCTTGACCCCTATATGGAGTATACTTACATGTCTTATTATTGTCTCGTGAGCTACTGGCTAATAATCTCCCTCACTGAGCATAATTTACTGTGTCGGCTATTGGTTACAAAGGCATATTAACCCACCATATCGGCTCACTCGCCGGCCACGTAATCATTTTCCTTCTTCTTCCTTCTTCTTCCTTCTTCTTCTCCTGCTTCTTCTTTTTCTTCTCGCCTTTCTCCTCCTTCAAAACGGGGTCGGACTTTCTCCCCGGTTAACGAAACGAGCCCGGCGGCCCTCTGAGGCGAGCAGCGTAGAATAAGCTTAATCAGCGCACCCGAGGCTCCACCAGCTTAAAGCTAATTTTGTTTGGCCCGAGCCGAGCCACGCGAAACAGTTTTCGAGGTGATGATGATTCGTGCCCGGTCTTCGTAACCCGCAGAATGAGGCACTTTTCAGCTTGATTTTATAAGCTATCTTTTGCGAAAGAGGTATTACTCTCCACTTTTCTGCGCCCCCCTCCCCCCTTTATAATTATGATTCCGTCTGCTGGGCCTATCAGGTCAGGTGCTCCGGTCCTCCTTTTTCCGTTTACCTTCGTTGGCATGGGAAGACCGTGGCATGACAGCCCGAATGAAATGTGGCTGGCGTCTCCGCTAGCAAGTGCCTCATTCAACCTGGGGCACTGGGTAAGTAAGCTTTCATCGAAGGTCTTAACCGGAAACATGGGGTGTTAGAGGAACTTCAAAGATACGTGCATAGGAAACATAGGGTAGCCGACTTCGAGTTCGGTCCCAAGTGCACCTGACATGGGAGATTGAAGGAGCTTTTCTAACGGACTTATCAAATAGTCTCACCTGCAGCCATCTTAGAGCATATCTTAAAGTGACTATCAGCCCCTGAAGGTCTACTATACGTCCAATCATATTACCCCAAAATGGTATAGAATGAAGGGGGACGTTTAAGTTACTCCTGAAAAAGAGGGCAACCGGTTGCTATTCAACGCAATTCGGAGGCCAGGCAGCTAGTAATGTTGGGTCGGTCAGAATGCATGGTCCTGTCGCCTTTGATACTCAGATGGATAGAAGAGCACTCTTCTTGGATTTTCTCGCCATCCGTGAACCTATAAGAACCCAACTTCCCCCCGTGTCCAGCCAAACATCGTACACGAACCTTCACTTAGCGAGCAGGGATCATTGTTACATCTGAGGCATTAGCATTTCTCCACCGCAAGATCTTGGCTCCACATCTGTTTCCCGAACTGGCAAACACCAACCACAGGTGATGCAGGGAGTGTGGTATCAACGTGGTATCAACGTGGTTTATTCCCTGGATGCTCGGCTGAAAGTCTGAACGATCATGCATGTCGACGGGAACGAACACCTCATACCTTGTTGTCTGGTCTATACGCATATATTTTCCGTCCTTCAGGACTTGAGACTGCCTTCACACTTCGGGATATGTTCGACGGCATTCCTCCTCGCTACAACTAAATTATAGCCAATAGTAAGATGCATTAGACTGATGCCCCGTAGGTTGGTCAAGCTTTGATAAGCCTTACTTTTCTTAGTGGAATGTGCCGCCGGGGCGAAAGAAGTCTTTTAGCTCTTCTTATTATCAAAACCACTAAGCAAGGGCCCCCTGTCGATACCAAAGTAGAAAGCGTAGACGTAAAATGCACAATCAAAATATCAGACACATCTTCCCCATGCCTCCTGAAGGTGCTTTTCTGATTGTTTGTCAATCTACCAATAGAGACATAATCGTACATGAGCAGGGACTAGGATGCCTTGTTATTCGACACAATATTCTCCGTCTATGTGGAGATCCTGGTGAAAGTCTGGATGAGCGTGCCTCGTATTTTTTAGATTCGTCGTGGTCGGTCCAGGATGATCGTCACTGGAAGGGAAGCGAGCGTACATAGTTAAGCTTCGCCCAATTGATATCAAAACCAGACATCAGCTTGCGTACCATATTCCCCTCTATCGCGATCGATGTACCTTACACCCACACTTTGGCCTAACGTGCGAGATACGCTGGTCCTTGAGCACTGTACACTTAATACCCCAAACTGCAATTACTTCCGGAAAGTGTTATATAGTTATAGATGACAGCACGCCATATGTGTCTAACATACGCATATAATGCAATGCTCGTATATGACCTGGGTATCTCTGTTGTGACCATAAAGCCCACCCACCTTTTCCGCTCTATTATCCACATATATCCCGATATTCAGCTCTCTTCATACGGAGCTCCTTGTTGATATTGTAGCGCTTTCAATGTAGGCATGTAAAACAGGATTAGGAGGAGCCGGACATCCTCCAGATAATAGAGTAAGTAAACATGGTCTCTCGTGCCTCATAACACACCGATATTCCTCCAGACTAATATTCCTTTTTGAGCGGTGAAATAACTCCACCCAACAAAATCTGCTCTGGTGCTCTCTCCCCCCTTGAATTATGGATAGTGTTTTTTTGAATCAACAGCCCACCCCCTTTCTCAAGGCTCCCCCTTTACGGAGTACATATTGCTTAGTCACTAAGTCACGTGATGTAACTAGCTTGAATAGGTAGTGAAGTATTTTAAAGCAAACCTTAAAAAATTAAAGTTGCAAATTAAAAAAACTTTAAAGACACATCGAACGGATGGAACTTCGTATCAAAACTACATCAGCAGCAGGCAGACGAGAGCAGTTTGAAAAGCATCCTCAAAAAAAGGCCTGCAATGCATGCAAGTCCGATAGGTGACGCAGTGAATGCCGATGAAAAGCTACTGCAGTCTCGATAATGGGCGGGAGACCGCGTTTTATTACCCCTTCCTTCAGCCTTGGATCGCCCGACCCACGAGAATCCTCACGCTGGGGACGGGCGGGACCGAGAACTCCTCGAGGTTGGCTTTCGCGGGCGCAGCCGGGATCTGAAGACAAGAGCCATGGAACATGCGGCTTGGTCTGATCACCAATGCATTACAATTATACACTTATAGCTCATTCGACAATGTATGTTCAGTACCGCCACCCCCCAGGAACGGCTCTGAAATACAAACGGATACGAACAAGCTCGTATCTCCTTATACATATAAGTTCTTGAGCACTGCTCCAAGATAGCTCTCTCTCAAAGGGTGCCGAGACGGAAATGGCTTTTTCTTCAGCGCTTCAGAAGGCAGACAAGCAAACGGATAGGAGCCAAGGGTTGCACGATATTCACCACCAAGCACCTCCGAGTATCAATCAATCGCAAATGGAGTCAGCTACCGGCGGTCGTACTTCTCCACATCCTGTTCCTGTGAGAAGGTTGGACAATATCCGGGCCAGCTGTGACAACTGCTCAAGGTCGAAAGTGCGATGCAGCAAGGAGCAACCGAAATGCCAACGATGCGTCCATCAGGGTGTTAGTTGCATATACAGCCCATCGCAAAGAGTACGGAGGAGGCCGTTACGAGATCCAATGATAGAAGCCCCGCAAAGAAACAATTTGGCTAGGGAGACCTCCTTCAACAAACCAATTAGCAGCCATGACAGTCGTATCATTAACGGCCTTCATCACAACGAACTTGGAAATCACAACATCAACAATGACGACAAAATGCGAGATCGTGTACATGGTTTCGACATGGATTTTGACAGAACACCAACCGCGGCAGACAGTCACCAGGCATTTTCAGAGCCAAGCATGTTCCCGGTCGATGTCGACAGTCCTTGGGGCGGCCTGATTCCGACCTTTGATGAACCACCCCATCTCGCGTGGCAATTTGAACAACATGGTCCCTTTTACGACCTGGACCCTCATTTCCCACCCCGATTCAACCGAGGAGAAAGCGCAAAGTCGCCTCAGTCGCCATTATCACACGTCAGGTTTGATGAAAACACTACCGCCAGTAATAATAGCTACGGCCATCAATGCTCCGAACTAGCTACTTCCACCATTCAAAAACTCGACATCCCTATGATACCTTGTTCTTTAGTGTCTAATCATAACTCCACCACCTCTTCTGCCATGATAACGGCGGCGGCCTCTTCAGGCACTGCAACCCCAATATTATTATCTCAGTCGAGCCAGGCTCCTAGGCGAGGGTCCCGCAGTTTTGAAATTATCCTGAGAGATAACCGTACCGCACTCGACGACATGCTTACCATTTTACAATGCCCATGCACGGTCAAAGCAGAGCTTGTTTTCCTGGTAACTGCTGTATGCTCCCGTGTGCTTTCCTGGTATGAAGCCAGCCTTGAGCGTAGCAGCAGCGGCTGCAGTATTTCCAGTGCCGCAACAGCAAGCAATGCTTCAACTTCATCGAGCAGTACCTCTGCCGGATCGACAGCCGCCACCACAAGCTCCAATGCATCATCATCCCCTTTCTTTGACTGGGTATCCATTCCATCCATCCGTATGGGGGCATATGCACTTGATCATGAACATTCAGAACGCATGGTTGCACAATTAATACAAACAGAGTTGACGAAAGTGAAAGAAGTCATAGATGCATTTGCACGGACCTACTGTAACCGCGGTGATGGGCCTTCGAAATACGGATCCCACGGCCTTGTCAACGAAGACAGCGAGGACAAATTGCACCTGGCGTTGGAGGCGTTTTTACGAAGCCGGCTGCGGGCAGCCGTGAGAGCTGCAAGGGAACACCTTAGTTGAATATTATATAAAGGTCCGGTATTAAATTTAAGAGGCGTAATAGAATTCACAATTATGATAGCGTCACATTGAGTACGTATATGCTCCTGAAAATAATAATATATATGCAAAACTACATCTTTCCCAGCATTGGCTGAGCAAAACGGAACAAGTTCTTCTTATCCAAGCTTCCTTTCAACTCCTGAAGCCGCTTCCAGTTCTGTCCGAAGCTATCGTGCGTTTCTTCATCCGTTCCCATGAAACTAACGTAAACAGGCTTCAGAGATTGCCCGGTACCCTTGATATCCGCCATCAGGTTGTCAACCCAAGACTGGGCATTTTCCATGCTGCCAGCTCCGTCAGCCACGGGCGCATTGATATGGAACAGGATATGTGGCTCGCGCGTGCCAAAGCATGTCGTACTGTTCGGCTGTATCCCTTTCCCGTGGCCGACGTGAGAAAGTACACTGTACCTGCCGCCCATGGGGATGGCCTCTATATATTTGAGTAGTACTTCAACGGTTTCTGGGGTGAATCGAGGAATAGAGACAGAACGTGAACAGACTTCGGCTGGATCCTTGAATGGCTTCGTGGTCATGGCTTGGAAATCCTTGAATGTCGCTATATAGATCGTTTGTTTAGAACTTCAGCAATGATATGACTGGGAACAAGAACGAAGGGGCACTCACTCTCAGTGGTTGTATCTAGAACGACGGTGGCCAGCTGCTTGAGTGTTTCCAGCCACTTTTTCCCTTCAGCAAGGTTGCTAGAATCAGCCCAGGTATAGATGAAGCTCATACCCAGCCCGATTTTAGACCTGTTGAAGCCGACTTGGATACCCAATGCATCCGGGACACCTTTATCAAGCAGCTCCTGGAGTCTGTGCAAGGCCTGCCTGGTTTCCTCCCACTTGAACACGATGAACCCGCCCAGGATAGTTGGCATATGGTACACTTTGGCTGTGACTTCGACAATGACTCCGAAGTTCCCTCCCGCTCCTCGGATGGCCCAGAGCAGATCAGATTCAGGCTTTGCTTCGACCAATGTGCCGTCTGCGAGGACAACTTTGGCAGCAAGGATGTTGTCTACGCCCAGTCCAAGATAGTCGTTGAAAGGGCCGTATCCTCCCCAGACGGCCCATCCGGTCCATCCAACATCGGCAGCCGTCCCGTTGGACGTGCAAAGACCGTGGGTGTTGAGGAATCCCACAAGGTTGCCAGACAGAATTCCTCCTCCGACGGTCACGGACTGTTTGTCTTCAGCCAGCGTTGCCTTATCCAGCTCTCGGACGTCGATAGTGACGCTATCAGCAATGCATCCGCGGCCCCAGACGTCATGGCCACCTCCACGGATTGCGAGTGGTGGGCATCCATCACCGTTGGCCAGGTCACCGACAGCCCGAACAATCAGCTGTACCTGCTCGACAGTAACAGGCCTGCATATCACCAGGGGCCGGGCGGTGATGAGCTTGTTGAAACACCCACGGAGGCGCTCATAGTGAGGGGAAGAGCGGGTATATAGCTTTAGAGAGCTGTCCAAGGACTTGAGTGTCTGGATAATTGGTTCTGTCCCCTGAGCGTCGAGAGCAGGGTCAAATGTGGTCGGTTCCTGGCGGTGTTCCGCTGTGGAGGAAAAGGGGGTTGAGGTGAGCATTCTGGACGGTGTGTCGATGTGAATTGCCCGTCTATAGCTGTTTGTATGTTTGTATACCTGGGGCTTGCCAGCCAAACGGGGACGGTAGTGACTAGATATAGATATACACCTCTGTACCACCATACGGGTGGCGGCCAACCGGATACAACGCATAGCGCAGTGTTGGGTCTATCGGAGGACCAACAAATTCGGTCCCGAGGAGCGCCCCGTCGTTGAAACGTCCACTTCTGGGCATATATTGGCAGTAAGGAATGCCAGATATAATACGCATTGGCGGAGTGGAAGTCGGCTCAGGGCAGAGCCAGGCAGCAGAACTCCACGACTCTGGAGCGAAGACGAACGAACCTTGCTGGTAGTGAGTTCCATTCGGGATGTATACATATTTTAGTAGGCTTGGACGGCTGGTTAAACTTCCATTAACTAGTTATTCAGATCCGCGGCCCAGGATTATTAAACTTGAAAAAATTTATGTCATTTTCTATTGATAGTAACAAGCTGGTGGAGAAGAAGTACGCTGGTCTACCGTTGGAAAGGGGCGCCCTCCCCCTCTATCAAGGCCTGCCAGTAGTTCCAGTCGATCTGCGATATGTCGACGGGCGGCTCCTCGGCGGTGCCAGAAAGGACAAGATCTCCCCCCGTATCCCGCACGGCTGCAACAGTAGCAGCGGAAGAGAGGTACTCGTCGAGCACGGGGGACATCTGGGCGGAGGGAGAGGACGGGCGCCGATCCCTGCGCATGCTGCGGAGTTTTGCTACAGACGCGGGCTCGGTTGCGTGCTGAAGAAGATGCGAGGAGGAGGTCTGGGCTACGGACGAGAGCTTGTCCCACGCCCTGGTGGTCAGGCTAACGAGGGCCGAGACGAGGGTGTTTGTCCTTGCGGCGGTGATGATCTCCGGGTGGTCAGCGTAGAGCTGGTTGACTCGCTCCCATGCCAGCCGGACCAGGTCCCCCTCGAAGCGGGCCAGCAGCTCGGTGAGGACGAGGATGAGGGCCTCGAACGGGAAGGCCATGGCGACGTGCCAGCGATACGGCTGCAGGGCCTTGTTCGAGTATGCGAGATTGTCGTATCCTATGATCTCCAGCCCCAGACTGAAGACCTGGTCCTTCTCTGCCGCGGAGAGGGTAGACCCTCTGCTCGAGTACCACTGGCGAGTGTGCAGAGAGAGACGCATCTGGCAGACGGAGGATCGCCCCAGATAGAGGGCCAGCAGGTGAAAGGGGATGGAGGGATCGCATTTCTTAAGATACCGCTCCTCCAGCCGGGTCTCGAGCTCGTCTATCAGCTGGCTCTCCTCCGCAAGACGCACGGCACTGTTGTCTTCCGCATGACGGTGCTCGAGGGCCTTGAGCTTGCGCATGTACTCGCCGACCTCGAACCGGATGCGGCAGAAGAGCATCTCGGTCGGTCCGTCGTACTCGGCGGGCAGCTCTCGCATGGAGGGGACGAGGTCGCTGTCGTTCAGGTTGAGCGGACAGCGGGTGTCCCAGAAGAGATACGAGTCCGGGTTCACGGCGACGCCTGACAGCTGCGCTGAGCGGCTGTCGAGGATGAGAATCTGCCACCAGAGCCGCCGGCGGTTCTCCTGCTCGAAGACGGAGAAGCCCCTGAGACTGGCCTCGCGGTGCAGGCCCATGGCCCTGGCCGTGCGAGAGGCAATGCCGATGAACAGCCACAGCGTGTGCGGCTCATATGTATGCCGAGTTGCCAGCTATACAGCCCGTTAGCATCAGCATCACACCAGTATCAGTAGTTAATGATAACCAAAAAAAATAGCGGGAGTTACCAAGTAGAGAGTGAGCGCCTGCAGGGTGAAGATGTTGGTCGACCGCAGGAACTCGGCGTTGGCCAGGGCCTGCTTGGTCGCCCTGGTGAACCGGCTGAGAAGGGCGGTCCTGGACTCGCCCAGCAGCCTCATGCAGGTCTCCTCGTCGGTCGAGGTCACCGCTGCCGTGTAGATGGCAAAGAGCAGGGCCTCGGTGCTGCGGGAGACGCTGGCCAGGTCCGCGGCCGCGTCGAGCACCATCCGCTGCATCGTCTGCGAGTGGAAGAGCTTGACTATCGGGTTGACGTTGTTCAGGTAGATCTGCCACAGCTGGAAGAGCTGCGGCGCCGGCGGGTGAAGGCCATGGAGGTCGAGGTAGCGGGCGTCGCCAAACAGGCTCAGGGGCTCGCTCTCCTGCTGCTCGAGGTCGAACTGCGACTCCTCGTCTGCGTCCAGAACCTCCGGATCTTGCAGCTATTCCCGTTAGACAGCTCTCACATTTCTATGCTTCACTTCTATGCATGAAAGGGGGCCGTATTTACCTCGTCTGACAACCCTTTCCACAGCCAGCTGCGGTCCCAAGTCAGCCCCTGATCTGGCACACATTTTATATATATATATATATATGGACTTACTTCTCAACATAGCGCGAGCCCGCCGACCTGACTATCATCTGGCCCTGGGGAGGCGCCCGTGAAGGCAGCAGAAGCTCCCGCGAGGCCGTCTCGCCGGGCTGCTCGTCGTCGACCTGGATGCCGTGCGCCTTCAGGGCCTCCTCGCAGCACCGCAGCCGCCGCACCAGACGCTCGCTTGCCGCCGCCGCGGCCCTGCTGGCCTCCCGTCGATGCATCGAGGGCTTCGTCCGCCTGCCGGGGACACACTCGATCCTGTTGCGGCGGCAGGACGAGCATGGCTGCTGCCCGTCGCACCGCACCTTGCGCTGCTGGCAGGAGAAGCACGAGTGGTTGCGGGTGATGCGCGGGAAGCCTCCTGGGTGCATGCTGTCTGCCATTGTCTATATCTCACTGTCTCTCTCTCTCGCTCGCTATTACTCACATGCAGCGGCCGCTTCTGATATCGACCCAGCTGCCGTTCTCTTACTTAACGGAGCCCCGTCTCGCATCCCCGGGCGATCACTCGGTCCCGTCGGCGGCGCTGGCTGGCTCGGTCCCGGCGGATGCAGGGAAAAAGCAACGAAACGGAGCGAAGCCAGGGCGAAGAGATAAAAAAAAAGAAAAGAAAAGCAGCGCGAGCAGAGCAAAGAATGCAAGGGACGGTCCCGGCTGGGTCGAGAGACCCGTTGTTCGAGGGCGATGTCGATCATCTATCACTTGTTGTATATATATATATATATATATATATATATATATGGCTGCGCAGGCCGTGGTTATGGCTGCTGTGATGGCCGCAGAGCAAGCAACTTAACTGGTTACCCCTGAGCAAACAGCGAGTAACCACCACCAGCAGCTACCACAACGCTCAAGATGACGGAAGACGAGAAGCCTCCGGTCGAGGACGTCAAGAAGGAGTCGTCCGAGGTCAGCTCGCAGCAGCCCGCGACGGAGCAGATGGCGGACGAGAAGAAGCCGGACGGCCAGGGGGAGGACGAGGGCAGCTACACCAGCGGCGCCCGCCTGGTCGTCATCATGGTCGCCGTGCTCATGTCTCTCTTCCTCGTTGCCCTGGTAAGCAGTTATCGAGCTAGCTAGCTAGCTACTTCATGCATCGAATGTGCAGTTGCTGACGGCTGCAGGACCGAACTATCATCGCGACGGCGGTGCCTGAGATTGCCAACCAGTTCCACGCCCTGACCGACATCAACTGGTACGCCAGCGCCTATCTCATCACCAGCTGTGCCACCCAGCTCACCTGGGGCAAGGTGTACACCTTCTACTCGACCAAGTTCGTGCTGCTCAGCGCCATCGTCATCTTCGAGGTCGGCTCCGCCCTCTGCGGTGCAGCCCCCAACTCAACCGCCTTCATCGTCGGCCGTGCCATTGCCGGCACCGGCTCGGCGGGCATCTTCTCGGGCACCACCGTCGTCATTGCGCAGGTCGTGCCCCTGAGGAAGCGTCCCGTCTATGTCGGCATGATGGGCTCCATCTTCGGCATCGCCTCGATCATCGGGCCTCTTATGGGCGGTGCTTTTACTGACAGAGTCACCTGGAGATGGTGCTTCTACATCAAGTGAGCTTCCTTCTCCCCTTTCCCCCCCACCTTATTTATATGTATAATGTCTACATCCACTCATGAGCATCTGCTAATCGATCATTCTAGTCTCCCCATTGGAGGTGTTACCATGGCTGTGCTCCTCTTCCTCCTGAATGTTCGCTCCAAAAAGGAGTCGACCCCCTGGAAGGCCCAGGTCAACCGCCTCGACCCCATCGGCAGCATCCTCTTCCTCCCCTCGGCCACCTGCTTCTTGCTCGCCCTCCAGCTCGGCGGCACCTCGTACCCCTGGAACAACGGCCGCATCATCGCCCTCTTTGTCGTCTCCGGAGTGCTCATGATCGCCTTCGTGGCCGTCCAGATCTGGAGACAGGAGGACGCAACTGTGCCACCCCGTATCTTCTGCCAGCGCAGCATCGCCAGCGGAACCGCCTTCTCTGCCTTTGTCGGTGGAGGTCTCATCTCCATGCTTTACGCCCTCCCCATCTGGTTCCAGGCCGTCAAGGGCACAACCGCAGTCCAGTCCGGCATTGATACCATCCCCATGGTCCTCTCTCTCGTCGTCGGATCCATCCTCTCAGGCAGCATCATCACCGCCACAGGACACTATGTTCCATGGATGTACGTCTCGACCGTTCTCATGTCAGTTGGCGCTGGCTTGACAACCACCTTCAAGCCTGATACCAACCACTCTGCCTGGATCGGATACCAAGTGCTGTTCGGCTTCGGTATTGGAACCGGTTTGCAGCAAGCTAGTTTGGCTGCCCAGACGGTGCTCAACATGAAAGACCTCTCGACCGGAGTCTCTCTCATGTTTTTTGCCCAGTCCCTCGGCGGTGCCCTTTTCGTTGCCATCAGTCAGTCCCTCTTCTCCAACGCCCTCGCCTCCAATCTGGCTAAGGTGCCAGGTCTGGATGTGAAAGCAGTCCTGGCCAGCGGTGCAAAGGATCTCTCCAAGGTAGTCCCCCTTGACAAGCTGCCGCTGGTTCTACCCCTTTACAACGACAGCTTGAGGAGATCCTTCATCGTCTCCCTGGCAGTCTCCTGTCTCATGATTCTTCCCACTATTGGAATGGAGTATCGTGTCATCAAGAAGAAGGAAAAAACTCCAGCCCCAGAGGCAACTGAGGTATAGACTAGTAGTTATATGATTACTTGCATATACACATTTACATAGCCAAAATTTACATAGTCTTTTTCTGCATAATGTTTAATACATATCTCTCCGCTCTGTTGTCTCTAGCATAAGTTTCTCCCAAACTATCTCGTATTCATTATAATTAGTTTTAGAACTCTGCCTAAACGAAAAAAAAAAAAAAAAAAAAAAAAAAAAAAAAAAAAAAAAAAAACAAGCAGACACTACCGAGCGGTTTCAGTATATATTGAGACGGTGAAAACATGCTGAGGACGTTAGGATCCTACTTATCATTTATATTCTTGGCTATCAATTATAAACACAAGTGGGCCGAAACTAGTTATATACATCAACACTCTTTCTAGGCACGTCCGCCAAGGGTAATCTCGAGAACAGACATGACACTTCCAACAGGCTGGACAACATTCTTCAAAGTCAACCGCTCGTCCACAGAATGCAGCAATTCCTTCCAATCTTCCAGGTCTCTTTCCAGACTGTTGAACGCCTCCAGCATAGTCATATCCCTGGCTCGCAGAAGCCGCTCCTGGGCAGATGGAATAGACCCTGGCTGCGGCAGAACAGTGTCCATTATGATGATGCGAGACGAATCCTTCAGAGCAGGCAGGATGTTCTGGAGGATTTTAACGGCTTCTTTCTTCGGCCAGTCATGCAGAATCATACGCAACAAATATACATCTGCGCCCTGGAATGGTTGAGGCTGGAAGAAATCGTGACCCTCGAAGAAGATGCGCGAAGTAACTCCCTTGCCCAACTTCTCCTGTTGCTCCGGTGAAGCCAGGAATGCTTGTCCGTCTGCTGCATTTTCGGGCAGATCCTGCACGATGAAGTTGAGGTCTGGGAAGGTGGAGGCAAGTGAAATACTTGCTGCTCCGCTAGAACCACCAACCTGGTTAAAGAATAGACGTATTAGTGCTGCTATACTTTGCATGATGGGCGTATCAAAAGTGACCGAGAATGGAACGACTTACATCTACAACTGTTCCCTTGCCCAGGCTGGCCCAGTCAAATCCTTCAATCAGATAGTGCATTCCAGTGCCGCCGCTCTTCTGCACATTCTTCATGTAGCTAGCGAACTGCCGTGTCTTGTCAGGCTGGGTCTTTAGATGGTCGAAGAACGGCAGATCGGTGTCAAACGCAACATTGTACGCTGTCTGGGTCTTCTCTTCACTGTCCGTCCACTTTACGGTGGCTTCTACCAATTTTGCGGCCATGGGGACCGAAGCCTCGCACATGAAAGATGCCCAGTCATAGAAACTGGAGTCAGTCGCGATAAGCATTGATGCTGCTGTGTGAGCGACCATATTGGGCTCTGGCTCGCAGAACAAGTGGTTCGTCATGGCCATGCGAGCCACTGTCTTGAGCTGCTTGACCGAAACTCCAGCTGCGGCTGCAAGAGCAGGATACGAAATGGATGAATCGCATGGGACCAGCTTGAAGATGTTGAAATGGGTAAGCCATCGGAGGCAGGCGATGTGTTGATACTACAGAAACATGAATTCAGTTGCTGGCGCTGATAGATAGGGGTATGCATTTACTTACTCCGACAGCTAGATGCGGCAGATACTCACTGGGGCCGGCAGCCAAGTGGAAAATTTGGAGGGCAGCTCCCATCAGAGCCTGTCGTGCCGCACCTATCTCTGGAGGCGCAGAAGCTGGGAGCGATGTAGCAGGAGCATCACTGGCAAAAGATGGTGCTGCATGGCCAGAAGTTCGAAGAAACTCGCTCACGACTTTCGCATTTTCTTGCACCTGAGATGCAAGCACCTCCAGCATTGACTCTTGTGAGTTAGTCCCGTTGGTTTTGGGGATTTCACCGTTGGTTTGCTGCATGGTGGTGGCAGGCATTGCTGAGACAGTTGTCAATCTCTAAGCTATCTATTGGAGAAATACACGGAGAAGACTGGATAAACTCGCAGTACAGTCAAAGGAGCTTATTGAGAATAACGAGCAGGGAAAAGCTCAAAGCTACTACAGGTAGATGAAGCTCAGGTATATAGAATATTATTGAGGATCGGGTATGATTACCACCAACCGACAACACCTCTTGAGATACACCACAGCTCAACAGCCTCGCAACTCAAGCTTTGGCAAGACCGAGAATCCTTACCCGAGTCAGTTCCTCCAGCCTATAGTGCTGGCTTTAGATAGACAGGGCCTTGTCCCATCGATGTGGAAATATATTTCCGCGATGTATATGTATACGGTGCACTGTGTACCTGGAACCTGGCTGCCACAGTGCGACAAGCATGCAGCACATGCTAACCTAGGTAGGTGGCTGAGTTTTAGATGCTGATCGGTTCGTCCAACAAAGCTCTGCAGCTGAGATCGTCAGGCCCCGAACAATCCCGATGTAACCACCATATCTGGTCCCTATAGGGCTTACAGTATTGGTTAATGATAGCGAGAGCGAACTTTCTCCGTCACGTCAGTAAGAAGCACATAGCTCGCGCCACTCGGGGGAACGTTTTTGATTGTATCTTCTGCATTGGCCGCTTTTAACCCGACGCAATCCCGAGACCCGATCCTTAGCCCGATCTTCACCCTTTTTTTCTTCTTCGCGAGATTAAATGCAAAAATCCGGACCCACTTTTGTGCGGGCCGATCACGGCGGATTCTACCTTAACTAAATTAAGCTTAACTCCTCCTTGGCTAAAGCTTATTATTTGCAACTCTCGCGCAGCAGTTCGTTCGCGAAACTTTCTCGTATCAACAGGGATCCAAAAGCACGAAATTACAGGGATGCTTTTGTGGTCGTTTCGAGGTAATTCTAAGCACCCCATACAATTGAAACCTATCTATACCCTATATACATGATGAAACATTACTTGAACGTTGCAAACCAAGCAGGAGGAATCCCTCCTAGGTTAGTTTCCGGCGTAGTTAAACGCTCATACTTGTGAGATAACACGTCAGTCCAAGAACCCGCCTTTTCCAGGAGCGTATTCTGGTGGTACCTTGGGCCACGCATCAACACCATCCATGAAGGCAATAGCCATGCCACCACCCAGATGAATCTCAAAATGACAGTGCATGAGCCAAGGTCCAGGGTTGTTAGAATGGTATCGTAGCACGATCCAAGATGGCCCGTCAAAAGACGTGATGAAGGTGTCCCGATAATTCGGTGTTTTGAGGTTAAATTTGGTAGGCTCGGCCTTCATTGCCTCTTCGACTGAAGAATAATTCCAGTGTCCTTCCCCGGCACCGATCTGCCAGGTCTTTCCGGAGTGTTTGTGCATGATATGCGGGAACTCCTGGGGCTGATTTGGAAGGGAACCTACCTGAACAACAAGGTCAATCCAAGTATTGTTCTTAGTGCGGATGACAAGGCTCTCGTCCATTGCGTCAGCTGAGTCTGGGTAGTAAAGTAATGGGGCGTATGCACTGCGATCCTCTTGATACATTGCACCACCTTTCATGGTGTATGTCCACGCGGTTTTCACGCGGTGAGTATCAAGGAGGTAAAGGGCATCTGCATGCGCGGCGGGTGCATTGGGTGGATAAGGCGGTAGGTTATCGCGGTCTAAGGTAACGACGTGCGTCGTGTTTAGACCGCCATAGTTGAGAATCCCTTTAGACTCCTTCGCTTCGTGAACACTCTTGTCATTCGGGTTCCGTTTATACCGTAGTGTGGCATATGATCCAATGATCTGAGTTAGACCTGTATCCATCACTCGAATTGTATAGTCTCGAGCATCGTTCTTGTGTAGCTTTACCATGACTGAGTATCGTTCACCAGCGTAAAACTTGACTGTGTCAACCTTCTGTGGCTCAATAAAATGACCGTCTGCCTCATAAACCCACATTTCATGCTCGTCAATGGCAAAAACGGGGGTCTTGAAGGTTGCAGCATCAACAAAGTTGAAACTGACCCATTCATCGGCTGGGTCGACTTCAAAAACCGCTTGCTCTCCCTCGGATGGCACACATCCTTGTTGTAGATGGAGAGGAATTGTCTCTGGGTGGCCATCGCGTAGATATTTGTTTTCCGTCGATCTGACAAAAGGGAGGCATCTATACTATGGATCAGTGATATTCTCGCTAGAGTCCCAGCAAACAGGGGCCGTACCCTTTGTCATTGACATGGCGTGGGTATATGGCCCATTTCATATAATCCATTGTGTGATTGACAAGAAAATCCTCTCCTTGACAGTATACGCTGCCTTTTCCATTGATAAGAATGCTATCCACGCAACTAGAAGAGAGTCCATAAGCTTTTGCGGAGTGCCGTAAGGAACAAGGAGCCATACAATATAGTATAACCTGAGTCTTCTTGGGCCTTCATATATTCCCACGACTTGAACCGGGTCCAGTCTGAGACAACTACAACATGAGGGTTCGCAACTGCTCTTTTCATGTTTTCAATGTCCTTTGGATTATTGCTGATAAGTGACCATGGAGCTGGAGCTGTGGGCTTTGGCCTGGTTAACGTTAAAGCATGTTCGGAAAATGCGAAATAATGGTTAAATAAGTACCTGATGTACATGGCACCGAATAGGCCATCAAACATCGTTGTCCTTGTATGCGAATGCCACCTTTTTATTTTCAGTTAGCTACCATTCCCAATATTTTATATCTCTAGATAAATTTCCTACCAATGAGTTCCAGAAGGATACGCCTTGAATCGGTAAATAAAAGACTCTCCCACCTCGATTGGTTTCTGTGTTAAGCCAGGGACACCGTCAGACCAGGGAGTGCCTTGCATCCTGGAGTTGTAAGTCGTTCACATCTCTTCTTTCAAAGCCGGCTACCAGATGGGACTTACAAGAGTCCATGCCAATGTATAGTTGTGTTAAAGGGCATTTTATTATGGACAAGGACCTATATATCAATTAACTAATTTCAGCAAGGCGCGCGCAAATGAATTTTGGCCCATCTTCCAGTCAGTTTCTTACCTCCACGTCGTCGTCTTCGTCCCAGACAAATGTAGGCCCCGGGAATTGGCCATTCATAAAGATCATCTCCCTGGGCTGTCCATTCGGCGCTCCCAAGCCCCATGTCAATGTCAGCTCCTCGCGTACGACCTTCGCAGCGGCCTCTCCTGCAGCGAGAGCGCAGAGGGCAATTATCCATCCTCGCATCGTTCCAACAAAGATCCGTTTAGATCTCGAGCCGATGAACACAGGAATAGGAATGCAGACAGGCAAAGAACTTCATTAAAAGGGCCAGGCTGGCGAGCTCGCCTCGGAGCTGGCTAACTACATTCCATCACCCAAAGACTGGAGAATACCACCGTAACTGGCTAATAATAGTTACATACATAAAACTAATATATATGTCCGAACACGAGAACGGCCGGGGACAGCCTAGCAAAACGCTATCAGATTAGTTTCCACAACCCGAACCCCGACCGAGCAGGCTGGAGAAGCAGAAGCCAGTCGACATGAGCCCAGAAACGACAGAGTTGATGCCCAGAAATGAATAAAACTGCTCCCGGGACTCTGCTTCCCGCCAGTGACTGCTTCTATTCTCCTGGTCTTGATCGGACACACATATACGCCAAGCTGGCAGCATGGAAAACCACCGGCTTCGACGTATAGTACGCCAGACACTGCGCGGAACGGCCGTGGTAGTGACTATCTTGCTGGCAGTACAATGGACCTTCAAGAGCTCGAGCGACAGCAAGGTCAGCAACTATATCAACAGCCGGCTGGGTGCGAACAGTGCCTCTTCGACCCCTGAACCCCATGGTACTGTGTGGGAGACCATCAGGAACGATACCCGTATCTCCAAATTTGTGAAAGTGCTGGGAGAATTCAAGAATATCGTAGCCGGTCTTGATGCACCGAAGGCCAAGTTCACCGTCTACGTCCCAACCGACGAAGCGTTCGAGAAGGAGACCTTTGCCTGGGACCTACCGTCCTTCTACTGGCTCTACCTGATCGGATACCATATGGGTGCAGGAGCGCTTTCGCAGAAAGATTTCTCGCACATGACTACAGCGCCGTCGTTTGTCTTTGCAGACGTCTTCGAGACATACCGCCAACGCATTAGCATACAGAGGGTAGATGGAGGTGACGGCTTCATGTTGAACCATGTAGCCCGGCCGGCTGCTCCTGAGATGGTGAGTGAGTGGCGCTTTTTGCTCAACAGTTGTATATCTATATAACTAGTTACCTAGCTCCTTGCTAATTATTTGTAGCCTGCAGTGAATGGTTACGTCCATCTGATTGATCGTGTCCTTATGATGCCAGAATCGACGTCCGACCTCCTACGTGATGACCCTAAATTGAGCAAACTGCGCAAAGCTCTCATCGATACAGACGTTGCCGTGACAGTCAACGATACGTCCACCCATCTCGGCCAGACTGTGTTTGCTCCTACCAATAAAGCCTTCGACAAGTTGGGATCAAAAGCCAATCAGTTTCTCTTTAGCCCCTATGGCAAAGAATATCTAAGAGCTCTGCTTCAATACCACATTGTTGCCAACCAGACCATGTTTAGCAATTTGCTGTTCCCTCATAACGGGGAGGCACAGATCCCCCTGGAAAACGGGTCAAAAGTAAGTACTCTCATCAGCCCTCCCCGTGCAATATCGTCGTTTGATTGCTGAGCCAAATGAATATTGTAGATACATCTTCCGACTCTGCTTCCTTCCCATAATCTGAGTGTGACGGTAGAGATGGATGGATCTCGAGTTTCTCCCAAGATCAACAATGCTGTTAGCATCGAGAGTCATGACATCGTGGTGATGGATGGCGTGGTACATAAGATTGACACCGTCTTGCTACCGCCGCTCCTATCCAATGGAGAAGAGTCTACCTCCGAACAATCATGGATAAGCACTATGGCACAATGGCTTCTAGGCCCCTCCGGAGTACCGGTGGGAGAGCTGAAAAAAAGATTAGAGAGACTTGTTGTAGAACCGTGACCAATCTCGCTATTTGCGCAATGCCGGTTGCCTACGCAATGATAAAAATCCGGTGTACCACATTTACATGTAGAATAATATACATTAAGAATCAACCATTTTGTCTTCTCTCTATAATTCACTTGGTTAACTAGCTAGTCAACGAGTGAGAAAATGATGCTCTCAAGCCTGGATGTTGTAATTTGATTTTACCCCTTTTAGAGTAACTCTACCCCGGTAGTTAGTTAGCCCCTGAATTTCCATACCCAACATGATCAATCGGAGGATTCATATGAGGAAACGTCAAACTATTCCATGAATCGTCTACCCTCAGCCAGGCTCGTGTTTTCGACTGTGAGAGAGTCCAGAAGCTTCTCCCTCCCTCGGGCGAAGATTTATCCAGCGAGACCAAATTGAGACCCATTTTCAGGGCCAGCCTTCGGGGCTCGGGTTTGAACCTGCCTGTGAGCCTTCCCCGATGTTTAACATACAATAACTAACTGGCTACAATAATGTTAGTGAGCATGTTCAACGAGTAACCCGAACAACTTCGGGCTTGGTATAGCGGCTGGTGGCTGAAGCATCGAGCTCCTGGTGTCTCTCGCGATGAACAACAGCGCCGGGACAGACTCAGCAACAAGCTATATCATGACGGCGGCAAGATTGGAGAGGGTCAAGATGAAGACGACATTGTTTCTATCTCTACATTTTCGATCTCTACCAAGTGTTGGCTAGCAATCCGCCAGAACGTCACCATGGCTGCCGAGGAAGTTCCATTGCAGAATAGCGAGCTATTCGATGTCAGTGACTGCGTTGCAGTTGTTACTGGAGGTGGAACAGGGATGGGCCTGATGATGGCAAAGGCACTCGAGGCCAACGGAGCAAAGGTCTACATTCTGGGTCGACGGCTGGCAGTCCTCGAGGCCGCCGCGAAGCAAGCAGTAAGCCAGATATAGATCTATATATGCACCCCCTAGGAGGAGTATGGAATCAAAGCACTAACAAGGCAACCCAGACATACGGAAACATTTACCCCTTACAATGTGATATCACCTCCAAGGATGACCTCGAGACGGCAGTGGAACGCATTGCCAGCGAGGACGGCTTCGTCAACTTGGTGGTTAACAACGCCGGAATCTCAACACCGAACCTAGGCCCCCAGCGGACGCGACCAAATGCCAAATGGAGCATCACAGACCTGCGGAACTACTGGTTCAGCAAGCCGTCATTCGAGGACTACGCCAGAGTCCTTGAAGCCAACACCACGGCGCCCCTGATGGTGACCTTTGCATTCCTCGAGCTGCTAGACCGGGGCAACCGTGTGCGCGCAGAGCAGGCAAAGGCAAACGGCGGCCGATCAGACTACGTGCGGAGCCAGGTCATCATGGTCAGCAGCGTTGGTGGCTTTGGTCGCGATAACTCGGCCTTCATCTACGGCGCCAGCAAGGCCGGGACAACGCAGATGACCAAGAATCTGTCGACATATCTCACGCCATGGAAGATCCGAGCGAATGTCCTGGCACCAGGATGTAAGGCCCCTTTAATTACTGCAAGATATAACCATCCCAGAAAGATAGGAAGCTAACGGTGGTGCCATAGATTTCCACACGGAGATGACCCAAGACTTCTACAAGAGTACGGGGGGTCGGTTACCGGCTACCATGACCCCTGAAGAGCGCTTTGGAGACATGCAGGAGATCAGTGGGACCCTCTTGTATATGGCCTCGAAGGCTGGTGCTTACTGTAACGGCTCAGTGATGCTTTCTGATGGAGGCTACCTTGCTATCCATCCCAGCGCTTATTGATCGATGTTATATTTGGGTCTTATTGTGAAAGCACTTTTTTTTTCTTATTTAACAGAAATATTGGTTATCCATGTTTATAAAATAGTTATATAAGGCTATGGCGAAGGATCATATTCGGGTTAAAGCCCCAGACAATAATCCCGATCGATATTGATAGAGTTATTATCAAAAGGCTGAGCTAAAGAGGCTAGCCACCAATTGAAGACAGAATTACTCTATTGACATAAATAATTCGAGAGCAGGGGGTTTACATTGGGAACTGGATCGAGATGTCAAGGGCAGAGATGATGCCAGCTAATATATACACAAAGTATAAGGAAAAAGTGAAAAGAAATCTTGACCATAATTAGCTACCTATCTCACACTCGCGTCGAATAAACTTAGGAAGAGTTTGTTTCAGCCTCAAACTACGGGTACCAATTCTTAGCCCGAAGCTCCTTGTTCATCTTGATTATGTTCTCCCGAGCACCGGCCCATGGCTTCCGCTTGCCCGCATTGAATAGTCGGTAGTGGAAAGGCAGCAAAAGCCCATCCATAACCATACTGCATAGTTCCCGGTCCATGAGCCAGAAAGTCCAGCCCTGCCAGCCATATCCCAAATTCGCTCCCATACCGAGACCGGCCGTTTCGTCAACCCATTCCAGCCAGTCAACTCCTTTAGTCAGGCCCGGCGTCACTCGCGAGTTGTTAGAGAGATTGGCAATCCACTTGAATTGCTCGTCCACTTGGCGGTTCATTTCTGCCTTGGATGGAAGTCGAGAAGTCCCCTTCCAGAGCTGTGCAACTGCCATGCTCGCAAGGTCGAACATCAGGAATGCCGGGTTCATGAATGACAAGTTGCCCATGAAAGCAAGTGACTCGGGGTGCTGCAGCGAGATAACATTCTGGTAAAGACGAGGCATCTTCCGGCCATTCGACATCTCGCAGGCGTCCTTCTGGTCGTAGATGGTTGGATCACTCTTCCCGAGCATTGAATAGTCAACGGTGTATCCAGTACACCAGACGATGGAGTCCACCTCAATTACAGTGCCATCGGTCATCTCGATGGTTGTGCCGTCACAGACGTGACGGATAGCGGGAAGGGAGATAACCCGGCCACTGGATAGGTTGTCAATGAGATTGTCGCTGATAATTGGTCGTTGCTGGCTGAAAGACGGAGCAGGATCCAGCTGCCATTCCGGCTTAAGGTCGTATAGCCGATTGCGAAGTCCGACAATAACGCTGTCCATCACCTTTTTCCACAGGCCTGGGGTGTAGCGGGACATCATACCCAAAATCCATCCTTTGCGATAAGTGCGTACATGGTCGACCGGCTTACCGTCAACCCATCGTGGCAGCTGGAACCTGGTTAGCTGTAACGAAAAGCAGTGGGATATAGTGCCGGCTCAAGACTTACCACTATGGCACCGTGACGGTGCGATACATACACTTGTTCCGCTACATCCGCCAGAAGGCCCGTGACATCGGCTGCAGTGTTTCCAAAACCAACAACCAACACCCGCTTTCCTGCATAGTCATCAGCGCTTTTATAGTTAGCTTGGATACTTATTGCAGGCATCAAGCCACCCATAAAAAGCCACCCATAAATTACCGAATGAGAAAAACAACAGCCCAACTTACCTCTTGAAAGTGACAGAATGTTGCACGTCTCCTTTGAATTTCTCGATTCCCGCTACCTTCGGGATATTGGGTACTTGATCGGGGCCCAACGCATGGATTACTTTGTCAAATTCCTGCACAGTCTTCTGGTCTTCGTTTCCAACTGGAGATATTTCAATTTCCCACTTGTGTTTCATCTCATTCCAGCTTGCACGGTGGATGTTTGTGCTAAGGCGCACATGTGGCATGACCTGGAAATGCTCGGCGTACGAGGCAAGGTATTTCGCCATATGGCTTGCTGTCGGGAAATCTGGCGTATCTACACCCAGTTAAAACCATACAATTCCGCAATGCATAAGCTCTTGCGCAAACTCACCATCAGGAAAGGGAAAATCGGTGAATGATCCCTAGTATAAAAGGTCTGCTTAGTCCAGCTCTTCTATATAGGCAACAGGTTGTATAGAGCTATCTTACACGATGTTTGGATCCGTTTGTTACCGTGGCTAGAAAACGAATTGAGCTCAGGTCAGTTGAATGAGTCCACATAGCACATATAGAGAGCAAAAGCTAACTTGGTAACACAGAGATGTTCTTATTCTCCTCATTGTAATGCCACAGGCCGCCAACGTATGAATTTCGATCGAATCCAGTCACATTGAAGCCTTCCTCAAGCATGTTCTTCATCGACACAAGGCCGAGAGCCCCTATATTGGTGCCAAGTCAGCTATCTGCATATCGTTATCCATAGCCAATTCGGCGGAGAGGCAGCAAGCTACCAGTTTAGAATCTTTACATACCGAGACCAAGAACTGCAACTGTTGGCGCTTTTTCAGACATTTCGGAAGCCCAAATGATCAAAGGAGATGAAACAGCTTTGCCAATAGTATGTAAATGGGTATCATCAAATGTTGACCGTTATTCTTGGGTATGTCTGGGCAGCCCTATCGTATAAAGGGTGGAAAGGAACACGGCAAAAGAAACATTAAAACAAAATAAATCTCCGTAGTAGAATGTCTGCTTCATTAACATTGTAGATTCCAAATTACCCGGGCCCTCCGAAAGGGGGCTGAGATGTCGTAGGATTCGGGGTACAGTCGGGACTCAACCGGGTTAAGTTGAGCTGATATGGAAGAGGATCCAGGCTCGGCCCAGTGGACTCTTACTCGGATATGGGAGCCCACATTTAGAGAACCTTGTACCTCATGGCTATCCACAATGTATAGTAGTACCACTATTCTCCCCTTGTTTCAGTACAGATATTGGACCCTCGTTGAGATCCGAATTCCGACACATGGTCCCGGGAATGATCGGGGGTCGCGCGGGAGTCCTGCAAGATCTCTTTCGGGTCTTGTTATTGGTTCGGGAAATGTATGGAGACATATTTGACATGCAGAGCTGAAGAGTATTGGTAGGCTTGAGCTAGACGCTGGCGGACGAGTCGAGGACCAAGCGGCTGCCACCACTCACATGGGAATGGAGTCTCCAAAGACGGGCACGTGGGAACGTGGTGTGTAAATATAGCCAATGTAGACATCTCACAAGGGTCTTGCTTGAGGCTTTAAAAACTGTTGGAAATCCCCCTAGGACATATCAGAGCAGAGTTCAACTGCGCAGTTCCATACGTGACTTCTACTGGAGCTCCAGTTCTCCCTTTCCATTTTCAACTTCCCATGCAGTTCAGCACTTAGGCAATAGTAATTGCTTCAACATATAACTCAAGTGCCTCTGCTGACCATGGTGAATCAACTGCACCTCTATCTCTTCGGAGATTTGACATATGACATTTCCACAAAGCTGCAACCACTCCTTCACTTTGATTCATATCCCCTTCTTCGTTCGTTTTTTGATTGCGTTTCCGATAAACTCAGAGCTGAGATTGGCCAATTGCCGGCCCAGGACAAAGAAGTTTTCCCTCGTTTTTCTAGCATTGCTGAGCTATTGACATGGCGTAACGGCCACAGCAGGTCAAATCCTGCTGTTGAGAATGCATTGACGTGCATCTATCAACTGGGAGAATTTATTCAGTAAGTCCCTGGAGTTAGGAGCATCTGCATAATCAAGCAATGAATGTCCTGAATGAATCCATGCTAATGAATATGCCCCTTTTCTACTGCAGCCAACATGAGGGTCTCGGACAGGAATACTTCTCTCCCCAAGAAACATGCGTATCAGGTATCTGCACCGGTGCCCTTTCTGCCGCAGCTGTTAGCTGTTGTAGGACTGCATCTGAATTGGTCCCTATTGCTGTACAAACGGTACTGGTCGCTTTTCGATTGGGAATGTGCACATTACGTGCTGCCAAGGCAATTGACCCGTCAGAAGGAAACTGGTCGATGGTTGTATCTTGTGATTCAACTGACAAAGTTGGAGAGCTTCTTTGCAAATTCTCTGAGTCTAATGTAAGAATGATGTTTGCACTGCTATCGGGATAACAATGGCTAACACGTTCCACAGAATCTTCCCATCACATCAATACCATGGATTAGTGCATATGGGGAGGATAACTGGGTGTCGATTAGTGCACCTGCATCCATTTTGCTAGCACTTCGCTCCTCTGAGATACTGTCAGGAATGCGCTCGCGTGTACTTGATATCCACTCTCCTTATCATGCAAAGCATATATTTTCAAATATCGACATCGATGCAATCCTCGAGACAACCGATTCTCAGGAGTGGGAGCGATATAGAGCCGTTCGGCCTATGGTTTCGAGCACCACTGGAGAAGTAATTGAGCCCGAAGGACTCCGATCCCGCTTGGAGGCAGCACTCATTCAAATTTTGATTGAGCCGATCAGATGGACAGAGCTCACTCAGGGGCTGGCTGCATTCATGTCCTCAATCAACGCAACGAGGTTCCACGTTATTTCTATTGGCACCAATGCAGAGGCCACATTAACTGCATCACTGAGCTCCAAGATGCAACTTGATGATTCACAAGTCCCCAGTAATGGCGAAAGTGTGAAGCCAGACCAAAACGGTGGCGAGGCCCGTGGAAATATGGTCCGTGGTCGATCCAAGATCGCTATCGTTGGCCTCTCAGGCAGATATCCAAGTGCAGAGAATAACGAGGAATTCTGGGATCTCATCTTCCGTGGACTAGACGTGCATAAAACTGTGCCAGATCTCCACTGGAGTGCTAAGACACATGTTGACCCTACCGGCAAGAAAAAGAATACCAGTGCTACCCCGTACGGCTGCTGGTTGGAACATCCTGAGGCATTTGATGGACTCTTTTTCAACATGTCACCCCGCGAGGCACCCCAAGTCGACCCTGCTCAGCGTATCGCCTTGATGACCGCCTATGAAGCAATGGAACAAGCCGGAATTGTCCCTGGCGCTACCCCATCCACCCGCCACGACCGGGTGGGCGTCTTCTATGGAGTCACAAGCAATGACTGGATGGAAACTAACAGTGCCCAAAACATCGACACCTACTTCATTCCTGGTGGTAACAGAGCGTTCATCCCAGGCAGGATCAACTATTTCTTCAAATTCAGCGGTCCCAGCTACAGTGTTGACACTGCATGCTCTTCTAGTTTGGCATCTCTCCATATCGCTTGCAATTCTCTGTGGCAGCGTGATATTGATACTGCCATTGCGGGTGGAACAAACATCCTTACCAACCCTGACTTTACTGCTGGTCTGGATCGTGGACACTTCCTCTCACGCACTGGTAACTGTAAGACGTTTGATGACGATGCCGATGGGTATTGCCGTGGAGAAGGTGTTGGCACCGTTATCCTGAAGCGTTTGGAGGATGCCATTGCTGACAAGGATCCTATCCACGGTCTCATCTTGGGAACTTACACAAATCATTCGGCGGAGGCAGAGTCAATCACCCGCCCGCATGTTGGAGCCCAGAGGGATATCATGAGAAATATTCTGAGCAACAGTGGAGTTGATCCATACAGTGTGAGTTACGTTGAACTGCATGGAACAGGTACTCAGGCAGGCGATGCTAGAGAAATGACCTCTGTCCTGGACACTTTCGCGCCTGCAGACGCCCGTCGATATCGTCGGCCCGAAGAGTCCTTACATCTAGGCTCAGTTAAATCCAACATCGGTCATGGAGAGGCTGCTGCTGGAGTCAGTGCTCTGATCAAGGTTCTCTTGATGTTGAGAAACAATACCATCCCTCCGCACTGTGGTATCAAAAACAAAATCAACTCCAGCTTCCCAACCGACCTTGATACCAGGAACGTATATATTGCAAAGAAGGCCGTCCCCTGGCCTTCAAAGGAGGGGCAACCACGCAGGGTATTTATAAACAACTTCAGCGCTGCAGGAGGAAACTCTGCCCTGGTCCTTGAAGAAAAACCTGTAGAGGCTGAGATTCTGGGAACAGATCCTAGAGCTGCCCATGTGGTAACGGTGTCAGCCAAATCAGCAATTTCTTTGAGTCGAAACATCCAGTCACTGGCAGATTATATTGAGAAGCATCAAGACGAGGCTCTTTTCCTTCCCCAGTTGTCCTATACCACGACCGCACGTCGAATTCACCATCAACATCGAGTTGCTGTTACCGGTACATCTGCTGCCGATATCAAGGCAGCTCTTGAAACAGCGGCTGCAAATGGAGATGGCAAGGTTAGAGCAAGAGTTGCACCCAAGGTCACATTCACATATACTGGACAAGGTGCTCAGTATGTTGGTATGGCTAAGCAGCTATACAAATTATTCGATCAATTTAAGAGAGACATCAACCGGTTTGACAGCCTTGCCCAGAAGCTAGGATTCCCCAGCTTCATTTCTGTGATTGAGGATGAGTCTAGCCAGCAACAGCACGATATCTCTCCAGTCACCTTACAACTCTCCAGTGTCTGTATGCAAATGGCTTTATCTCGGCTGCTTATTTCCTGGAATATCATTCCGGACAATGTCATAGGTCACAGCCTTGGTGAATATGCTGCTCTTAATACCGCTGGTGTTCTATCTGACACAGACACCATTTTCCTCGTGGGAAGACGTGCTCAGTTGTTAGAGCAGCATTGTACACTTGGAACACACAGCATGCTTGTGGTTAAGGCTTCTTTATCTGCCGTCCAGAGAGCACTCGATGGTACGGACTTTGAGGTTGCATGTATCAATGCACCAGAGGAGACTGTGCTTGCCGGCCCCAACACACAAATTGAAGCCCTCAAGGAGTCCTTGAACAACAATGGCCTCAAGACAAAGATCATTTCGGTGCCTTTTGCATACCATTCTTCCCAGGTAGATTCCATATTGAACCATTTCGAGACACTGGCTACAGGCGTTATGTTCCGCAAGCCAGCGATTCCGGTTATATCTCCATTGCTAGCCGAGGTCATCGTGGACGATGGTATCATTTGCCCTAGGTATCTAAGGAGACATTGCCGTGAGACCGTCAATTTCCTTGGAGCCCTTCAGCATGTCAAAGAGACTGGAGTCGTGAAAGATAAGTCCTTTTTCGTTGAGGTAGGCCCCCACCCTATCGTGACTGGTATGGTTAAGGCAATCTTTGGGACCTCTGTCACTTCTATGCCTACGCTTCAGCGTAGCCGTGATGACCTGAAGGTTGTAACCGAATTGCTTGTTTCCCTTTATTCGGCCGGCACCGACCTTCGCTGGAACGAGTACCACCGCGACTTTGAGGCCTCTCACAAGGTCCTGGAACTCCCTGCATACAACTGGGACTTGAAGAACTACTGGATGCAGTACGTGAATGACTGGTCTTTGCGAAAGGGTGACCCGCCATTGATCGTTGGCCCTTCGTCCTTGACCTCAACTACCATCCACAAAGTAGTGGACGACAGTATTGACAAAATTGTTGTCGAGTCGGATATGGCACGCGAAGATTTTAATCCCTTGGTACAAGGCCACGAGGTCGATGGCGTGCCTCTATGCACACCAGTAAGTGCCGGCGTGAATCGATAGTTTCCAAGCGATAATACTGATGCTAACCGTACTTCTAGTCTGTCTATGCGGATATAGCCCTTTCCATCGGCAAGTATCTTCTGGAGAGATACCATCCAGAAATCGAAACGAACCTGGTCGACGTGGCCAACATGACTGTCTTGAAGGCATTGATTGCTCGGGCTCAGGGGCCCCAGCCTCTTCGCACCATAGCAACTGTCGATTGGTCTGCTAAGAAAGCTGGCGTTTCCTTCCGCTCTTACGATGTAAGTCTTCCCTACCATGGTGTTGGAATGCCAGAGTCCCGTGCTAACATTGAACCACTGTAGAAATCTGGAGAGCCAACGGTGGAACATGCGACCTGCGAGATACACTTCACTGATCGGTCTAGGCTCAAGCTGTTAGAGAGCTCTACTGCAACTATCAAGGCTCGAATGGGCGCTATGCGCGAGACCCTTGGAAGCGGTGAAACCCAAAGATTCAATCGAGCAATGGTTTATAAGATGATCAGTCCTTTGGCACAATTCCACCGAGACTATCAGCCACTCGATGAAGTTATCATCGATAGCAACAGCCTGGAAGTCTCCAGTCAGGTCAACTTCACAGGTGTCCAGGCTGCTGGTAACTTCTTTGCCCATCCAGCTTATATTGACGGCCTCACACAGGCAGGAGGGTTTGTCATGAACTGCAATGACAGTAATGATTTGGCAGTGGAGGTGTTCGTTAACCATGGCTGGGAGTCTCTGCAGCTGTATGAGCCTCTTCAGAAGGAGAAAAAGTATAAGACTTTCTGTCATATGTCTCCAGGAGACAACAGAAAATTCCATGGAGATGTGGTGGTCTTTGATGAAAGCGAGAAAATCGTAGCCAGTTACAAGGGCATTGTTGTAAGTTGCTCCTATCAGAACTAAACTTGCGAGGCCAAGTAACTGACAACTGGCAAACAGTTCCAAGGCGTTCCTCGTCGAGTGTTGCGTTTCTTCTTGAAGCCTGAAGCGCCGGCCGCTCCCCGTGGACAAGCAAACCAAAAGACCACAGCACGACCAGCTCCTGTTGCACCAGCTGCAACGGCCATGCCAACTTCTACCTCCAAGCCAATCGCTAAGCCCGCCATGGCTCCAACAACATCCAGCACCAAGTCACCAAAGGTCAAGCAGGCATTCCAAATCATCTCAGAAGAAGCCGGCGTGCCTGTTGAAGACCTCACGGACGATTGTGTCTTCACAGACATGGGAATTGATTCGCTGTTGGCCCTAGTGATCACAAGCCGATTCCGGGAGGAGCTCGAGTTGGACGGGGAACTGGATGATATATTCCTCACGTATACCTCGGGAAAAGCACTTAGAAGCTACCTTGCAAAGCAGTCAGGTTCGGAGATCCCAATAGTGGTGGAACCAACACCATTACCGGTCATTGCGCTAAATGTTGAACCCGCCGTCACTTCTCGAATCTCCATGGGTGCCGATTGTGCTGCTGCCCTTGCTATAGTGTCTGAAGAGAGTGGAATTGCGATTGCAGAGCTCGCTGATGAGTGTATCCTTGCAGAAATTGGTATCGATTCACTTCTGGCGCTTGTTATCGTCAGTCGTTTCAAGGAGGAATTGGACGTCGATATTGACAGTCAATCTGTGTTCACAGATTCCTTCACGATCCGAGACCTGAAGGCATTCTTTGGAAAAGGGGAATCGACTATTACTACCCGCGCACCGTCCATTCTGATGGAAAGCTCTGACGAAAATACCATGTCATCCATGACACCGCCAGACTCAAGTTCCGACTACGACACGTCCGAGAAGCCAGAACACATTGCTGTACCGCCTGCCACATCTGTTCTATTGCAGGGTATTGCAAGACATGCAGAGAAGATCCTCTTCCTCTTCCCTGACGGCTCAGGATCTGCAACTTCATATTCAGCAATCCCGCGGCTGAGTCCCCGCGTAGCTGTCATCGGGCTTAACTCTCCCTATAACAAGATCCCAGAGCTTTTCAGATGCACTCTCGACGACCTGATTGATAGTTACATAGATGAGGTCCGCCGTCGTCAACCAACAGGGCCATATTATTTCGGAGGCTGGTCCGCCGGAGGTATTTTGGCCTACCGCGCCGCTCAAAAGCTGATTGAAGCTGGTGAAAAAGTTCTCGATCTTATTCTAATCGATTCCCCGGTCCCAAGGGGGTTGGACAAGCTGCCACAGCATTTCTATGATCACTGCAGCAAGTATCAGGTATTCGGACACCGTGCTGGGCCAACCAAGGGCCATGCGAAGGCGCCAGCATGGCTCATTCCACACTTCAATGCAACAATTGACACCCTACATGATTACCATGCGTCCCCTCTTCCTGCTGGTAAAACGCCACGAACGACTATCATATGGGCGTGTGAGAGTGTAATTGATGGTGTTAATGTGCCCAAACTACAGTCCCATCCCGACGATACACCGGGCATGAAGTTTTTGTCTGAACAACGCACCGACTTTTCAGCAGCTGGGTGGGAGGCCGTCTTTCCAGGAGGAGAGATTATCTTGGAGCGTATTGAGCGCGCCAACCACTTCTCTATGATGGTGAGTACAACAACCTGAGCACATTCGAAGAGCCAGTCTTGATCAGTAACTAACCACACAATCGTATTAGAAAGGAGAGCATGCATCTAAGCTAGCTGCAATCATTAAAGCTGCACTAGCATAAGCGAATGAAGTGAAATAGCTGTGGCCGGAGTGTACATACGTGACCAATAGCTAGAGGCGTTTGAGATTTGTCATTTTTAGATAATAACCGCGCATAATAATTTTGTTGTTTAAACCTGTCCTGTAGAACAAATGAAAGATCCGTAATTCTTCTGCATAAGGGCAAGCCCAACTTGTGTCGGTCAAATTGAGTAAATATGAGTAAACATTCTTTGAACTAGCTACCCGTAAGCAGAGTCAGCTAGTTCAACGCCAATCCTACGCAGGGGAGGGGGGAGAAGAGAAGAAAATCAGTTACTGGTTTAGATACTCTCCAGAGTGACGGAATCAGAGGTTTGAAGCAGCTTATGGCGAAAGTAGATGGTCAGGTGTACCAGATGAAGAGGCACTCTACAGCGTCAAAGCAGGTTGCGTCAGCGATGGAGTGAGCTTGACTGGCCAGGACTCGCGCGCAGGAGGCCCGATGGAGACTGTGGTGGTGAGGATGATGGCGAGCGTGACTCAAGCCGCTCTCGCTGCGCCCATGCACGAACGATGACTCCATAACTAGTCGGCAGTGATGGCGGGGATAAATTCTGCTCGTCCAGCTGACGCGATGATTTCTTCAAGTCGCTCAAGGCCTGCTAGCCATAAACCGGCCCAGGACGAGGAGGGAAGCCCATTTGGCTGTCTCTCATCGAGTCAACTTTGCAAGGTAGTTAACGGTTGTAACCGTCTCTCTGACCTAAACTCAGCATTCACACCCCCTTGGGTCGCCATGGTCGCATTCAATCATAGTATTAACCCAACGAACAACTGCGGAGTAGCAGTGACAAGGGCCTGATCTCGGTAGAAGGGGTCACAACAGGCACAAGAGTTTGTACGAGGACAAGTGTTAGAGGCTTGTAGAGGACCGGACCAGGAGGAGCGCGTTGAAGTATAAATAAACTATCGTACCTAACTACAAGTGGTTAGTTAGCCGAAGTGTGGGCCATCCCGCTTAGAGGTAGAGGTTGGGTAGTTGTGGATAAAGGAGAAGGGTAAAAGATTAGAGAACAGGTGAGATTCCGCACTCGATCTGCGTACCCAAATCCCGCCGTATCCAGCTGCCTAGCTGTGTATCCTAAGCACAATCCTCTACTTCTGCTATATTATCTCGTTATACTAGGGTAGGGTTAGGGTTAGGAAGAGCTAGGGGTTAGAGGAATAAGAATTCTATACAAGAGTAAGAAGGTAAAATAAAAAAAAAAAGGAGATAGGTATAAGAGGTAAGCAAATAGAGTAAGGTAAGGCGTGGCCTCGGAGTACATAGATACACTGGAGAACCTTACGCTAAGAAAAATACATACATTACTCTGTGTACCGAGTGGATACGGTGGCATTTAGGTAAGTGGCATTTCAGCAATTAGGCAGTTCCACGGTAATAATACACTAACAAGAGGCAGTACATTGCAATCATCCTAATTGGAAGCTCCAAGTTCCTGCACAGGCATCTGGCTAGGCTCATCGTTGTCATCTTGCCCAGATTGAGACTCATTCTCAGCAACCGGGGTTGCACATTGGGGCGTCTGGCAACGCCGACTGTTATCCAGCCAGTTATACTTCTTCATACGCATACGGTTCAAGGCAGAAACAGTAGGCTTTGCGGCTACTGGTCCTTCGGCAGTAAGGTCGATCCTTGCAGGTTCTGAGGGCACTGTTGTAGGCTTGGATGCTCCTTGATGAGAAGCAAGATTTGCTGCCGTAGCCTTGGAGGCTACAGCGATTGCGGCATGATACTGCGTGAGGAGGTTGAGGTGGGCAGCTTCAAGGTTCCGAAACTTGTTGCGCCAGAGTTCCGCCTCAGCTGTGGCTTCTTCGATTGCCTTGTTTTTAAAAGTTATCGACCGTTTCAGGAGGGTACATTCTTCTCTCATCTGCTGTGCCTTTGACTTTCCCGTAACAGGGTCAATGCCCCCCCACTGCGCAGAAAACCATGCAATTTTATCCCGCTCATATCTCATCCTATGAGCTACCCTGCGGTATTGGTTGATTCTGTGGTTAACTGTGCTGTCCGCTACTTCAACACACTTGACGTGAGCGACCGGAGTCGACGGTAGATAACCTAGAGGTCCGCCCATGCGAGGATAGGGAGAAATATATTTCTCTGCATTGTTGGGCGTAGTGAAAACCTGTCTGTACATGGAATTCAGTAGATCTTGGCTCCCGATATTGTTGTATTTTTTTATAATTTCAGACACTGGTTTTCGTACCCACGGCTTGAGAAAGACTGGCTCGGCAGCTGGGGGGGATTCTGGGGGTGATAGGATCGAGGAAGAGACAGTGTGACAGGGCCTTCCAGGAAGAGACAACGGTTGAGGGATCGGAACTGGCGGCGGAACGGGTTCACCAGGAACTTCAACATCGTCGAACAAAGAGTCAACCGACGGTTCACGTTCTCTTCGAGAATTATCATCAGGAATATATTGCGTCGGTGGCGAAGGCAGGGTATGTTCCACGGTTAAAGCTTGCGGTACATCCTCCTGCTCATATGAGCGGCCCGTATGTGGAAGTAAAGCAAGATGTGGCCCTCTTTGAGAGAGAGCTATTGAGCCGTCGCTAGAGTGACAGGAAACAGTATTGCGTGGCGGCGAAGGACTTTCAGTTTGAAGGGTTCCAGGAGTATTGGAGGATACTTTGCACAATCTTTTGGAAGTTTCACAGATGTCATCGGTACGGATGTTCGTGGCATCGTCTATGCAATCAAAAGACCTTTTGAGCATACGCTTACCATCATTCAGTTCCGCCGTTAAGGGGCCCGTATGCTCGTTGGTTGATGGTTGGGCACTATGAGTTTCAGTATTTTCCGCCACTGGGTTTGTGTTGTCGTTCAGCGTAGTGTCGTGTTGTAGTGGGTTACCGTCAATATCATCGTTGCCTCCGTTTGAGGCTGTGAGTCTGTCCAAGACATCCTGAAAATCACCTCCATCACCAAAAAGGCCCAAGTCAGAGAGAGAATCAAGCCCCTCAGTAACGTCTGGTTCACCCGGGAAACCCCACAAATGCTGCAGCTGTGGTTCAAGTAAATGTGTAAGCTCTTGGCCTTGATTCATAGCTGGCTGAGAGTTGGGAGAGAGCTCTGTCCGCAGCTCATGAGGGCTTTGGACAGGAGGAAAACAGCAAGGCAGTGTCTGTAAAGAAGCATAAATACCTTCTGATGACGAGGACTGCATCGTGTTCATAACACAGCGCAATCCTGCTGGGGCTTTTGATGCTATTCAATCCGTCGACAAGGACTAATAGATCAGTCAAAGGAGTAACAACAACCCCTCTCCAAGCTAGTAGCCGTAACTTAACAAGTCTGTAAGGGAAGCAGGATTCGAGACCAGTCCAAGCGGTCACTAGTAATAGCCCCTGCCGTCCACTTGTTATATTGCTCGACCTAGCTGGTTGGTGTTGTTGATGTTGATGTAGTTGATGTAGTTGAAGTCAAAGTTGAGTTCTGTTCATTTTTTGTCCAGCAGGTAGTCACATGACCAATGACTCTTATAATTACGTAATACGTTGGTTTAACTCAAACCTTATTTGTGGGCGTCGAAGGCATATTTACTCCAATAACTCACCATATGCGAATGAAATAGGCTGCTTTTTTAACAATAGGGAGTTATGGAAGCTCTATCCACAGGATATTTGTCTCGAGAATTTTAAATATTTGCTATAGACATGAATAATATGATGGATGTTGGGTTCCTGCGGCTGGAAATTGAACGGCAAAATATTTCTCCGATGACTCCTCCACGCTCGGGCCAACCTGCAGTATATCGAGATTCTTCCATGAGGAACCAAGAAGAAATATAGAAAGCTCTTGATGAACAGAGACCTGTGAAGAAGAGAGAAAGCACAAAAAGGAAGGCTTTCCAGGCAAGAACTGAGCTGTGATGAGCTTACTCTAGCTAAGAAAATAACAACTAAAGCTCCACGTCGCGCGCCGCAGCCATGAGTGTGATTCTTTGTACAGGTATGTCACCATCCCGCATTTTGATAACATATCCATCAATGCAGCTAACTGGCTGTCTGTGCTGGGTTTAGCGGGATATGACCATATTATTCGGTATGTCCAGCAGGTGTAGAAATATTTTAACCTTGAGACCGCGTAACTGACTTAATTCAAGATTCTGGGAGGCCCTATCAGGCATATGTTCCCGCACCATCCAGCACCCAGAGTCCCAGGTCAACCGGCTATGCATCACTCCAGATAAGCGTTTTGTGGCCGCTGCAGGCAGGCATCGAGTGTACCTTTACGATATTCGATCTACAAACCCAAATCCAGTCATGAAGTTCGATGGACATACGAATAATATCACCGGCGTCGCGTTCCACTGTGAAGGAAAGTGGATGGTGACCAGCTCCGAAGACTGCACGGTGAAGGTGTGGGACGTTAGGTCTGGGACACTACAGAGAAATTATACTCACAAAGCCCCTGTGAATGATGTGGTTATTCATCCCAACCAAGGTGAATTGATTAGTGGAGATGGCTCTGGCTTTATCCGAGTCTGGGATCTGGGTGAAAGCAGATGTACCCACCAACTGATACCCGAGGAAGATGTGTCCGTGGCTAGTGTTAGCGTTGCCAGTGATGGTTCTTTACTGTGTGCTGGAAATAACAAGGTATGGTTTTTCTCCGGCTGGTATATTTGTATGATCCTTGCTTACTAGGTAACATTATAACAGGGAAACGTATACCTCTGGCGAATGTTGCAGAATCAAGATGAAACAAGCATTGTCCCCGTTGCGACCTTCCAAGCGCATAAGGACTATCTGACTAGAGTGCTACTCTCGCCAGACGTCAAGCATTTGGCAACCTGCTCAGCAGATCATACAGCCAAGGTCTGGTCTTTGGATCCAGAATATGGGCCAGCAAAAATGGCCGCTGCCGCCAGGGAGAAGGCAGCCAAGGAAGCCGCCCAAAAGACTCCTGGACCCGCTTCTGCGGCTACTTCTGTTACTGCTTCTCCAAACGGACAAAAAGGTGAAGCCATAAAGACACCGCCCAAGACCCGAACAGAATGGAATGGAAAAGGATCTCCAGCCAGTGGTTCAATCATCGCGTCTGGCGGGAGTACAGAAATAACTGCCTCGGAACTTACCCAGAACGATAGCTTTGTGTCTGATCAGCCGTTTCCTTCTTTTCTTGATGGACCACCTATGGACCATACCACAAATACGCTTTTCCTGGAAACTACATTAGCCAGTCATCAAAGGTGGGTATGGGACTGTGCCTTCTCGGCTGACTCTGCGTACCTGGTTACAGTGTCTAGTGATCACTGTGCACGTCTATGGGAGCTTTCGTCCGGGCAGATCATCCGACAGTATCAAGGGCATCATCGTGGTGCGGTCTGCGTTGCCCTGAATGATTACTCCGAGCCCAGGTAAACGGTATTTTCTTCGATTGATGCTAGGTTATGCCTTTTTGATACCTATCTACCTCTTTCTCTTTGAGTAGTCATGTTCTAGCCTGGCGTTGAATGTATGGTGGCGTTGTTATCGGTATTTTGTTGGTGTATGGAGGAATTGATTGTATGATTGATTTGACACATCGGAAATGAAATCGGTTCAATATATAGTACTATCTTGCAACCAGTAGGCATTCAAAAGCAGCGATTACATCTTAAAGGTCTACGTAATAGTAATAATGACCATTATCCTATGTAATCATTTATGCTCCCAAAAAAAATTCACCACATTTCCATCCAGGAGAATTCAAATTTTATACCATTCCAAGACTTGAAACAAGAACACAGCACGTTTCCCCCATAAAATTCATCTCAGAGAGCCAAACCAGACAATGTTCAACACTAGGTCCATCCCCTTCTCCTCGGCCACAGGATGTTTATACGTCCACATGCCATCATGCTTGGTATCCCAGTATGCGCCTGATGCACAGTGCATGCCTCGTCGTCCTCGAGCTTCAACATTAGTGGAGCCCTCCTTGCTTGAGAAGCCTTGCTGAATGATTGTGCAGGTAACGTTGAATCGATATGTGGGTTTAGAAGGGTCGGGTTTGCTGTCCTCTTCCTTATCCGTCTCCTCTGAGGAAATGGATGATATGAGTGATCGAAGGACTTGGTTCTATATCCAGTGTTAGCCAGCTGGGTTATTGAGTAGCGAGAAAACTAGGTAAGACAAACTATTATCTGTGCACTCCATTCGGAGACCTTTTCATGTTCATACTGCTCGACACCCTCCAGTGTGGAATCGCATGCCTGAGTGCGTCAGTAACTTGTAACGGGGCGAAGGAGATCCAGGTTGGGGAGTGAGAGGTTTGAATACCTCAGCAGCGATCTTGGAAAGCTGTTCCACAGGAATTGGCTATAAGTCATGGTTGCGAGCCGTCAGTAAGGGGCCCGTGGATGCTTAGCAGGACACAGGGGTAACCATACCGAGCTAGAGTGCGGTTCAACTGCCATGACTCCGGCGGTCCTGCGCGACGCTAAAATGAGGGTATTCGACTTTACGGGTGAAGACAATTGACCGCCGCAGCGATATGCAACTTGTATCTCTCTCGATCACTCGTAAAACTAGCGACTTTTCTCCTCGTCGTCTTGTTTACTTGTGAGAATAACAATGGATTATGTAACTGCCCGTGCGTTTATAATTAGCTTTGAGTTATGTAATACACTGGCCGCACTAATCGATTAATAAGCATTAATCATGTGACTGGTATTTATTTGCCACGTGATGGATTCTTGTCCCGAAGTGGCAAGAAGCAAAAGAAGCTTTTCGAGAGTCGAAGAAGCCGAAGAAAAAAACCATCGACGAAGCGAGATTCAGCTGGCATTTTGACTGTCTTTGCCCACCTACAGCCGAGTATTCGACAGATACGTCTGACCGCGTGAACCCGCTACCTCTCAATAATTGACCTTTGCCGCCAGTCACTATGTCAAGCCAGCCCCTCCTACAGTCCGCTCCAGGTAAGCTGCCGATTGGACCCTTGCAACCAGCAGCAAATAGCTGCCACGGAACCACAGCCCAGCAGAGCACAAAAGAATGGATAAAAGGTTGAAAGCTAACCACTGAGGTGAACGATGGTGATAAACACAGGCAAGAGAATTGCGCTGCCAACTCGTGTCGAGCCAAAGGTCTTCTTCGCCAACGAGCGAACGTTCCTCTCATGGCTCAACTTCACGATCATCCTCGGCGGCCTGGCTATTGGCCTGCTTAACTTTGGCGACCGCGTAGGCCAAATTAGTGCCGCGCTGTTCACATTCGTGGCAATGGCTTCGATGATATATGCACTGGTGACGTTTCACTGGCGAGCGCAGAGTATTAGGAGACGCGGGCAGAGCGGTTTCGACGACCGGTTTGGGCCGACGGTGTTGGCTGTTGCGCTGCTGGCCGCTGTTGTTGTCAATTTCGTCCTCAGGTTCAAGCAGGGCGGTGCTAAGTAGATGCATTCATTTGAGGTGAAGTGAAATCGACGCACTGGTTTTTGGAATACTTCGGACCTTGGTTTGTCTGGTTGGATATGTCTGTCTATGCTGGTGATTTAGGTGATTGGGTGTCTATACGTGTACCTGTACTTGATGACTTTTTGTTCTGTTCTGCTTTAGCTTGCTATGTGCGTTCCCAGCGGTATAAAGATTCATATATAATACAGCTGAACGGGCGAGCAGCTGTCGCCCATCGTGACGGTCTCTTTATCAATTCTCAGTTTTGGCAGCCTTGCATTGATATGTACGAAGCCTTGCACGTCCGCTTGCCTTCCGATTGGCTAGGGAAGCGCCATAATGAAGATATTATATCATCCTGCATAAAGCCATTCTCTCCATCCATTCCATTTCATGTGTATTGTTAGATTTTTGTTAAAAATATCTCTCTTGACTATAGATATTATGTCTTTAGCTGTGTTGCTAGGCGTAGCAAACAGTACTACATGCAGTACTACCTACCCACTTATAAATTTACCGAAGTACTCTCTCCTGTATAGCAACAAAGCTGTTGCTTAAGGGGGTTTAGTATATATTATATTATAGTTCTGGCTATACCGAAACCCCCAGCTGTCCACATAGTACTCCGTATATGGTGTCCAGTTTCATATAGCATTCCAATATAAAGACGCCTAGGCAGCGCATGTAGTGAACTCTGGAGCAGTCATTCCCGAATATCCCCTTTCCATGTCATATCTCACCTAGCTTACAGAGGTACATCTGGTAATGGGTGACCATCTGTTGACATATATGCCGTATAAGTAAATTGGAAGGTTATCAACTAGACATCATGTAAAACCTTTAGTTTAAGCATATGCCAGGTACCGCCTCACTCTATCTTCTCCTGTTAAGCGTTGATATCTTCTGTTTCTTCTCTTTCTTCACGCCAAAGAAAAAATAGAAGGAAAAAAAAAAAATAAAAATAAAAATAAAAAAAAGCAAAAGCTAGAGCCATGCTTAGTCATCATCCCCCTTGCTGTGTTATTCATTACTTTAATTCAACTTCTTCGCTCGGCTTCTATGACTTCACCACTCGGAGTCTCTACTTCTACCGTCCTGCCTCTGTATCTCCCTCGCTGCTGGCACGATTGAGACAATCACACATCCCCCATCTCGCCTCGCTATCGCCGCGCCGGGGTGGCCGCTGCGCTGCAAGTCGTTAGTTCGTCAGCTAACTTGCATCTATCTCCCCCTGGCCAAGCCAAACGTCACCAGCCAGCCCGACCGTCCGAGAGACCCAAGACAACGCAACCTCGAACCTCGAAACCGCCAACTTGCGCGCCCTTCGAGACCACGGCCCGCGCTTCCTGACAGCGCTTCTCACTGTCCTCTGCCCGGCGACTTGACACCGCCTGCAGCGATCTCTCGCCTCTGGTCGGCCTTGAAGTGTCTGGACACGTCGCCGCCGAGGCAGCGACGCTCAGGTCGTACCTGAAACAGCCCGTTTTTCCGCGCGGCACCGGTTTCTTTCCACCTCTCTACAGCTTGGTCGTCCTGGTGAAGACAGACACTGCGGTGCCCAAGAGGAAGAGGCTCGCAAGAGACGCCTGGGCGCTCTAAAGACGCCGTTCCTGATTGCCCTGGTGGCCTCCCTACGAGTCAGCCTGCATGTGGCGCCCTAGACGTTGATACATTTGTTACGTACCGGGGAATTCGACGATACACAATTGTCTCTTCTCTGCAAGGCGCTTTCATATGGCATGTTCCGTCTGCTACCCTGGTCTTCCATTGCTAGGGTTAAACAGGTAACGGGCACTGCGGAGGAGCACTCAGTCAAGGAGATGGCCGTACGAGAGCAGAACCCGTCATCATCACAGCTGCAGTCGCAGTCGCAGTCGCAGACACTGAAGCGGAAAAGGTCCGATTCTGCTGGATCAGAAGTGACTTCGCAGGATGCCGCTGGCTACTCTAAGATAGCTGCTCTACATAGGCCAACAGCGTCTGCAGATAACGACAGCATAGCCCAGTCAAGAGACGTTGCGGAGCCCGTAGTAGGCCCAGACCGCGACCCAGTTACCAAACCGGCAAGCAAAGCCAATATACCCAAGCTACATGACCTCCGGCAGCCCATAGCAGCGCGGACCATGGATACCGAAGAGCTGCGTCAGACCCTGGAATCACAGCTCAGCCTTGAAGTTTTGCTCAAGCACGATGAACTACGCATGATAGAGCAGGAGATGGCCAAGTGTCAGGTTGCGCTCGAGCAGCTGCGTCGTTGCGGTGAGATTCCATACCCTGGATCTGGCCTGACGGGACCTCTGGCAGCCGTTAGCAACGGCTCTGGACCAGCCATCATGCCTCCGCGCAGCAGCCCTCGTCCTCCAGCCTCTCCTTCTCCCTGGGGTGCCAATGATGGAGCGTATACCCGGCATTACGCACGGTGGCTTCTTCCGGATCCGCGATTCGATGGTGGAGAGGTCGAGACAGTGCCGCTGCCTTCTAGGGCCGGCAAGAGTCCCGTGGTAGATGGACGAACGACTCGTGCATCATGGGCTGATGCAACCACGGCTTCTTCGCGCTCTCATCGTGGCACTGCTGGTGCGAAACTACAAGCCCTCTCAAGTGGATACCCTCCTCCGAAAGACAAGGCCGGCCCGATGATCATTAAACGCAAGACAGACGGCCAATTTGTGAAGCTGGTCTGTCTTGACTGCAGGCGTGATAACTTCTCCAGCACACAGGGATTTATCAATCACTGCCGGATAGCGCATAACCGCAGCTTTGCCAGTCACGATGCCGCAGCAGCAGCCTCCGGTGAGCCTGTTGAGGTGGATGAGGCGGGTACTGTTGTAGGTGGGCAGAGTGAACCGCCTGCTGCTGGCCCCGCTGGCTATGTTCATCCGTTGATTCGGTCTGCTCTCCTCACTGACCCTGCGAAGGGGGCAAAGCACAGTAATCAGCAGACCAAGGCCAGCACTAACCCTTCTATCCAATCCGTTACTTCTTCGCCTCAAATACAACCCAAATCAAGCACTCCAAGAGGAGGTCCTACAAAGCCCGATGTCTCTCCCGCTTCTACTTTCAAGGCATCGCCTCAGACACCTCACTTATCATCCCTCATGCTCTGGAAAGGTATCGATATCGACCTATCCCACGTTGTGAACGATGCCCTTACCAAACCAGACGTCGACATGTTCCTCTCAGATGAAAACTCAGACAGCGAGGCAGATGAAAATACTTCACACGGGCAGACAAGTTCTCAGCTAAGCATCCGGAATAACAGACTGCCTGGCCGCACCGTTTATGCATCCTCCCAACCTCAACGACCTGGAAGCCGCAAGGGAATGGACAAACGAGGCGGTCCCACGCGTCGCTCACCTGTACCGTTACACACATCGATATCGCCAACTCTTTACTCCTCAGGAATAACATCGGGGCGGCATCCGGAACCCGATGGAGACATGGATATGACAGGCTCGAATTCACCAGACCTCAGCCCTAACACTGTCGAGTCAAACCAGGCCCCTAGCCTCGTAAGTGACGACGGCGAATACGAAGCTCCCTCTGAATCCGAGAGTCCCAGCCCCAGCTCCTCTGGTTCTGAGGACGAAGGAAATACATTCGATGATATCAAGGTCCAGGACGGAGATGATCCAAGTGCCGACTCGAATGCTTCAAATTCAACAACGGGGCATATCCCGGGTCCGGCGAAGCATCATCATGCCAGACCACCAATACCTACTACACCAACCAGACGACATACCATCGGCAGGAAAGACGAGTTGAAAGCCAAGAATGCAAAGAGACAGCGATAAAAATGCCTCCAAACCGAACTTAGCATGTATAGATATATGCTGCATAACAACCTTTTTATTCCATTTCGTTTTATTCTTTCTACTTAGAGTGTTTGACCAAGCATTGCATGCTTCCCTTATGACTATCCTAACGACCTTGTCTATTGCTTTTTTTGTTTGCCTGCTCATCTCCCTTGATTACAATTCGGAATAGCGGAACACTTGAAACTCCTTTAATTTGGGCGCGTCTATGGTGTTGGCTGTTCTCTACCCCTTTCTGCCTTCACCCCTATACAAATTCTTAATATTCCTAACTTTCTTGTGAGACCGATAGCTCTACTCACTATATTACTTCCCCTCCTCCTTCATTTTATGTGGATATATTATATACAGAAGAGATTGTCTTATGCTTACCATCAACTCCCAATCCATCCCTCTTTGATCTCCCGTAGATGTTTATAATGAAGCTAGGGGGAACAGCCAAATTCCACTCACGTGATGATAGCTCGAAAAGTGACGTTTTGATAAGACGAAGAAGATGCCAAAGACACGAACAAGCAATATAACAAGATACTAGCCTGAGCAACCCATGTAATGGGATATTGACGCCGATATTGATGATATACGATGACATCACGCCTCGTCCTGGTCATAGGTGACCTTTTCATTCCCGACAGAGCACCAGTAAGCAGCTCTATTGAAGCCTGGCGCAACTACGTATGACAATAACAATACTGATATGTCCTAATCCTTCTGCTGCCCGCAGGATATCCCAGCAAAGGTATGTCAATCCATCCTGTCTCTGTCTCTATAGCTGTTTTCCACTGACTAACATCTTGTGTAGTTCAAGAAACTCCTCACACCCGGCAAGATCGGCCAGATCTTATGTCTAGGCAACCTCACAGATCGCGACACATATGAATTTCTCCGCCAAATAGCGCCGGACCTGCAGGTCGTCAAGGGCGACTTTGACGTCGATGCTCCGAATCTTCCTCTAGCTAAGGTCGTCACGCACGGTAGCCTACGGATAGGTTTCACGCATGGCCACACGATTATCCCGCAGGGCGATTCGGAAGCGCTGCTGATCGCAGCTAGACAGATGGATGTTGATATCCTGCTGTGGGGAGGCACGCACAAATTCGAGGCATATGAGATGGAGGGAAGGTACTTTGTTAACCCTGGCAGTGCAACGGGGGCGTTTACTACATCTGGGGTGTCGAAAGGGGAGGAGCCAACTCCGAGTTTCTGTTTGATGGATGTAAGTGTTTACCTACCGCTGATCTTCGTAGTGTATGTGATTGCTTACAGTTTGGCGTAGGTGCAAGGCGATGTTCTTGTGCTGTACGTCTATCAGATACGGGTGGACGAGCAAGGGGCCGAGAATGTGGTGGTAGAAAAGGTGTCTTTCCGGAAACAAATCTCCCAATCGGCGTAACACTCATTACATTAAATGATATCCTTGAGGTTACCGTGTGAGGACCAACACTTGAGCGTTCAAATAATAGACATTTGGCGAACAAATCATAATAATATACAAATATTTAAGTCAACCAACCTGCCAACCCTGCAGCAGTGTCAAGTCAGGAGACATCTAAAGTCAATTACCATAAAAATACAAGCCCAACACGCCATGAAGCAGAACCAACGAGCAAGTACAAATGCAAAAAACGGCCGCTCAGCTTTGACGGCCTTTCTTCTCGTTGAATAACCTTTCCACTTCCTTCTCCAGCACGGCTTGTCCGTCAGGTCTAAACCTAGTCACCTTCTCCACGTTCTTCGCTGTGATTTCATTCATTTCTTCTTCTCCCAAAGCTCGCTGGTGAGCAAGTGTTCTGGCAGTCATGGCAAATCGCATATCTCGCTTGCCATCCACCAGCTCGAGAATGGCGGAGGGGGCTTGGTCTGATTTCTTGGGCTCAATGCGCAGTACTCGGGTGTAGCCACCTGGTCGATCCATATATCGTTCTCGAAGAGGGCCAAACAGTTTTGGTAGCATCTTATGTGGTGCCTATCTGACGTTAGTTTTCTTGCTCGACACTGTCGAAATATCGTGCTTCAGCTCCCAACTTGACGGACGTACAAAGAAATAAGTCATCGCCCTGTTCCGGCTGGCCTCTGTATTCTTCTTTCCAAGCGTAATCAGCTTCTCCGCCAGCCGTTGAGCCTCTTTTGCCTTGGGCCATGTCGTTGTTATCGACTCATGTGTGAAGAGAGACGTGACTAGATTTCGAAGCAGGGCCCGTCGGTGTGAGGACTTGCGCCCCAAATGTCGATATTTCATTGCACCACCAGCCATTGTGAAGGGTGTGTATCGTTGGAAGTAAGACTGATGGCGTTGGCAGCTTAATTGGTGGTGATAAAGTCGATTTGGTTGCTTCCTTGAAGATTTGATGAAGCTTGGATCGAACAAAAAAATTGTCAGCAGAGAAAAAGTCTTGGCAGATTTTTTGCTGCTCAACAGCCAAACAAATATCTCGGAGAACCAGAAGAACATCCGCGGACGACGAGATCAATTGAAGAAGAAAATGGTCTAAAGAGCATACGGGTGGTTCTACCACTTGATTTCTGATATCGCAAGAATGGGTTTTATTGCTGGCTTCGTACGTTTTACTGCCATCATCCATGAGATTTACTGCCTGTACTAACCGCATCACAGGCTGGCGGGCTTGCGCTCACCTACTCTATCATCCAGCTGACGGTGCTGAAACAGCTTTCCGATAGACAGCGGCAGCAGGCTCTTCTTCGGGAACAGATCGATTCTCTGAACAACATGTCTATGCCGGCTACTGCCGCACACAGCGTGCGCGATGAGGTGGACTATTCTGCAGCACTGGCACGACGAGGTTACGCACCACCTGAGGGGCCAACGATGGTTGATACATGGAAAATGAGATGGAATGAAGAGGTGAAGTCGATGGCGCGGAGCATCCATGAGTTCAGCTGGGAGGACATAAGGGAGGCGTTCAGAAAGGCGCGTGGAGGGTAATTCTCCTTGAGTGTATTTTATATGTATACTACCTGCGGCCCATGATATCCAGCTATGACAAAATTCTCTACCTTACGAATGTAGAGGATAGAGTATGTCAGTCATCTGCATAAGCAGGTGCTTTCTGCTCAGTTGTTGAACCAACGGGGAACTGTCTACTCCCGCTGTCAGCCCAAATCTCCTTACTTTTGCTCGCAACCTCACGCATCGTCTCTGCCACATCCTCCAGCTTCGCAACGACGTCCAGTACACCATTGCTCACTCGCTCAAAGTACCTGTCATTGGCTTCTCTCCGCTTTCGAGCGTGCGTAATATCCTTCTCGGTCTTCTCGTCCAGCACTTCCCGCGGTTTGTTCTGTTCTATCTCCATCACAGCTGTGTTTCCACTCGACAAGTTATTGTTGTTATTGCCGCTGTTGTTGGGCACTTCCTCGCCCTCTGTTCTGCTCCATGCCTGAGCTAGCGCGAGCTGCTTGGCTCGTAGACTCTCCACGACTTCCGGGTGATATGAGCCAAACATACGGCTGCCTCCGGTAGCTGCAAGCTCTACTTCGGCGAGAGCACTCTGCATCTGGTCCCAGAGGGCGTCTGCCCCTTCTGCCGGCCGTGGAGGAGCTGCATCCTGCTGGGTTCGCGGGTGGGATAGGTTCAGGTCCCGGACGCTCTGGATATCATGGATATCGTGTATATCGTGGAGGTCTCGGATGCTCTTCAGAATGGAGGCGTGCGTTGAAGATGTCTGGGGTGCTGTGCCTGGAGCTGTTCCTGGGGCGGTCCTGGCGTTGGCGAGAGACACCCTAGAAGTGTTCTGAGACGGCGTCTGGATGACTATCCTCCTCCCTTGCCTAGAAGAGCCACTCTGCGACATCTTCCAAAGCTATCTCATCCCTTCACCCGTTTGCTTTTATCTTCATCTTGTCTTTCTTTCTGTCCTTCCGCCTCTTTCGTCGTCGTCTTTCTCTCTTTCTTTCGCCTTTGCTTTGCTTGTAGTCCAGACTTGCTTATGTCAGTGCTTATTAATTCATGACTCATCTCTTAGTCACAAAGCTTGTATTATTAATATCTTAATCATCTATTTCGCTTACCAAACGCACTTTTAGCGAACACCAAAAAAAACCACCAAAACTTCATCGTCGGCGGAGAAAAAAGACGTTTCGACACCAACGACACTCGACAACGCAACGAAGCTACAGACAACAGCTCGTTGGTCTTTTCATCCCCGACAACTTCCTATCGTATGTGGAACATTTGAAGCCTTGATATCAAGCAGATCGATTCCCCGACTTACAATTTACGCCGTGCAGCGAACTATAGATACGTTAATACGTCGAGATGGGAAAAGGCAAGCCGCGTGGTCTTAACGCCGCCCGCAAGCTGCGAAACCATCGCCGCGAGGGTCGTTGGGCCGATTTGCACTACAAGAAGCGTCTCCTAGGAACCGCCTTCAAGTCCTCTCCCTTCGGTGGATCGTCACACGCCAAAGGAATCGTCATAGAAAAAGTTGGTGTTGAGGCCAAGCAGCCCAACTCTGCTATTCGAAAGTGTGTCAAGGTTCAGCTTGTCAAGAACGGAAAGAAAGTCACTGCTTTCGGTACGTCGATCTTTATTCAATTTGTTAGGCGTTGTCCGGATTATGTTTGGCGAGGGGGGAGGGGTGCGCGGGTGATTGAAAGTGGCGTGGTATATTGAGTGTGAGCATGGCTAATTAATGACATTCTAGTTCCCAATGACGGTTGCTTGAACTTCGTTGACGAGAACGACGAGGTGCTGCTTGCTGGTTTCGGTCGTAAGGGCAAGGCCAAGGGTGATATTCCCGGTGTGCGATTCAAGGTCGTCAAGGTCTCCGGTGTTGGTCTGTCTGCTCTGTGGAAGGAGAAGAAGGAGAAGCCACGATCTTAGACGGGTTTCTTAATTTCGTGGTTGCAGGCGAGATGGCGTGGTTGTTTACGAGAGGATACACAGCCTGGTTTGGGTCGATGGCTATGGCTACGGCTATGGATCCGGAACAATACAGAAGGGGCTGCTAATTGCTACGAATTCTACGGTTATGTGAAGGATGAAACTCCCCTGCTGGGCATACGATACAATTGCTTTTGACAGAGACCGAGATTTCTTGATCACAGTAAATGTGGAATCCTTGTGCATTCGCTCGATTTAAATCAGTAGCTCAGGTGCAAGTTAACAAAAATTCCATTTTTCTCTTCAACGTCGGTCCTCTTGCTCATGCCTCATGTTCGTCTGGATATGGATCTTAATCTCGCAGGGGGGATAATTCAACCCATTAGAAAGTGATGTCCTCCGTCCGGTAGTGGTCTGATACAATGCGGTACAAATATGATGGAGCGTGCGCACCCCTGAACATCAAAGTTAGCCAATAATCACAACTAAAGGGTTACAGGCGATACTCACACGTTGGTAATGTAGAGATCAACAAGTTCGGGCGGCACATAGTCGTAGAGTGGGTTCATCACATCTACCTTCTCCGCCACATCGCTATGCATATAATCTGCAACCGCGCTGGCGTCTCCATACTCGATAAGAGCCTCATAGTCGAACGGGTAGACAGGACTGAGCTTGTATATTCCACTAACCACCACTACAGGCGTCTTGTGTACCTTGGCAGCGCTGGCAACGACTCGAGACCCAGCTGCGGCTACGAGGCCGCCATTTGCAAGCACAGAGTGCGTGCCCAGGATAACCTTGTTGACTCGTGACATGAGTGCAAACACAGCCGAGTCAGGGATGAGTATGACCGTGATGCCCAGTGCAATCAGAGGCTTTTGGAACGAGTCCGTTGCAAGGCCTTCTTCGTCGCCCGTCAGGGTTCCAGTGACTGCAGCATGACTGTCCTTGTGGCTGTTGGGATAAGATTCCACGTGTATGACGGTAAACTTGCGGCGAGCAGCTGCCTTGAGAAGGAATTTCTGAACCGAGACAGATGATTCATATGTGAGGATTATTTCATTTGAGTGAATGTGTTCGAGTGCATAGGCAGCGATCTGGTCGTCAACTTGGTGCAATTCGTCCACGATCTCAGTTATGCCGTCGAGGACTTCAGCTTTAAAGTCCTTTATGTCGCTGGCCTCTGCATCGTCTCCTTCAGAGGGTTGCTCCGGTTCTGGTTCTGATACGACGGGGGATGATTCAGGCTGGGCGGTCTCTTCTGGCTCGGGTTCAGAAAGGAGATTGAACATGGATATCACTGGTGTGCTCATCACTCCAGAAAAGGATGGATGTGTCATGAGCGCTGGCCGGGATAGGTACCGCCCATTCGCATCAAAGGGAGACAGCCCTTTTATTTCCTGGTTATTACCTCCTCGTCTCCGGGAGTGTGGTGTATGCCGTGAGCGTGTACCCACATGTCCACGGCTCGACTGAGTTAGAGATTTGTGTTGTTGCTGCTGCTGATGCGACCCCTTCTGTGAGGTGAGCTCCTTGAACCGGCTATCCTCTGACTCGTCTCTGATTAAACCAAGTACTCGACGGACGATATTTCCTACGACCATCTCTCTGGGCTGAGCAGCTACAATGAGTCTGCCAACCTGCTGGACTCGCTCTATCAACTGCTCCGGCGAAGATACGCGGTGTGTAGAGACGACCCGCATGAGCAGGTAGACTGTAGCAACCGCACATGAGTGTGACTGGCGTATTTGTCTCCGTTTAAGCAGGCTAAATACCATCGTCAGTCAAGGTGCCATTTTTGAACCGGGGGTGATATGTACGGACGATATGAGTGTTTCTATAGACGATTCGATCGAGTTGATCTTAAGATTGCGCAGGAAGGTTGAGAGCCCGGGAGACAGGGACACCGCCGTAGATGTCATCTTATATGCGTATATAACTATAGTACAGTCTCTATCGGACTGGTTTATTTGGCGAATTTCGTAGTAGTTGCGGTAGCGATCTAGAGATGCCGTCAGTAAGTGATGACTCAAGGTACACCTCTTCTCCGCGCTCAAGAGCCAATTCTGCACTCCTGCGCCAGCAACTCACCTGTTCGACCAGCCTGTTACCTGCGGCGGGCGATATTATGTGTAGAATCGAAGTCACAGCACCGCGAGTCGTAAGAATCTGCTTTGCCCGCAGGAAGAAAAATAATAAAAAGCGAGAGAGAAAGCTGATTTCCTATCTGGGACTTGGCAGGCTTTTTATCATCACGTGAAGTGGGATTTGGTTCCAATATTCACAATACAGATATCATGATGCAAAGGAGGACATTCATTGATTGAATGATGGCATTGGTTAGTAGAGAAAGCATAGAGGAGTAAAAAAGAGGATGAGATTCGCTTGCTTGACTGTTTAGTCTAAAAACTGTCTGGCAGATGGGAGACGTCCACTTCATGGGGATAGCATGTTAAATAGATATCATGAAAAGAACCAGGAGAAGAGAAAGAGACCAAATAGAAGAAGTAGAAGAGAAAATGATCCATATCCCAGTCAGATAGATGCCTCAGTTCAAGCCCCAAATGACACGCTAACTCCTGGCTGGCAACGCAGGAAGCAAACCAGAGAACTTCCACCAGCAAGGCGGCCAGCCATGTGTTCCCCCCTTTTTTTAATGCTTGCTTGTCCCTATTTGCTGATTTTTTTTTTTTCCTTGTTAAATCTTACGGTCTTTCATGTATGATGATCAAGACTGCGACGAGTGCTGAGCCCAGTGACCGGCAAGGGCTTCAGGAGGGATCTTTTCCTGCTTGGTGTAGATATCGATCAGGGGCTGCATGGGCTCGAGCTCCTTGTCTGACACTAGCTTGTAGTACTTGGCGACGGTGACAAAGTGGACGAAGCACATGTTGAGCACCTCGTGCTTGTTGATGTGCCAGAAGGGGTTCTCCCAGTGGCCGTGATAAAGATGGGCGTAGCAGCGGAACATCTGCTTCATGATGCCCTGGCAGTCCTTGTAGAAGGTCGGCGGGAAGCCGCTCGACTTGCCGATCCAGTCCTGTGACGGGTCGCCGGCGGCCTGCTGCTGTGGCTGGCCGCTGGGGGCCTCTCCGTTGGCCTGCTCGGTGTAGCCAAAGGTGATGGGAGTTGCGGTGACGGGGTCGGTAGGGAACATGACAGGGTCGTGGATCTTGCTGACAATCCACTTTTCGACACGGTTGATGAACTTGGGCGCCGATATCCTCGCTGCCTTGCCGTCGACCAGCCAGGTGTATGTCAGACTGTATATTGTTAGCATAGGAAAAGAACCAGAGTTATACATCCATATATATTATATATACTTACTTCCCAGCAGACATAGTGGGACATGTCATCTCGTTACAGATCGGGTACCCGGTAACCCCGTTGATCTCCTGTATGACCTGCAGCATGCCATGGAGCAGACGGTTCTGTTCGACCACTGTAGACAATATGTATTAGCCGTGAGTTCTCTCCCCTGGATATCTGACATGGGCAAGATTTGGCAGATGAAACAGGGGGCCACAACTGACCCTGGTGAGCAAGCCACTCGCCGAGCTCGACGTTCTTCGGACAGGCACAGAGGGTCAGGAAGTTGCCCTTGACGTTGAGCGAGGCGTATTTCTCCTGGAAGAAGTACTTGATCGAGTCGCGCTGGTCGGGCTGCGCGGGCGGCTGGTCCATGGCCGATGGAGGGGCGGGCATTGCTGCTTGACCGTGGGGGAAGCCAGGCGAGAAGCCCGCGCCGTCAACCGCCCGCTGCAGGCTGCTGCCGCCATTGTTCCCGCTGTGCGTGTTGCTGCTGTTATTGTGGCCGCCGGGGCTGCTATTGTTGTTGTTGTTGTTGTTGTTGTTGTTATTGTTGGCGGCGGTGTTGCTGTTGATGCTGCCGCTGGGCGTGTTGCTGGCAGTGTTGCCAGCGCTGCTGGCGGCGGCGGTGTTGTTGCTGCTCTTGTTCGACCCGCGACCGAAGCCCTGCCGCCTGCTGCAGTCAGTATCATTCGCACGCCAGAGACAGACACAGCAGGGGAACCGAAGGCCCGTCGAGGCCACTTACACGCTCTGGAAGAAGTTTGACATTGTCCGGGCGCACTGGGAGATCTGGCTGGAGAGATCCAGGGTCCTTTTGATAGCAGCAGCAGAGGGGGAATCAGAGGGGCAGAGGGCTGTCTGTCAGTCACTGCGAGGCTCTCTGCTGCGTTTCCTCTCTTCTGCCTGTTCTTCTCCTTCTTCTTCTTCTTCTTCTTCACTGCTGCACTGTTTCTGTCTTATATGCCGTGTCTGTTTTGTTATCATCCAGGGTGAAGCCAGCGTCTGTGACAAACTTTAGGCTTGAACCCATCTCGGATTTACTAAGGGCCGGTTTTCACCTCCAGACAGACAGCTTCATCTTTTGACAGCTCCAGCCAGGACTGCCAGACAGACAGAGACAGCTGAGAGAGACCGGATTTGTTACTGCTGTGGCCCTTTTATTTCAAGTAGCCAGTCAGTGTGGTGCATTTGCTGCCTCGACGATGGACGTGGACGAGTCGCCGCGAAAGGCGCAGGACGAGCTCGAGGACGAGGCCATGGAGAACAGCCCGCCTGCGCTGGACGAGGACGGTGACATGGGCCTGTTTGGCTCTGGAGACGAGGAGGAGGACGAGGAAGATGTGTAGGTTGCGCTGGCTCTAGATACGTTGTGCTTGGGCGGATACTGACTGGCTGGCCAGGCAAGACAGACGGCGGAAGCTAGACGACGTCGAGCTCGACTCCGGCGACGACGAAGGGCGATACGACCGGGCCGGGTCTCCCATGGAAGAAGACGGCATGGACTACGGCCGGACACTGAATATCATGGACCTGAGCCTTGGACGGGCTCCTGAGCCAGAGACCACAGACGGACAGGTTGGTAGCCCACAAGAGACCTCAACAGGGATACCGTATAATAACATGCTAATGTACTGCTCCTAGCTGTTCAATTGCGCTATACCAAACTTCCTCTCGATAGAGTCTGAAGATTTCAACCCAGAGACATATGTTGCTCCGCCCTTTTCATCGGCATCTACCTCGCTCTGTTGGAGGACCAGTCCAGACGGCAGCGAGCTCCAGTCCAATGCCAGGATAATACGCTGGTCAGATGGCTCCATGACCCTCCAGCTTGCCTCAAACCCAACAGAACAGTACCGGATATCCTCCAAACCTCTCGCGCAGTCCAGCCGGCCCGGTAAGCGAGAAGAGTACGACCCCGATCTGGAGTCTCACACATACTTGGGTGTGGCAGCAGAAGCATCTTCGGTCATCCGTCTCACTTCACGCATCACCGCCTCCCTCAGCATCCTCCCCTCCACAGTCGAGACAGACGATGCAGTGCAGAGACTGCAAGAGTCCCTCGCCGCAGCTTCACGGAGCGGCAAGAAGACCGCAGACGGATCCGTAGCAATCATCGAAGTCAAGCAGGACCCAGAGCTGGCGAAGAAACAGGCCGAACAGGCTGAACGAGAGAAACTGCGTGAAGCTCGTAAGAGACAGGCCGCTGCTGAGCGAGAAGTTGATCGTGGCAGGCGAAGTACCGCCTTCCAGCGCTCGGGGGCAGCAGGTCTTACCATCGCCGGCCTCGAAGGAGACGAAGATATGGGCGTCGGTACCAAATCCCGTCCTGGAGCAAAGCGGCCTGGTGCTCGCAAACCTCGTCGTCGTGACGAGATTTATTCTGATGAAGAGGATGATTACGACCGCAGAGGCCGTACGCGTGAAGACGAGTATGATGAAGACGACGGGTTTCTGGTTGGAAGTGATGAGGAGCCTGAAATCGAGGAGGACGAGGAGGAAGAGGAGGAAGAAGCTGAGGATGAAGACATGGATGCCGAGGGGGAGATTGATGACGATGTCCAGCCTGCGAAGCCCAGTGGTAAATCATCCAGGCCACAATCGCCCGGCCAGAAAGAAGCTTCACCCCAGGCACGGAAGAAACACAGATATGTCGTTGACGATGACGATGATGAGTAGTTTTTACCTTCCATTCGATCTCCCTCTCCTCAGCCTCTGTCTACCTTCCCTCTAATCTCCCTCCTGATACCACAGCCGTTGACAACATCCATCGAATTCAGAACTAATGGACAAAACTACCAAAAAAAATACGCCAAATACGGAGAATACCCAGATCCTCAATGGTACATGCACATGTATTCTAGCTATGAGAAAAAGTGAATGACAATATAAAAGGTTATAATACAGCCACAAGTTGAATGTGCATGACCCTACCCCGGGCAGGAGTCGGCTGATATATATATATATATATATATTTACTGTTAAGTATTACTACTAACATTATTTACAGCCGGAAAGCTCAGTTTCTATTCCGTAACTCCTCTGCGCTGAATCCGAGCCGTTCAATGATCTGTCTAGCATTACCAGCTATCCGCAAACATAGGAAATCAGGATCTTTCGGCTCGGTGGTCGTATCATCAGTGGAAGTGGCAGCCGCGTTATTTGATGAAGAACCGTTTTCATCCTCCCGTGGACAACTAGGATTAACCATCGGCAGGCGCTCAGCATGCCACCGCCTCTGCCGCGCCTCCATCTCCTCTACCAGCCCGAGCAGATTCGGACTCTCTTCACACTGGCTCTGCACAAGAGGTGCGTTGGGAGGGGTTGCATGCCCTATCACACCATACCGTACTAGCTCACGCAGCCAATTCTTGAAGTAGACAGTTCGGGCCGCTTCGTCAGCCGGCAACGAGTCAAGGGACGACCGGTCAAGGGTTTCTATGGCCAGCTGTTGGCCGTCCCGTAACGACATCTCGAGCCATGAATTGGCTATGCAGGTGAGCAAGGTGCCCAGGAGCATCAGGTTCTGAACTGCAGAACTATAAGCAGTGGGACAGACGTTACATCTAAGGACCCCGATGGCGGTCTTAGAGGCGTTGTATAGTGTTATCAGGGTGTTGGGGGAGAGGGGGAATGAGTTAAGTGTTGCAAGGGAGCTTAGGGATAAGTATAGGTGGGACAGACAGGGGCATGGGGCGAGCATCTGGGGGAAACCTGATGGGCCAGAGTTGGTGGTATTTGTACTTGTATTTGTACTTGAAGTTATATTTGTATCCGTGCTTGTGCTTGGTGTCATCCCTGGTGTGGGTGTAAGCATCGATGAGATAGAAGAATAGTCTATCTCGTTAGGTATAGCTGCCGCAGGTGTAGCTGTAGGTGGCTCTGGTGTAGCATTTGGTAGGAACCCACTACTTCCTAACAAGGGTCCATCACTCATGAACGGGCCAGGCCGAATGTCATACGTATTCTGCATGAAGGTCTTGTAAATTGCAGGGCACATGTTGCTGGCTTCCAGTGCTCCCAGCGCATCTGGTGTGCTATAGGTCAGGCTAGGATCTTCGGCAGTTAACCCCACGCTCGGAGATCCTGTCCCATTACCGAGCGGAGCCAAAGTGGCATATGTTTTGGGCGGCCTGCCCATCGGCTTCTGAAACGAATAATGGCAATACAGGCCATGTCTATAGCATCGGGTGCACCCATCTGCTTCCCCCGTGCACTTTAGCTTTCGTTTTCCTAATGAAAGTTAGTGTCCTCCTTGCAAAGGACCTAGAATAACTACGGAATAAACACTCACGACACTCATCGCAGGCCGCATGTCTCTTGGGCGTTTCTTCCAGCTTCCTAGACTGCCGCGTTGCCTCCTTGATGGCCTCGTCCAGCCAATTAACACCCCCCTGCTCTGCGCCTGCCATCGATCTAAATTCCAATCACGACTATACAGACTGGGATATTTTATCCTGCTGGCAATACTAACTGTCTCTCAACGATATATCAATATAACATATAACTGCGTGAAAGCTGTCTTTTCTTTTTTTGGCTGCTTTCGACTTTTTGATGTCATCGTGAGATTTAACTTCTTACCTAAGCAGCATCCTCTTCGGATCCACTTTTTTTTACTTGACTTTAAGAAAAAAAAAAAATCTACAAAAAAGTCAATGAAAAGAAGAAACGAAGCAGGAGAAAAACGGGCGAAGAAGAGGCCGGACAGTGAGCGATTCTAAAGATGGCGCCGTTGACGGAGTCCAAGAAGCGAAAGGCTGTCACAAAAGACGTTGAGGCAGAGACTGACGTCGTTTCTGGAGAGGAATTTCGCTTCGATTCGTTTGGTTCAGAGAGCTCGGACCAGGAATCAGAGATTGAGCTGATAGACGACTTCAGTGACGAGAGCGAAGACGAGTCGATAGACGGTAATTTGGTATCAAAGGAGGAGCTGCCGGTTCACACTAAGAATGGAAAGCTAGGCAAATCGGGTGAGGTTGTGGTTCAGGATTCAGAGGACGAAGATGAAGAGACTGTCAACTACCGCATAACAAAAGACGCAAATGGCAACGATAGGTACATTTACGATGAGATAAACCCTGACGATAACTCGGACCTGTCCGAAGTCGACGAGGAGGCCAACACGATTGGCAATATTCCTACTTCCTTTTATGACGCCTACCCACATATCGGATATAACATCAATGGGAAGAAGATTATGCGCCCAGCTAAGGGGGAGGCATTGGATGCACTGCTTGACACGATTGAAATACCCAAGGGATGGACTGGACTAACTGACCCGGACACGGGCAAACCTTTGCAATTGAGCCAGGATGAGCTCAAACTGCTCAGCAAACTTCAGATGAACGAGGTCACTCAGGATGGGTATGACCCGTACCAGCCCACAGTTGAATACTTCACAAGCAAGGAGGAGGTTATGCCACTGAGCGCTGCTCCTGAGCCGAAGAGGAGATTCGTACCATCTAAACACGAGGCCAAGCGAGTGATGAAGATAGTAAAGGCGATTCGAGAAGGAAGAATATTGCCATACAAACCACCAGCAGAAGAAGACGAGTCTCAGGATAGCATTCAAACATTCGATCTCTGGGCCAACGAGACACCCCGAGATGACCACCCTATGCACATACCTGCACCGAAGCTACCACCGCCAGGGTACGAGGAGAGTTACCATCCTCCTCCGGAGTATCTGCCTGATGAGAAGGAGAGACGAGAGTGGGAGAAACAGGACCCAGAGGACCGTGAGAAGTCTTTCTTGCCTAGAGACTACGGCTCGCTCAGGAAAGTTCCTGGGTTCGAGGCTTTTGTGAAGGAAAAATTCGAACGTTGTCTTGACTTGTACCTGGCACCCAGAGTTCGCAGGAATAAGCTAAATATTGACCCGGAGAGTCTACTTCCCAAATTGCCCAGCCCAGAGGAACTAAAACCCTTCCCAACTACATGCTCAGCACTATTCCGAGGCCACAAGGGACGCGTCCGAAGTGTTGCTGTTGACCCAACAGGACTCTGGTTAGCTAGTGGTGGAGATGACGGAACTGTTCGAGTATGGGAACTTCTAACAGGCCGTCAACTCTGGAGTGTGCAGTTGAACGATGAAGGCCCCGTCAATGTTGTTCGATGGAGACCTGGAAAGGACGCTGTTATACTATCTGCAGCAACAGGGGATGCTGTGCACCTTATGATACCAGATATCCTAAGTCCCGAACTTGAATCCGCCAGTCTTGACGTAGTAGATGCCGGATGGGGTTACTCTTCCACGGCATCCAAGAACTCTCAGAACAGCGAGCAGAAAGGATCCAAAGTTCAATGGGCCCGGCCTCTACCATCCCTCGCTGAAAACGGGGTATATGCGACTATCCCACTGGGACATGTCGTTAAATCCATATCATGGCATCGACGTGGTGATTACTTTGTCACTGTCTGCCCCGCGTCAGCAACTCCCGCCTCCCTCGCAATTGCTATCCACACCCTCTCTAAACACTCGACACAATACCCATTCCGCAAGCGGCTCAAGGGAGGAGGTCCTCCCCAGGTAGCCCATTTCCACCCCGCAAAACCTATCCTCTACGTCGCCAACCAACGCGTAATCCGATCATACGACCTTTCTCGCCAGTCTTTGCTCAAGATCTTACAGCCCGGCGCCCGCTGGATTTCTTCTTTTGATATTCATCCGACTTCATCTGTTACCTCAGGGGACAACCTGATCGTTGGATCGTACGATCGACGTCTGCTATGGCATGACGTGGACTTATCTGATCGGCCATATAAGGCACTACGCTACCATACCAAGGCTATTCGTGCTGTGAAATACCATCCTCGATACCCTCTCTTTATCGATTCCAGTGATGACGGTCTCCTTCAGATCTTCCACGGCAGTGTAACGGGAGATCTTATGAGCAATGCGAACATTGTTCCATTAAAAGTCCTCCGCGGCCATAAGGTTGTTGGAGATTTGGGTGTGTTGGATGTTGACTGGCATCCAAGGGAGGCATGGTGCGTCAGTGCCGGCGCAGATGGTACATGTAGACTTTGGATGTAGTTTAGAGAGGAAATAAAGAGCCCAATTCTGAAGCGTTAATCTATGCTTAGAGTCAATCTAATAAATTCTTTTGACAACGAAGAGAGTCTATTTTATTGTGAAAAAAAGGGGGGTATCAATATGCAATACAAAATTCAATCAAGCATCATGTTCTATTTTCAATAGTTAAAAAGCGCTGCCACCGCCCCAGTCCTTCTTGAGGCTTTCATATTTCTTCATATCCGTTACACTAGGCCGTATCTCTCGCTTTGCAGCAACAAAGTCTTCAAATTTGATAGTATCTCTCCTCTTGATCGCGGAATAACCTGCTCGGCGCAGTAAAGAGCCCAGGTCCGCTCCGCTAAACCCTTCGCATGATCGAGCAAGTTCCACCAACTCATCCGTCATTTCAATGGGCAATTTCCGTATGAGTGTCCGTAGCACATCTGCTCGCTCGTCTCGTCCTGGCAAGTTCACGAACAACAGTGTTTCAAGGCGACCAGGACGCAGCATGGCTGGGTCAATTATATCAGGCCTGTTGGTAGCAGCTATCACATATATTCCGTTTCTCGAGCTTCCAAGCCCGTCGAGCTCGGTAAGTAGCGTATTAACGACGCGTGCTGATGCTTCTGACATGGTATCATCTCGTCGAGGGACCAAAGCATCTAGTTCATCGAAAAAGATTACACATGGAACCGAAGACCGGGCTCGAGAGAAAACCTGTCGAACAGCACGTTCAGACTCTCCCACATACTTGTTAAGTAATTCAGGACCCTTGATGCTGATGAAGTTTGCTCGGGACTCATTGGCCACAGCCTTTGCAAGCAAAGTCTTACCACAACCGGGCGGTCCCCAGAGTAAGACACCAGTAGGTGCAGATATTCCGACTCGAGAGTAAATCTCAGGATTGCGTATCGGCTCGACAATGGCCGTAACAAGTTCTTCACGTACAGAGCCAAGGGAGCCAATGTCGGCCCATGTGGTGGCAGGAATAGTTGCAAACCCTTCTCGTTTGGAAGACGGTTGAATCTTGGGAAGAGCAGTGAGGAAGTCTTCATTGGACACATATATCTGCGGATCAGCTTCGTGAGGTGTCTCACGGGCACGTTTAATGAGCTGGCGCAGTTCCATAACCTTCTTGCTCACCCCAGCCGGAGGTAGTTCTTCAATATCCATTTCTTCGCCAGTAGCGGATTTCAACAGATCTAGGTACCGTTTTATCGCAGCAGTTGCAGCGGTTGAAACCAAGTCGTTCAAGTCAGCACCGACAAAGCCAGCGGTTCCCTTTGCAAGGAATTTAAAATCCAGGTCATCTGCTAAATTCATTTCCCTTGTTAAAGCCCTGAGGATCTGTTCTCTTACGGGCTCGGAGGGTACTGTCAAATTGATTTCCTTATCAAATCGGCCTCCACGGCGCAATGCAGGATCAAGGCTGTCAGGACGGTTGGTAGCCGCCAATACAATGACGGGTTTCCCGTCGGTTTTCGCCAAAGCCAAGTCATCCATACAGGTGAGCAGTTGGGCAACAATCCGTTTCTCCATCTCCCGCTGTGCACTCTCACGCTTCGGTGTGATGGCATCAATTTCATCCATAAATATTAGACAGGGCGCCACCTTCTTGGCTTCTTCAAAGTGATCACGCAGTGCCTTTTCCGATTCACCAGACATCCCTGAGATTATTGACGGCGCAGATATCGCAATGAAGGGTACCCCTAGTTCGGCCGCAAACGCATTGGCGATCATTGTTTTACCACAACCAGGCGGTCCATGTAGTAGTACTCCACGAGGAGGTTGTACATTTGATGCAGAAAATATCTGTGGCCGTGTCATTGGAAGAACAATCAACTCTTCTAGTTGCTGGATGACATCGTCCACCCCTCCGAGATCAGCCAAGCTCACATGTGTTGGCGGGGATTTATCAATTGAGCTCTCTGGTTTTCGTCTTTTGGGTGCCGATTCCCCACCTACAACGCGACGTTTGCTTGCTGTGACCCGCGTTGAAGATACATCCGGCGTTGTGTTTTCTGAGCCCTTCTGCGGGGACGATACAGGTTTGGGCTGAGGTGCCCACATGTTCACTATGCTCTTATTGAGGCCATTTAGTTCCTAAAAGCATTGTTAGACCATGACAGAGCATGAAGTAGAATCATCAGAAAATCAATACCTCAGCTTGTTTGGTCTCCTCGAGGCCCTCAAAGTCTCCTTCTATAATATCAGCATCATCTTCTGCTGCTCGGTCCTGTTTAAATATTTCCAGCACCCTTTCAATGCTATCTTCCAGCACCTTTTTTGGCCTGCGGTTTAAAATTGAATTTGATCGTCGTATTTTATCGTATATAAGATGCGTATATAAAGGCAGAGGCTCCCCTGTTTCTTCCAGGTGCTGTTCATCCAGCCTACGGATTGCCTGGTATATCTGGAGCGCGTTCCATTAGTTCAAATTGATAACGTCACATGCTGCGAACTTGGCATACTTCTTTATCGAGAACATGTCCCAGGCTTGTCGACTTGTTTCCACGGTGCCTCGGAGCCATTATCAATTCCCAGCACCGTCTAATACCCTCTCATCCATCCACAACTTCGTCTTTTAAATAATTAATTCACCAAAAGAAAAAAAAAAAGATAAAAAATAAAAAATAAATTTAAGCTTTCGGCATTTTATTTTTCCCGCAGAGAACTCAAACTTTAAATGCTTATCGATAAGCTCGCGCTTTGACCAGAAAGTCACCTGCAGCGATTTGAGCGACGTTGACAACTTCGACGACGGCGAGGACGAAGCTGTAAACTGCAATGATAGAGGATGTCAGGACTATCCTGGGTACGGAAGAACGGATATAACAAATATGGGGAACACCGGGAGCACACATAAGATTTCTGCGCAAGATAAGTATGTTTCTGCCTTGCTGTCGAACATCATCGCCCACCGGACAGACCCTCATGAACGGACTCGACTGAACTGGAGCTAAACCAGAGCCATCCTTGACCTGAAGAACCAACGGGACAAGCTGCATCAGTATCAGAAGCGGATAACTGTTCTTACTGATCGTGAGACTGAGATCGCCAAGCAATGTCTTGCTCGGAACGACCGTCCTCGGGCATTATTAGCTCTACGAAGGAAGAAATACCAACAGTCTCTACTGGAAAAAACCGATCTACAGCTTGAGCAGTTGGAGAAGTTGACTGGTAGCGTGGAGTTTGCGTTGGTACAGAAGGATATCCTCTTTGGTTTGAGCCAGGGCAACAAGGTATTGCAGGCTATACATCGTGAAATGGGTGGTATAGAAGGCGTTGAGAAACTCATGGGTGAAACAGAGGAAGCAAGAGCTTATCAAGAGGTAAGATTAACGATACATAGTTGACTTTTATACCGCTTGAATTCTAACGGATACGTCTAGGAAATCACTCAGCTCCTTAAGGGGCAAATATCCAACCAGGACGAAGAGGAGGTAGAGGATGAACTCGAGAAGCTTGAGCTTCAAGTAACAAACAGAGTGAAGCTTCCCAGTGCGCCGACAACCACGCTGGAGAACGAGGCAGAACAAGCGCAGGAAGCGGAACCTGCAAGAGCTCCTGCTAGAGTTCGAGAACCTATTGCGGAGTAGTGGCAAGGTGGCTGTTGGGAGGATATTTCTTTCACATTATTAACCTTAGACTTGCATAGCGACATCTGCCGGAGTTTCAGGACTCTCTGCATTGTTGGGCTGCATCTGACGCACTCTCTAACTATATGTGTATATGTATATATACAGTCGAGACACCTGCGGCATTTAGACAAAGGGCGAAATGGAAATTGTAGATTTCATCTGAATGTGCTTTAGCTAAGGAGGCCTGTAAAAGTCTAGCATTTTGAGTCATTAACATGAGAAGATCGCTGAATATCGTCTGAAGACAGAATTTCCGATCACTTTCCAGTTCCGATGGTCTTGCCAACTCCATCAACCCCCTGGATCACAGTATGATCCTTCGGGTTCGCAGCAGCTTCGTACAGGAAAGTAATAGGCTCCTTATTCAAAGCCAAAAAATCACCCTTGAAGCCCACATATCCAACTTTCGTAACGTCCTCCTCACCGTGACTCCAGTTATCTTCAAAAAACAGCGTGATTGAGGTGGTTCCGTTCCAGAGTGCTCTGTTCAGTGGCATTTCTATCACATCTGCCTGAGAACCGGTCAGGGATTGAGGGACAGAAATGGTCTGAGTAGGTGCAAGGTCCGAAGCAGTGGAGAAGTCCATGTCGGGTCTGTTTCTAAATAGCTTGACTGTGTTTGGAGCCGAGGGGGACGGCGCAGCGTACAGCAGGACTGAATGTAACTTTACTTGTCCCGTGAATCTATACCAAGTCAGCATCGAGTTAGATTCTGGAATACTCTTTCTTCGTAGTGGATATTGTCTGGAGTGTGTGTTTTGTATGATGGGTATGCTGGGGGTATCACTAACGGAACATGCATGAGCAGCTGTTCATCTGCATCACTTTCAAGCTGAGGCTCCTCGTCTAGTCGTTGATCCCATGTCTTTTTGACTATGGCAGCACCAGCCTTCGGCTCAGATTCGTTCATGGTCACGATCTTGTCGAAGTCAACCTGCTTGTAGAGGAGAGACTGCAGGGCGGGGGTGATATCATTGCTGTGATCATGGCCCGCTTCACCGTGGCAGCCATGGTCATCGCCATGATGGTGATGATGAGGCATCTTGACCGTCTTGATACGCGTGTAGATACTGTTGACACGGTAGGGTATATGTTTCAACGAGTTGATGGTGCTTGTGGGATTTTGTAGGTGTCAAAGTGACGGTTTTGGCCAATTTAGCAACAATATTTAATTTCTCCGCGATAAATAACCAAATATCCGCAATGTTAAGCAACAGCCACCACCACTAACAAAAAACAAGCGATTATAGAGATAGGATACTTTCATTAGGATATAATATTGTTCTATATATCTATGATACCCTTACATGGAATCTCGATCATCCACAGGGTACGTATTATAAACGGCATTTATTCAAGTCTACTTCTTAACCTCGTAATACTCCGGCGCATATTCTAATAACCAGGCCTTCTCTATCTTAGTGACGTCCCTAATGAATGTTTTTGCTCCCGTTTGCAATATCTCATTGAAAATAACCCATTCAGCTTTTCGGTTCTACCAGTCAAGTCAGTATTCATTAGTCCATCGCCGAAGCAGGAGAAAAGAGAAACTTACAAACATCAGTGAGCTCGGGTGAGCATGTAAAGTTAGCCCACCTGTAATACTCCTAAACGTCCCGTCGGGCTGCATTTTAGCTGCATGAGCGAAGAAGCCCGTCGTGAGACACCGTTGGATTTGCTCGGTGGTAGCAGCCTGTCTTCTAGCCATATCGACTCCAAAACGCTTTAGGTGGTTTTCAAGCTGGACCCGAATACTAACTGCCTTCATCATGGATTTATGAATGAGCGAATGATCCCTGCACCATTTGGCTTCCTTTCTCCCCTTGGTGACGAAGGCCTGGTAGATGTTGAGATACGTCAAGTGGTCGCCTTCTTCGACGGCAAATTGGCGGATGGACGGCGATATGCCTCTTTTCTCATCCTGGTTGAACCAGATGTTATCCTGCAGAGTGGTCATGGCAGCTATGGACAGTATTTCATCCAGACAGCCGAATTTGGTCGAGCTGAGAAGCACTTTTGCCATCATGGGGTTGACGGGTAACTCAGCCATTTGGATGCCGAGCGGTTTGGTGAGTTTGGCATAGTCGTCTATGGCGCCTAGGGCGGAAAGAAGCTGGAATGCTCTGACGAAAAGCTCCGAGGGTGGGGAGGATATATAGTCGAATCGAACGACGTTGTCGATGCCTAGGGATTTGAGCTGAAGTATGATGGGGGCCAAGTTTGCGCGCTGGATCTCAGGGGTGGTCTCCTGCGGCAGGGAAAGGAAGGATTGTTCGGTGTATAGTCGAAAGCATTTGCCTGCGCGGGTTCTTCCTGCACGGCCGGCCCGTTGTGTGGCTGAGGCCTTCGAGATGGGTACAGTAGTTAGCTTTTCGATACCGGTAGATGGATCGTAGGCTCGCAGTTTGGAAAAGCCGCAGTCGACGACGTATACGATGCCTTCGATGGTGACCGATGCCTCCGCCACGTTGGTAGAGACGATGACTTTGCGAGTGTTTTCGGGAGCAGGTTCAAAGGCAGAGAGTTGCTGGTCGGCTGTCAGGCCGGCATAAAGGGGTACTGGGAGAAGTGCTTGCGCCTTTTGGGGTAAAAGCGCCGCCTGTTCTGATATCTGCTGGGTGGCAGATATGATTTCTTCTCTGCCGGTGAGAAAGAGGAGTATGTCTCCCTCGGGTTCGGTGGTATGGATATCGAAGACGGTCTTTATGGAGCGCTCGACGTAGTCTTCTGCAGGGGACTCTAGGTAGAGGCAGTCAACGGGGTACATTTTCCCGTCTAGGGTGATGATTCTTGCAATTTCGTTGTCTTCGGTGGCATCATGCCCCGCAAAGAATTGCATGTAGTCTTCAGCTTTGAGCGTGGCGCTGCTGACGACGATGCGTAGTTCTGGCCTTCGCTTCCTGATCTTCTTGAGCACACCGAGCAGCACATCTGTACTGACTGAGCGTTCATGCGCCTCGTCGACCATAATGACAGAATACCGGGACAACAATGGGTCCACGAGTGCTTCTCGCAGCAGCAGTCCATCTGTCACGAACTTGATGCGTGTCGACGCCGAAGTGACATCCTCAAACCTGATGGAGTACCCGACCTCTTGACCGAGCTGACATCCTGTTTCTCCTGCCACACGAGCTGCAACCGACGTCACTGCAACTCGACGGGGCTATACATGGTATCTTTATTAGTATATCTGTTTGGTAGTTGCGTGTTAAGCAGGCGAGACTCACCTGGGTGATGGCAATCTGCTTCCCGCCGTTGCACCATCCGGCCTGGTCGAGGAACTGCGGCAGCTGGGTGGTCTTGCCGCTGCCAGTCTCGCCGACAAGGACAACGACGGGGTATTTTTCAATGGCATAGAGCAAGCCCTGTCTGTGTCTTGCTATGGGCAGCAGCTCTGTGGGCTTGTACAGCGCAGCCACGAACTGCCCAGGGGTATCAAATGCGTCCATCGCAGGTCGAGCAAACAGCAGCTGGCATGTCGCCTGTATTCAAGTGTCTATATCATCCTAGACATGGCTGGTTGTATCCTATCCTCGTCCGCAGCCAGGAGATGTAGATGTAGATGTAGATGTCTTTCTGGCGACTTTGGGGTCGATCGAGTGTTATTCGCTGACGTAAGCAGTCTGATGGCGTCACAAGTTCGACTTAGTAGAAAAAACACCAGAAGAGAGGAAGACGACGACGACAAGCAGAAGAGAAGAGAAGAAGAAGAAGTGAATCTCAATTTGATAGCTGCAGAGCCGAGACGGAGAGTGATATTGTTGACTTACTGGGACACCGAGAGTGATACAGGACCAGCCGCAAAGTGACAGCCAGCCAGCATGGCAGAGACAGACCGAGCAGTGCGTAACTACCAGGCAGCATATTTACCTACAGCTACCAGCCTTTCCTAGGTGAAGAAGAGATAGAAGACTGGAACACTGACGAGCTGGCTGCGTCTAGACAAGCACTCCGAAGAAAGCCACGGGCCTGAACCCTGAGTCGCCGACGACCGCTCGCCCGCTGGACTTTGACGACGAGCCGCAGGAGACGGGCCTGACATCCGCCAACACCGCCAGCCGATCGTCCTCGCAGCTCAACCTGGCCGCGAACATGCAGAACCAGAGCCAGAGCCAGGGACAGCCACGAGCACCGAATCCGTACCAGAGGATAATAGACGACCTCAAGGAGGCGTTCCCCAACATCGACGCGCCTGTGATAAAAGCGGTGGTGGTAGCGAGTGATGGAAACGTCGAGCGGGCATTCAATGCATTGCTGGGTAGGGACTCTGATATAGAAACTGCGGGAGAGAGAGAGGGGGGGGGGAGAGGAAGAGAGAGACGGGATGCTAACTAGTGGTGCGCGCAGGCATGTCTGATCCGGATGCACAGGAGGAAGTACGGCCGGCGGTGCCCCCTCGACCGAGCGCTGGCGGGGTAGCTACGTCGACGACGCAGAGCCAGCTGGAGGACGACGAACGGTATGCGCGCCAGCTGGCCGAGCACTACAGTGGCGCGGACCAGAGACGAGGGTACCAGCAGCAGCCGTCGTCGTCGATATGGGACCACGGCCCGGCGTCGGGGCAGAGGGGCCAGGGGCTGAAGCCGAACGAGCTCTACGATAAGGAACACAGCTTCCTTGACGGTGCGTATGACTTTTTTTCAGGAAAAGTATTATTTTGCTAATGTTGATGCTGATGGATATTGGGATAGACGACCTGCCGATTATCAAGGAGAATATCCGCAAGGGGTTCCTGGAGACGCAGTCGCGGGTGAACAGCTGGGTGGAGAACTTCAAGAGACGGCTTGACGGGGAGGAGTCTGACGAGGACGCGCAGTACGGCCACAGCCAGAGACAGTATGGGCAGAGACAGCAGCAGCAGCAGCATCAGCAGCAGTACGGCTATCCGAACCGCCGCAGCGTGGACCGCGAGAGATACGATGCCGATCCGCATGTCCTGGGCGACGACTTTTCCTCTCTTGAGCTACGAGACAACGAGGGTACGTACATGTATCTTTTTATACATTATATTCCATTAAAAAAAAAAAGAAGAAGAAGAAAGGTTGTATAGCTGTGTGCTAATAAGAGGGTATGGTAGTGCCTCCGCCTCGGCCTCCACGCCCGCAGGCCAACCCGGACCTGTTCAAGAGCAAGAGCGCCTCTGCCTCGCCCGACCGACGCAAGGTATCCTTCCAGGAGGGCCCGCCCGAAGAGATCCAGGACTCGTTCTCTGCCAACGCCAGCAGCAACATCAACAACAACAACAATAACAACAACACCAGCGGCACCTCCAACAATAACGCGAATGCCAGTGCCGGCACCCGCAGCACGGCCAACAAGTCGAGCAAGTGGCAGCCGCTGTCGACCGTGGAGCCGTCTCCCGTGGCAGACAACGACCCGTTCAGCCTGGGAGACAGCGATGACGAGCGGGAGAGCAAGGCAAAGGAGGTCAAGGGCGAGGATGCTGCGAAGAAGGCCGAGAAGACGAGTACATAGCAGGTAGCCATATCAACATCTAGTTCCCTTGTCCTTGTAAATACCACAGTCCGGCAGTCTCCAACACAACATTGTATGAAGTACGCATTGTATCGTGTCAGACATCCTGTCGACTACCGCTCGTCGTCTCCGTCGACTCTCCTGAGCTCCTTGATCACATTCTAGCAGGTCAGCCAACGCTCAACCGTCGTTGTATAGGGGTAGACTCACTGCCAGCGCCTCCGGGTTGACTCCGTTTTCTATCAGCGAGACGCAGAGAGACAGCTCCGTCCGGTCCAGATGCGTATTCTACATGATATCAGTCTCTCTCTCTCTCTCTCTCTCTCTCTGTCTCTGTCTGTCTGTCTGTCTGTCTGTCTAGGGTCATCTCTTACCAGCAGCGTCGAGATCTCATGCAGGATGTCGATGACTTCCCGCGCCGCTTGCCTCTTGTCGTCCTGCGGCGGCATCTTCTCTTCTTTTTCTCTCTTTCGTCCCTAGCAGGTCCTCTCTTGTCTTCTCTTGTCTTCTCTTCTATCCTGTCCGCTCTTCGACCTGTCTTCTTCTGCCTTGAAGTCTTTAATCTCTTCGCGTCAACACCATCCCCGCTTAGTCATCTTCTCTCTATCTATCTTCATCGACTTCAACTTCAGCTTCGCTACTTCTGCTTTTCTCTCTCAGCCTGCGATGGCCGCCGACGACGCCAAAGGAAGGGAAAGGAGAGAAAGGAGGGAAAGGAGAGAAGCAGACCCGGAGGCGAAAGTCCTCGACCTGCGCAGCCTCAGCCAGGATGCCGCCGCCGCCGTGCTCGCCCAGGTCGCCCGCATCGAACGCCGCACTTTCCCCCCCTCCGAGGCCCTGACGCTCGACCTCAGCCTCTGCCGCAAGCCCAGCTCGCGTCTCTTCTTCTCTCGCACCGATTCTGCTGCATCTGCTGCGTCTGACACTTCATCCGCTTCTTCCGCGTCTTCGACCGTCGCTGGATACGTCTTCTACGTCCGGATGAAGGACAAGGCGCTGCTGCACAAGCTCTGCGTCGAGGCCGGCCACCGCGGACGGGGGATTGGAGGCTCGCTGCTGGCTGCCGTCGAGGAGCAGCTGCGGCGCGAGGGCTGCCGGACGGTGCATCTCTGGGTCGACGCTGAGCGGGCGGCGGCGAGACGGCTGTACCAGCGGCGCGGCTTCGAGGAGACCCGGACGGTGCAGGACTACTACGGGCCCGGCCGGACAGGCATCAACATGGTCCTGTGCCTGGATCTGTAGTCCTCGTCTCTATACTACTGTCTATACTACTGCTATACTGTCTGTCTTGTCTTGCCGGGCTCCCTGTCAGCTCTAGATCTAGACTACTCCGTATACTCAATGACTATCTCTTGTACTAAATGGCCACTATTACACTCAATGACTGTCTCCTACACTAAATGACCATCTCCTATACTATTTAATGACTGTCTACCACGTACTATCTACTAAATGTATCTACTAACACTATCTCTTGCTATTCCACTGTCTCTGGCTATGTACTTCCTTGTCTGCCGCCAACTAAAACAAACTTTTCACGGCGCACCAAAACTTCGACCTGCAACTTTTCGCCCCGCAAAGCCGACGAAGAACAACCAAGCAAGCCAGCAGCAACAGGAAGAAGAACCAGAGACGCCGCCAGCAAGAAGACGCCGCCAGCGACAGCAGACGCCGACGGCCAGACGAGCAGCCCCGGCTGAGAGCGAGAAGGACTCCCTCCCCAATAAAGGACCAGCTAAGTTGTCTGGCCCCCTGTCGCTCGCTGCCTGAAAGCCTCCTTCAGCCCTAACGAAACTAACCTCCCTCGACCCAGCAGGCAAACCTGCAGCCAGAACAAACACCATAGACAGACACAGACAGACCGACAGACAGACCGACGACAGAGCAGACCAGACGACCGACAGCAGACAGACAGGGACAGACCGGCGGACAGACGGCCAGAGAACGAGACGACCTTCTCCTCTGCCTATCCAAACACCTGCCCCCCCCGCCTCTCCGCCGCTGCATGAGAGTTTGCGCACCCTGCCATACAGCCTGGATAGACACGACTCGCTGCCGGAACCATGGGACAGACGCTGTCTCAGCCGATAGTCAAGAAGGTACCTCTTGCTGCCCTCCGTCGGGGGAGAAGATAGCCACGGGATCGAGAGAAATTGCTGCTGACAACCCGCTGCTACTAGGAGTCCGACGAAGGCGAAGATGAGTGCGTGGTGTACGGCCTCTCCGCGATGCAGGGATGGAGAATCGCCATGGAAGACGCCCATGCTGCCGTGCTAGACCTCCAGGCCAAATACACAGACCTCGACAGGAGCAGCAGCAGCAGCAGCAGCCACCACGGTGCGGGTGGTGGCCCGACGCCGGCGGACAAGCGGTTGTCCTTCTTTGGCGTGTACGATGGCCATGGCGGGGAGCAGATGGCCCTGTATGCGGGCGAGAACGTCCACCGCATCGTGGCCCGGCAGGAGTCGTTTGCCAGGGGGGACATCGAGCAGGCTCTGCGGGACGGCTTTCTCGCTACTGACCGGGCCATCTTGGAGGGTCTTGTTTTTTTTTTTTTTTTTTCTCTTTTTTTTTTTCCTCTTTTTCACTCTCACACACACACGCACACCCACAATCTCCCCTACCGCTGTTTTTACCTGGGTATACTAACGTCTTATAGACCCCCAGTATGAGAATGAAATCTCTGGCTGCACAGCATCCGTGGCCATAGTGTCAAGAGACAAGATCAGAGTGGTGCGTCATCTTTATATCCTGACTGGTATTATATTCCTACTCACATCTGGTAGGCCAACGCGGGAGACTCCAGATCTGTCCTCGGTGTCAAGGGGCGGGCCAAACCGCTCTCCTTTGACCACAAGCCACAGAACGAGGGTACGCTTCTATTTCTACTTTGGTTGCTCTTCCTCGTCTAACTCTCTGTCTGCAGGAGAAAAAGCGCGGATAAGTGCTGCAGGAGGGTTCGTCGACTTTGGCAGAGTCAATGGCAACCTCGCCCTCTCCCGGGCCCTGGGCGACTTTGAATTCAAGCGCGCCGCAGACCTCTCCCCCGAACAGCAGATTGTCACCGCAAACCCGGACGTTACAACCCATGAAGTCACCGAAGACGACGAGTTTCTCGTCATTGCATGTGATGGTGCGCATCATCACTTTCCACCATCGCTTTTTGCTACCGCTAACAACCACTGTATTATATTATAGGCATATGGGACTGCCAGTCGTCGCAGGCGGTGGTAGAGTTCGTCAGAAGAGGCATTGCGGCCAAGCAGGAGCTACATCGCATCTGCGAGAACATGATGGACAACTGTCTCTCCTCAGACCCAGAGACCGGCGGCCTCGGCTGCGACAACATGACCATGGTCATCGTCGGCCTGCTGCACGGCAAGACCAAGGAGGAGTGGTACAACACCATTGCAGAGCGCGTGGCCAACGGCGACGGGCCCTGTGCTCCCCCTGAATACGGTGAGACTGCGTCGTTGTCTTCTTCTCCTTCATAACTTTCCCAACACAAATTCCTAACTGCTTTCTCTTCTTTCTCTTTTCTATGATCCAACAGCCAGCTTCCGTGGCCCAGGCGTGCGTCCTCAGTTCAACGAAGGCTCAGACTATGACTCGGCTGGCCCCGCCGGCCGGTCAGGCAGAATCATCCTGCTTGGAGACGGCACCGAGGTGCTCACCGACATGGGTGACGAGGAGATGTTTGACAGCGCAGACGAAGACAAGGACCTAGAGAGCCAGGTCCGGAGAACCACCGACGCTGATGCTGACGCTGACGAAGCCGGCGAGACCAACGACGCCGCCGAGACTGAACGGAGGCAGCAGCGAGAAGGCACGCCGGGTCCCCAATCGACTTCATCAAACGCAAACGCCAATTCCGTTGACTCGGCTTCGGTTTCAACGTCTGCTACCTCTGCTCCTATTGCTGCCCTGACGGAATCCCCGCGTGTCATCTCAGCCTCCCCCTTACCAACCGCCGACTCATCCCCGAACTCCGTCTCAGATACCAAACGGTCGTCGTAGTCACTAATCCCCCCCCAAATCTCTACCGCCTCCCCCTTACCGTCACTCTCCCGTTTCCCTCTCCCTCTTGCCCTATCCTATCTCTCTGTCTCTCTCTCTCTCTCTCCATCTCTCATCTCGCGTGCCCGAGTTTGCCTGCTACGTCATGCCATGCCATGCCCGTCATGATATGCAATGCTATGCTATGCTGTGCTATGCTATGCTCTGATCTGCTACGCCATGCCATGCTATGAATGACTGAGGAAAGGGAATCCCATGCTATCTCTATCTATCACTATCACTACGACCACCGCCAGCTATGCTATGTCCGGCTCCGGCTACAGCTTCAGCTGCACGCAAATGTGTTTAATTACCTTAACGTACTAGTTACTTTTTTGTTCTTCCGTCAACAGACAAATACGTTTATTCTTCCCGTAGATTTCTATCCATTAAGCATGGGACTTGTCTGCGTCCTGTCGCTGCCAATTTGGCAGCTATCCAGACTGCACCACCGCCAGCAGCCAGCCAACCAGCGAGCAACCAGCAAATTCCCCCGGCCGTAGATCTACACCTAGCTCAAGACTCGAGAGATTAAAAAAAATAAAAACCTACATGGATATTAAATACTAATTGCATGGAATATAAAAGGTGATCCACCAGTCGCGCCCCTGAACAAGAAAAATATTTTTAAACTTGTTTCTGCAGCTCAAACGAACAGCTCGCCTTTCGTCCTGGCGCCAGCACACAAATAATAAACTACGACTGCAATCCACCGACATCACCCGGCAGCCTGCCTTCAATGCTCGTCTAGGCCAGGAGAAGCTGCTAGCTATCGCTCCATCAAGCCGCCATGTCGTCGCCGGCTGCGTCCAAACGCAAGCGGAGCTCCTCGCATCTACACCCGCAGCCCCAGCAGCAGCAACAGCAGCAGCCAGCAGAGCTCCAGCCGACCTCCCGCGACGCCTCGGGCGAAGAAACAGCTACATGCACGCCGAAGAAGGAGAAAGGCACCGGCATTGCGGCCGTTGCTGCTGCGGCGGCGGCTGCGGAAGTGCCGCCTAGCAAGCGGGCTCGAAGACGGTCAGTGGCAGACGGCGCGTCGACCAGCACCAGCAGCTCGAGGGCGAGGACAAGCAACATTGACCCCGGCGAGCCGTCCGAGACGACGGAGGCGAGCGTCGACATCGAGAACAGGGCCAAGCGGAGGGTGGAAGCGAGACAGGCGCAGGCTCAGGCTCAGGCTCAAGCCCAGGCTCAGATGAAGCCAGCTACGCATGCCGGAATCCAGGATCCAAAGGGGTACCATACCAATCCGCCGCCGACAGACAGGCCGGTGAGGGTCTATGCGGATGGGGTGTTTGATTTGTTCCATCTGGGGTGCGTTAACAGCTTCTACTACTGCCTACTTGATAACTTGATATATAAACTGCTACTTTGCGGTGTGCTAACAAGCATACAGACACATGAGACAGCTCGAGCAGGCAAAGACGCTGATTCCAAACACATATCTCATAGTCGGGGTGACGGGCGATGCAGAAACGCACAAACGGAAGGGCCTGACGGTGCTGAACGAGGCGGAGCGGGCAGAGACTATCCGCCACTGCAAGTGGGTGGACGAGGTTATTCCCAATTGCCCCTGGATAGTCACGCCGGAGTTCCTGGAGGAACACCAGATCGACTACGTGGCTCACGACGACCTGCCGTACGGCGCGGACGAGGGAGACGACATCTACGCCCCCATCAAGCAGATGGGCAAGTTCCTCGTCACGCAACGTACAGAGGGCGTGAGCACCACCGGCATCATCACAAAGTATCACTCCCCTCCCTCACCCCAGACATCAAACTCCTACTAATGGTTGGTTTGTATAGGGTTGTTCGGGACTATGATAAGTATATAGCTCGCCAGTTCAAGCGGGGGGCTTCACGGCAGGAACTGAACGTTTCATGGGTCAAAAAGAACGAGCTCGAAATCAAACGACATGTCACCGAGCTGCGTAACGCCATCAAGAACAACTGGTCTACTACGGGCCAGGAGCTGAGCAAGGAGCTCCGCCACCTCTGGCAGAACAGCCGTCCTACCAGCCCGAGTCGAGAGGCCGGTCCAAACTGGGGATCTGCTGCGGCCTCCAGGGCTCATCTACATGCTGATCCGCCCAGCAGGCCTGAGAGTCCCGGCGTAGCTGGCCGAAGCGAGGACTTTGCTACAGGTTACTCGCTCGGGCTGATTGGAGGTGTTCGTTCGTGGGTATGTTTGACTTTCTCTCTCTCTCTATAAACAAGCTATTTGATCCGTCATAACGCATCTTGATAACGTCTCTTTCTCTGGCTGACACGTCTTAGATGATGAGGAGCAGGACATCACTGCATAACACGGCCAGCCGGCCTGTGTCACCGTCGGGGAGCGACGAGGAGACCGACCGGCATGCCTCGAGCGCCGCGGGAAAGGAGTGACTGTGACTGCGACCGTTCTATACTAACCTAATAGCACTGATGTATACGCTGCTCTACAGTTCAGGGCTCTATATGCTCTCTTCCTTTTCGAAGACTGTTACCGGCAGTTGGTTAAGCTCTTTCTCCTTCTTTCTGTGTGTAAACATAATATCTTACCGTCATGACTAGCAAGATCAATATCATCTTCTTCTTAGTGTCTAACAATATAAAAAGATCAGTCTCAATATCTGTCAATCTCAATGTAACCAATATGTCGGTCTGCTGCATCTAGATGCGCCCTCGGGTAAACAAATCCTTTGCCGAGAATTAAGTTACCAAATAAATAATTTTCCCGCCTTCAACTATCAATAGTTATCAATATCAATATCAATATTTGAATACGAAAGCGACCTGCGAGGCAGCAGGACCAAGTCTCCAATTCTGCCTATTATCCAGCAGCAGGCTTGTTCAATAGCTGTATCAACCTGTTGCTGCACTAATAGCTGACTGCCATGTCCGCCGCGGGAGCTTCGAGCTCTCCCGCACCGCCGGAAGAGCCTTCAAACGCCGCCAAAGACACCCCCGGCAGCGCCAACCAAAGCCATGAAGACAATACCAGCTCGGAAACCTCCAGCAAATCATCCGGATGGCTGCAAAGGACGCATCAGATGTGGTTGCAGGGTAAAGGCATGCTGCTCGTCCTGCTCGCGCAGTTCTTCGGTGCCACGATGAACGTCATGGCCAGACTGCTTGAGCAAGACGGACCTCACGGCAAAGGCATGACGCCGTTCCACGTCAGTCTCTTCCTCATTCTTCTTCTAACTACTCGTCCTCTCGTTGTCTTGCTACGTAGCTAACGGTACCCCAGATCCTCCTAGCACGCATGCCCGCAACCGCCCTGTTCAGCTTCATCTACATGTGGTACATGAAAGTACCCGAGCCCTTCGGGTCCAGAGCCGTACGCCCGCTCCTGATACTGCGAGGAATCAGCGGCTTCATAGGCGTGCTCAGCTTGTACTACTCCCTCATATACCTACCGCTATCAGAGGCTACCGTCTTGACCTTCCTCTGCCCCATTGCCTCCTGCTACGTCGCCTCGTTCATCATGCCAAACGAGAAGTTCACAAGAAGCCAGCAGCTCGCGGGCGTCATTTCGATCCTGGGGGTCATCCTCATTGCCCGGCCGGCGGCTCTTTTTCCCAAAGAACCTCACGCAAAGGCAGCCACGGACCTCCATGACTCAACCCTTCTATTCGACACTGCTGTCAAAGAGCCCAGTACCAAACAGCATCTGATTGCTGTTGGAGCCGGCCTGGTGGGAGTCATGGGAGCTACGTCGGCATATACCCTAATACGCAAAATTGGACCGCGTGCCCACCCGCTAGTCAGTGTCAACTACTTTGCCCTCTTGACCTCGGTGATGTGTCTCCTGGCCGTTCTAGTCATCCCAGGAGCTGAGCTGAGAATGCCAGCAAACACCAACGAGCTGCTTTTGCTCCTTGCCTTGGGTCTCTGTGGCTTTCTCTTCCAGTACCTGGTTACTGCGGGTCTTTCGTACGTACCGCCAAAGATTGATGGGAAACCATCTACACATGGATCTAGTGCTACCTCCATGATTTACCTGCAGATTGTCTTTGCTCTCTTTTATGACAAGGTGGTATGGAACACTACCCCATCGTCTACAAGTTTGCTAGGCTCTACAGTCATTCTGCTGAGTGCATTGTATGTCGCACTTGCGGCTGGAAAGAGTAAAAAGAAGGATACGAGCAGCCAGACGAAGCCGGGAGAAACGCAGAATACCAATGGGAACCATGATGTCGAGGATCAGGCTTTGCCTAAACCATGGAAAGCTCGGGATCGTTCTTCGGCCAGTGAAGGCGAAACAGAAGCCTTGCTGGGTCAACACAGAAATGATTGATACTAGATCTTTTAAAAGACTGCTATATAGAGACAAGCAAAAAAAGGAAAAGAAAAAGGGACTTACTCAATAGATGACCCGTCCATCTAGATGGACGTAAAATATAATATTCACTTGGTTTTGGTGAGATTCTACTCTTTATAGTATCTATACACGGGCGTGGTTATACAAAGGTAAAGGTATCTCCCCCTTTTTCCAACAACATACTTCGAACCCTAGCAGTTCCAGCTATCCTCTCAAGCTTCAGAGCATCCCACTTGGAGAAAAGCACCCTGACTGTTGGAGTAGCTGTACCGCCGGCGGCAGATCCCAAATACTCAATTAGATCTCCCCAGAATATCGGGTTATCAGGTAACCCATACATCACAATGTTTGTGACGCCTCGGATATTATACCGGCGGAAATGGTGTGCTCGCTCCGTATATAGGAGCACCGAATGTCGACCATTCATAAAGTGACTTCTCGCCCTCGAAGAGTCACGTACAGACGTATACTCCGATATCAAGCCAAAGGATATATTCTCCGTTTGCGAGGAATTGGCAAAATGGTTCCGAACACGGACAAAATCAAGATAGGACGGAATGAATATCAGTGTTCCCCCTGACTTCTTTCGGGAACTTGATTCTGTCCAGCCTCGAGCAAGGCTAGCAAGAACAGTTCGAGTGAAGTACTGGAACCGAGCTTCGGGGTCCTTCAGCGGTGAAGCAGAATCAAAGCGGGAAAAGGTCTGCTTGACGGATATCGGGAGCCGAAGATTCAACATGGCACCCTCGTACTTGGACATAATTTTCGCCTTTCCAAAAACATTTTGCATTTGTGTATTGTAGAGTGCGTTCAGCTCAGGAGTATTAAAGGCTGAGAATACCAGCGTCTGGCGGAGGAACTTTCCATGTCCATCCAGGTACCATTGCCTCACTCTGCTAAAGTCACAGCCATGTGCTTCTTTTGGCTGAAGATTGAGATTGGAGAAAATGTACTCAACGTGGTCCCAGTTTTGCATGATGAGCGCATCTGCATGATCAACAATCACCATCTCAATAGAAGACAAAAAGTCATTCTCGTTTTTCTTCCCTCTATATTAAACGCTATTAGCTATCACCAACGTCACAGGAGTCGAGATTGATACATACCCTTCCTTTTCTATGGCCGTTCGCAAGCCAAGAGGGCTCGCGAGGATGATATCAGAGCTATAAAACTTCGAAAAGAATTTAAGCGATTTCCGCGTGAATTTCAAGCCTAGCCGGAACATGTCATCGTCATTACCTCCAAACAGCTCCTTGAAGTCGTCTGGTTTGTGAGCCCATTCGTCACTATCCGCAGCAGAAAAACTGTCCATGAACCTTTTCTTGTTCTCTTGTTGTTCCATGGGATAAATCTTGGTGAATGAGTTGATAACTCGAACGCATGCCTGTCGAGTTGGCAGTATTATTAGAACCTTGGGACGTGTGAAGCCTTGATCTCTGAGCTCAACATCACCGTTATCTTCCCTCGACAAGATAGCACTATTTTTAATCACACGGTCCCTTGTTTTCAGAACATGGTTCAAAGCATGCAAACAGTATAGATCCCGTAGCTTGGCTGAGTTTTGAGTTGTTCGAGAGCAAAAGAAGGTATCATGATATCCAAATATGTAAGGGGTCAAGCAGCTATTAAGACGGTCAAATGATACAGTATTCCTTGCTAGTTTTTGTTTGAGCTGGCGGTATGTTAGCAATCGAACGGACCAACAAGCTTCCGGGACTAGTTACCTTAAGTTCGGCGGGTGAGGGTGTCGTAGGCAGACTGGCACTTGAATTTCCTTCGACATCCGGCATAGACACCACAGAATACAGCCCATCAATAAGGTCTGCTTTTGTAGATTTCCATGCTTTTGAGCATGCTTGAATCTTCTGAGATAGCTCTGTTTCATCAGGGTTGCCGAAGTGTAGCTCAAACATGTCGTTTCTGCCTATAGAATATCATCAGCCAAAGCCCTGGTCAAGTAACATTCAAAATTCACTAACCATCTGTACCAATATCTTCAGCATAATCTTCACCAGGTAAGCCTTCATCGTCCATATTTTCGTCCTCTGATGCTGATGCCTCCGTGTCAGCAACTTCATCCATTTGTTCAATATCATCTGCTGTAGGTATCGACACCTCCACCAGGTTTGCATCTGGTTCATTGGCCTTTATCTTTCGTTTCTTTCGCGCCGGCTCATTTGATTTTGCATCGGTATTCAGCAGCTTCAGCAAAGTGCTATACGAGTTCTCCTTCGGTGGTTCGTCCAGGCCACTCTCGGAGGACACATCAGTCCCCTCGCTATCGTTCATGTCTTCGGCCGGCTGGACATCTACATCTTCTTCCTCTCCAGAAGACTCATCTTCACTATTATATCGGTTAGTATATTGTCCTAACAGCACAACAATAGCTCGGTTTCCTACCGGACATCTTTGAGCCGGGAGGTCTCAAACTTGCGCCCTCTACTCCGGCCAGTTTTGGATCCTCTGCCTCGATGGCCTCCGCCTTTTTTATGCTGAATCGCCATGGTGCCAGGCTTCTAGATTTACTAGCAAGCCAACTTTAGCAATCCAGTGCAGGGACTACCTTCAATCGAGAGCTATCTTCTTGTTGACTTTTTACAGCTTTTTTTTTTTTATTATTATTATTTTAAGGTTGCTTTTCTGATCTCGATCTTATCTTATCTAAGCGTAGAAAATTTCCGCCACACACAAATAATGAACATCTCGAAGAACGAAGACGACGCAGACGACGAACGTTGGTTGAATCGCATCGCCGCCAGCCAGAAGCACTGACCAAGGACGATACTACCTGCTCCTCTTGCAATCATGGCTGACACCGGCTCATTTATCCATATTGCGCGGCCTCTGGGACCAGCTACCGTAGGAGTTGCGCCCACCACTGCCCCTCTCAGCGTTATCATACAGCCCCAGGTAAGCGGAAAACGGCACAGGAAGCAGAGGCAGGATACAAGGTGTATAGGCTGACAAGATGCGGTTTATAGGCTATCTTCTCTATCCTCGATCACTCTCTCCGACGCAATGCCGACCAGGAACGAGTTATCGGCACCCTACTTGGCACTCGATCCGAAGATGGGACTGAGGTCGAGATCCGGACCTGTTTCGCTGTTGGCCACACGGAGACGACTGACCAGGTTGAAGTTGATATGGAATACCAGAAGCAGATGCTCTCTCTTCACCTGAAGGCCAATCCCAAGGAGGTTCTCGTGGGATGGTATGCCACCTCGTCGGAACTCAACACATTTTCCGCTTTGATTCAGAATTTTTACGGTGGGCACGGTGATGGAACATGGCCTCATCCAGCTGTTCACTTGACGGTTTCCACCGAACCTGGGAAGGATATTGTGACTAGGACATATATCTCTGCGCCAGTCGGTGTCACAACGGAACGAGCTGCGGATAGTGCAGCATTCATACCAGTGCCATACGAGATCAGATATGGAGACGCGGAGAAGAACGGTTTGGAGGCAATTGCGGCAGCTCGGGATAGGGAAGACCGGGCGACAAACCTCTTCACCGATATCGACAGCTTAGAGAGATCTATCGAGGAGGTCATTGGTATGATTGACCGTGTTTCCAGATACGTGGAGTCGGTTATGGACGAGGAGGCGCCAGCTTCCACAGCTCTTGGCCAGTTTTTGCTCAACGCCCTCGCACTCGCACCAAAGGTGGATGCTGCCGAGATCGAAAGTGACTTGTATGTGCTCAACTTCTTTATACTTCTATTTTACAAAGTCGAACTATAAACACTAACCCCTTTTGACAGTAACAAACACATCCAGGACGTCCTTGTGGTCTCATATCTTGCGAACTCCATCCGTACACAAATGGAGCTTTCCAACCGGCTTGCAACTGCCCAGCTTACCCTTGGAGGAGGCGGCGAAGGTAATGCAACTGGAGGCAACGCTGGAGAATCCGGTGGTCAGCGCGGTCACCGATCCAACAGAGGCCGAGGTGGTCAACGAGGTGGCCCTCAAGCCGAGGAGCTGCGAGCTTAAAGAGAAACGAGACAGTCGCCAGAATGTTCTTCACCTTCACCAGGTTTCCCCAGTCTTAACTGTAGTTATGGAGCTGGCAGGCCGTTCGATAAATTTACTTTTGGAGTCGTGCTTCACGTCGGTTGTGGGAAAACGAAGGCGTCTTTGGAGTTATGATTGCATTATGTCCACGATCAATGGGGCTTTTTAATCAGGTAGACGAATGAAACGAATTCCTGTTTCTGTCATATACTTGGTGTTCGAGAGGCCGATACAGTAACTGGTGCCGATCGCGTGACGTGTATGCATAATCTGCTGTCACGATTATACCCGGTATAATGCGTTCCTGGAATAGTTCCGGGATGTTATTCATCCCTCTTTTCTAGCGATTGGTAAGGCCAGGGGATGGGATGCAGTTATGTAGTATGCATCGTAGGTAGCGGATTTTTGTCCCCGAATGTATTTGTTTGCTTGCATGCTCGATTGATCCAGTTGAGCGGTTCTGCAGGCCAAATGAAAGACTTAACAATAGTCGGAGGTATATTAATCAAGGAAGGCACGTTTATGTAAAGAAACCATCAAAAGAGGCTACTTTGCGTTTCTTTCCTGTGCCATTACCAGCCTGGTCGGCCGGGGGTTGTCTCTTCTTATACTTTCCTCGCTTGCCTCTAGGCTTCGGTCCAGTGGTGCCGTCTTTTGCGAAGTTGTCATCTTGTGCGCCAGCTTCGCCTGCTAGATCCGCCAGTTCTGCTTTAGATGACTCCTTTAAGTTTCCGCCTAAACGATCATCATTCTGATCAAAGGCCTTTCGAGCCTCCTTAAGCTCTCGTTCTAACCGGAACAACTCCTGAACACGGCCAAGCTTAATAGGATCCCGACGTAGAATGAAGCGAAAGTCATCTGATTTAACTTTCTGACGGTTTGAATAGTTGGCGACCTGGGCTGCTTCGTGGCAAGTCTCAATAACGAAATCTGTTACAATCTCATCGAGGACGCGAACAGTCTCAGGGTTGGGCTCCTGAGGGTAGCTAGAATGAGGAGTAGTGTCACCGTAGGCGTAAAGAAACTGACGAACTGCACAATATGACTGTTAGTAGCCGAAAACAAAGAAAAAAAAAAAAAAAGGAGGGGTTCTCAGAAATGCCATACTCTCAGGGCCAAAGCTCAGTTGGCCTTGATGTCGTGTCAAGCGAACCCTCGGTTCTGACATTATTGCTCGCCTCTACTCCTCGTTCCTATCCTTCGGTCAGATTCCCTGTCGGTTAGTACGCCTTTTCTGATGCAAGAAAAAAAGCCGAATGTTCTCCCTTCAACTGCAGTGTTTCCGAGCAAAGCTGCTGTCTGTGTTGTTGGTGTTTTCGATGGTGAGCATCGAGAAGAAGTCAAGAAGCTACAAAGCGCTTAACTACTCGACAAGCGCGCGCGTCTACCTAGGTAAATGTTTAATCACGTGATGACCACTTGGCGGGGGCCACTGTCGACTTTCTTGTTGAGCGCATCAGATACAGACAAGAAATGCATCGCCGGCACGCAGTTTAATTCATAGAAGATAGAGGCTCTACTGGACAGTCATGGTATGCTGGAATCTTTGCTTTGGATAATCTATACTAGTCCGAAAGGTGTTTTTATCTGACAATGTTCCCTAGGCTGCCCTCTTCAATTTCCAATCACTTCTACTAGTGATTCTCTTGATTATCTGTACAAGTACCTATGCACACAGCATAATGCCTGGGATCATGGACCGCCATCAGAATGGGTAATACAAATGCTTACTCCCAGCAGTAATGATCTTGCTAACCTCCACAGATTCTTTGGTATATTCTGGAAATGCGCCAGGGTGGGCGAGAGATTAAGTCCATATGTCAGCATTTGCTGCATCATCATGGCCGTAAGTGTAGGCTTCCCTGAATCGAGCTTGAATACTATTTCTAACTATTGCGGTTCAGATATCCCTCTTTTTCGGAAACTAGTCAACTTTTGCATCTTATGGGGTTATGTTTTTATGTTCTCTTATTTTTGTAATTGGCGTGTGCAAGGGAAAAGGAGTAACTGCAACTTTTAGACAAATCATGAAACCTGGCTAAATCTCTACGAAACCCTGACTTGCGTAAACGGTAAAAGAAAATACTACAAAGAACGCCTTGTTGTATAATGATCATCTATTCGTTTCAATTATTTATTGCATCGTATAATACAATATGTCTATAGTACAATATTGACTAGATCCGCGTATTATTCAAGCGCTTATCTATACATCAGCATCTCTCACTGCTTGGTGACAAGCTTAGATTTCTCCAACTCAGGCTCGCTGGCATCTAAGCGATCAAGGAGGGTCCGTAGCAACTCTTGATTCTCAATGAAACCCAAAGCCTTGACTGTATGTCCATCGGGGCTCCAAGACTGCCTCTCCATCTCCTTGAGTGCGTTAGCGGCTGCTTCAACCATTTGGTTACAAGCGTATCCTCGGATTAATATGTTCCAGGCCACATCGTTAATCTCCACTCCACGCTCTTTCATGGTCTTGTAAAGACTCTCTGCAGCTTGCATTTGGTTATGAGATATTAACGTGTTCAGTAAGATTGTCCATGTTCGTTGAGATGGTTGAGCGGGCCGCAGTGGAACTGGACCGCTGTGATGGGCTTTCATCGTTTGAACAGCTACTTCAGGTAGAGGCTGAAGCATGTAGTTCAGAATCTTGAAACATTTATATATCGTTTGAGGCTCAAAGCGAAGTGCCATGAGGAAGCTGTTGAAGACATAGTCTGTTGATATCAGAGGCGTAATCATGGGGTGTCCGCTGGCTACCAATCCTTGGAATCGTGTGAAGTATCTCCAAATTTTGTCAGCATGAGGGCGTGTCCTTAGGTGTGCGGTGATCATAATATTAAGAGCTTGACTCGAGGGCGGAGATTTGCTTGCTGAAAGCAGTTCATCATTCTGGCTGCGTGGTACAAGTCCTAGGTCAACTAGTGGTTGTATTTGATGTGACTTTTTATAAACGTCAAGCATTTTATGAAATGATTCCATTGACCCTGTCTGGCCCGGGCTTGAATTGTGAGGAAAAAGAAGCATTGCGTGCAACGTTTTGCTGACGAGGTGTGGCTGTGTGGATAGGGAATCGACTTTGGCAATTTTGCTGAGTACATGGTCCACCTTTTCGTGGTCCCTGAGGCGTACAGCATGGTGCAATATTGAAAGATGAGTATACGAGTCGGGTGTTACCCCCTGGTTCTCCATCAATTGAACTATCTGCAGCGCAGTGTCCAAGTCATCTGCTCTCAAAGCATTAGACACCACGATATTGAAGATCGACAAATCAGGCTGCACTCCCATCTGTAGTATCCTTGGCAGGATATCAAAGGAGATGGTACCATCATCTTGACGAGTGTAGCGGTCTAACTTTAGAAGGTTGCAGCAGCGATCCGAAATTTTCTGGTACCCGACAGGCTTTTGGGATTCGAATCGCATTATAAGAAGGCGTAGCGAAGTTAACGCTGCTGAAATATCCCCATTCTTAGTAAAAAGGTCGGTGAAATAAAACAATGTCTCCAGGGAGAGAAATTTTTGGTTTTTGAGAACATAGTTGAAGCACTTCACTAGGTTGTGGTGTTCGCAGTATTTAAGGTAGAGCCGAAACCCGGTCTGTGAGTCTCTTGACAAATAAGGCAAAACCTCCGGACGGAGACAGTGCTCTAAAACACGTGTATATCTGCTTTTCAGTTTTGGGGAGTCCTGAAATTCAGCAACATGAAATCTTTCAAGAAAGATAAAACAGTCTGCAACCATGGGAAATGAAGGAGAAAACCGAGTTGTTGTCACCTCTAGAAACCGCAAGGCTTGTGCTGGCGAGTGTAGAAGAAGCCATAATATCATAATCGGCCACCGCCTTGCAGCTTCAGTTCGGCAAAGTCGCCGCCATCGTGCAGAAGGAGGGGGTTCGGTGCGAGGAGAACTCAGTATACTCTTGATCCATCGACGCACGACTTCGGAGTCTTCTGTGCTCAACAATCTCCAAGTTTCCGATACTGGTACATTGCGGCGTTTATGATCGTATAGTGTTTTCAAGTTCTTCTTCCAGCTCGGATGAATGTGCGTGAGTGGATAGAGTGACATTTCTCTAACCAAATATTCACTTGGATGAACAGCATGGTCTCCATAGGATTGGATACCCGCACACTCACTTTCAATCTTTCCACGAAGCTGCCGTCGCTTTGGTTGTGATAGGTTATAGCCCTTTAGATACCTCAAAGGAGCACTTATGGGAGGAGCAACACTATGGGTGGGTTTTGATTGTTCATTCACACGGGACGTAGGTGTTTGCTTGCGTTGGGGTATATCTATACGCCGGTGCTGTGGCTGCTCATTTTGTTCGTGACGACCAGTTTCCTCCGACTTTCGTCGTCTTGCTAAGCCTTTTCGCCTGGAGGATGATTCGGGATCTCGAAGGCTTCTATTAACGGTCGGTTCCGGAGGTGGTATCTCCGAGTCTGGCTCGTCGTAGCTGCTTCTGAGGCTGGTAGCATATCTCGACGAGGGTGAAAGAGAAGTGAACTGTTTCCGCGCAATTGATGTATTCGACGGTATCCGGACGGAATCAGCATGGGCAACAGTCGACAGAATGCCAAATAGCTGCGAGCGTAGGCCTGCTTTCCCGCCGCCCAGAGGGCTCATAACTCTGTCAGGCCTCTTATGGAACTGCTGCCCATAACTTGAGAGATGGAATTTGTGGGCATATATAGGGTAAGAGTGTCCGGAGAGCTCTGGTAGTCAAGACTTATACAGAATATCGCTGTACAAGTATGGAAACAACTTTGTATCGCAAGGTCTCTGGTCCGTCGGTGAATCACTTCATGTCAAGATGTTTCTGCGAGCCTTTGGGACAAAAAAAGCTGCGATGTCAAAGATGCCAAAAGAGGAAAGTTTGCATCCGACATCTCATTAGCAGAAATGCAAACATCAATCTTCAACCTCTCGCGACTTTGGAGGAGAAACAAAAAATCTAACCGGCAAACGCAGGACGAATATTTTCCTCCAGGCACAAACATACGTCTAGAGATCATGTCATCCTCTCATACGACGCTAGACGCGGCCGCTGCGGACCGCAAAGCTCGTCTTGCGAAATTAGCGTCCCTGAAGAGACAACGAAGCGAAACAGAGAGCGAGCCAACGGATCAGAAGGATTCGGCTGGCACGTCAACGTCCAAATACCTGTCTGGACGGAACTACGACTGGGAGACTAAGGGAGCGAAGCTTGGATTCGAAAATGACCCTTCTCAAGGCGCAGCAACGTTGGAAGACAAGGCAGCTGAGATAGCGGCAGCAACAGCGCAGGCAGCTCAGGAGAACGAAGACGCAGAGAAACCCATTGACCTATTCAATCTACAGCCAAAGAAGCCTAACTGGGACCTTAAACGAGACCTTGAACAAAAGATGAAGATTCTAGATGTCAGGACGGATAATGCAATAGCTAAGCTTGTGAGACAACGAATACAGAATTCCCAGGCCGCAGCTACGGCGGCGGGTACTCGTGGGGGTGACGGAGACGGAGAGACTGCTGGAATCGACGGTGAAATGCTTGTGCAGGGAATACATACCCGCGAACGGGAGGAGGCAGAGCAAGAGAAGGGAGAAGATTGGAGTTAATAGTTAACTCGCGCTGAATGGATTCCCTCTGGACAAGATTCCATTGTGATACCACAAACATTGGGGAATTCGGTAATGATTACGAAGAATACTTGACTGGAGGTCTTTGATCATTGGAAAGAAATATTTGAGGATTATCTACCCGGAGCATTCATGGCCTGTGTGAGAGCAAGTCGTTTGCTATATGGGCTTAGGCTTCTTTGCCTAGGCGGAGAATTATTCCGCGCAGGCTGCCTCTGAATGTGGGAGCGACTCTGTGCCCTATCACGCGAACCTGGCGTACCATACCTGTTACCATCGTCAATGGATCTTTCTCGTTCTCTGTATGCACGCCTGCTACTGCGTGATACATCGTCTCTGGATCTAGACCTGTTATGCCGCCTGTATGGCTCAGGAGAATCTGAATAACGAGTCCGCCGAGGACGACGAGTGTTGTGATCATCATGTCGACGCCTACTGCCTCTTGATCGTCCATTAGAAGCATCGGACTCTTCACCAAGCCCATCTGTCCCTGACCTCTGTCTTCTGGAAGGGGAACGAATGCTGTGCCGTGAAGGCTGTGAATCCTGTCTTGCACGTCTGGGAGGCGGGGGCGAAGGCGAACGGTTGGTTGATATCGTTGACACTGACGAGTATGAGGATACCGACCTGGCTCTCTTCCGTGAGCTTCGGGCAGCATCTCCGTGGTGACTCTCTCTATCTGGGCTCGGGCTCGGGCTCAGCCTTCCCCGTTCCTCCTTTGCTCGACGCAGCTGCTCATCAGCAACCCCTTTACTATGTAATATCAGTTAGTGGAAGCTCCCAATAGAAACAGATTCTAGCTGTCGTCTGTTGTGACATACGTTCTGAGTAAATCATTTGGCACCTCCGTCGACAGCTGTGGCCGCAGTCGTGGGTTCGAAAGCTGCTGCGTCCTCGATGGCCGAGCACCGTACGGCCTCTCCTGCAGCTGTGTAGTGCATTCGTAGCTGTAATGGCTTAAAAGACTGTCAGCTCAGACTGCGTATTCGAGAGCTCTCAGAGCTGGGGCCGGGGCAACCTATCTTTCTTCAGGCACTTCTGGCAGACGGTCGTCGGGGTCGCCTTCGACGGAGCAGCCCGCCCGGGAATATTCCTGTACCTGTTCATCTCCTCTCGCCCGCCGTGCTGCGCTTCTTCTTCGCCGTCTCGCGTTGTTCGGTCTCCATCAACCTCGCCGTCGCCGTCTCTATTTTTTGACGTCGTGCAGAGGCACTGCTGACTAAGCAGGAGCCCACAGCCAAAAAGCCGCCTTTCGTTCTCTTCTTCCTCTTCACTTGCGATCCTCCAAGTCGAAGAACTTCCGCGTCGCCGTCGCCCATCGTCTTCCCTACGCCGTCTCAGCCTGTATACGGAATTACTCGCTCAGCCGACCCTCTGCGTACGCCTGGCGTGGTGTTTGTCGGACTCGAGGTGCTTTTTGCTGCACTCTACGTCCGCGACTCTACATCCACGCCCACTCAGCCCCCCCCGGTTCCCCATAACTAGGACGGAAGCCTCTGCGCGCAGGACCCCAGTCGAGACCCGTTGGATGGTTGGAATAACGGCTGCGGATTATCTATGAACTCATTATTCATGCAGGGTCTTGAAGCTCAGAGATATGTCGTCACCGTATCTGGGCTTGTGCATCCTAGCTTTTCTTAGAGATATTGTTTCTATCCCCTGATTCTCTATCAGTTGATATCCATCCACGTCGACGATACGATTGCTCGGCCTTCTGTCAATATCTGCCTTTCACATGGCCGCCGGCCTTTCTTTATTGCAATGACAACAAGGCCAGGCGAACCCTGTAGTCGACCATCATTTGCAAAGGTAAGGGTTTTAGCACTAGCGGAGATTGATTGCAGCTGTTTCTGTTAATGCTAATGTCATTCCTTTCCTCACTAGATTGCTGCCATGCATTCTTGTACTGAATCAGAGCCCCCCAAGACGCACGGCCGTGATGAAAATACGCGGCCTGATAGCTTCTCGTTGGCCCAGTTGAACGCGAACTCCAATACCCTTCCGGCTCAAGATGGCCAGAGTACAGCTACGCACGATATTAAATTAGACAAAGATGGTGATGGCCTGACCGGGCCATTGGATAATCTCCATTTGTCCAAGGACGAAGAAGGGAGGCCTATACCGGAGACTGCCGGTGGTGCCCAAGAGGATGGGCAGCCACGAACGGACAGTTTGTTCGACGATGATCAAACCCATCTCTCTAATTCATCTACAAAACCTACCAGCTTCGATTCTAAAAGCATGGCTTCTGTCACTACGTTTGCCATGGATGAGAAAGAGTCTTTACGACCAGATGACAGTGCCAGTGTTCAGGCCGTAGAAGAGGATGAATTTCTCGCCCCTACCACGGACGCGATCAGCTCCCAGGCTAATTCGGATCCATCTGCATCCAACCGTGGTGACTCGCAGCAGCACAAGAATGCAATACTACGTGAACCAGAGCTGTTGAAGAAAAGCACGTTGCCATTCAACGAAGACGCTCTACGTAGAAATGGAGTACTCCCAGCACCGGAGGGTGAACAAGTTCTGCATGGTTTTCCAAGTGAGCCGGATGAGAAGCTCGTAGAGGCCATGGGATCTCCAAAGGACCGTCTGCTACTCCTTCAGCTAGAGGAGAAGATTATTTCTTTCATCAAGAACTCAAGGTAATTAATCTTATTCCACCCCAGCTGTTTGCCGGTCAAACTAACTGGTTATTACAGTGAAGCTTCGCTGGAACTGCCGCCGTGCAACTCGTTTGGACGATTACTTGCACACAAACTGGGTGACTATTATCATCTCACACATTTTGTCGACAATAATGTTACTTCCGTTCGCCTTCATCGAACTCCGTGGAGCAGATTGTGAGTAGTGCTGAGCATCACTCATGGCGCATTTTCAAAACTAACCGAGGACAGGCCAACTCCATTAACAATGTTACATCCTGCTAATTCAAACAACCCGTCTGCAAACGCGCCTACGATGAAGATTATGCGCCGTATGGGCCAGCCAGGTGAGAGGGGTTCAGCCGCAGGGAGTACTGCAACCAGCTCGGCTGTTCCTTCAAAAACCGCTTCCGAATCAGGAGGAGATGGAACCAATGATGAAGATCGAAATGGTGGCACGTCATCGACTGGAGCTACGCCATCCAGAGATCGTGCCAGTCTAACAAGAGAAGAGCGCGAAGCTAAGTATCAGGAAGCACGAGAGCGGATATTCAGGGACTTCCCTGAATCCAAGTCTACTGATACTGGCAGCGGAGAACAAAGTGCCGATGTGTCAAGATCAAGCTCTAGGACAGGACGTAAGAAGGCACCCAAGCCCAGGTCCCCCAAGGACGATGGTTTTGAGGCTAGATCACAGTTCAATGCGTACTATACATCACCTCAGCTTCCGGGCGGACCGGCGGTATACCATAACACTGCTCACCACGGCGCAATACCGCCTCAAAACTATTATGTGATGGCTCAGAATCCTCCTGGTGGTGGGATGCATCATTACCCCCAGCAGATGAGCCCTTCTGGTCATGGACCCATGTATGCTCCATCCGGTGGTATGAATGGGTTCCCTTCTTATTCCGGACCGCAAACGCACCCGGGACAAAACAATTGGCAGCAAAGCGGCGGCCACCAAGGGTACAATCAATATCAACACCACCAAGCTCAAGTATCACCCATGATGGCTCAGCGTTCTGCCACTGTCCCATCACCAAGGGCACCCGCGTATTCCACCCCCAACCACTCACAGTACCCGCAACCGACTCCAGGCTGGACACCTACCCCTTTCCAGCCTGGATACCCTCCTCAGACCATGGCGCGTTCCCCTCCAGTGCACTGGCCGAACATGCCTCCCAACGCAATGGCAGCCGGTCAGGCTCCTTACAACCAGGGTATGGGCTCCCCACAGCCCTTCATCCCCAGCAAGCCTGCCCATCCGGCTCCAGGCAGCTTTTCTCGTTCGCGATTCAGTCCTCAAAGTAGATCGTTTGCTCCAACAAGCAACTCACAAGCCGGCTATTTCGGTGGTGATTCCCCGTCTCCTCAATACACCAGTCCGCATTTCAATAACCATCCACGCTCAAATTCCAGGGACTCAAAACCGGGGATGAACCCTTCTCCTCCATCACACTACTTTAAATCCAAAGGCACACCGCCCAACATGGTGGGCCAGCCTCAGCAACAGCCAGCTTACGGTAGACAGACTGACACCCAGACTCATGACTCGATCGCCAAATGGGGCACTCCATCACATCTGCCACCCAAACCACCGCCTCCTGAAACTCCCTATACTTCTGACGCTACGAACCCGAATTCCAATCGCCCTGTTGGCGTCACCTCTCCTCCACAAGCATCTAAACTACCGCCGTCCGAGACGAAGACCGCTCCGTTCGTGGTGTCCGGCGCTTCCAGCAGCGAGAAACAGTCCCATAGCAACCCTTCTTCATGAGACTACTCAAGGGAGGTATAATAGTATTCTGTTCTAAAGGGGGCTGCTGCTCTTGTTTCTCGTACTGCAAGACCGTTTGGCCATCCGTTGTACCTTGATATCTCTTGCATTTTCCTCCCTGCTACCTATGCGGACTGAGCTAACTACTCTCCCTGGCATGGAATTAATATAGTCAGTAGAAAAAAAGCACTTTTGAATATAACTATACTTCTACTATGCTTCTATGCCGTCAACTTAGTATATTAACTGTCACTGCTTGCCTGTCTGCTGTTGCCATGTCACTCACCCAGCTTTGTTGCGAGGAGGTAACGTGATCTGCCACTAAAAGTCATTATTACAGCATCGCCTTTTTTTTTTAACTGAAGATCTCAAACTTGACTTTCTTGACTGACAGCTCTGTCGCTACCTACCAGCTACCTCTGTGCCTTGTTTGTTTAATCCACCTGCTTCCAGAGGCATTGTTTTATATTGCTTAGTCTATCCTATAGCTTTTGGCTGTGTGAATCAAGCGTATCCTCCGCACCATGGCTAGCACTGCAGAAGAGGTTCCCGCGGAGCCTATAGACAACCAGGAGAAAGCTGGAGATGATGAAGTATGCCATCCACTATCTATGCCTATTAAGACTAGGAAAGCTAGAGCTAACGGTGCTACTGTAGGAAGAAATCGCAGCGATGCGAGAGAGACTGACAAAGATGGAGTCGGAAGCGGCCAAGCTGCATGAGATGCAAGCTTCCCTGGACCAGCAGACGGAGAACCTACGAGAGGACAAGGAGGACATCGACGCGAGGAGTATCTTCGTCGGCAACGTCGACTACGCGGCCTCGCCGGAGGAGATACAGGCACACTTCCAGAGCTGCGGGTCGATAAACAGGGTCACAATATTACTGGATAAATTCACTGGCCATCCCAAGGGGTTTGTCTCCCGCCCTAGATATTTTTGACCTTTCTTGCTTCCTGAGATATACCTGAGCGGTCTGCTGCCTGGCAAGAGAAGGAGACTAATGGAGCGCTGCAGGTATGCGTATGTCGAGTTCAGTGAACCCAGCCTTGTGGCGCAAGCTCTAGTGCTGAACGAGAGTCTCTTCCGTGGGAGGAATATAAAGGTGTGTGTTATTACTCATGGAGACAAAAGAGTGCGGATGCTAATAAACCGAGTCAGGTTGTCCCGAAACGCACGAATCTGCCGGGCATGACTCGTGGACGGGGCCGTGGACGAGGCCGCGGAGGGTTCGGCCGTGGCATGCCCCGGGGAGGATACCGAGGAGGCGGCTACCGTGGCCGTGGGAGAGGATACGCTCCGTACTAAAGTCCTCTTATCCCTCTGCACCGACCTCGACCTCGATCTCGAATCCTTACCTTGACTTTTGACTGGATGACGATAAAAAAATAAAACTGGGACTAAACAGGCCATCTTTGGTTTGGATGCGACCTACCTGGAGTTGGGAAAATGCTTGTATGATACGGCGATAAAACGGGTAACAGCCTTCACTTTGCACTCTTCTTCTTCCGCGTTCTCTTCTCCTTTGCTCCCTTCCTCCTATTCTCCCGCTCTTTCTCCCCTGACCTTATGCCTTGCCATCCTCTCTGTGTCCTGACTACAGGCCTTCCATCACAGTCAACCTGTCCACCACCGCCTCTTCCTCCCTCCCGCTCTGCCTACTCCCACTTCTGCTACTCCACCACCCCTTCTATCCTCCGCGTTGATGCTCTTTTTCCCCTCTGCTTTTCCACCGTCTTTCATCGACTTGTTTTTCCTCGTTTTTTATATCACAAAAAACAAGCTACGTCACATGTTCACGCTAGTCCTTATCGGGAAATCCTTCTTGTTCTTTAAATCTAAAAATAAAATGCCATAAAATACAAAAATAAGAGGGAAAAAGGACATCTTGCAGCCTCCCAGCGCGGTAGAAATAGAAGACGACGAAGAGCAGAAGAAGCGCGCATCCTGCTTGTCTAGCTGCCCGAGTATCGACCTGCTGGCCGGGTGTGGGGGATTGCCACAAGAAAAAAAAAGAAACCAAGCGCCCTGGTCCTGCTCAGCCTCCGGCGGCTGCGCCTCTTCTCCATCGCTCACGACCCGACCAGACGAGACAGCAGCGACGCAGCGAGACAGCGAGACACCAGCTGCAACTCTGGCCTGTTCTCTACAGTTGTGACAACCCCGGCGAGCTCCCGATAGTCCTCTCGTCCGTTCCTGTTGCTCTGCGGGCAGCTGGTTGATGCTACCCCTCGAGGTGAAGCCGGCAGTCACCAAACCGCGGGTCTGTCCTGTGTGTGTGTGAGCAAAGATGGGCTCCAACTTGCCAGCGTAAGTGATGGGCAGCCGGCCCTGCCGCCCCCTTCCCGCGAGCCTCTACCTGTTGCTGTTTCGATTCCGAGTGAACAAAGGGCTGATTCTTGTTTCTTGCAGGCAACCGAACTTGAGAGTCACCAGTAAGAGAGATGCCTGCCCCGCGATACGTTGGCTGCTGCTAATACAGACCCTCCGGCCCCTGCAGTTATCGCCGCTGATGGACTATACAAACGAGATGTCTTTCGTGAGTTGGGCCCCTGTCTCTGCTGTCTTGGTGCAGACCTAACAGGCTACTGCATGTGTAGGCTTCCCCGATCCGTTCGCGGTTGCTACCGTCGGTGGTGAACAGACTCATACCACCTCCGTCATCAAGAAGACCCTGAACCCGTACTGGAATGAGATGTTTGACCTGTAAGGGGGAACCTGTTTTTCATACCTCTGGCACCCCTTCACTCGGCTGGGTTGGATGCTGACGCAATGCGCAGGAGAGTCACCGAGGACAGCATACTCGCCATACAAATATTTGACCAGAAAAAGTTCAAGAAGAAGGACCAGGGGTTTCTGGGAGTGATCAATATCCGTATTGGTGATGTGATTGATCTTGCTATCGGTGATGATGGTATTTCTACTCTTTTATTTTTCCCTTTTTACCTTTGCCCCTGTCTTTTTGTACCGTTTGATAGTGAAGAGAGCTTAACCCAGCTGACATCTTTGCCCTAGAAATGCTTACCAGAGATCTCAAAAAGTCAAACGATAATCTTGTTGTTCATGGCAAACTCATTCTCAACCTCTCTACAAATCTATCTACGCCGGTTCCCACATCGCAAACCGGAGCTTCACGTCCTATCAACAATCGCACCTCAACATCACCTGTTCCCGCCGCTCAGACGACTACCACCCCCTCAGTTTCAACACCTCTGACTGGACCGCGCCCAACTTCCACGGCTCAGGAGCCGTTGGTCAATAACTCCAGCTCTCACTTGGCCCCTACAAATCCTTCTTCTTCCGCATCCACGGCCGTGGCGCCGCTTACTACCTCACCTCAACAACCCACTGCTCCAGCCCGAGCAAATGTAGGCAGTACCTTTGAAGACAGCCAGGGCAGGTTGCCCACCGGCTGGGAACGGCGAGAGGATAACCTGGGGCGAACTTATTACGTAGACCATAATACCCGAACCACAACTTGGAACCGGCCAGCGCAAAACTACAATGAGCAGACGCAGCGGACTCAAATGGAGGCCAATATGCAGATGGAGCGCCGGGCCCATCGGAGCCGAATGCTGCCAGAGGATCGAACAGGTGCAAACTCGCCTGATTCCCAGCAGCAGGCCCGGACGCCACCTACAGCTCCAACAGCGAATGCAGTAGCAATGATGGCCAGCAATACCACTACCCCTGGTACGGGGGAGCTTCCTTCAGGCTGGGAACAGCGATATACCCCTGAAGGCCGCCCATATTATGTTGACCATAATACTCGAACCACAACCTGGGTGGATCCCCGCCAGCAGCAGTTTGTCCAGATGTATGGCCCTGATAACGGGAACCATCTTGCATCCCAGACAGTAAACCATCTGGGCGCACTGCCGAGTGGCTGGGAGATGCGGTTAACAAACACTGCCCGTGTGTACTTTGTGGACCACAACACTAAGACAACTACCTGGGATGATCCCCGGTTACCGTCTTCCCTCGACCAGGGTGTGCCACAGTATAAGCGTGACTTCCGGCGCAAATTGATATATTTCAGATCCCAACCTGGTCTACGGATAATGTCTGGCCAATGCCATGTCAAAGTTCGACGTGGTGCCATTTTCGAGGATTCTTTTGCAGAAATAATGAGACAAAGTCCCGCAGACCTAAAGAAGCGTTTAATGATCAAATTTGACGGAGAAGACGGATTAGATTATGGTGGTCTTTCAAGGTATGCACTATCTTATCCCTTTACCCCCTTTTTAATCCGATAATTGCGACCTGCTAACACCGTGTAGAGAATTTTTCTTCCTTCTTTCGCACGAAATGTTCAATCCGTTCTATTGCTTATTTGAATACTCCGCTCATGATAATTATACCCTTCAGATAAACCCGCACTCGGGCATCAACCCTGAGCATTTGAACTATTTCAAGTTCATTGGCCGCGTGGTTGGCCTGGCCATCTTCCATCGTCGGTTCCTTGACTCTTTCTTCATCGGTGCTTTTTACAAGATGATGCTACGAAAGAAAGTCACCCTTCAGGATATGGAAGGTGTTGATGAAGATTTCCATCGCAATTTGACATGGACGCTGTAAGAATGCATACATACTTGGCCTTGTAGCAACGCTGACTGACACTTGTTTGCTAGTAATAACGATATCGATGGTATAATTGAACTTACGTTTTCGATTGATGATGAGCAATTTGGCGAGCGCAGGACAATAGATTTGATCCCCGATGGAAGAAATATCCCCGTTACAAATGAGAATAAGAAACAATATGTGGAGTATGTTCCGTGTCATTCTTCATTGAATTCTACCTATCAGATACTAACCGTCTCCTCAGGCTAGTGACAGAGTGGAAGATTCAGAAGCGAGTGGAAGAGCAGTTCAACGCATTCATCACCGGATTCAACGAACTTATACCTGCCGAGCTCGTCAACGTCTTTGACGAGCGAGAACTTGAGCTTCTTATCGGCGGTATCGCTGACATCCATATCGATGACTGGAAGAAACACACCGACTACCGTGGCTACCAGGAAGACGATGAGGTTATCCAGAACTTCTGGAAAGTTATAAGAAGTTGGGATGCCGAGCAGAAGTCTCGATTACTCCAGTTCGCCACTGGTACATCACGTATCCCCGTCAATGGATTTAAGGATCTTCAGGGCAGTGACGGGCCTAGGAGATTTACGATCGAGAAGTCAGGAGACATCAATGCTCTGCCCAAATCACATACCTGGTACGTCTGTTTCTTGTTTCCATCTACCAGCTCCAAGTTCTTCGCTAACAGAAATAGTTTCAACCGGCTCGATCTACCCCCTTATAAGACATATGAAGCTTTACAGAACAAACTTACCATTGCCGTTGAAGAGACACTCGGTTTCGGCCAGGAGTAAATCTGTTTTTCTTTCTATTCTTATAATAGCGCTCAAATTCCCTTCAGATGTGGTCGGTGTTAAAGCTCAGGGGCCGAGGAGACCCCACTCCCGTTACCCCCTAACTCCCCCGGTGTACTATTAGTATATAGGAAAGCCAATAATTCCACCTTAGACCACGCCCTTTAGCGCCCTTTATTTTATTTTCCTGATGTTTACTTTCTTTACGTTATTGAAGGTTGGTTTTCTATTTAGCAGTACTTACGAAAGTTGTCGGTTGATACGTGCTCTAAGAATTACAACAGGAGCATTTTCAATCTCAAATAGATAAAGAGTAGCTACTCTAGCCAAAGAAAGCTGTTAGATTAGGCTTCCCGTCTCTTTCGTTTTCGAGTCCTCCTGCCTTGTTCTTCTTCAGGTTCACCGTTAACATCTTCGGACAACGGCTTTGGATCTGATGTTGGCTGCGACGTTTCCTTTAAGCTGTCTCCAACGGTAGGCTCTAGATGCCCTATCACAAACGCAATCTTCTCTATATCCTGCACGGAAAACGTCTGTTTTGTCTCACTTTCCTCCGAGAGTTGCTGGATCCGTCGTCTTAGCTTGGTGAAGGCATCCCATAAATCCTGGTATTCTTTGACATTGTATTTCAGTTTTGGTAACTTGTGCCTGGGAACTTGTTGATCTCGTGAATACAAATCCATGCAAAGCCAATAGTACAGCTCGTCACTAAAAAATGGAGTTGACGTCTCCGGGGCAAGGGATAGAATCAACGAAGCCGTGGCTGGTCCAACTCCACGGAAGCTTTTGCACAGCAATTGTACGGCCGCTTCAGGGAAGACACCTGCCTGAGAATCTTCTGCTAGACTTGAGAATGCCTCCTTGCTGACTGACTCTACCTGTGCTTCTGCATTTGAGCGTATCAAGCCCATGAGAGCAGGTCGAAAAGAGCCATGTTTGCTACATAACATATTAGAACATGATAACTAGCCAACATTGAGATACGGCCAACGTACAGCTTCCAGTCCATCAACTGGACCATTTCGTCCTTGTTAATGAAGCCATGAGCAGGCTTCTCTTTCCCCTTCTTCTTCTTGTTCTGGTCCCCGTTGTCACTTGCACGTTCGCGCAGAGTGACTGGCAGAGTCGTATACCGCCAGCTGTCTAGCTCTACGAACTGCTTCACCCGGTCCTCGATCTCTTCTTCCTTTTCCCTAGATATCAAGGCCTTGCTAGCCGGTTTCGCTGCCTTCCCTGCCTTTGCAGTCAGCTTGTCACGGTATACTCGGGCGAGCGTGCCATCGTAGCCGGACAGCAACTCGGACAGTGCCGATAGCGGTATCTCCCCGGCGGACAGCGACGTCATTGTTCGGTCTTCGCAGTCATCTCCTCATCTCTGCTGTCGTGTTACTGTTGTGTTAGTTGCTCAGTGATCATTGTCAGCGGAGATTAGATAGTCGATGGTCGACGGCGATAGATTGATAACGGCCGCGTCCGAAAAGGGGAACCTCAACGTCCGGCATCAAAACAGCTTGACCACCGCCGCGAAACGGGCGTCTACAGCATCTATATCACTGCGCAGCCACATATACCTCTACGGAACCCAGCTATAGCCTCCCTGCAGCCACCAGCCGGTCCACGCTGGCTGCTCTTCTTCGCGCCACTCGGCTGTTCCCCGCGGCGGGCGGAGTCAGCGTCCTGGCGCCCTCACGGGCAAAGCCGCGGTTGAGCCTGATCTCCAGGCACATCGACCAGAGGCTTCCCTTGCCAGCGCTCAACACACCATTCTCGACCGAGAGGAACGTCTCTGTCGAGCCTGACGAGGTTGAATATAAACCGATCCTGCGCACGCTGCCTGATCTGTCTGCAAGCAAAGCCAGAGACGCCGCCGCCATGTCTGCTCAAGCACCACATCCCACGGTCCTCATTCCAGGGCCCATTGAATTCGACGATGCCGTCCTCCAGTCCATGTCGACCTACGGGTGTGTATTCTTGTCTCTATTATGTGTTTATGAAGATAAATATGGTGTTGGTTGATGGCGTTTTTGAGTACGCTTGCTAATAAATCTTACTACAGGGAGAGCCATGTTGGACCGGCATTCGTGAAGATATTCGGCGAGACGCTGACGATGTTGAGACAGCTCTTCCAGACAAAGGCCACTACATCACAGCCGTTCGTGCTTGCTGGCTCAGGAACGCTGGGTTGGGACTTCGTTGCGTCCAACTTGATCGAGCGTGGTGAAAACGCCCTAGTGCTGCATACCGGCTATTTCGGTGACTCACTCTCGGAATGCCTGCAGACGTACGGCGCAAACGCAACACAGATCAAGGCACCAATTGGGGACCGACCATCTTTGGATGAGATTTCCAAGGCTCTTCAGGAGAAGGAGTACAAGATCCTGACTGTCACACATGTCGATACCTCTACGGGTGTGTTGAGTGATATCAAGGCCATTACGGAAGTTGTCCGAAAAGTCAGCCCCAACACGCTTGTTGTTGTCGATGGTGTGTGTTCGGTGGGGTGCGAGGAGATTGCCTTTGACGAGTGGGATTTGGACGTAGTGCTCACAGCCGGTCAGAAAGCCATTGGGTGCCCCCCAGGCTTGAGCATCTTGATGCTTTCTGGCCGTGCTATGGACCGAGCAAAGAACAGAACCTCTCCTCCAGCAAGCTACTATGCTTCGATCAAGAACTGGCTGCCCATTATGCAGAACTATGAGGCTGGCAAGCCATCATACTTCGCTACTCCTGCTACTCAGCTGGTTCGTGCGCTGCATACGGCTCTTACGCAAATCACTTCCAAGCCTCTTGCAGAAAGATTTGCTGTTCACAAGGAAGCCTCTCAGCGAGTAAAGAAAGCTGTTTCTGACATGGGGCTGCAGCAGCTGGCTACCAAGCAGGAGAACCAAGCCAATGCCATGACAGCCATTCGTCTTCCTGAGGGTCTGGCTCCACCTGACGTTCTTCCGAAGCTTTTCCAGAAGGGTCTCGTGTTTGCCGGTGGTCTGCATAAGGAGATTGCTTCCAAGTACATTCGATTCGGCCACATGGGAGTCAGCGTCACTGATCCTAAGCGGGACGACATTGACAGGGCCATTGCTGCTCTCAAGGAGGTCTTTGCCGAGGTCAAGAAATGATCAATTACTTGTATGCTAAACGCTAAAATGTAAATTGATTGATTGATTGATTGATTGATTGATTGATTGATTGATTGATTGATTGATTGATTGATTGATTGATGATCATTTGGATATCTATTGGCTCCGTATTTATGTGTTGCGATGTAAGGACGAGTAATGATATTAGTAGAATCTAGTGATATTACAACTGTACAGATCCCATCTGGCCTGGCAGGTAAGTATGGACTTGAGAATTAAAACGGCTCGGAACATGGAGTAACAAGTAAGGTAGGGTACAGATGGAGAAGCAGAAGAAGGAGGCGGAGGAGACGAAGAACGAAATAAGAAGAAAAGCGCCGTGCCCAATGCCACTCACTAGAGGAGTCGTTCTATCAGGAAACGAGATGAGACGAGGCAAGGAGAAAATAGGAAACATGTCAATACTCGAGCATTACCCGGACAACTTACACGCCATATATCGAGGATTGGGAGGGGGAGTGGTTCGTTACAGAGGGAGCAGGGTTCATCTAGCTTCCGACTTCACCTCGTCGAAGGGCCAGAAGCGCCCGGACATCAGTTACATGCTGCATTGCCTCTAGAATGGGGATGAGGTGAAGGAGATCGTTGTCTGTAGGATCGTTGATCCAGCCTTCGATAGGAATTGCATTATCTATTCATGTTTAGTATTGAATCAATATATCAACATACGAGACTTGGTAGAGATACCTTCGTGAAATATATAACTCATTGGACTGTTATCCAAGATCATAACTTTACTTAGATCTGGCTCAACGGAGCTGAGATCCTTGATATAAGCGCCATTGCGTATCGTGCAGTGCTGCCGGTAGTATCTGCTATGAAAGTACTTGCGTTCCTGTTCTAGCCAGTCGATGACCGGATCTGCGTATTCCTGCACGCTGGCCGTGAAGATGACTAGCTTATACCATTGGCAGACTTTGCGTAGGAAAGCGTCGCAATGAGGACGCTTGTGGACGTAGTAGAGGATAGGGTGCTGGGGGCCTAGGATCGTAGGTGCCGCTCCCGGAGCGGCCGCAGAGGCCATGGGCATGGAGAGCTTGACTTCGACCATGTGTCCGCTTGACATGCGGCCGCCCTTGGAGAGGGAGTGTATGAGGGTTTCGTCGAGATCGAGGATAAGCGTCTTCTGGGGCGTACGAGGAGGGGGCGCACCAAATATATAGGAAGGCTGCCGACGGGGGACCAACGGTCTGGGAGGCGTGGGCGCATGAGGGTATCTTGTCAGCTTGCGGGCTGCCTGGGAGACGGGTGATTTCAAACTGTCTGCCACCGGGTCCATATTGCCATTGCCAGTCGCACTGCTGGTGTTGCTGCTGCCGTCACTACGACGGGAAGCCCTGGCCTTGGAGTGTCTCTGTTCCCGGTTCTGCTTGCTCTCGTTCTGTATCTTTATTCTGATTGAGCGCCGGGGCGTCCCTTCGTCATTGTCTGTCGTGGCCAGGCTGGATTTCCGCCGTGAATGCCGGCTGCGCATGCCAGGCTCGCCCAGGGCCCGGTCAGTCTCTGATTCTGAGGTATTGGAGTACAACGACTCGGACGATAGAGAGTCCCGCAGCCTCGGAGAGCCTCTGGATGGTCTCTTCGGGCCCCTGTCCGGTCTGCTGCCAGAGTCTGCGCCGTCTCTTCTACTTCGGCGGGTGTTGCCGGTGGTGGTGGAGGTGGTGCTATTGGCCTGCCGTAGAGACCGTAACGGCTCCACGAGCGAAAACTGGCCGTCCCTGGAGTAGAACCGGCGCCCCAGATAGACGGCGGGCGAGGCAAAGATCGAGAGGATCGTCTTGAGCGTCTCGAGCAGGGCGCCGAAGAACCGTTGGGTTATGGGCAGCATCACCATGCCGGCCGTTGTGGGTGCTGCTGAGTCCTGCGCCAGAGCTTGCTTCTGGTCGGCGTCTTCGACCGTCAGCAGCGACAGCACCTCGCCGCGGGCCTCAAGCTCGTCCTCGTCGTCTCCAGGGGCGCCATCGTTCTGCATCGGGTGCTGGTGTATGTTGATGTTGCCGTCGCTGTAGGATCTGCTGCTGGCGGCCAGGCCACCTCGCGGGTTGAGGACATGGCCCTGCGAGTGGGATCGGGCCCGCGACGAATTGCTCGCAGAAGTCTGGCCGATGACTCGCGACGAGAGGATGTTCAGGGAGTTCATCTTCCGCCCTGAGCCATGCGGTGGGCTGGTGGGCGTGGGTGGACTGACTTGGGGAAGTGGTTGAGTGAGGGTTTGCGCGGAGACGAGGCGCAAAGACAAAGCAAATCGGCGGACCAGATAACTAGAGAACTGCCTTAACTATACGGAGCTGCTACGCCAGTGAATGGAGAGCGCCAGCGCAGGCCGGCTAGAGATGGACGGAGGTGAAGCCGAAGCTGCAGAAGACGTAGGCGCAGATGTAGACGTGAAGGAGAGGGGCTTGCATGGCTCTAGAGTTAGCTGGTGGTTTTGGCTGTTGGCTGTCCAGCTGCGCTCAACGGGCTGGCTGGCGTGATGGGGGGGGAGATTTTGATATCGGGCCGGCGCAGGGCAGATGCTGGCTTCTACGCGGGTACAGCGGATGGCTGGGCTTCTACACTAGTTACGGCGGCTGTCTATCTACATACTGGCTCGATGCTGGCAAGGCTGGTGGACTGATGGTCATTCGGACCGCCTGGCTGCTGGTCCTGCTGGATATACCTGCACTATTATTGGCTGGCATTCGAGTGCAGGGCGTTGTCCCTTGTAAGAAAACCCGGACGAGGGGCATCTCAGGCCGAGTACCGGGTGTTGGAGACCCAGTGTAGCTGGCTATCGACGTGCTGGCTGGTCATACCCCCTGTGGATGGCGGTTTGGTAGAGCTTCGATAGATGTAGATGCAATTGAATTTGAATATCATCATCCTCACCACCACCACAACTATTCATGCCATTGGATTCGTAACGTCGTAACATGCTTAGAGCATTCTTAAGGGGCCATTCTTCCATCAAATAGTAAGATAGTTACAGCTCCCGGCTCAGAGATGGACGCCTTCAGATGTGTCGTCCGCGCCGTTCAGGTCCGGCTCCATGCCAGGCTGCGAGCTTGCTGACGGGCCATCATTCTGCTGATTACTGCTAGGCGGCTGGCTCGCAGTTCCATTCGCCCCTTGTCCGTCTTCGGGCTCATCAGCTTCACGTTCAGCTTGTTCCTCCGGCCACTGCTCGCCGCGTCTCTCCAGCTCGAGCTTGACGAGATCAATCCGCTCGCGCATCCGTCGGATCACCTCCTCATTTTCTGTGATGGCATCCTCGCACTCCTTGTCTCCGCCGTCTGTCTGCTCTATGAATGTCTTCAGCTCGCCGTTGGAGCGTTCAAGATGCGCTGTCGAGTTCTCGAGCTCTGCGATCTTCGCATAGACAGACGATAGCGGCAGGTCTTTAAGCGCTTCTGCAAACGCGCCAGGATCAATCGGCCGTGACTCCGCAGACATCTTGTCGTCTTTTTTTATCTCTTATTCTCTGTATTATTCGCTTTGCTTTCGCTTCTTCTTCTTCTTCTTCTTCTTCTTCTTCGTTTGTCTTTTTGTCGTTAAAAATTGATTTAATAAAGTCGAAGATCTTATCTTTCACGTGACTTGATCTGATAAGATGCCTTCGTCTTCCTATCAAAAAGATGAAAAAGACGAAAAGAAGCAAGAAAGGGCGAAGAAACGATTAAAGACCAAAGATTCAGCAGTTCAGACAAAAGATTAACTCGCCATAGTGTGGCTGAAGAGATAGCCAGGGAGGTACGTTGCTATATTGACCCTCAATTGACGTAGAAACATGGCTAACTCAACCAAAGACGGCTGCCGTCACAACGACAGAGAGATGAACAATGCTGCCACGATAGCATGGCGGACTCCATGCCGATGGATTCATGCTTATTCCCGATCTGCCTCGACCAGATCCTCCCTTCTTGACCAGCTACGCCTCATATACCCCTCGTCAATAAGGCCGCGAGGCGCAATACGATGTTTATCCAGCAAGACGCCAACCTCACGCAACGCCAGCCAGCGGGCTCCCGGCTCTCAAACTCGTGGAAACACAGCTGCTTTCCCTAAACGAGACCTGCCAGCACCGCAGATTGCCCAGATATTTGGCACTGCTACTCTACCCGCGAGACTAGGCAACCAGATCCTCCGAGCGTTACAGGACCAGCGAGTATCAGGCACACTTGATCTGCCGCTACCAGACGAGATCACCCGCACTGCCCCCCCGCACATCATCGAAGCTGGTCTAGCGTGGCTGCGGAGCAAGCACCCCATGGACGAAGACGCAGCTATCTTGGCGAGAATTGAACGAGAGGAGCAGGAGGAGGAAGAGCAGCTGATTCGCCGGGCAGAGGAACTGGGTCTGTATAAACCGCAGAGTGGGAAGTTTGGATCTAGCACCACCAAAGAAGGAGATGTGTATGGGAGCAGTGTCCTTGATGAAGTCCGGAAGAAGAATATAAAGGAAAGCAAGCAGACGGAAGAAAAGCAAAGACAAGACTGGCTTGATGGTGAAGCGAAACGGATAGAACAGCTTCAGGCTCAGGCTGAGAAACTCAAGGGTATACAGAAGTATGAGCCGCAGGAGCTTACAGAGGGTGAGTATCACACGTTCACTTTTCGGGGTTATGTAGCCATGTTAACAGCTATCCAGCACGCCCACGAGCAGATCCCGAACAACGACCTGCACTGGCTTGGATCCAACAGCAGCATGTCAAAGCAACTTCTACAACTGATGCCTCAAAACTTACAACTGTTAGTATCTAGTATAATTTCGTACGCGAGCCAAGCTAACTTCATCTTAGGCCGGCCGTCTCTTACCGTCCCTCGCAGTCGTTGCTCTAACCCTTGGGCTCTGCTACGTCTTCTCTGAATCATACGAAGCTCCACTCCATAACCAGCGAATGTGGCCCGATATGCAGCCTGCAGCAGCCACGTTGACAGCCATAGTAGGCCTAAACGCAGGCGTATTCTTACTCTGGAAATTCCCTCCAGCCTGGAGATTGCTGAACAAATATTTTATCAATGTTCCCTACTACCCATACGCTGCCAGTGTGGTTGGAAGTGTCTTCAGTCATCAGCAGCTTCGTCACCTTGGGTCAAATATGTTTATTCTATGGTTCGTCGGCAAGAAACGTAAGTAAGCCTAGTACTTTGCTGGGTTATATCTAATCCGCTAACCTGGGTAGTTCACGATGACATTGGCCGGGGAGATTTTGTAGCCGTTTATTTATCCGCCGGTGCCTTTGCGACATTCTCTTCATTTGCCATCCGAGTGTTGTCAAATACGCTGACCGTCTCATCATTGGGAGCAAGTGGCGCCATATCCGGCGTCGTTGCAATGTGGTGTATTCTTCACTCTAAGTAAGTCGATAGATTCTAACGCACCAGCAAAATAGCATCATTTTAATCTAACATTGACGTAGTGAGAGACTCACGATTGCATTCATTCCGCGTGAATGGCAGGAGAAGATATCTGCTTCAGGATCGACATTCCTGTGTGCTATCATACTTGGAGAGCTACTGAATTTCATACCGGCCTTCCGTTTCTTTGCAGTGGACTTGTGGTCTCATCTAGCAGGATATGGTGCTGGCATACTTCTTGGGTTATTGTGGAAGGAGAAGAAAGAGCGTGAGCGGAGGAGGAATCCTCCGAGTTGGCTGAAGTCGTTTGGACTCTGATAAACTTGTATATATATTTATGTGTAATATACTTCATTCAATGAAGCTGTTGTATTCTCTACCGATAAGTGGGGTGGAAAATAGTATCACTGATAGTACATACAGGAACAGGGTAAACATAACATAATAACAGCATGGACAGGGACTGATGATGATTAGACCAGCTGGTACCCGAGGGAAAAGCCGGATCGCTGCGTATGTGCAGGTCAATAGGGGAAATAAAACATAACACGTTACAGATAGGAATGGGAATTATGATAACACAAAGGTATTTCTCTTCTACCCGAAAAGTCGAACGTTAATAAACGAGTCGTATCGCTATTGTTCATGTCAAGGTTACGCCGGAGGACCAGCCTGCACCAGGGGTGGCACTATAATCCAGTTAGCTGGAAAAACAGAAGTACAAAATGAGATGGAATGACATACCACTAAAGCCGTATCCCTCAGTCTTACCCTCGATATCAGCAGGGTCAATTTCAACACGGATTGCAATATCCAAGCCACCCAGTTTGCCTGTGACATTGCTCACTCCGTCTGCAGAACGGTATTTTGTGCCAGCATCCTGTTCTCCCGGGTGGAGAGCATCATGTCCATCCTTGGGAGCCTTTGCGAGCTCAGGTTGCTCATTAGACGTGGTAATTTCGGTGATACAGGCGTAGTTACGGGAAGGCATGGTCACTTTATTGGAGCTAGAAGACTTTTCTTTGCCTCCGGGCTGGTCGTTGAAGATCTTCATCAGAGTTTCGTCCGTGTGCGGATCGAGATGATGGATCTTGTTCCTGCTGGCGAGTAGGTTCGCCACGGCCTTGGGAGGAGGCTTATTGGTGATGGCACTGCTGATGACATTGATCATGTACTTGGGGTCACTGTCGATAGGAACACGGTCCTTGACTCGGGAGTAGAAGCGGCCCACGGCTGCCAGGTGGACGTCGCCACCAAGGATGGTGACTCGGACTGAATAACGGGCAGCAAGTTGTTGGAGACGTTGGATCAACTGTCTTCTCTCCGCCTTGTGCTGCCTAGCAGTGTAGTGGTCGTCAAGGTCATCGAGCAGATCGACCTGGCCGTCAAACTTGTTGAAGAAGCTTCCTCCAAGGCCAAACCGCTTGTTCAGAAGGCGGATGGGGGATATCAGGGGAGAAGAGAGGATGTTTTCAAGCCAAGCAAGGCGAGGATACGCAATGGGGACACCAAGCAGGAGGATCAAATGCTTGATTTCTCCCTTGGCGGCAGTAAACTCCTTTTCTAGGCGGGCGAAGATGGCATCATAGGTCTCCGGGTAATTGACCTGATGTCTGGTACGCTCAGTGCGAGCATCGATTCCGGCAAAGGCAATACGCTTTCCAAGACGCATGTAGAGGTTTCTGCTGATCTCCTCGACATAGGGACCTGGTTTAGATCCTACTATCCAGCCAGGCTCGTCCTCGGGCTCCTTGTAGACGTAGCAGCCTTCCAGCTGGCGCTGGTCAATGCCCGAAGTCCCGTCTTCACCGGCCTGCATGGTCTGGGGAGCATCAGTGGTGAAAGTCGACATGGGAGGAGCATTGTGGTGCTGGAACAGACAGTAGTACTTGAAGGCAACACCTCCAAGGCCACGGAAGACAGCACATCTCATGAAATGGTCAGTATACGACCCAAAGCCATCAATGATATCATGGTCGTCCCAGATGTTGATCTGGGGGATCTGCGCATTGGCGGTAGCAAACGGCTCAGTCCCGTACCAGCGAACGTAGTTGTTAAAGTAGAAGACATCACACTCTGCTCTAAGGGTATTGGGGAATGGGTGTGCCCGTCTGCGGTGTGGGTTGGTGATGTTGGTCCACTCCTTCAGGGGGCCCTCAGTCCGGACAGAATCATTGTATATCTGGTCACCACCTCCGATCATGACGTGAAATGGCCGCTGAGCATGGAGCCTAAGAACGTCATGCCAGAGCAAGGGGCCTTGCCAGTGGCCCAGGTCGGTGCCCACGGAGAAGCCATTGCAGGAATGGAACATGATGCGCATCGAGTCATTGACAGCAGGCACTACGAAGTTCCAGGAGGACATGGTATGCTCCTGGTCCACATGCCGGAAGCCCGGGATAGTGTACTGCCAGCGCGCCTCATAGTCCTCCATGGCGACGGCGATGCGGAAGCGCCAGAAGGCCGCGATAGGGCTGGAGAAGAGCTTGACGCCCTCGACGGTGGGTTCGACACTGCCGGCGCCGGCAGTAGGGCCGTTGACGTTCGACACGGCTCCCAGACACTGCAGCTGCAGCAACGGCGGCTGTTCACGCGGTCGAGTGACTATCAGGACGCTGCCGTTCCATACCTGGCGCGAGCTGGCATCGGGCCCCATATGCTTGTAGTTGAGCAGCGGACCGCAGAGGACCTGCACCGCGTCCTCGGGCACGGCGAGCATCTCACGGGCACCGGCAACCTCGGTCTCAGCTATACTCCGTACGGGAGCCATCGGTTAGCTTTCGGACATTTCTTTGTCTTTTGTTGATGTAGTTATTCTGTGGTTGCGTACCTGGCTGGGTGTTTGTGGCTGGCGCTGGTTCCTGAGACGCGGCCACTCGAGGCGCTTCCATCTCCATGACGGCGGCAGACGAAGCAGAAGAAGCTGTCTATTCGAGTCGCAGGCAGTCTGTGGCCTAGGGCGAGATGCGATGAAGCTGTCTCGATGCTGTGAGGAGCGTTGCGCTGCGCGGGCTGTCGCTGTCGCTGTCGCTGTCGAGGCCGCAGGAGTGTCAACAAACAACGGCTGAAGTCGCAAGCCGAGGCTGACCCGAAGTCAGCAGCGTCAATTCTGGCCTTTTTCTTGCTTCGTCTCTACCCGGTCTTCTCTGCCTGATGTCGATAGCTGACGAGAAAGGCGTCTACTGTTGATTGTTGACTGTTGGCTGTTGACTGTTGACTGGCGAGGTTGCGGGAAGGGGAAAAGACGGGACGTTGCAGAAGTTGCTGCTTGCTTTGCAGGTGGAACCGCCTATCAACTTTGCAATCTGACCAGGTTTTGCGCTCTACGACGTTTGATTACTGATGCTTTTCTGGCTAGCGGCGATGCAGAAGCCATGCATAAAAGAGACAAGGAGAGGAGGAGAGAAGGAAGAAGGACTCGTTTATACGGCTGGCAAGCTATTACTCTTCTGCCTCTGGGTGCTGGGGGCCAACCAAAGACAGCAAACCTGGAGATCAAGAACAGGCCGTGGCGCCTGCTGTGAAGCCACAATGACGACAGGGATGAGGAAGAATCAGGAGGATGTGTCGTGGAGCTTGCTGGCTGCTGGCTGGCTGCAGATTTAACTAGCTGAGGTGATGACCTTTGCTGGCCATCCAACAGGCTTAGGGGAGGGACCGACCCCTATCAAGCCACATCTGGGGGATCCACACCTCGTATCTGCGAGCCGATGCTTCCTCGGCTGGAACATGCTTTGGGATGGGACGAGGAACCGTGGTCTTATCTCGGGATTAATTAGGTTGAGGCATGGTTTTATATTGAAGAGTATACTCCATAATGGTCAGGGGTTGTCAGTCGACCCAGATCAAGATACCCTTCGCATCGCTCTTTATGCTCTCTGTCGGTAGGATACGCAGCGTCTTGTTGAAGTAAGTGTCCACGACGACCAGCTGCGGCTGAATCCAGGCGCCCCGTCGAGTCGCCAGCAGGCTGTACTGTAACGTATGACGGCTCAGCGGGACAAGCCGTAGGGTCATGGACTTGGGGCCACTAAAAGCGAACTGGTCACTCGTTTCCATTGTCAGGTTGAATGTCAGAAAGTGCATCGATGGGTTCTCGAGTGTGTAGTTTAGCTGGATCATGCCGGGGACGTCGTTGCTGCGGCCGGCTTTTGAGCCGAGGGATGCCAGCACGCGAGGCTCACTCATTGGAATGGAGAATCGAGGGACGGCCAGCGAGGTTATTACTGACTCTGTGGGGAGAGATATTTCAGGAGAGGTGGCTTCTGCTTCAAGGACGTCTTGCTGTTCGTCTCGACGCCATTTGATCTCCAGCTCAAAACTGACCCCAGTCTGCAGCCGATCCTCCATAGTAAGCCGCTCGATGACGACGATGAAATCTGTGCTTTGGGGTTCCTCTGGGCGGATATATCTGTTCTCAGACTGCTTGCTGCTGTCTGAAGCCGCAGTAATACTGCAAATTTTGCCTACTTCGACAGCCACGACCCGGAGCTTGACGTCCTCGATGATAAGTGCCTCCCGGGAAAAAGACATCAGCGTGGAGTTGAGGAGCCACCGTTGCTGCGTGTTGGAGACTTCTGACTCGTCAATATTGAAGAAGTCGGGCCAGGGGGATAGATGTAGCTGTGGTAGAAAATTGTAGTTTGCTTCGAACGGCTGGATAAACGGTAGGTCCAGCGAGATGGCTTTTGATATCGCTGCCTCGGGGTCAGAGCTGAGATGGTAAAAGACGCTGATTTCCAGATCATACTGTATCGGGTGAGGTGCCTCGACCACCACAGCAGGCAGGATGGTATGCTCGCCTGCTCCTAGTTCCGCGATTTTACGCCGGATAGTCTGCGTGTTTGTCTCCTTTGTCTGGGAGATAGACAGTTCTTCACTTTCTTCAGAGTGTTCCTCCACGCCAGCACCATCGAGCCAGCTTAGAGCTGCAGGAGACTCCGAGCGACCACTGAGTTTTAATTCCACAACGATTGACGCAGACGCATCCTCGTTGTTATCGAGCCTGATGTTCAATCCTGCCTTTTCCCCAAAATAGTAGGCGTCCCGAAGGCCAGGAACGGATATCAGCACCTTAGGTGGCTTTGGTAGTATTTGACAGCTAGAAGGGTCTCTACCCTTGCCAATCCGCCTTGAGGTGATGCTACCTTTGCTCTCGGTCCACCATCTTGGTTGTGCGTAGGCGTCGTTGCTAGTACTACTAATAGTATAAGTGAGATCAAATTTATTGCCTGCTACCATCAGTGTGATAGATGCCACTCGAACATCGCTGGCCTCCCGTGGTATCAGAGTCAGGGTGAATGCACGCGTCTGTCCCGGGAAGAGGGATAGATTCGCATTGCCTTTGATCTCCTGTGATAGCGATGATGGCCCGGTTTGGCCGTCTGCCAGTGATATTGATGCATGGGTATGGGAAGATTCAGTTGCATCAGTCGCGTTGCTATCAGCGAGTATTCTGATTGGGGGTAAACCGCCTTCAAAGGTAATATTGACCTCGCTGAGGTGAATTGGGGATGACTTTTGGCTGCAGTTTGATTGAAGAACAAGCTGACCCCTGAGGAGCTCGCCTACGTTTCCACTTGAAGAATTGAATATGAAGGACATTGAAACTGGAATCCGTTAGATACAATTGAGACCAAGTAGTAAAAATAGATTGGAGAATATTTACTGCAAGAAGCAACGTCTTTGTCTGTCAAAACTATTACTGATTTTTCAGATGCCTTTTCGTCAGCCGTTCCGGTTCTATATATATCGTAATTCCAATCAGGTCTATTCGTAAAATCTGCTTCGGTTAGCAACAGAGTAAGTAATAAAAGCGTCGGGGGGCTTACTTTTGTTCATTAATTCCCAGTCTATACGGTAAATAGTTTCAAAATCGCCGCAACGCACGGCACAATCTCGCAGTAACCAGGCGCACTCCTCCATCAAATGCCACCACCCTTCCCGTCTCCAGGAAATCTGGAGCCATAGAGGTCGTAGGATCTCAAGGGCATCACTCCAAGCCTCGAGACGGACATACTCTTTCGCCATTGTGAACTTCTGTTTCTCGACCATACGAACCTGGCCCCGTTTGGCGAATTCAGCTACGGACTCTGTAAGGAATTCTAGTATTTGGTGCGAGTACTTGTCTCCCGGTCGGTCATCAATGGGATATTCGACATGTGGCTCCGGGGCCTGGTACGTGTCGTAGACGTTAGACAACGCTTTGCGCTGTGATGTTGCATTATGCTGATCTGGAGGTAATCGATCTTCCTGTGGTATATTCTCAGCATGAAGCCGTCGACGAGCAGTATGTTTGGCAGCCCGAGCAAGCCAGTATCCACGGTGGTGGAGGAAGTCCCAAGGAGATACACGCTCTCCTGACAGCAGCGTCTTTTCAGATAGTACAAAGATTGGTCCGCTGTTGGTGCCTACGGGTGAAGGGGGTATGTAGGAGCGGCTAATTGTATGTGCCATGATCAAGGACCAGTTTACTTCCCACGCCTCCCAGCCATAATTATTTGTTCCTTTTCCTTTGTTATGGGCAATGTTTTGTATCCGTCTCCTGTGGGCTGCCCAAAACTGAACAGCAGGAGTAGTCTGTTCCAGCCATAAGTGACACCGCAAAATCCGCAATGCGAGCACATCAGCTAACATGCGGGCCTCATCAAACCTTGGACTCCAAGCGGCAATGGCTCCAAATACCTCATCGCCAAAGAGCAGATCATACGCAGTCTCGTAGCTACGGCCAGCAGCATCCATCTCCTGGCGGAACTCAGCAAGTACGCCTAGTTTAAATTCATACCGAACATTCCAGCCTTGCTGCGAGAGAGTCTGAGAGGTCCCGCTAGTAGGAGGTGCGGTAGGAGGTGGGATGGTGGCCCTGTTGCGCTTGCGGCGACTGTGTTTTGACAGATCTCTATAGTACTCTACCGCAGCGCCCTGGATCGAGAACAGTAAGGATTTAACGAACCTCTGAATGTCTAGTGGGCTTGGACCTGGGGGGAGTGTGAAGACATTTCGGGGATCTAATCCAGTGGCCTTTCTAATGCTTGAGATGCGGTAATTGGCATCCTCCAAGACCGGTCCGTCCTCGAAGAGGAAGACGACGACAAAACGAGTCTTGTAGCCTGACTGAGCCCAGTCTCGCTTTAGGCTATTGATCTCTATCTTGAGCTGGTTATCCTTGAGCGTGGACATGTTTGTATCTGTGGTGAGAGGGAAGAAATTGACAAATGCGGCCGGTACGAGGCACTGGTGTTTGGATATCCAGCCGGGCGTGACCATGCCATCTGGGAAGACCTCCGAGCCGGGTGTGAGGGGAGACAGCGGCGAGTGAGGTACGGGAGCCAGGCCATCGTTGTCTGGAGCATATTGCGTAGTATCTGCCTTTTTCCGGGGAAGTGTATAAGTCTGACCATGTTAGTATGCCATGCCAACTGAAGAGCCGTTACCTGAGTAGATTAGAGAAAAGATTAACACACCCTAGAAGCTCTCTGTATCCTCAATCCGACACCATTGGCCCTGTGGCTGAAATACCTCGAGCTCCACGGCCAAAAAGAGGCATCTTCCGCGAGCAGGGCAGCGAGTAGTCCGTCCGCCACAGCGCCAGAAACCGGCGGGAAGTCCGAGAAGACACAGACTCCACCATCCACGCCGTCAACTCCAGACACTATTGCCTCTCCAGCCTCCTCTCCTGTCTCGCCCGCCGCTGCCAGGCCGGATATCAGCACCAGCGGGAGGTTGTGGTCGACATAGCTCGGGGGGAACGCATCCATGATGGTGTGCTGCTGCCGTGCTGTGGCCTCCAGCCGCCCTCCGCAATTTCAATTCCAATTTCCAATTTCAACGCCAATTCCAATCTCAACCTGAATCTCAATCTCAATCTGAGTGTCTCTGGTCTCCGGCAGTTGTCTCCGTGTTTGCTTTCCGGAGTCTAGTGCCAGGACGATGGCTGGGGGAGCTCTCTATCTGCGGCGAGTCTCTCGATCATCTCGCAGCCGATGTTCCTTGCGCGGCGGGCGGGCGACCAGCATACCCCTGACTTGAAACGCAGCTCCAGCTCTTCTCCCTCGTCACTAGTTCTTCTTCTGCTGCTGCTGCTGCTTCTGCTTCTTCGTCTGCCTCTGCTTCGTCTTCTTCTGCTGCTGCTGCTGTCCAGTTGCTGCTTCGCCTTTGCGTTTCTTTGACGTCAAAAAGAAGCGCAGCGAATCCCTCACGTGATCAACACTCAGGGCCGTCAACGTCAACCTTCAACCTCAACTCCAACAAAATCTCAAAAAGGACGACAAGACGAGAAGAAGCAAAGAAAAGGCCAGGGAAAAAAGGGACAAAAAGGACTCCGTCGTTGCTTTTTCCTGCTGGGATCCCCTTCCGCGGCCTCTGCGCCCTCGTCGGCCAACCAATTATCGCAGCCGGCGAGCCCGGAGTTCCATTTTTTTAATCTTCCTCTGCCAATACGGTTCCCCAGAAGAGCCAAACAATGACCTGAACGAACCGCGGGCTCAGTTTTTACGAGAGTTGAGAGAGAGTAAGAAACCGAGAGGGCGGCTTCGGTTTGTTCTTTGGCTTCTTCGCCCTTTTCTACCCTCCTCTGCGTCCATCGAGGTGTTGCTAACCGTCGGCTGATAGCAGTAAGCGAGCAATAATGACAGTGCGGCATGCAAGACTGTACCGAGTGAGCCACCACCAGACGCACTGTTCGACCTGAATATATGACATATATACGGATACAGCCTCCTATTTTGTTGCGAGAACTACTCCTATTTCTTCACTGTTCACCCATCTGTCGACCTGGCGCGCAATAATGGAGGCTTCTGAGAGACGGTCTTCGCGCGGCAGCAACCTCAATAATAATCATAATAACAACAACAACCATAATAGCCCTAATGAGATATCACAAAGACGCCAGTCGATGCCTGCTGCTGGGCCAGGAAGGAGACAGTCGCCCCGGGGACACATCGCCCCAGCATCGCCAGAGGTCATTTCGTCTCTCATCTCGTCGCTGTCTACCATATCGACCCCAGCTCGCACACACTTCGAGAGTCTGCCCCGGGTAGGCGGATCGCAGACAGCTCCCCCTTCGCCCAAGACGCCTCGGAACGGCCAGTTTGATGGCTCGGATATGGATTATGGCTCGTTCAAGGCGGCGGCTGCGGCTGCGGCTGCGGAGAGCGAGGCCCCATTCTTGCATCCCTATGACGCGGCCATGTCTCCCGTTATCAGAATGTCAAAACCGCCGTCATCGGCAAGGTCTCCTCGCTCGTCAGTGTCATACCATTCTTGCCGGAATGCAGATGATTCTATCTCCCTACGGCCTCCTTCTCGCGGCTCTCATGGCTCCGCAACTACCGGCCATGAAGACTCGGGCAGTTTTGGTGTCGTTCGTCTCGAGCCCGGGTCGCGCAAATCTACCGCCAGCCTTGTATCCTCGGGCAGCCGGAGGAGTTTAAAGAACCAGCTTGGCCTCTTCCGCCGTTCGTCGCGAGATTCCACCCGGGCCAAGGAGCAACCCATTGATCGTCTCGGTGTAGAAGACGGACCGGGTCCTTCAATCGCAAACTCCCAGAATAACCGGTCTGTTTTACGGTCCGTTCGCTCCATGGCTGACCTCGCGGAAGAAGCGAACGGGTCCGTCACCGAGTCCGGTGGTCAGAAGAAAAAGTCTGGAGACTTTCAGGACTCAAGGCGGGAATCGGCTCCAAACCTGAAGCAGACCCACACCCACGAGCTCCCGGCTTGCCTCACCCCTGGTGGAATTGGAAGCGGTAGAAGTATTCCTACACGAGAGTCCTCATTGCGTCACAGCTTTAACAGTCCCTCGTCGAAGAAGCGCCGCTCCGGCCGACACAGTGGATATTCTTTCAAAGATGTGGCGGTTGATAAGAAAATTACGGAAGTCAACGCAGAGGCCGACCAGGTAACCCAGCGCATCAAGGAGATTAAGGACCACCAGCAGAAGATCAAGGATCGGATGGTTGTCGATGACAGATTGCCTCCTCCGCCCCCGGATAGCACAAAGCCCAATATCGCTCGACCGTCTGCTACTTCCGCGGCCGCCTCAGCTTCTTGCCCATCAATGCAGCTCGCCAAAGTGGATGAACTCTTTCTTGACTTCGGCGACAGCGCGCCCTCTCCCACCGTCAGCACTCGTAGGGCCCCCTCCGTGAGCAAACGGGGTGCGCCGCTTGCGCCAAAGACCGGAAACCTGCAAGCAACCTCTCCCACGAACCAGCGCTCAAGGCATGACGACGGTCTCACCAAGAACGCGAAAGGGTCTGATATGAAGGGCCATAGGAGGACATACTCTGACTCCCCTTCAACAGCACCCCGGCCCTCCTCAGATGCAAATGCCAGACCAAGTAGCCCAGATGTAATTGAGGAAGCTGTGACAGCATACATCACCTCGCCCAAACTTACGCAGAAGGTACCTCACCCGCAGACAGGGCGTATCATCGCTTTTTCAGAAGTTGGAGATCCCAACGGCCATGTCGTCTTTTGCTGCGTCGGTATGGGTTTGACCAGATACCTTACGGCCTTTTACGATGAGCTAGCTCGGACGCTGAAACTGCGGCTTATAACCCCTGACCGGCCTGGAGTTGGAGAGAGTCAGCCCTGTCTAGACGGTACGGGGACTCCTTTGAACTGGCCGGGTATGTATTATTGTATCCTCTATTTAATATTCCGTTTTGATGCTAACTACTTTTATTTAGATGATCTTGCAGTGATATGTAAACATCTAAAAATCTCAAAGTTCTCCATGCTCGCGCACTCCGCTGGAGCCATATACGCTCTGGCCACTGCTTTGCGCATGCCCCAGCATATCCGAGGTCGCATCCACCTTCTCGCGCCTTGGATACCGCCCTCTCAAATGACCGGCATGGGATCACATAAAGACCCGTTACCGGCCACCGCACTCCCTTACTCCCAACGGCTTTTGCGTGCACTTCCTACTCCTATCCTCAAAGTCGCAAACTCCAGGTTCATGACCGCAACCAGTGCAAGTATCACTAGCAGCCTCCCCAAAAGCTCACGCAAACCAAAACGCCGAAGCACTGTTGGCAGAGAAGCAACACCGGTACCTCCTGAAGTTAGCGGAACAACCACCACCAGTGGCCAGGGCAAGGTCCCTACCTCCACGCCCCGCAAGCAACACCCTCCTCTCCCTACACAAGAAGGGGCCGGCGCAGTAACATCTAGCGCATCAAGCGTCGCTGCCGGAGTTACCCCAGACAACGTCTCCATATCTGAACAAGAACGACGGACGGAGTATGACAACCGCCTCACCCATGCAATCTGGGAACTTGCAACAAGTTGCGCCAATCCCGCCGTTGACCTGCTCATTTGCCTCGAACGTAGACGGGCCATTGGATTCAGATACGTCGACATCAACCGTGCGGTCGTCATACACCATGGTTCCCGCGACACAAGAGTTCCTGTCGACAACGTCCGGTGGCTAGGAAAGACGATGCGCCGGTGCGAAGTCAGAGTTCTCGAGGGTGAGGGTCACGGGCTTATGGCGTCTGCTACAGTGATGGGCAATGTCTTGATGGAGGTCGCAAAGGAGTGGGAAGACTGGACAACTGTTGTTCAGGGCCGACGGGATGGAAGGAAACCTACTGCGCAGTAGTTTCAACATCACGCTACCATGCACCAACCTAATATCTACAAGAAGGACATAGTTTTGTCTACCAGCGTTCTTTACCAGCCGATACCCAGTCTGTACTCTACATGTTTTAATACCCTTTCTTTGACTCAACGAACACGCCCTAGGACCCTGACCGTTCTATACCAGAAGTACATAGCTTTGACCTTTAGATAGATACCACTATAGTTCTAATTATTAGTTCCCTCTCTCTGCGCCATGTATATAACCAAAAAACCAACTGTTACATAGGCAGCGAATAACAGTCTTTTCATCCTATTCTATCAATGCCATCTTGGTTGCTCCCTCAATATGTCTTCAGTATCGGGTCTTCGCCCTACAAAACCTGAGACTGGTGACGTAAACTTCAGGGGGCGAGACTTGAGGTAGCTCAAACAAACTTCTTGGGTGTAACCGTCGGAAAGCTAGCTTCAACTTCAGCACCAACACCAACGCCAACGGGAAAGATACCAAGTTGACGGGAGACGGCTCATGGTCATATTAAGGGTTTCAATAATCCCATCTTCAAATGATCCCGGCATTTACCCTGTCTTGAAGCGATGTTTTCCCCTCGTCGCCTCCGGCTTTACTTGATTTCCGCCGTGATACTCGTTTGTTTCATACTATATTTCACTGTAGGTCTGCTCGTTCTTCGACCGGCTATGTGATATCCTATGTATTTTGTAGTCATACAGATGCATAAATAGCCGACTACTTTGTTCCTGGGGTGTAAAATTGTCCTAACACTTTGCTTAACAGGGAGATGTCCGGCGCACGCAGGCGTTAAGAGCTGCCGGTACATCGCAACTGGGGAAATCAAATCCCAACTTGAAGGGCTCATTAGGAAGTCATGGAAATGATAAAGAGAACGATGGCGGCATCTTTGATAAGTTGAAGCCTGGTTCTCTGCGGCCCGGAGACAAGCAGAAACCAGTCAAGGTAGAAGAACCAGAGCAGACTCCGACTTCAGCCAAGAAAGGGAAAGGGAAAGGAAAAGGGAAAGATGAAGAAGAAGAAGCTACAGACGATGCGAAGAGCGAAGACGACATTGTCAACGAAGAGATGAATACCATCTTAAAGAGATCCCCAAGTAAGCATGATAGCTAAAACAAGTGTTTGTACGAGAGAACTGGCTAACGATACTAGTTATAATATTCTCCAAGTCATATTGCCCTTACAGTAAGAAGGCAAAGTATTTCATGCTGGAGAAGTATAATATCACCCCCGCTCCCTTTGTGGTTGAGCTGGATGAGCATCCGCTAGGCAGGCAGCTGCAGGATCTGCTAGGGACCAACACTGGCCGCAGGACAGTGCCCAACGTCCTCGTCAACGGCAAGACTATAGGCGGCGGAGACGACATCGAAGCCTTGTACCTGTCTGGTGAGCTGGGGACGAAGCTGCAGGCTCTGGGCGGGAAGAGAGTGACAGCGGTTCCTCACAATGCAGACCCAGACCCATAGCAATTGGTCTGAAACAACCGATTTCCCGTCCCCTATGCATCCCAGGTGGCTGTATACCTTTGGCGCCTCTCTTTTCCTGCTCTTCTTCCATTGTATAATAGGTCGGCATCAATCGATATCAATCAATATCAATAAATATCAACTTCGTCGCCTTCTTCTTATTCCCAAAAAGGGAAACACGTCACGTGAAAATCCCTGCTTAGTAACAAATCATTAGTAATCACATACTAACCGAAATAAGCACTAAGCGAACACACAACTTCTGGCTTACATAATAATTTAGCGACCGCAAAACTTCCAAAGCGAAACTTCGAAAAGTCGACGAAGCGAAAAAAGAACGACGAAGCGCATCAACGTCGACAAACCACCTTCAACTCTCCCGTTTCGCCCTCGGTCAGCTTCTTCACAGGCGGAGTCAAGATGCTCTACATACACTCCCAGGAGACTCTGCAGATCCCAGAGAATGGTGAGCACCCCCGAGCAGCGCTATCGCATATTACAGTGGAGGATGGATGGATGGAGAGGGATGGACTGTGGCTGTTGGCTGTTTAGCGACCCTGGCACGACTAGATGGCATGAAGATGCGGGGAAATGATTAGGATATATATGACTGTGAACTTGTTGCTGACTGGGTGTACTTGATATAGTGAACCTTCACATTCGATCCCGTATCGTTACGGTTGAGGGACCACGAGGTACGATCACTCCGCACGAAGAAACACATACACACGCAGACTTTTTGAATTGAGCATCTGGGGTCGAATGCATTGGCATGCACTTACACTGGTTTCAATGATGCAGGAAAGTTGGTCAAGGACCTCTCCCACCTTGCGGTCTGCTTCAGCCGCCCAAAGAAGGACACCATTGCCATCGAGGTTCACCATGGAGGACGTAAGGCCGTTGCTACCCTCCGCACTGTCCGGACCATCATCAACAACTTGATCATCGGCGTCACCCGCGGGTTCAAGTACAAGATGCGCTACGTCTACGCCCATTTCCCCATCAACGTCAACATTGAGACCAACAAGGAGACCGGTGCCGTCGAGCTCGAGATCCGGTATGTCACTGAAACACCCCCGGATACAATAAAAAGTTGAAAGAGTCATTACTGGAGCAAGATGGAATGCTAATGGATTACCATTTGTAGTAACTTCTTGGGTGAGAAGGTTGTCCGTCGCGTTGTCTGCCAGAAGGGTGTCGATGTTGTTGCTTCCTCCAACGTCAAGGATGAGATTGTTCTCTCCGGAAACTCCATCGAGGGTGTATCACAGAGTGCTGCCGATATACAACAGATTTGCCGTGTCAGAAATAAGGATATTCGAAAGGTGAGCCTTAAAACTCCTGCCGCTTGACTTATTTGTGCTAACATGAGAACTAGTTCCTTGACGGAATATACGTCTCGGAGAAGGGAAACATTGTCGAAGAAGAGTAAAGGATCTGCTGAAATATAACATTTCCTGCTCTGTTGAAATTGGGGGGAGCGTCAAAACCGTTGATAGCATGTTACTCTGCCAAACGATAATGAAAACTTTCTACCTACCGCCTTACCTTACACCATCTCCGCCATAAAAGGGTCACATTGCCTTTGTTTCTGCTCTGTAGGCATTCGACTCCATCTATCTGACGGCTTGGTTTTCTGGAGTCGGCGCGCTCTGGGTTCAGGCTGGAGTATGACCGGCCAGCCTGTATGTACTCATAAATGAAAACCATTACATTGACATCTAAGAAACTTTCCATGGCCACTTGCCATCCTATACTACAAATGTTAGTATTCCTAGAACTATATGCTATATGGGCATACACAGGGTAATCTAGATCTAGCTCCACCATGTTGCATTGCAGCATTGGTCACCGCAACATTCATAGAGCATACAACCACCCCACCCGCCTTATCATACCTATCCAACAGCACCCTTGCATTCATCCCCTTTTATACATAAAACCCCAATGTCATCTTTACTTCTCTTTCGCACCACACAAGAGCCTCTTGGCCCGTGCACAATATACACGTGATTTATTTGTGATTATATAATATTATCTTACTCATCATGTAATTACATAAGCTCATAGCATCATCGACAAAGACGAAGAAAAGCGAAAGCAAAAAGACATAAAAACGACATGGAGGGAAGAAGCTGATCGTTTGTTTATTCGCCGCTCGGAAGCTGATAGTGGCTGCGCCATACCGTTATAAGGCGATACTGAGTCATGCTTGACTCCTCGATGCTCTGACATTCAACTCTTCCTTCACCTCTTGCCTTTCGACCCCCCCGACGTTTTATGCGCCCTGAGGTAGCCCTAGCCAAACTCACATTGCACTCTAGTATTGAACCAACCATTACTCTTCCTTTCATGTCTTTGCTTTGGAAAGCCTAGTTTTGAATATCTGCGCCTTTTACCCTTGAAAACTGCGAACTATGACTTCTCAGGCAGCCCTGATCGACGAGACCATCGTCGGGTTGAAGAGAGCCCTTTTGCGGCACGCCTCAGGTATTACCACCTTATGTACAGGTCTACTGGGAAGGAACATATACTGACATCGTGAGTGGAATAGATGCTGCCTATGACGATGCGATCAATCTACCCTCCAACCGCGGAAACAAGACTAGGCTGAATGCCGAATTCGTCCGAGAGGGTACTCTAGGTTACATGAACCATGAACAATTCTATAGAAAAGTGAGCTGGCTTAAGTTTACATATTGTGGTGGTTGTGATTCTTACTCTGTTTATAGAAAGCGGAACACTCAGGGTATACACGGGATATATTAGAGAGCAACCCGCCACGATTCGACGCGGAAGGAGACGAGCTTGATTTCGACGACTCTGATGCCGCAGCGGATGCCGAAGCAGCAGATGATAACCCGTTTTCATCAACTCACTTGGATGGTAGTTCCCCCGCTTACAATGATGGTATTTTTGTGATAACTTATATTCTGCGCATATAGACCTTCTTGCTCCGTTGACACATCCTTCCGAACTTGCGAATCATTCCATGGCCAATGCTTACACGAATAAAGCGATTACTACGATGATCGAGCGGATCAACCGCCGACTCCGATTAGAACGGCATGCACTCTGGCAAGCAAAGAATGTTTATAGACAGCTCGTCGCGGATTCGATATGGATGCCTTGCGGTGCTGTAGAACGAGACGACGATGCTGAGCTTTTCGGAGCATCAAATCCACAGTCTATAGCTCAGGAACCATCAGTTTCTAATTTAACAGCCACGGCCTCTTCAGACCGTATGAATGTTGATCAACAGAATGACAACAATGGAGATAGCTCGGCTGGAAACGACAGAAGTAATGATGACTCAAGAGCAGAAAGACCAGATGAAACCACAGATAACACTCGCGATCCCGACGGAGACATAGTGATGGAATCCGCAGACATAGACGATGGGGAGGACAAAGGCCGGAGAGGAGGTGGAGGCGAGTCAGAGGGCGATCAAACTGAAGGATCACCAAAGGATAAGGATAAGGAATTGACAGATGACGGTTTTCTCCACCCACGCCGAATGACAACTAGAGCACAAGTAAGTGCGAACCAAAATACAGTTTCACAGGAGAAGCAAGATGAGAAGGAACACGAAATCTTGTCCCTCGAAGTTCATCCCATCTTTCGACTGCCTCGACTACCGCCAGAGGAGCGGAACTGCGGCTTAACCCAAAGTGAAGCTGATGAAACCCGCCGTATGCTATGGGCTTATATACAGAAGCAAGGAGAGAGTGTGCGGCTGTTCACTGAGATGCTCAAGATGCTCCGCAAGTCGCACCGAATGAAAGAAGAGGTGTGGGAGTGGTGCAAAGCGGAAGCACACATTGGAGAGCTGAGCGATGGAGAAGACTGGTATGATAAGGAGCGATGGGGGTTAGGTGAGGGTGAGGACCTGAGGAAAGGGGCCGATGAAGAGGAGACCGAGGGATTGGATGAAGGGAGACCGACTGGTAAACGGGGGAGAGGACGAAGAGCTTGAGAAATTTATTACAACTTATCTAGCCATCTGGAATGCGCTATATCATGTGTTTTTATTTCAATGCAATAGCAGAGAATGTGTAGAATAAAGACTGTTATGGTGAATAACAGTGTAAAGTAGATAAATATTCTAGTAGGTAAATATTCGAGACCAGGGTTTAGAGTCAAGTCTATATATTGAGAGTACCTTAACGAGAGTGGTCGAATAACGGGCGTATGTATCACCTTGGAGAGACGGGGTTAATGTAGAGTACGAGTACAATTACAGCGACAATAACACCGGCTGTCCCAGTTAGGAGCCCACCCAGGTTTGCCATGGAGAGAGAGAGTGTGTGTGGTTGAACTTTGTCTATCAGCCCTCAAGCTATCCATTGGAGGATAGGTTTTGAAATGGACATGGCAGAGTAAGAACAGAAGAATTCTAAGCAGCCTTCCCGGCCTTCTTTGCAGCGGATCTCTCCCTATCACGCTTGCTATAGATCTCTTCTGTGAAGGGTCTGCAGAGGCGGTAGTTAGCATATAAGACGAGAAGGAAAAGGATACAGAGATACATGAAGAGCAGTTTCGAAACGTACTCTTCCCATAGACAGGCGATCTTGTAGCAGATGAAGACCTCGGCAGTGAGTAGGAGACCAGCAGGCTTTCCATGGTACAAGGCCACAGCCAGGAAACTCATGGTGCTGCCCCAGTACATAGGAGCACTGGTGATATTGAACGGAAAGCCCGTCACGGGAGCATCCATAAGGATTCCAAAGTAGTCTCCGAGGTAAGTTCCTGTGATCCCGAGTGCCCACATACTAGATAGAACGAGTACATTCCCCGTAGCGAAAAGGCCGTAGGCCAGGTACTGCTGGTGGACAGGTGCAAAGTAGGGCTGGTGCTTGAGAGCGTCGTTGTACAGATGGTCGCGGATTATGCCTAGCGAGAAGATGGTAACAGCCAGGAAGTAGCACCCATTGTACTTGTTACCACTAAACAGCTTGGTCAAGAAGTGGTTGTTGTATTCTAAATGTCCAGCATGGGAGAGGATGTCAGGATGGTTGCTTCAGTATAGATGCCCCAGAGTGGAGAGGGGCAGAGCGGGGAGGGTCGGGGAAGTATCGGACCTTGACGGGCAACAATGCTATTCAAGTCAGCACCAAGAGACAGATACAAGAGAGCCAGGACAGATACGTACTTCCAGAAGAGCGGGTTGAATGCAATTGTAACGGCCGACACTGGTTACGGATACTCTGTTAAGCTGTATGTACACACGAGCTAGAGGAGCACGACGGAACAACTTACAGACCAGGCTCGGCTGCGAGAGGTCAATGTATTGTGATAGGGACATGATTGGCGTCTAAGCGAGGGGAATATGCAATTAACAGCTTTTCAATGCGGCTTAAGTGCGTGTCCGGAAGATGCTTTGACTTCTTCGTGAACTTGGAGTTGTTGAAGTTTTTGTCGTAAACAAGAAATGGAAGAAGAAAAGAAGCCGAAGAACCCCACGCTTACTAAATGCTGAGTAACAAGGATGATTAACAAATTAATAATAGTAACTCTTGGCATATGTTTTCTTTTAATAGACCTACCCTAACCTTAACCCTAATCCACCCGCGCAGTGACCATCAACACGAACCCGAGGGGAGTTCCAAGATTCATCTCGAAGGCCTGGTTAGTTCGCTCTGATTGTCCGCCTGTATCGCATCATACTTCATACAGCAGTACCTAACGCCACAAGATTTGAAGTTGAGCCTTGACGGTATTATTGTAGCACGGTAGGTCATATTTATCAGTATTTTTCTATATTGAATAAAGAGTAAAGGAAAAAGGGAGTAATATCGGCGCATCAACGAATTCGTATACATATCGTGCTTAGCGAAGAGTGACTGTAGTATGTTAACTATGCTTGATAACTCCAACAGTTCCAGGTCAAACTAGTGGGGTAGACGCACATACGGAGGATCTCGAAAACGGAACTATAAATAACGTATCTATTGATGTTGGCATACAAATCCGAGGAATTAAAAGATTTTCAACAACAACGTAAAAATTTCAGACAATACCAAACCTTCTAAAACAACCATCCTTCAGCAGCCACCTACTATGTCTGTCAGGAGCGCTGACGTCAAACGCATTATCACATTCTGGTTCAACCGCCCGCCCGTTGAATGGATAACCGCCCCAAGAGGCATCGACGACCAGATAAGGTCCGAATTTGATGACCTCGTCCTCACAGCCCGTCAGAACAAGCTCGATGACTGGGAAATGGAACCCGAAGCCTGTCTTGCTCTCGTCGTTCTACTTGATCAGTTCTCCCGCAACTTGTTCCGAGGTTCCCCTGATGCCTTTAGCGCCGACTCGAAGGCCCATGAAATAGCTACTAGGGCCATAATACGTGGTTTTGATAAGGATGTCAGCGCCATACAGGCATCAGCTTTCTATCTACCGCTTTTACACCAGGAGAGTTTGATCTCGCTCGTGGCGGCTCGCTCTCTGTTTGAGAATCTGAGGCAACGATGTGCAACTTGGGAAGAGAAGGAATGGGCCGATATGGGTATCGATATTGTGAATGAGAATATCCGCCATATGGAACAATTTGGAAGATATCCAAGCAGGAATTTAGCCTTGGGGCGAACAAATACTGAAGCCGAAGAGGAGTACCTCAAGCAGCGGGCGAACCGGGAATGAAGCTGGCTCGTACGTACTCGGATGTTTACGCACTTGAACAGAACAATGAGGTTAATGTTGAACTGAGTAGATGGTATCCCATGATATACAATATTGCACGATCATATGGAATACATACAGGTTTACTGTTCAATGTAATGATTTTACACTATTGAAAAACCGGGAAATATTTGAAATTCATACTGGTCAGCATAAATTAGTTACCCATTACTTAGTTAAAGATGGCTGGGAATATAATACTAAAATATGTTCCAATGGAGTTAAAGGTATAGAGCACTTGCTAATGCCAACAGAACTCGTGTATAGCACACTTGCTGTGTTATGGGATGCACCAAAAGTCCAAGGCTCGAATGGCTGAAAATTAACAAAATATAAGTTCAAATTCAGGGCTTATTTTATGGACACTTATATTCTATTATTAGTAACTAAAGTGGGCTTTCCGTGCCACTAGTCCGAAATAAAACTAGCGAGCGTTTAAGCTAACCTTAATTATTTTCCTTTCCTTCTTATTCACTTTTCGACTTTGCTATGCATATTTCCTTCAATCGACCAAGTTAATAACGAAGGCTGTCATTTAACAGTGGCTTTATTCATTCGGGAGAGATATTATTTATGTGGGCTCATAGTCATCTATAGGCAAAGTGTTCTGGTACGCGAGTATAGGAGCCCGGCAATACAATATTATTAGATGGAATTTGTATACCGTGTTTATTGTAGCTCGTGTGTAGAACGTTCTCTTTAGACTATCGGGAATACGGATGGAAGAATAGAAAACAGAGGTTGTTGAGGGGTAAGTATATTTATAGGTTCACATCTAGGTTTGTCTAAGGAGCATCTAGAATCAAGATTTACATTTCCCCAGACTTGCTTTTCCCGGTTGTCCGTAGATAAATTCCCACTTCTTGTAAACCATACAAGAGACCCTTTTAGAAACTCTCGATCTGATGGGCTCGCTCATCCACTGGAAACTAGGAGGGGGTAACAGTAATGGAGCTGTGATGGCAACGAACAATTCTATGCCTCATACCAGATAAACAAGACCTGGCTATGCCTGTAGTTTTTGAAACTATGCAGCAAGGGGTTGAAATTCCTCAAGTCTAATAACCAGCAAAGTTCCTCTATCTTGTAATCTTGGAGTTTTCATGGGCTTTCCTAGCGGATGGGAAAAGACAGCAGCAACAGCAGTAATAACAGCAGTTGCGGCACGAGCCAGTCAACTTTCGGAGTTGTAGGAGGAATCCAATGGTAACAAGAGCAACGGGGATCCACATCAGCGCCATCATCGCAATGCCTAGTTCGGCATGGACATTGAGGTCTGCAGCGTTATTCTCGAAGACGACCTGGAAGATGACGAACATGACCGTTGCAACGGCGGCTCCAGCAGAGGCAGTGAACCAGGCACCCCATGCAAGAATGGCGATGGGGATCGCGATCTTGCTTGGTGCGGCTCTTTTCTTTGCGCGGTAGTAGGAGGAATAGTTTGGCGCCGAGAGAATGGCTGCTGACGAGGGTATGGAGAAGGGAGTTAGGATCATGCAAAGGAATGTGAGGATGGTAGCAGTGATAAAGAAGCCGAACATCCAGTTTGAAGCTACGCGGGCGATGTTCAGGGCACGGGTGATTCCACTAGGCAAAACAACTGGGATGATCAGCAGGGTCTCTACAAGGGGGTGTGAGTAGGAGTAGAATGCTTACTTGTGGCGCCGGCCAGTAGTTCACTGGTAATAATTTCAACTGGGTTAAAGGCATATGTCGGCTTTGGCTTGGAACAGCGAGTGATGCCGGAACCGTCTCCGTATCCTTCACAGAAGCCCCAGAGGCCAACCTGGTAGAAATCATGCAGCCCTATAGTTCGGGCGATACTGTTGATGAGTACAGCATTGGGAACAGTCAGAGGAACGATGTTGGAGAGATCGATCTTGAGGAAATAGATATCTCGCAGGACGAGTCGGTCTGATAGATTGCCTATCTGCACGAGCAGCAGCATAACGAACGCAACGAAGTATATGAGGGAGTGGAGGATGCGATGCGGTATAGCCGGCCGGCGAGCCAGAAAGCTCTGTCTGGGAGCTTTCTCGCTCGACTCTGGGGGACCGGGCCATAGCTTTGAAAGGACAGGAGGCGGCATGTCGATATCGCCGTGCTTGTGTTTTGTGGGCTGTGATATTCTGTTATACAGAGGCAGACCTGGAGGCGTAGGTCAACAGTAAGGCTCCCAACGAGCGACGCAAATCCCAGGCAGGAGGACAAGGATATAACGAAGCTGCAGGGCGTTAAACCATCTCAGCAACGTTTCAGCAGCCCAGGAAAAAGCAGAGGATCAAGAGACGATCCTCCTGAGCCAGCAGGTCATTTGCTCGGAGACTTGCTGGACCGGGGGGCCACGATTCACCGGGCGAGACCCAAGGCCTGCCAGTCAAGAGAGTGAATTGACAAGCGAGGGAGGTCGAGTGAGAGTGATAGAGAGTGAGAGCGAGGCCCTTATGGGAGTTTGATATAGGATGTTTGGTGTAGGACGACGGGTGCGTTTAGGTGTGGCTGTAGGTATATCAGCGGACGCGGAACCGCTTTGCTGTGACGCCATCACGCGGTGTAGGCAAACTGCCGGGCCGGGCGGTTGGCCTTCCTGGCGCATCCAAGACAAAACAGGCGGAGGGCTGATTCCTCAGTCTCAAGCTGGAGCTGAAGCTGGAGCTGGTGATGGAGCTGCCATGGTTGTTGTCCAGGTCAAGGATCTTCCTGTGGTGGAGAAAAAAGTGGCTTGGACGGGATCTGCTTGCGTGTTGCTCTTTCTACGGGACGAAGCAGGAGGAAAACAACGAAAAAAGGCATTACGGCAGTTTCTATTCGCTATTTATTTAATTGGGGGCCTGCCGAAGAGCTACAGAACAGCTCTTAGAGCCTCGAAAAGAGCAGCAGCAGAAGTGATCTATCATAAAAAGCCGTGGAAAACGAGCTCATAATATCGTCATGACGAGGATGTTGATCACGATCATCGAGTAAATCATCTCTAGTTTGCCAGATAAACGACCAAGGACGGATTCAGAAGCAAGAGACGTGGTTCGGCCGCAGCATTTGCCGTTGTACGTAACGTTGTTGAGCTTGGCGGCGACTTGGAATACGGAGCCGTTGACGTTGCCTATGTTGTAATAGTCGACTAGGAGGAAGTTTGGCGGACGATTCCATTTCTCTAGACGGTGTGAGTAAGGAGAATAACGAGTAGGAAGGAGAGAACACGTACCTGTGCAGTTACCGGCCATGGCTCCCATGCTGCCAAAGCCTGATACTGCGTTGGTCTCGTTCAGCAAGACTGTGTTGGGCACAAGAATGGTGGCTCCGGCAATGCTGATCTCGAGATTCAGGTTGTGGTTGGCCATGTACATGCGTTTTCTGGCGTCAGCTTCATTTAGACCCGGTGGTCGTTGGATATCGCACGGGAAGTTTCTGTCCGTTGGGGAAAATGGGGTCTCCCAGATGTACGTAAACTCGTCCAGGATGTAAGGGACTTCGCCATGGTTGGCCTCGTAGTCCATGAAGACCATCGCCCTCTTACCGGACAGGATAACCTCAGATAGCGTAGGCCAGTCGTCCAGGGCTATAGAGTGATTCTTGGGTGTGTAGACATGGTCTATCAGCCCAGAGCTCTGGATCGGTGCAGTGAAGTTTTTCACCCCGACGAAGTCCCCGTTGCCGATGAGCAGGGAGACAACGTCGTAAGGGTTGTCTCTGAGCCAGTCTGCTACCTTTTTCAGGTAGCTCTCCAGGGTGCCGGCGTTAAGCAGATCACACGAGCTGTGGCAGAGATAGATGGTTCCATTCACCAGGTGCGTTTGGAACTGCACTGGTAGAAGTTAGCATCGTCAGTAAGAGTAAGAAAGAGGACGTACGCATCCGGATCCCATCGTTGAGCTGGGTGACGACGTCCAGCTCCTGATTGCTGGCGATGTTGCCTGGCCGCACAAAGGGGCTGTTGTGAGCAGCCACCTGGGTGATGTTGCCGTAACTGCGAGCACAGAACTCAGCATACCCGTTGCATGGCCGGGTATTCGTCGGCTGGGGCTCTCTCGACGTCTCTGTTGCCGTAGCGTTTCCAGACAGTGTGGTCTCATTTGCAGTCACAGTGCTGGTGGTGTGGCTGCCGACCAGCAAGGTGTAGCTGGCCGAGGTAGTGGTATAGAAGCTGTCAGACGAGTTTGTCGAGCTGCTCGAGAACGTCGACTGGGACAGCTCACCCGAACTGGTAGGCGTTCGCGTTCCATGGTGTATCGAGATGGATGTAGGGATATCTGAGCCCGTCAGGGTGATGGTGGCCTCTGCTGCCGTCTGCACTGGGCACAGCAGGCCGGCCACCACGGCACCAAGAACGATCAGAAGAATTTCCATGCTGGTTTAAACACAAACAGAGCTATCTCTAGCTGTCCCTGTATTTTACTTCCTCTTATTTCTTCCTTTCAGAAGCCAACACCGCGTCTAGTGACGTAACTGGTGGAGAGGAGAGGATCAGCGTCTATCCCAGGGAAAGGATAGAAGCTGAAGGCGAAACCGAGGAAGAAGCTGGGAGGCTCTTCCGCAGATCCTTCACTGTCCGTCTGGCTGTCTCCTGCTGGTCATCTGCTCGCCTGTTTGCTTGCCTACTTGTCTGCTTATCTGCTTGCCTGCTGTGTGCCTGCACAGCCTGATTGACGATCACACAGCGAGGCGGGCGCCAACTCGTTCTCCTGTCTCTGATGTCCCTGGCCGGTGGATTCACTCGGTGTCTCGCCGTCTCTAAGACGCCCTCCTTACTCTAATCCACTTGCACGGAGCAGTCCCTGTAACCCCCGTATGTTTCTGCGGCTTCTCGGTGGCCCTGTGTCACCGTTGAAGTAGCGATATACTAGTGTTAGTGCTTAGTAGGGACGTCCAGACTGGCCACGGCCGCTCAACAGGCCCATGACGGCCCTGGTGGCTTTCTTAGCGGCGTCTTATTGTCCGCGGCCGCTGTCTATTGTCATTCTCTATTGTGTATTGTCTGGATTGCTGCGTGTCAAAGGAAAACGGCCGAAGGTTGACGTTGAAAGTCGAGTCTTCGCTTTGTCCCTTTTTGGTTCCCACCAAAAGACCCAGAAAAAAAAACAAAAAAAAAAAAAAAAAACATTCATCGCCAACACCACCACCAACGACAACGAACGACACGGAGGAGAATAGAAGAATATATGCAAGACGCATCTTTGCTTCATACCTGCTCCTGGAATTACTCTGACACGGATAAGCTGACGCTGCACTGGATACAATGGTGGACATCGTCCCGCTCTGCTCATACCCATCCTACATCTCGCTGCTGCCCGCAGTGCAGACCTGCAACATCACCAACCTCCCCGAGAACTACTTTCTCAAGTACTATCTGTACCATGCACTCTCATGGCCGCAGCTGAGCTTCGTTGCCGTCGTCCGGGACCGCTCGAGCAAGTCAAAGGACCCGTTCGCGCCCGCCGCAAACCCCAAAGTGGTCGGATATGTGCTCGCGAAGATGGAAGAAGAGCCCTCGGACGGGCTGCCACACGGGCATATTACAAGCTTAAGCGTCATGAGAACACACAGACGGCTGGGAATCGCCGAGCGTCTGATGCGGATGAGCCGTACGTCTATAGAAAAAAAATAACATAAAAATTGGAATGGATGAGGTACATTATGGCGGGGATTAAGCTAACATATATGTGGATAGAACGAGCAATGGCAGAGTCCCATAAAGCGCACTACGTTTCCCTCCATGTCCGTGTCTCGAACAACGCTGCTCTCCGCCTCTACCGTGACACCCTCGGATTCGAGGTCGAAAAGATCGAGCCTAAATATTACGCTGACGGAGAGAATGCGTACGCCATGAAGATGGACCTGACTAGCCTATGGTTAAAGGATGATGAAGGGTACAGCGTCGGCCTAGACGGCAAGTCGTTCAAGAATACAGATGAGGATGTTGACGAGGGCGATGAAGTTGGTGACGTGGGCAAGGCCGGTGACGAAGCCAGCAAGGAAGAGAAGAAGATTAGAGTCAAGGTCGGTCGAAGCTTAGGCGTAGGAGATCTTGTGGAGCGGAATGAAAGTCGAGCGCAGGCTTGAAGGGGATATCCTCCCCCAGGCTGGATATTTAACGATAAAAAGGGAAGATACGAAACGAAGCTCTAGTTATGTGATATCATGCCTACTTCACCATGGAGCACGTATAGTGTGGACACAACTTTTTAGTCTTCATCGGAATATAGTAGCTATACCCAGGAGATAGTTGAAGACTAGAGACTAAAGAATTGTCATTCATTTGAGTAGGGTTCAAGTTATATCATTATCAGTATTTAATACACGACAAAAGCAGTGGGACTTGCTTTTTAATATCATATCCAACAACTACTGCTTGACATCTTTCATCACCGTTCCGGCCGCCTGGGGAGTTTGAGGATACTCTGGAGGAGGAATATTACTTGATATGTTCATATCCTCCATCCGTCTCTCCAGGGGGATATCCGGCTCTGTTTCTAATACATTATTTAGTTAGCATCACCTTTTTCGGCAGAATAAGAAGAAAATAGGGGTAATCAACAAAGCAATAAACGAACCTTTGGCTTTGCCCTTGCCCTTCTCCTTTGCTCTCTTGCGCTCTTCTTTTCTTGCTGCCTTCTCCTGCTTTCTAGCCTGTTTCTCCTCCTTTCTGGCCTGTTTTTCTTCTTGTTTGAGATTCTTCGCGGCCTGCTTCAACTCCCGTTTCTCACCTTGCAGGCTGCGTATCAAATTAACATAGTGATCCTTGATCTCCTGCATATCCCTCTTTATCTCGTCAATGTCAGAACTGAATTCTCCTCGAGTAGTAGAGGGGTGGCCCGCTGCACGGGAACTGGAGCCACTGCAGCCTCCAGATGTGGTATCACGACATCGTCGACCTGCCGAGCGGAAGTCTCTTCGAGCTGACTTCAGTGCTTTACAGTCTCGTCGCAGCTCCTTCCTGCGTGCCCGGTAGTCTGCTGTAGAGAGTTGTCTTTGCTCCTGTTGCTGCTTGAGGTTCTGAAGGGCAGTTTTGAGAGCGGCAAGCTCGCCTTTTTTCAGATCGGAGTCGGGCGAAGCAGAATCCAGCGATTCAGAGGAACTGCTTGACGAAGAGGATGAGGACGATGACGAAGAAGAGACAGAAGCGCTTCTTGCTCTTCTTCCTTTCTGCTCAACGTGTCCCCATTCGCGACCTCGCTGACCCGCCGGATCGGCTCCCCGCTGCCAAAATCCCCAGCCAGAGCTACCTGGCTGACATCCTTCAGGACCCCAAGTATTTCTACCTCGTCCGGGTCCTCCATAACCTCGACCTGCCCATCTGCCATGATGGTGGTGAAAGTGGCTATGGCCACCAAACCGGCCGTGGGGTCCATGATGACCACCCCATGATGCTTGGGCTTGGTCTCTGTAAGTGGTAAAGTTGTGTATAGCTCTGTTTCTAGCATCCATAGCCTGCTGCTGGACGTAGAATGCGTGTGCATGAGCGTTTCTTTCCACCTCACGGCTGGCTGCTTGAACCTGCTCGCTCACCATTCTGCTATGCTCCATAGCTTGTTCTGATACATACTGGCTGTATCTTTGGACTTGGTCCGAGATCATGGAGGCAATGTTATTCACTGCTGCGCCGGGGTTAAAAACCCACACTCCTGGTCCACCCGCAGGGCTGGATCTATATTGATATTGGTTATCCGAGCTTCCCCCGTTTCCTGCTGCTGCTGCTGGGGGGCTGGCGGCATCGGTTGTCTGCCGGTTCTGCCGGCCACTTGGTACCGCATTCGGCGGTTGAGGCAGCTCATGTACTTCTCTTGAAGTATTATCTGTAGGTTCTTCGAACAAAGACCGACGGATATCATTGCGAGATCTGGATGAGGTGGTGTTTGGATAGCATGAAGGACACAATGGAGACTCAGGTTGGCCTCCGTCTTCACGAACAAAACAATAAACTATCACAACCCCGCGAGGCTGGAAAAAGTTGACATTCCATTCTGTAACCACTGCTGTAATTCTCCATTGTCGCTCTTCCTCGGTCTCTTGCGGCCTGTCTTTTCGATCACGTTCAATCTCAGCACGCAGCTTTTGTGGGAGCTGAGGATGATTCGACGCCGGTCCAAGATGCGGTGGTAAAAGGTAATTCAGAAATGTATCCCAATCATGCTGTGTGATCTCTTCGGTTCTAGAGCGCCAACAGCGAGGATACTTCGAGAAGTCTTTGGCCTGGCTTCGCCTGTAGAAGACTAGGGTATGTTCCAAGATTTCTCCGTCAGAACGTGCAGTCGACGGCAGGCCACGCTCACTGAAATATGGCACTGCAGAAACAAAATTCGGAGCCTCTACGGCATGGGTATATGATGGAATGTTTTCTGTCGATACCTGACTTGCGGCATCATTGATCGTGGAAGCCGGTGTCAGAGGGTCGGTTGGGGTGTAGGGCGGAGGTGCGTCCTCCTCCGGATGTATATGTGTGAGAGTCATGCTGGCAGTTGATAATTGACTAGCCCAGAACTTGTCTCAAAAAATTGAGTATCACGCTGAAGTTATATCTCTTGAACCTCACAGGCAGCAACAAAAGGAGAGACGAGGGGTTGTTTTGAGGGAAACTAGGTGTGCCCAATATTTAAATAGGACAAGGCTAGTCCGTCCAAATACGAGGCTCGCTGAAGGCACCAGCATTTCTCAGCCACACCAAAGAGCTGCGAGCCTTGCCGTTAGCGTGCATATTAATGTTGTTGCCTAGATTTCATGAGCTCTGCCTCTGCAGATGTGGACAACATTCTTGGAGTATACCAGCCACCACCTCTGATGCAGAGGGCATTGACATGTTGCGGAGTAACGACCACTCCAGCCTTCCGTCCGTAAAGGCGGCCCGCCTATTCCCCATTATTGTCTCCTCTTCCTCAGCCTCTCAGCTCCGGAGCTAGTAAATCTGTCTTCGGACTTAATATTGCTTTCGGGAGTTCTGTCGTGCCATCCCCGCGCTTCGCTCCAGAAATGCTCGCTAGAAAGTGCAAAAATCAAGTTCAAAGTAATGTGCTGAGGAGTTTGTCTACATTGTAAATCTCCAACCAAAGAAGCGCCAATGCTAAGTAAATTCATGGGGACATCATGACAACCAACTTTTCGTCCAAATCATCCAATGCATAAAGAGGTCGGGTAAAGCAATATGAACCGCCCCAGAAATCTAATCCCAAGCATCTCCCCATCCGTCATCATCTAGCGGCTCATCTTTAGGTTTTGTGTCGATTGTCTTTGCTGGTTTGATAGGGGCCTTTGGTTTAACCTCTGTTCGTTTAGCTTGTGCTGTGCCGGAGCCTCCTGGCGTGGAAGACTTCTTTAGTCCCTTTGGCAATGGGTTCTTTGATTTTGACTTTGATTGACTAGCTAGCCATCCTGCAAAGTCGGGTTCTCCATCGTCGGCAAAATTGTGAGGGCGTGGTGATATGGCTGGGTTAGGAGATGCTGCCTTCTCAAAAACAATCGGTTCTTGGTCTTGCCTGTCTGGCTCATCATCAATGGCTTCGTCCATTGCGCCCCAATCGTCAAATGCATTGCTATCCTCGTCTTCCAGTAAATCAGGAGTGGCTTGGCTAATACCACCGATTGTTGGTTGTGAGAATTGTGCTACGTTTTGCGCGAGAGTTGGTGTTGCGGATCTGGCCCGAGAAGGTGGCAGAGAGTTATCAACGGCCTTTCCATTGGGCTTCGGTAGTGCCGGCTGGATTGGTTCAATAACTCCCTTAGTTTCTCCTGCTTTACTCGCGAATGAGGAGATTGCCCATCCAGCCCACGACGCTGCTGTGTTGGCCGGGCTAGGTAGTCTGGCTGCTGCAACAGATGAGTCTGCCCGTTCCTGAGGTGGGAGTGCTGTATCTGCCATGGTTGAAGTAAATTTGCGGATTCGTTGCAAGTATATGTCTAAACATTTGTTTGCCTGGTCGCGAACAAGCCTATGAAATTCATGTTAGGGGATATTGGTATTAACTTTTTGGCAGGAAGCTGTAACATACTTCTCTTTGTCTATGAGCGCAGGCGATATTACGGGAAGGACTTTGACGGCACAATCTTCTTCGGAAAAGAGGTCAAAAGTAGCCGCCAGAGCAAGAAGTCCGGCATTCCGTGCATGGACAAAGGGGTCTCTTAATGATCGAGAAAAAGCCGCAACAAGAATCTTTGGTCGAGACTAATTACACAGTTAGTGAAGTCCAGCCCGATTTCTCACATACTAAACTTACGCTTGCAGACAAGTTTTTAGCAATTTTACCCAGACATATGGTGGTATTTGTACGGATTCCAGGCTGCTCGTCATTGGCAGTTTTTGCAAGATATCGAACCAGTTCGCCGTTGATCGTGCGGTCAGATAATTTGCCTATGATTGCTAAGACAGCTTTGACAGTCTGTTCCCGTACAACCGGCGCAAGATCCGTAAATCCAGTGACCATTTGAGGGAATATCTTGTCATTCACAGTTCTCTGGGGAAGCCGGTCGATCATGAGAGGGAGATTATCCAGTAAGCATACGCGTATAGCTCGGTCCGGGTTCGCAAATAACCGAACAATGACGGGTGTAAGCTTCTGGGAGTATTCATCGTCACTAAGTTTTGTGCCGACTTTCAAAATAGTTGAAAGCACTTTTGGACCTCCTCCACCAAATTCAACTGATTTAAGGAGCTCAGGCAAGACTTTCATCTTAAAGAATTCCTCAGGATAGTCATCGGATAATTCGTCAAGTTCACTGTTTTTCAGATTAGTACTATAATGTAATTAGAAATTGAGCTTCGTTAACCTACTTAATAAATTGTTCTCTTTCCTCTTCACTCTTAAGTCCTAGACTCTCTATGTCCTGGGATAAGCGGATTAAGGGAGTCTGGAAGAACCCTCCTGAGCGTTTCCCCTGCTCAAGGAAATGCGCTACGCTTAGTCGTAGTTTTGGGTTAGAATTCAAAAGTTTCTTATAGCTCGGCCGCATGCTGGGAGGTATGTTTGAAGTCTGACCAGCTTGTTCAGGGCCGTGAAAGGATCCGTTAAAAGCCTCGTATATGAGAACTCCGAAGTTATATGCGTCCACAGCGAAGAGTGGGTTACTTTTTATAACATCCCATCCACCTTTTAGTATTTCTGGAGGGTTGTATCGCCGTGATTCTGGCAGAATACTGCCATACGTCTGCATCCTTGTCAGACACTACACAATTTTGTAAGGAACACGGGAAATGGGGGCCATACATATATCACCGGGGAGTCTTCCTTCAGGGAGCTTAAAATGTCGAAACCGGCTAATTTCCATTCCCCACTTTCGCCAGTGTATACAGATGATACTCTGATCGCACCATGTACGGACGCGGCGTCTTCATTTATAAATTTAAGAGTGGACTAGGGCGCTGTATGAGAATAGCTTTCAAGGCACGCCATAGGGAATTTGATACTCACGGCGATGGTATATAATCCCCATTTAATTGTTTCCTCAGACATACTTCTCCTTTTAACTGGCCATGATAAAGGAATGACTCGCTCTACAACAATGTAGATTTGTGTTTCCGTCTATTTCCCGCGTCAATCTAGATGATATCCCAGCACCCATATCCAGTAAGGGAGGTTGTCAAATTATATATCGTACCTCGATAGTTTCTAGTACTTTTATTACACCTGGGTGTCTTAACGTCCGTAGCTTCCGCAACGCATTCTTTGCAAGTGGAAGATATGACCTATTTTGAAGGATTTCAAAAGTAAATATGCTGCATGAAGAACCGTCTTCCTACATGATCATAGATGGTAATTAGTAATTATTCACCAAATGCTTAGAGGGATAATAATTGTTTAGGTACCTTCTTGGTGGCACTGTGAAGAGTCCATATTGAGTCTCCATTGTCCACTCTGTCGCCGAGAGTATAAGGAAACGAGCTACTCTTTGCAATCGCAGAGGCGACCGCGGACTTTAGGAACTCCATAGCTCCTGGCTAGCAAGCTTTTTGCTACGGTATTGTGTTCTTATGCCGAGTTGTACTCAAGCAAGGGCCAGTTAAGCCGCCAACTGCTTGCACGGAAAAGTTAAAAACCGAATAGACGGGCAGCGGGTTGAGGACGATAACAGGTGTATACCAGCAATAGCCCATAGAGTCGACCGGGGAGCTTCGAAGTCAAGTCGTGCGTGGTTCTCTTGATCGCTATCTAGACGTTGTTATCAAAAAAACTGCCTTCTTAGTTGATACCCGTGCTTCTTCCCAATTCGGTCTAGCGCGTTTGTGTCTGCAGTTTGCGATATAGAGTTTAGTCAGCAGGTACACGCTGAGTCATTGATGGGGTCTATAGCATGATACTACGATAAAGAAATGTGATCAGGGGGGTACAGGGCTAAATATAGGAATGCATCGGAATGAAAGGAGGAATAAGAGTTAAAGAAAAGAGAAATTATTAAATTGATGGTTTGAAGCCATCCAAGTAACTAAGGCTAGTATATAGTAGTTATAGCTAGAGTTGTAACCCCGGTAAATTACCCCAAGCCAAACCAGACCTGTCCCTAGCAGGTAGAAACATTGATATTCAAGCGAGTCGGCATTCGAAAGGAGGCGTCGGAGCAATCAGGCGTTTATCCTCTCTAGAAGGTAGTGCCGGAGCAGGCGACGAAGCCGCCCTTCGTTTTAGCACCAGTATGAGTAATCTCACCAGCCCTGTCGCATTTCCCGGTGATAATAACGCGGTCAGGGCCGGGGGAGCCTTTAGATACCACTTTCAGTCACTGTGTACGTTTTTTTTCTCTCTCTCTCTCTCTCTCTCTCTCTCTCTCTCGAGAAGCGACATAAGATAGGGGTAACTTACCTCCCTTGTATGGGGTCGTCTTCAAGGGAAACTCGTAAAAGGGGCCCCCGAGGCCCTTGAATTTGAACTTCTCGTAGTTCTTATACACATGGGGGTAATTGCCAGCTTTAGTGTGATCCTGGACGTGCTTGCAGGCTGATTCATCGGCAGCCTTGACTTGTTCCTCGGTGTACACGGTTTTGCCGCATTTGATGGCACTGACGGCGACCGCGAAGGTAAGGATGCTGAGGAGCTTCATGGTTGTTTTGAAAAATTTTTGAGATGCATAGGATCGGTTCGAATTGTCTTTTGGATTGATTGAAGAGCTGCTTGGTTGCCTGGAGAGCAAGAGAGGAATAGAGGGATCATCAGGCTCCTTTTATACCTTTGATCTCAACACCGGACAGGCTGATGAGCATCCATGATAGGACGCAACCACGTCCAGAATCAGCCGGCATCCACAAGAGCGAAGTCGGTCTACACCGTGCCATGACGAAGATGCTTAATCCCCGCCTCCGAATGATTTTCCTTCAGGCCGTCCGCCAGGTGGGGAGCTCTTCCGTCCCGGCATGCCGATGGAATCAAACTGCTGGACTCGCCGTGAAGATGGACAGACTATGATCAGACTATGATCTCCCGGATCTCGACGACTGCTAACCCGATACCTTAGCTCAAGGACCATGGCGCATCAGGCGCCTTTTGCTCCCACGTATCCGACAATGCAGCTTGCGCGCCTTAACGAATGTCCCTATGCTGCAGATGCTGGATGGCAGGTCGAAACTCCATTCCACCTGCGACAGCCTGTCGGCTGGCTAGTGCAGACAATCGGTTGGCTTTGCCCTTGTTTTGATTCCACTAACAGCGACAGCAAGTGAGATAAAAGGAGAGATTGGGAGCTATTCCAAATCCGGTCTAGCGCTCTTGTTTCAAGCTAACTAACAACCAACCTCAACATCAGCTTTTTTCGACATTTTCCATCGACCTTTGCATAAGACGTCTGCGAACGAGCGCCCGGTGGCAACCCAAGTGTGCGATAAGATAGGGAGCATATACCCAATGAAGATACCCGTACCCACTAGCTATCTATACATACATACGCCTTTCCAAAGGAAGGTGAAGTCATGTTGATATGAGCTTGTCCAGGTAAGATCGCCCCTTACACCTCCGCCATATATCTCATATATACACGCCTCAATCTCCTATGATGCGAACCTGGTAAAAGGTCAGACTTGGACAAAAAAGACAGACGTGTTGTCAGTTCCCTTGCTGCCTCTCTGGATACGGGTCTCCGAACGACCGGACTGGAAGCCAGCTTGATATCAAGCAGCTGTGCCTCAGACAAGCCTTCGTACTTCTCACCCCCGGTGTCCTCATGCATTTCTTTCAATGAGGGAGACCGTGCAACCTGCTATCCTCAGCTGCAATCCAATGATTCCCCTTCCTGAGTACGGTGCCCACAATATGGCATACATGAACAATTACCGCTATCTGGAGCTCCTGGTCTGCTTCTCCGCCGTGAGGATACAGGAGCTAATGGCAGTGGTTGACAAATTCTAAAAAAAATAAAATAAAAAAATCCATTTAACATACGCTCATGTAACGGGACTTTGGCTCTTGGCTTGGCTCCGATACAGCTTGCTGCCCTCGGAAACCAGGAGCAGCGGAGGTCATATCTACGAGGAGGAACGCGTTGATTTTGAGATGGACCTTCTCGACCCGGCCTGTGTCTAGATTCACGTTTCTGGAGGGTGTCTCTGGGAGCTGATAGCCATGTCTTTGCAAGAATGATGTGCAATTATAACTGAAAAGACCTGAGGAGACTCATAATCATTTTTTCCTGCTTCCCAGTTTCTAGCTAACTACCTTTCAATTACGAGTATGGCTAGCTAACGTGACTTATTCATAGGGTTTACTCTTGCTTTTCGTCGCCTGAATGGTTTCGCAACTGCGAATTGCGAAAATGATGATGGACTATTAGGACCATATAAGTATGAAAACATGACCATTCAATAAAACTACTTCCCCTAATTCAGTTACCGTCAAGTCGTAACATCCACGGGAATATGAATAATCCCAAAATCAGTAATACTAAAACCTCACTTCTTCTGCCCCTGCTTGCTTCTTTTCCTTCATCATCATCACTCCATTCGAGTAGTCCTCAAAACTTCATTCACACCATCTTGCTCCCACTCTCTCCCCACACTGGAAACTTGAAAATCTGAAGCCCGAAAAGTGTCATAGTCATGCCACGAAAGAAACAGAGAAAAAGAAAAATAATAAGAAAAGAAGAACAGATGAAAAACATGGGAAAATCATTCATCAACTCCCCTTCCTCCCTTAAACGATTTTCTCTTGCCACATCCCCATTGATTCGGCCATACCTCTTTCTCCTTATCGGCCGAATAACTGCGTATAAGTTGGCATGATAGCTAGCTAGCTATGCAGGACTAATGGGCGCCTGATGAAATGTTGATAATATCGCTAAGCCATTATGATTGATGCCTTCGCCATCTCCGGATGTTCGATGATGACCGGGTGAACAAGGAAAGTCCGAAGACAAGTTGCAAAATTGATCTAGATTATGCATATAACGGTGGCTGAAGCATAGCAGGCTGTTTGGCGACAAAGATTCAGTCAATGTATACACCAAAGGCATAGAGTAAAGTTTGTATCCGTCAGTTTATCTTCATACTTGATAAATATAGAATCGGTCACAGACACCTATTCAGTCCGATTAGCATACAGTGGAGGTGTTGTGATAAGATACAAGAAATGCCTACCCGTGAAGCCGATAGCGTGAGCCTTGACAAGCGAACGAGACGCCCGGGTAAGTATGCCTTGTTGTGGTAATTGGGGGTCCAGTAAAATTGTGATATGTACGGCACCGTGCGGTACAAGCGGGTGGCAAGCAACTGTGACGTTGGACAGTTAAGGTTGATAGAGCGAGATTGAATGACCGTACATATAGGTAGGGCGTGTTAAGGAAAAAAAGGGATAGAAATCAAGTGGTCTATATTTCACTTGTCACGAGCCACAGTTGTCCGGAAATAGAGGATCATGGAAGTAAACGAACAACACAAATGGTGTGTTATACCGCCAATCTTCGACCTCAGCTTAAGAAGTAGAGTGGTAGAGAAAGTGTGGCTTTCACTTAACTTCTTCAGGGGCTTCGGTTGGATGGACATTTGGGGTAGGGGCGGGAGGCGGGGCGCCTTGCGGTTGCATGGGAGGTGGAGGCCCATGAGGTATTTGATTGAAGTTGTTATTGTTACTGTTATTGTTGTTTTGGGTTTGACTACGGTATTGGTGGTGGGGGTAGTTATGGGCTTGGTGCGGACTAGAGGCAAAGTGAGGGTGTTGCTGGTGGTGGCCAGGACGCATCGGGGGCATATGACCAGGTTGTTGGGGAGGGTAATAGCCTTGTCCTTGCTGTCCGTTCATCGGCATCATGGGCTGAGGCGGAGGTCCTTGCTGGGAGCCTTGGTGCATCATCATGGGTGCCCCACGACTTGGGCTTGGGTACCCGCTATGTGTCTGCATTGGAGGGACATGCTGCGGATAGGCATGGCCAGGGTTAGGAGAAAACATCTGCATGGGAGGGTTATACGGAGTCATGCTCTGCGGTGGCATGTTCATGTATGGACCGTTCGAAGTCTGAGCCATCATAGGAGCAGCTGTGGGCGGGTTAGAGAATTGCGGTCCGGTAGGATAATGGCGCACATGTCCGGGTTGAGGGTAGTACGGAGGCACACCATGCATGGCCATCTGATTGTGTGGTCCAACAGAGTGCTGGTATGCCATGGGAGTGCTGTGCTGAAGCCGAGGGGATGGAAACACTTGAGATGACGATGCAGACATTTGCATACGATGGTGATCATCATAATGCATAGGAGGCTGTTGCGGAGGGATGAGATGAGTTGGTGGTGCAGCTTGTGGCGGCATAGTGTGTGCTGCATGCTGGAGATGATAGGGTAATTGCTGCTGGTGAGGCATCTGAGCATTTAAAGCTCGGGATTGGGGAGAAGCAGATGCAGCGACAACTGGGGGTTTAAACATGTCCGCATAGGTCTTCTTCTCGTTAATGGCGGAGACATCCCAGGTCGGAGCAGTTCTGTAGGCTGGCGGAATGCCTCCGTTAAAGGCATAGTCCTTGGACCCGGCGTCAGTAGCCTCTTTCTTCATGCGCTTTACAGGGTTGAAGCCATTAACGATCAAAGGGCGCTCAGATGCTGGTCGGGGCTTCTTAGAACCAAAGAAGGCTGCTGGGCTCGTAGCTCTTGGAACAGACTGAGGTCGAGTGTTCACAGGAGTAGCGGTGGAAGAACCACCTGCCGCACTGGCAGGGGTGAAGGTGCTGGCGGCCGGGTTAGGCTTGAATTCCATGGCACGAACGTTGAATTTGGTTGACGCAGAAGAAGATGTAGGCGTGTGAGTTGCAGCCTTTGGAGGCCCGTTGCTTGGTCCTTGATCCGCTGCAGAGCTGGTTGGTGGTGGTGGCGGCGGCGGCTGCTGTTGTTGATGCTGTTGCATGCGGGCATCTTGGGTGGGCAATGGTGCTGGAGAATTGCCCATGTTTGCGCCCTTGCGTTGTTGCTGGATCTCGACTAACCGGTGGCTGAGCAAACCTGGGCCACCACGCCCTGAGTGACCTCCTGGATGTTGAAGCTGGCGTCCGCCGTGAGGGCCCATGGGGGTATAACCTTGACGTCCACCACCACGCCCATAACCGCCTTGACGGTCAGGAGTTGCTCCAGGGAGACCGTTTCCGCCTTCATACCGAGAACTTCCAGAGTTACGGGAAGTTGCTTTTGCCTCTGCGGTAACGTTGGTAGAGCCAGCCGATGTAGCAGGAGTACCAGTGGATGGTTTGTTTGGCATGGCAGCATTCTTTTCCTCATGTTGTCTCTTTGCACGCTCGATAATTTCTTCCTGTTTGCTAGGGTCTTTGGCAAGAATGGGGACCAAATCCTTGGGGACAGGTGTGCCTAGTTTGAAGTTCTTGGAAAATTTCATAAGTTCATTCAGTTTGATCGTCCGGTCATACGATGCCTGGTTGCGTCGTCGTTCTTGAAGTTTCATCTTTTCATCATTAGCAAATCGTCGGAAATGATCAAGGACTTCAGTTTCAACATTGGAGGCAGCGTTCTCGCCGCCCGTGCGTGGAGTGGATGAGGCGGCAGATGGCTGAGAAGAAGCGCCAGCTGCAGCGGCCTTGCGCTCTGCCTCGATTGCACCGTTGCTTGCAACGGTCTTGAGACCCTCAGTAGACTTGGAAGCTGCTGCGGGAGCCTTTTCCTTTTCTTTTTCCTGCTGGGTGATGGCCTTTCCGGTGGTCTCCTTGGGCTGAGTGGGAGTTTTGGTCTGGCTGTCAGGGCGAGCGAGCTGGGCAGAAATGATAGCAGGGTCAACGGGAGCACCGGGAACAGTTGGCTGACCAGTTGGAGGTCGTCTTGCAGGAGGCATATACTTGTTGGGCTGTCCGGTGGGCAAGGGAGCAACGACATCACGTCTGACACCGGAATACTTTGCTTCTTCATCAGTATCGTCTTGTTGGTGGACATGGCCTCGTTCCTCGCGCATGTGAGCGTTATCTGTATCGGCGGATTCGATTTCACGTGCGATCCTAGCAGCTTCAGCTTCCTTGCGTTTGTAGGATGGATCTGAGCGGTCAATGCGAGTGGTGTATATATTTTCATCGTAGCTTGATGTGGCACCGAAGAGTCGAGCATTAGTTTCGAACTGATCCCACCCTGCAGTTCCCGAGCTCTCTGGAGCCCAGTCGAGGGTTGCGTCAGTCCCGCTTGGTTCCCAGCGTTGCAGCTGTCTTTCACGGCCTGGCTGATTGCCGGAGATATCTGTGTCTGTGCGGAAGCCGGAAGAGGCACCTGTATCGTTATTAGTACGGAAGAGGTATATAATGATAAAACTCGAGAAGCGGCCCTTTTTACATACCATTCTGGTCCTTGGCTACCACTCCAGAAGTGGACAGCGATTGGATATCTAAGCAGGTGATATCTTGAACATCGATCAGTAATTGGTGATCTGAGCCGGAGCCAACATATGAAGGTTCATTCTGGCTGACACCGTTCGATTGTGCGGAATCCGATTCTGATGGGGGACGACGGGCCATCTTGAGGATTAATATGGTTTCATTAGACTCTAGAGTTGAACCGGAGAAGATTCCAGTGAACTTCTCGCCGTCTTTCATGGTAAGGGATACGTTGCTTCCCTGTGTTCTGTTAGCTTCGTACGTAATGGAGTTTGGCGGAGGAGAACGTACGATGGCGGCTGTGAGAAGGAAGATAAGGCGGTCGTGTGCGTGCTGATCCGGAGTAGACGACTCCTTGGACGCCGGGCTGGGAGAGACGACAGATTTCCTCCCTGAAGCGGCTCCATTCTGCTGTGGATATGCGTTTGATGGTTTTTGTGTAGTTGGATTGATGTTCTGAGTCCAAGCTTTCTGCGAGCTAGGCCGTCTGGTATCAAAAGTCAGCACAGCTCAACATATTATGTAGCACATCACAAGCAAATGACATAATAAGTATATAGAAGCCGAAAACGAGCTGAGACGCATTATCAAACAGAGAAAATGATAACAGTATACCGATTGAAATAATGACCAGAAAAAAAAAAAAATTAAAGATAAAAAAAAAAAAGAAAGAAAGAAAGAAAAAAGAACACACCTTTGACCGCCATCGACAGGACTCCCAGATTGACGACGACTAAGATCTGGTCCCTTGACACCGGACGAGGGACGCCCGGCAGCTCTCGAGGCCATTGTATTTGGGGAAACAGAGGAGTTTAGCGGCGTGGAAGCAGCTCCGTTGGAGGGCAAAGAGTTGACATTATTATTATTATTGACGGTGGACGCCATGCCTCAAGAAGCGCACAGCAGTCGAGCTGGGTCGACCGGCGGCAAAGCAGCAGCTGGAGAAAGGCACAACGGCCTGCCGGCAGAGAAACACCCACACGATGGCCTCTCTCACCTCTCTTCTTGTCTTCTACCGTCCGTCTGTCTGCCGTCTCTCGTCTGCTGTCCGGCGTAGGGAGGAGGTCGTCGTGCTGTCCGCTGGCGAACTAGGAGCGGCGGCCCTGCGGTCTCAGGGCGACGCAGCAAGCAGAACAGCCTCAGTCAGGTGCGACGAGGCCAGCTTGCGGGAGCGGAGGAGTCTCTGTCTCTGCGGTGTCTGCAGTCCGATGTCTGCGGTCTCGTCCTAGGGGGGTTGGTCGTTGGTGCTGGCGTCTGCGGTTTTTGGTTTGTGTTTGAAGGTGACGAAGAAGAAAAGAAGTCGAAAGTTGGAGCGAGGAAAAGGCTGGGCGCGGCGTGACCGTACCATACGCCGTCTTCCTTAGCAGTTATTATTTACCAGCAGCAGAGCTCCCCAGCCAGCTGGCCATGCAGGGTGCCTTTTGGACGGAGCAGCAGGCCGAAGATCCCTCCCACGCCGACTGTCTGCCTGCGCCTTCGCTGCCCTGCTTTTTTCGGCGCTCGTCTGCCTGCCTTCTGCCTGTCGGTGTCCTAGTGCCTCAGTGCCTCAGTGCCTCAGTGCCTCAAGCGTCCGCTGTGTCCGCTGTGGCCAGAGGCCAAAGGGGGAGACCGTCCAAGGAGGGCGTAACTTTGGATTACCGTCACGATACACATCATGTGACTGCTTAGCTAATCACCACCTCCCCCCGTCGACGTCAACTCTCGAAATAACAAGCGAAAAAGGCGACGCAGCAACGAAGACGCCGCAGACAAGACAGACAGAGCCGGACGAGCCGAGTCGGGACGGGCGATGAGCAGCTGAGGAGCCTCGCGCTGGACTTGTTTTCTTTTGCAGTCGTTGCTTTTTCCGCGCTTCGTCAGGCTAGGTCTTGCGGCCTGATCTATCTCTCCCTGCCAGCATCCACTACTACTACCACCACCACCACTGCCACCACTGCCAGCCGCCAGCATCGCCAGCAAGCATCGCCAGCAGCGCTCCAGAGCCGGCCACGGGAGTCCTCCGCTTGACGGTCCCATGAATCCGCCATAGACGCCCTCGCAGATCGCCTTGTCCGTTTATATACCTTGCTGACTCCCTCCAGAGATGGACACATACTCGTCCGCCATGGCTCGAGGAGCTACCCCCAGACGCTCGCCTGGCTCCGAGCAGGGCCACTACTCCAAGACATCGCCTTCGTCTTCTGGCTCTGTCCTGGGCTCGGGAGACGCGAGCCAGGCGCCAGGTGCCCGAGTCTCGTCGGCGTCAAAGGCCTCGTCGACCAGAAGCAATGTAAGTAGTGCTAATTTATTTACGGTGGCTGGGGATACGCCAGGGGGGTAAAATGGTTGAAGTGACTGACTGACCGATCGATATTGCAGGCCGACAAGCAGCTCTCGCAGATAGAAAAGAGTGTCACGCATCTCCTGGTAGCGACGAAGCAGCTTCTTGAGATGTTGACGCAGTGGTCGCGAAAACAGGCCAAGGAAACCGAAGTCTCTGATGTATACGTGCGGCTCGGGTACGAATTCAACCTGGCCTGCCGGGCCTTCAGCGCCATTGGTATGGATACCGCTGACCTGGGGCCCGTGCCTGACCTGCTACGCACCATCCTCGAGGATACGCTCAGCCAGGATGCCTCACCCCAGAGCCTCGACCGATACCTGCCCAAGATCCGAGATATCATCATCAACCTCCTCCACGGCCTCAAGAGGAAACAGGCAAAGCTACGGTCTCGACAGGCAAAGGAAGGTAAAGCGTTACCTCCGCGGCAAGGAAGCTCCGGGAGCTTTGAACTCGGTGATGGAGCCCCCCAGCAACAGGGTCTAGAACATTCCTCCTCGACTGCCACACAATCGCCCCAGAAACGGTCCATGGGCAGCCATCGTCAGGTGGGAGGGCCCTACGATGAAGACCAGGTTTCCGTCTCATCTCGTACCAAGTCTCCCTCCCCCTGGCCGGGTGACCGTCCTGCAGGGGCCAGCTTTTCTGAGCGGGAAGCAGGCAGGCAGGAGGCCCAACGGTCCCTCGTCCAGTCGTCAGCCACCACCTCGTCTTCACTGTCGAGCTTCACAATGCAGAACATGCCTGTCGTGCCGCCACATGGCGACCCAGAAACACAGCAGCAGCAGCAGCCCAAACGGCCCGAGTCTCCCTCTTATAACGCAAATAACTTCCCCCACCCACCGCCTCCTCTTCCTCCCACTTCAAAGCAAAACGACGCCATCGGCATGTTACAGAGAAGCGGCGAGCTCGAGAGGCGAGCTTCACGCAGGTTTTCTGCTTATCAGATTCAGAAACACCTTGGCGGCTCACCCAGCGGCATCCCGGTCCTCCCTCCAGCGCAGAACTCGCCCATTCCAAACCGGGGCCAGGATGTGCGTGAGTCCATGAACGCCGTCCGTCTACGAGGGCCCCACTTGCACGACCGCCAACGGTCGAGAAATCGGCTTGCCGGCGCCTCCTTGGATAAAACTGCATCTCCGGCTAGCCACGACGCCGCGGCGGCGCACATTAAGCTAGATCCGAATGCGGCTGAGTCCGTGGCGTCTAGCCCCTTAGCAAGAACACCAACCGATAAGCTTCGATCCCAAAGAGAGTTTGATAGCCCATCTGCTCCAGGCTCATCATTGCCGGGAGGTCTACCACAAATTGCCGAACAGGACTCGTTGTCACCTCCACAAGAGCACAGAAAAGCTGATGGCCATGCTCCAATACCTCGGAGCCACCTAGATAAGCCGCTCCCATCTCCTTCTACACCTCTACAGTCCCACAGACCGGACTATACCCCAGAACACTCCCCGCCCCCAACAAAAGATCTCACCCTGTTTCTACAGTACAAGAGCAAAATAAAGAAGTACGTTCTTCCCGAGGGCTACTCTGGCCTAACCATAGCCCGGCTCCAGCTTGCTTTTATCGAAAAATTTGCATGGAACACCCATAGCAACGGCGCAGACCTGCCCGAGATATATATACAAGATCCCGTCTCTGGTATTCGTCATGAACTCGAAGACCTGCGGGATGTCAAAGATAGATCTGTCCTTGTGCTTAACGTTGAGGTTTTGGACGAAGTTAGAAAGCATTTTGACGAGAGTGTTGGAGGCATTCGAAGCATCGTCGAGAGCGTCAGGGATGTCATTGACGGACATGGCACCTCGATCCAACGCCTTATTGACCGCCAGCAGGAAACCTCAAAGGAGATATCACGGCTTGCTGCTCCTGGTGGCATGTCGGCTGCCCTTCCTGGCTCAAGACCAGCCGCTGGCGGCGCAGGAGGCAAAACTTCCGAGATCCAAGCCCTGCGTGACGACCTTGCCTCCCTCCGCCAGACATATTCGACATTCTCGTCGGATATCACCTCGTCCATGGCAAATATCCGAGCCAAGGCAAAACAGGTCAAGTCTGCGGCTGTAGATGCAGTCGTTCCCTCGTTCGAAGGTGGCTCTGGCGCCGGCCACGCACGTGTCCAGGCGGGCAAGAAAGAACTCGCTGATGAATCAGAGAAACTGGTCGCTCGTGTGGATGACCTGCAAGACCTTGTTGAAGACCTACGCAAGGATGTGGTCACTCGTGGAGTCAGACCATTACCACGCCAGCTCGAGGCCGTTGGCCGAGACATCAGCGCGGTGACCAAGGAGCTCAAGAAGATGCAAGACTTCCTGAAACGCGAGAAACCCATCTGGACCAAGATCTGGGAGAAAGAACTCCAACTCGTTTGCGAAGAGCGAGACCAGCTGACTATGCAAGAGGATCTCGCCGTAGATCTAGAAGACGACCTCGAAAAGGCCACGCAGACTTTCGCTCTCGTTGAGCAGGCTACCAAACAACAAGCTCTTGAAAGTTCGGGATCAAACCCCAACAACATTGCTGTGCGCAACGTGTCACGGACTCTTAACCCGAACATCGACCCTGCAGATGCAAAGGACAGCGTGCTCGGTGAAGTTCGTGCTCTTCAACCCAACCACGAATCCCGCCTGGAGGCCATTGAGCGAGCCGAAAAGGCACGCCAGAAAGAACTAGAGAGCCGGCGAGGCGGCGAGTTCCAAAAGGAATTAAGCAATTTCGTGGGCGCTAATAAGCTCAAGAGTACGGGCGGCTTCGAGGAGCTCGAACGAGTCCGTAAGGAGAAAGAAGAGAGCATCCGAAGAGAAGTCTGGGAGCGCATGCAGGGCCTCCTCCCAGCCGAACCAGAGATGATTGCCGCCAACGGCGAAAATGAGGAGCCAGAGCAACTCGAATCCAACTCTGCAGACGACCAACATGCACCGCCCAGCGATGATGTCGAAGAGAAAAATGATGCCCCAGATACTAACGATGATGCTGCCCATGCCGGTGGCAAACGTGACTCTACGGGCAACCAGTCTGATAGACGTTCTTCAGGCCATCGATTATCCGATACACCTGGTATGTCGGATCAAACTGCATAAACAAAGAAAAACAACAACGCAAGACAGTATCTCTCCGTGTGTTCTATATACAGTGCTATGTTCTGATATATTTATTGTACGACTTCAGTTTCATCCGGTAAAAAGCGCTCCTCCTGGCTCACTGCCATCTTCTCCTCCTAAACCATCCTGCACCCTCCACCTATCCACCCATGCATTCACCCTTACGCCCGTTCGTCGCTTGACCTCGCCGCCTCGCCCTTTTGTTAGCCCATAGCATACACCCAGCAAGCGACACACCGCGCCGCCCATTATACCAGGGGTTCTATCATTTCATTGGATTCCTCTTTTTTCTTTCCATTTTACTTTAGTCTTTTCTAGCTTTCTCTTTAGTCCGATGATTGATCCACTCACTCATCAAACTACACCTATTCCCTGCCCCATTTCCATTTGGTCTCCCTTCTTTCACTGCTACCGACTGACTATATATGGTCTACCTACCCATTCCTCGCATGTCTATTATTTTGTACGTGTTACCTTTACGAGACGATTCTGTTCCCCATGTCCGATACCCAATTTCATTGTTTACCGTTTGCTCTCTTCATTTTATACTTGCTTCGTCGATACATCTTGCTTTGTTTTGGAAATTCTGGCTTGGTTAAATAATTTTTTTCGTATTGGCCACCGCGAAGGGGGAATCGATCGATCCACTCTCCTTGTTTATTCAACTTTGGCTTCTTTTCTGGATGTACATTTGTTCACCTTCTGTAGAAATTGCTGTCATTCACATAATCTTTAACTCTTCACTTTTGGGTGAAAGAATGTAAATATTGAGATTGGTCTGACGTCACTCAATCTAGCTACCGAAGCTCTCAATTTTAGTTGGGCTTCGTCTTTTCAGGGATCCTAAACATGGGTCAATCCGTCTCCGCACGGCTGTTTCATCAAAACGTCCACGGCGAATAAAAGAGCCCCTTTGAGCTTGTGGACGAGCCAAATAAATAATATAATTAAAAGCTGGACCTTGGTGGCGTTTTTCTGTTTGTTTCCCCTACATCCTTTTTTCGCCGAGCTGGGGACGAAACCATGCACCGCGGCCGATTTGCGGTGTACAGCTGAATTAAAACACATTTGCGCACACAAGATGCAGCAGAGAAGCAGCTGCGTAACACAACAAAGACGGAGATGTTCATCGATACTAGGCCATATGTTTGATATATCTCGTCTCTTGGTTATTTTTGTTCTTTTGGTTTGTTTCCCTCCAGTGCAAGCGGTGGCTGGGAACAGCCTTGATGGCCGGGATTTCACCAGCAACAACAGCTCAGCCGCAAATGGAGTGATACCAGCAAAATGTGACCATGGCGAAGGAGAATACCCATTTCTAGTGCGGAAGATGTCGGATGATCCTGGACAGAAGTTCTTTGGTCATTACTGGAGTCTCGATAGCATTGTTTCTTCTGGTGAAGATGCAGAACGTCCCAGAGACAAAATTTCGCTAAATGCTCGATCACCGCTTCTCTTACATTCTTACCCGCTACCAGTGGCTGGCCGGTCTGTTCTCGGAAAGCGAGGCTTCGAGTGCCCGGCCGGAAGTGCACCATGTACATCCATAAATCGTCCAAAGAGCTGCTGCCAGACGGGGGACGTCTGCCTAATCGTAAAAGACACCGGGTTAGGCGACGTCGGTTGCTGTCCAAGAGGTCAGGACTGTTCAGGTCAACTCATCTCTTGTCCTAAAGGATATACCACCTGTCCGGCCAACTTAGGTGGTGGCTGCTGTACGCCAGGATATACATGTGTCGCTGAAGGCTGTCTGCTAGTCACGACTACTACGGTGATAATTACACTACCATCATCAACTATAACAACGGTATCGACTATCAGCCATACGACTATTGCACCACCGCCTCCACCTCCATCGACAACCGAAACAGCGCCTACAGTTTTACCGCCTGGCCGTCCTACTTCGAACCCATCAACTTCTACTGCCAGCATCCCGGATCTGTGCCCTATTGGATTTTATGCCTGCAGCGCCGTATATGGCGGTGGATGTTGCCAAACAGGACGAAATTGCGAAACAACCTCCTGTCCAGTCACCGCATCTTTGACCACAGTGGAAAGCAATGGAGTCACTGTTGTGATTCCTGTAAACACTACCCCCAACTCAGCATCTGCTACGGCTACCAGGAGATGTGCAGATGGATGGATGAGCTGTCCACCAAATGATGGGGGAGGGTGTTGCCCGAATGGATATCAATGCGGAGAAGTTAGTTGCACTGCCTCTGCTACTAACATCGGTACCGCAGTGATTGGTAAAGCGCAGCCAGGCAATTCTGGCAGTCGATTTTCGCCAACAATATATACATGGATGATAAGCTTGATTATATGCGTCCTTTTGTTATGAGAGGGCATCTAAACAAGGATTTGCGATAAGAGATGATATCTGCTTCCACTTTTACTTGGCTAATCTTTGCAGTTGGTCTTTTTGCACTCATTCTTCTTCAAAGTTACGTTTATACGAATGTATGTCTAATGCTTCCATGGCGAGAATGACGATAGAGTATATAAATTGATAAGAATAGAAATGACATATCCGAAGTAACAAGTAAAAAAGAGATAACAACGCTGTCTAGGGCGTATCTTCTATCAAATCTATAGTAGCCGCCCCAATTCTATGACAAGTGATTGTATATCGTGAAGATTCTAGATATCCTCAGATGCTCCACCGCAAACAAAAAAAAAAACATCGAACTTGAACACAACCGCAGGCCCATAATAAGTAAGGTATATCAACCAAGAGGGGAGAAAAGAAATACTAGGTATATCGAAGCCGTAGCTTTTGCAAGAAAATTAAAGCTTGCTTTTCTCATTCTTCACCAAGGTGTTGCTCATTGGGTAAGGATCGAAGGTTAGCTCGTTAAGAGGGTTCTCTTCACTTGCGCGGCGGAACAGATCCTCGTAAACCTTTCCGTCAAATCTGCCGAGGGAGCTATCAAGCTGCCAGTCAGGGAACTTCCACGAATCAACGAGGCGGACGGCATGAGGACGGATTTCGTCGAGCAGCCTCATGACAGCCTTAGTGCGGGTAAGGATAATCTGTCTTGTGGTGACGGCTCCGGAGGTGAAGAAGTCAGCCGATTCACGCTCGAGGGTATGTAGGGAGTGAAGACGGAAGAGTTTTCGAAGGATGTCCAATGTTGGCTCGTCAATTCCTAGGGAGGCAGCAACCTCGGCAGAAGAGCCAGATGGGAAGACAGCTTCGTAGAAGTTCTTGACAACAAGGTACTGAGAGTGAGCGGTGGAGAGTCTCCAGAAGTCAACAAGGAGGCTGTTCCAGGATCGCTTCTCGACGTCACGGTGCTTAAGGGCCTCGAAGGTCAGGTAGGCTGCTCTCCAGGCGAATGCGGCGACAATGTCAGCGTCGTTTTCGAGAATGTCGAAAGCGGCACCGGTCTCGCGGCGTGAGAGATAGGATTGAAGGATAGCACAGGTATCGTTGTTGGCTGGTTTGCCGACAAAGACGGATCGGGCAGATTTAAGGAGCTATGTATATGTTAGCTATTGGAACCCTGCTGAGGAGGATATAAAGAAACTCACATAGCGGGCAACCTGCTGGGTCAGCATGTAGTTGTCACCTTCCCAGGTAGTGTTGGGCAAGTAGTCAGAGTACCAGGGTCCAATGCCGCTATGGCTGCTGTATCCATGACCACCACATGCACGACGGCAAACTTCCAAACCTTCAGCAGCAATGGTGCTTGCTAGGGCCTTAAGACCACAAGAAGTAGCATGGAGATCGGCCAAGAGATCGGCACCAGGGTTCAGCTCCTCGGGACCAGCGCCCCTGCCGCTTGCCTGGTTGCTGGCAGACTTCTTCATGATGGCCTGGTTGTGATTGTATAGTGCCATCATGCCACGGCCGCTAAAGTGTAGGGCGAAGGTGGCGGCCAACAAGGGGAACAGGCGAATCTGTACCATCTTGTAGTCGAGGACCTGGTTCTCGCCAGGTGCGTTTGCAGGAGCATCACGGTCCTGGAACTGTCTTCGGACAGCGCAGTATCTAGTAGCAATGGTAACACCGCGGGCAAGGACACCGCCAGATTGAAGGACAATGGTGGATCGGACCCAGGTGAGTGTGCCGTAGATCAGGGATGGGGAGGCAGGTCGAACATATTTGTTGGTATTGGGGTCGACGCCGGAGAAGCGAGCCAACATGTTGATATGGGGGATCTTGACTTTGTTGAAGAGCAGGAATCCATTGTCCATGGTGCTAAGGGATGTCAGCCAACCAGAACCTCCAGTAGGAGGAAAGCAGAGTATACTCACTTGTAGCCGAACTTAGGGCCAATGTCACCAACGTGGACGTTCTCAAGTGGCTCATGAGTCTTGAGATCTCGAATCTGAACCACGAATGGATGAGGTCCATAGTTCTTCCCGTTGATATAAAGCTGGGCCATGACAACTGCATGGTTGGCAGTTCTTCCAAGTGAACCAATCCACCACTTCGCCGCAGTCAGGGACGGGGAGTGAATAGTGAAGGTCTTGTCCTCTGGATTCCAGGTAGCAGTGGTCTCGAGGCCTCTGACGTTTGAGCCATGGGCAAGCTCAGTCTGAGCGTAGCATCCAATGATTTCATATCTCTCAGCTGGCTCCAAGAAGAGCTTGTGCTGCTCCGGAGTGCCTTGATTTCGGAGGGTAACCTAAACATCCGGTTAGAAAAGCGCAATTGGCAATAGATATGCAAATAGGGGGGCCAATTGATCTCCTCTTACCAGGAACATGGATGCATGGAGGCCGTATGGAGTTGGTTCACTGATCAGGTTGTTGGCCATGATAAAGTCATCCTCGGACCAGTTATGCTGCCTCTTCAGCTGCTCTAGACGTTTTGCCCGTGCAAGCGCTTTCTTGACCCGTTCAACTCGTCCAAGAGAGTGGTTCTGGGACTTATCAAAGACTTCTTCATGCTGGATGAGGGAAAGGATACGGTCCTGTCTCTCAAGCACTTCTTTGGTATGCAGCAGCTCTGCCAGCTTATCAACGGAGATATTGGACTGACCTCTCTCATGCTTGAGGAGTTCCGAGCCCTGAGGGCCAGCTGGGGTCAGCTTTTTCACCCAGTCCGGAGAAGAGACCATGGTGATAATATATATAAAAAGGAGTTCGGACAACAATTAGAGCGAAGCAAGGGAACGGACAAAAGCTGGGGAGCTGGGGAACAAAAAGGAAGAAACTGGGGGAGGAGGGAGCGAGGGAGAGAGGACCCAGATATAAGAACCAGAAGACAAGAGACGAGCAACGCCTTTTGATCACAAGATGCCGGCTCCTCTTCTGCGTCTCCTGGGCGAATCTTTGGGATTTCACGATAAGCGGAAGCTCCAGGAAGACGAAAAAAAGATGCCGAGGTAGAAATTTGCTTAGCTAAGCATAAGCGCCCCCCTATTTTTCTTTTTCTCCGGCGACGAGCGAAGCCTTAACACGCCTGCAGGGGACGGACGCAAGGAAAAGACCATCCGGCGAGGTTTTAGGCGCTGGAAGTCTCTAGCGCAGTGCTTCTTCATCACGAGCTTCTTCCCTGCACCGAGCTTCGCATGCATGACGTTAACGGTTCGGAGATCCGTCGGGTGGTCTGCGTCTTTATACGGAGCGGCGAGCAGTCGGTGGTCCTACTCTACCAGTGGAAGCATATGTACAGGATGCATGGGAATATGGAATGGCCTGTAGCGTAACTAGAATACTCACAATTGATCTTTCATGCATCATTTCTGCTGTTGTTATTGCCGTTGCTGCTGCTCGCCGGCGTCTCGGGTTAACGATCTGATATCGGCTCACCTTCCGCATCAAAGCTGGCAGGCCTCGCTTTACCTTCCCTGCAAGCATCTTCCGGATAAACTATATCCCTTCATTATTAGGTAAGCTGTCGCCAAGCCAACACGCCAAAAGGGGAAAAGCGCAAAAATACGACAACGTCCAACAAGTCATTTTGATATTTCGTTGTTTTGCCTGCTATCATCAACTTTCGGTCCGCAAGCAAGCCGGCGTCCCAGCGATATCTCAGCCTTTCCTCCTCGTGGATGGTCTCTTAAAGGCTGCCCTGTTTCAAGACCGTACCGGCTCTCTACCTGGCATCCGTCAATTGGGGCCGAACCGGGACAAAAAATCGGCGTCAAAAAACCGACCTCATCTAAACTAGCTGCTCCCCGCTACTGGCTGCTCACCCCGTCCAGCCCTGATTGCAGCCCATTGCATCGCATTTAGATCCTATACCCGGCACTCTACGGACACTTGAAGACAACGACAATGTCAGCGCGCGCTCTCTCCCTCCCCGTCCGCTCGCGGTGCCTGCTCCGTACTCCACAACATGCTCGGTTCTCAACCCGGACATCACTGCTCGGTGCCGGAGGCCACTATGATCCACCAACCGGATGGCTCTTTGGCGTCAAGCCAGGTCACAAATACGTCAAGGAAGGCTGGGAGACTATCTTCTACTATGGTTTCTTTGGAAGCTTCCTCGTTGCCGGCATTGCCTACGTCTTCAAGCCAGACACCTCGTATGTTAATCTACATATATTCCTTATTTAGCCGGCATTACTAACACCAATTGATTATCAGGATACAAACATGGGCTCTGGAAGAGGCACGAAGAAGACTCGAAAAAGAAGGTATCTTGGAGGACCCCGACAAAGTCCAGAAACAATGATTCCCTCCCTCTAAACCGGATATGAATCTGCCCAGCTTCTAGATATTGGTTGATTGATTGTTGTTGTTGTTGCTGCGACTGCTCTTGTTGTATATATGCCTGTTTCTTCTTTGCCCTGGAGGATAATGGAATTTGCGGGTCGTTTGTCGGCACAAAGTTGGTTGGGACCGAAACGGTCGGAAGCAAAAAAAGGCCTCGAGGAAAATACGGTACACCAGATGATGGCTTCAAGAGTTTAGAACAGAACTAGATGCCCCCTTCCCATCCTTTTTTACTTACCTACTTTCCATTATCTTTCGGTTTCTCCTGTACTGGGAAATACTACCCTATCTTATTACCCTTTCTTCTGCCGGGAACCGAACATCCACGTTATCTTCTCTAATGTTTTGATACTTCCTCCTTATATAAACAGGCTAATGGGAGCCACTCTACTCGCATAGCTAGAGTTAGCTGTCCGTTAACACACTTGAACGTCTTTGATTATCCCTCTGCACCCGATAAGTGACAGCAATATTCAAGTTCCCCGTGATTGGCTGGCCTGGCCTGAGCCGTAACACGTGATCTACGATAACAAAAATTAGCTATCAACTATCTCAAAGCTCTTTTGGCTGGCATTTTCATTAGTTAATTGAAAGACGTGGATTGTCACCACAGAGCGGGAGACAACCTGTTTCTACATACCCACCGTATCCAATCCCTTGCGACAGTCCGGCGTGGTTATACTAGGTAGTTATTTGCCCAGGAGCAAAATTTATGCCACTTGTTAACTCTCGATATCAGAGACTTCCTATCTACACATCCAATATGAAGAGTCTACGGAGAAACAACTCCTCAAACCCTCATGCCTCGAATGTCTCCAGCAAAATATTTGTGCGTTCCACAAAGAGTGGCAAGGTCCAGAAAATAGTGCGGGAGCTCTACCCTAGACAAGATATTCCATGCTCCTCAAAATTATGCACCGCATGTCTTTCATATGCGCCGACAGATGCCAATGGCTTTGGTAGGATTCTCTTATCACCCGCGCTTATAGCAGATTTGCTGACTGATTTTTCGTCCTAGTCACACCTTTCGTTCTCTCAGAGAGGCCTGCTGGTACAAAGCGGTTTCCAAAGGGCCATTACTTGATTCCTGACACGAATGCTCTACTTAATGCAATGGATCTTTTTGAACAGACAAGTGCCTTTTATGATGTTATCATTTTGCAGACCGTGCTAGAGGAGCTCAAGAACCAGTCTCTACCTTTATACAACCGGCTAATATCTCTGATAAGGAGCGAAGAGAAACGATACTACCTGTTTTTTAACGAATTCCGACTGGAAACCCATGTCAGAAGAGGTGCGGATGAGAGTATAAATGACCGCAATGATCGAGCTGTGAGAACAGCTGCAAAGTGGTACACAGAGCATCTCCAGGCGGTCACAAGGAGCAGCCAGAAAGAACAAAGTGCCCCTGCCATCGTAGTGATTACAGATGACAAGGGAAACCGTTCCAAGGCAGATGAAGAGGGTGTAGTTGCCCTGTCCTTGACAGAATATATATCCGGGCTTGAAGATGCAGACAGACTACTGGACATGGTCAATGAGTCAAAATCGGCTCATGATGCTAAGCCAAAGAAGGGAGAGATGTTATACTCTGCCTATTATTCTATGTCAAAGATAATGACACTGATAAGAGCTGGTACTTTGCACCAGGGGATATTCAATGTCTCTCCCTACAACTATCTAGAGGGAAGCGTGAATGTCCCTGCTTTTGAGAAATCACTCCTTATTCTAGGAAGAGATAACAGCAACAGGGCGATTTCTGGAGATATTGTTGTTGTTGAGGTACTGCCCAAGGATCAGTGGAAAACACCCTCCTCTAAAATCATTGATGAGGAAGCTTTAACAAAAGATGATAATCCCGAAGCTGAAGAAAACGAGGCTGTAGTGACAGAGCGTGAGAGGAAAGCTCTACAGGAGGAGGTCCGGAAAGCTCATGGGACAGGAACTGAAAGCCGCCCGCAGCCAACCGCGAAGGTGGTCGGTATTATCAAGAGAAACTGGCGACAATACGTTGGGCACATTGATGGGTCATCTACCTCGCAAGCTTCGTCGGCCGGTCGACGCCAACAGACTGTCTTCGTGATTCCCATGGACAAACGAGTGCCTAAGATAAGAATACGAACTCGACAAGCAAACGAGCTTATGGGGCAGAGAATACTGATCACAATAGATGCCTGGGATAGGGATTCTCGATATCCCGTGGGTCACTTCGTGCGATCCCTGGGAGAGGTAGAAACCAAGGGCGCTGAGACCGAGGCACTTTTGTTGGAGTATGATGTGCAATACAGACCGTTTCCTCAGACAGTGCTGGATTGTCTACCGCCGGAGGGCCATGATTGGAAGGTTCCGAAGGACATGTCAGACCCTGGATGGAATGACAGGAAAGACTTGAGGGATTTACTTGTTTGCAGTATTGACCCGCCCGGTTGTCAGGATATTGATGATGCACTTCACTCCCGGCCGTTACCAAATGGTAACTTTGAAGTCGGTGTTCATATCGCAGACGTCTCCAACTTTGTGCGGCCAAATAATGCCATGGATACAGAAGCTAGCATGCGAGGAACAACGGTCTATCTGGTAGACAAGCGAATAGACATGCTTCCAATGCTACTTGGAACCGATCTCTGCTCTCTTAAGCCCCACGTTGAACGTTACGCATTTTCCGTGTTGTGGGAAATAACTCCCGACGCAGAGGTTGTGTCTTCGAGTTTTACCAAGTCCGTTATCTTTTCTCGCGAGGCATTCAGTTATGAACAGGCTCAATTGCGTATTGATGATCAGTCGAAAACAGACGACCTAACAGCAAGCATGCGTACCCTCCTCCGGCTGTCTAAGTTGCTTCGGCAGAAGAGAATGGACGCGGGAGCACTAAACCTTGCCTCCCCAGAGGTCCGCATTGAAACAGACTCGGAACTCTCTGATCCTGTTGCAGATGTCAAGACAAAGGCTCTTTTAGATACGAACAGCCTCGTTGAAGAGTTCATGCTTCTCGCCAATATCTCAGTAGCTGCCAGGATCTATGAATCGTTCCCTCAGACGGCCCTTCTGCGAAGACATGCTACACCGCCGCCTTCAAACTTTGAGGAGCTAATAACCCAGCTTTCGAAAAAGCGCAATCTGACACTCGATGTGTCTAGCTCACTAGCTCTAGCTAATTCCCTAGACAAATGCGTTGACGAGAGAAATCCTTTTTTCAACACTCTCATTCGTATCTTAGCTACGCGATGCATGACTTCCGCAGAATATTTCTGCGCCGGGGCACATTCAGAATCCGAATTCAGACATTATGGACTTGCTTCGCCAATATATACCCATTTCACGTCGCCTATTCGACGATATGCTGATCTTGTTGTTCATCGACAGCTGGCTGCCGCCATCGGCTATGAAGGACCAGGAGCTTCTGCTGGCGAAGGACTGACTACTCGAAGTAAGCTAGAAGATATTTGCAAGAATATCAACCATAGGCATAGAAATGCCCAGTTTGCCGGCCGAGCCAGTATAGAATATTATGTTGGCCAAGCGTTAAAGGCCAGGGGTGAGATGGAAGCCAAACGTCTCGGCTCTGAAGTCGCTCCAGGTGTAGATGAAGAAGGCTACGTGATGCGTGTGTTTGATAACGGCGTTGTTGTCTTCATTCCACGGTTTGGCATCGAAGGTGTTGTCCGGCTAGAAGATTTCGTTTTGGATGGGCAGCAAGCAAGGGTCTTTGATCCGAGTGCAAGCAAGCAGCTTGCTGCCAGGAGAGAGAGCGAGTTCGACAATGAGCAATACTCCCTTAAGGTTTGGGAGAAAGAAGGGGATGAGGGAGATGAAGGGAACAAGTCGGCGCCAACATCAAAGAGTATGGTTGTTGAATTATTTGATAAAGTCAAGGTTAATGTTAGTTCCGTCAAGGAAGAAAAGGGACGCGGAGCAGGCAAAAGGAGGGTGCGGGTGTTAATTCTAGAGAAGGCATGATATATTTTTGTAAGTGTATCATGCATCATATTACTCCGCCAATTTACTACGACTGATGCATCTAAATCATTAGCCATTAACTTAGTTATTCATAATGGCATTAAATGTACTTTGTCATCAAAAATTAGAATAGATAAACGCCCAAGCCACTCGATTCACAAAAGCCTTGCACTGAAAAACAACCAGTATCCCATATGTAGTGGACCTCTTTTTTTTCCCTTTTTAATTTAGACCAGTTTCCAAGCCACCATTCGCCGAGTCAGTGGTAGAGGTGACCAAACTTTCACGTCTGCGCCAGTAGGCGGACAGTTAGCGTCATCAGGACGGCTGATCACTCGTTCAACCGTTGCACAGCCAGTGAGGGGATCACCCATTGTAGCAGTAGGGATTGTTGTGAGAATCGGACTAGATACCACGGTTGCAGGGGTATTGACGGCTGCCGCCCTTTCGATCCTCTCGTTATCACCGATTTTCCAGCCGCGGACGACCAACAAGAACAGCCCAGCAACAACATATACGAGCCCAGCAAAGACCTGCGCATATAGATATGAACCTGTCGAGCCCGACCCTGTCCTAAGAACAAGAGCAATGGGTTCAGCCACAGTGGTTGCAGGCACCATAGCTACCCAGGTGATACTTAGACCCCCTGGGAGTTCTTGCATACCAACTACTTCTGCACAGACTGGAACGATGGTTGTCCAAAAGGTGCCGGCCACAGTGCCTACTATGACGGCAAAGAAGGAGAGCACACCCATGTTCGACGACGGTATCCAGACAGCTAGACAGAGAAAACCGCAGAAGACGGTGAACAAGACAGCCATATTAAACCGTCCGTATCTGTCACTGACAAGTCCGACAACAGGCCGCCCAAGGGCTTGACCAAGATTAAGTAGAGCACCAGCAATGCTGCCTTGCTTCTGGGAGAGGCCAATTGAAAGAGCAAAGTTGGGTAAACTGAAAAGAATGACAACATATCCCAGTAGTGAAAGCATACCCCATGCCTGGAGGAAAAGAAATTCTGGTCGTTTAAGCAGTGGGAAGTGAAAGGCACGGTATTTGCTGCCGATCGCTTTGTTCCGGTCCCGCATCAGGTTGGAGGCGACCAAGTTTATGGCAAACGAACATAGCCCCAAGACACGAAAGGTCCATCCCAACCCAACTTTAGGAATTAGTGAGCCCGCAGCCAGGGAATATGAAAGTCCTCCTATACCAGAGCCAGCAGCTGCGAGCGAATTGGCAATGCTTCGTTTGCGCCGGAACCACTGGGGTATTATGCTCACTGATGAGACGAAAATAACACCAATTCCAAAACCAAAGCATACACCTTGCGAGAGAAATATGTGCCATTTCTGTGTTGCGAAGGACGCTCCGATGAAAGAGAGCGTCTGGAGAATGACGCCAAAGTTAAGGACTGCTCGGTTGCCATATAAATGTACCATATGGGTGACCAAGGGAGAGATAAGAAGGCAGCATGACATGCTCAAGCCGCCGGTGAACGCATATTCAATTGGGCTTGTATTTGGGAATATATCATTTTCTAGATAATATGAGAGAAAGACACCGTAGGACTGCGTATAAATTAGTATAGCACACCTCTTGGTGGATATAAAACGAATAAAGGAGCTTACACTATTCACGCCCCAGGTGTTGGCGTTGATGAGACAAGCGCAAACAACACAAATCCAGCCATATCCTCCTTCTGGGGGGATATCTTCTGCTCCTTTATCGCTTAAGTCTCCATCCGACCTGGTGATAGAATCGCAACCTGGCCCTTTCTCGCCTCGCTGAGTTGTTCCATCTTCTATCTGATGTGTAGCTTTCCCGCTGTTATGATGTACTTCTGAATCTCTTCCCATATTTGAGCAAATGGGAAGTAACAAGAGCTTTGGAATAACTAAGCAACCCTATTAGCCGAGGAGCCTTGATCCAGGCAGAGTTCTCTCTCTCTCTCTCTCTCTCTCAGCTCGTCTTTAAGGCAGAGGCAAGAAGCTGCTGATGTATAACTGATTGTCTGAACGGGCACAAGGCCATTTCCGAAATGCAGCTATCTCCTCAGTATAAAAAGCAGCCATATCTTGTCTATTACTCGCGCCGGAATGACTGTCCGGCAATGGCAGAGCACGAAAAACGGCTGTTCAGTGCCGTCTAAGCGGAACTGTGGGGGCAGTTATCGTATTCATCCTGCTGACTGGCCGAGCGAGTTGTTGAAGCTGATTAACACATTTGAGGGGTTCGAGTTGGCTAGACTGAACTTGCCCTACATTGCCAGAATGGAATTATTGTCACTGTCATTCTAGTGATTACCATAAGGTGTTGCTTGAGCGTCAATCGCCGGTAACAAGTAGTTGGTGTTCCGTCATTCTTTGATGGATGCTGGAAGTATTTCTAGATTGAGGGGAACGGTTTGGACGCCACAACCCCTGGCAATTGGTCTGCTTGATGAACCAACCGGTCGTTTCATGCCACTACTAATAATCTTTTTTTTTTTTTTTTTTTTTTTTTCGGTTCCAAACACCGATAAAACAAAGCTGTGCACGTACTCCGTATAGTCTGTGTCTTCAGTAACTATCAGGTTCCCGAGGCCGAGATTTCCTGTTGGTCCTCAGACGGTAAATTAACGATAATGGGTTTAGGGCCCGGAGGGTGTGAGCGCCTTCGGTTGCTTTTTCGTTTTTCGTCCTGGTCTCGAATCAATAACAAAAGGTGGTGCACTTGAATAACTAACTAGCATATTAGAATCTTACTGGCTGCGAATCTCAGCTAGTCCCAGCCTCGCGGGATCAAGAGTATCATGACCATTAGTTGCCAAACAAATTGGGAGGATACCTAGCTCCGTAATACCATGTGGCATTGTGCCATCTGTAGTACATGGGACAGCTGCAGATGGTGTGGCATTTGTTGTCAATAATGATTGGTCAGAAGCCAAGTATCGTATAATTGGGTTGTTGACATTTCGTTCAATTGCTAGAGTGAGGCCATATATCGTAGTTACCTTCTAGCTCATATGCCTTGCAATGATCCTAAAACCTGCACAAGATACAAAAACAAGCAGGCCTGTATAGACTTAACTGGGGTCTCTGAGGGCTGTGTCAGAACCATCTTGACGAGCAAGCCTGTAGAACTTGGTGGGAAACCCGACTTCGTGGGGGTACCATCATAACACATGGGCATTGGTGACATTTTTACTGATGTTTCAATAACACAAGGGGATTGCCTCAATTCTACTGAGATGGTCAGCCATAATCACCACGGTCTAGACACTCGCGATAGAGCGCAGTAAACAAACCCTTCAACATCATAGAATTCTGCCTTGTCACACGCAGAATCCGCAAAGGAACCACTCCCAGGACGCTACTATCAAAGGCAAACGCCACTACTCGCAGCCGGCCACCAGTCGTGGTCTCGCGATGCAGCCGTAGACGCATCGAAGCATCGCCGAAGTCGCAGCAGAATGAAGACGCGAAGTCGAAACTAGAATTTAAGCTCATGCGGCGGCCTCGGCTCAAACCGCGCTTAGTCAGCGATGTGTTGTCCGCGCAACCGGCTGACTTGGCGGTTGTTGATACGCCGAAATGAAAACAAGCCAGACCTCGCGCTTATGAAAAGGTGAGGCGAGGCGCCCCCAGAGAGCTAGTGCAACAAACCGACTCCGTACGGCCTGGAATACAACTTGCCACTGGGTGTACTACCTTGATCTGCGTCCTCTCCTTATCTCTGCCTATCTTCTCGCAATATAAACAGGGCACACGGGCTGCTCGATGCTGGTACGCCCGGCTTTGTCTGCTTCTGCACGACTACGATACGATTAGCTACGATAGCTGAACAATGCACGGAGTCAAGCTAAAGAGCAGCCCCAGAAAGGTCTCTCCTCCGGGGCCTACGTTTATGAATGATGAGGAGCTAGGTAGGTGGCATTTGGTGGCCCTTCCATCAGCCTGGTATTGATGTAAACATATAGGGAATTACTTGCGAGATCTTCGAACAGCACGTCCACCACGCCCGAATGGCTCACGGCCACTTCCATCAAAGGCATCCGGCCCGGCAGCTTCCCTCAGCTTGAAGGACACGCCGGCAAGACCAGCGTCTTCGTTCTCCACTCGGCCATCTGATAATGTGCATTCTCGGTCAAGCTCTAAGGACATAATTCCCCGTTCTTCCAGTGCTCTCTCTCATCGGCGGACAACCTCAGAGGTGTCCACACCTACCAGCAGTTCCAGTGGGACGCCGACAATCCCCGAATGCGAAGTGTTTAACGGTTCAAGAAATGTGTCTCACTGTGGGAGCAGCCTGTCATCGGCAACCTCAACTGCAATACCGTACATTGAACGTGGCCAGAGATGGATGGAAAGACAAGAAGTTCGATCTCTACGTTCGGCATTAGAAGAGATGGATGTTCAGGATGACGAGAGCAGATTGTTCGAGGCAGCTCAAGAGGAGGCAACTGAGCTTGTTTTGGAGCATCAGACCCATGGGTTTAAACAAAAGGACACTCATTCAGCGTACAGAAACCCCGACCTGAAGACCGTAAGCAGGCTACGGCAACATCTAGAGAAAGGTAGCCACGCGAGGACCTCCAGTATCGGACGCGGAGGGGAAACTCCTCGGAGCCAATCCATAACTGACAGTATCCGATCATCCTCTGAGAGTTCGAACGAAAGTCCTCCAACATCCGACAAAACATCTGATGGAATAGCACGACCACTGCGGAGGGTCAACTTTGCCTTACCGAAAGCGGGCGCTGATAAAAATAAAGAAGATAATCAAAGCCGAAGGAGATCTGTTAGTGGTGGTTCTTCAAAGGGAATATTCAGGAATCCCGAAGATTCAATTTATGAAGAGCCAGAAGAGAGCAGTACCCAGGAAGAGCCCACCACAGCTCAGAATACCGCTCCAACCTCTGCCCTAACCACGAAACCTCACAACTCTGTCCTTCGGGGAGCTCGCCCATTTCCAAACAGATGGAGTGGTTCATCAACCGGCGGCAAGCTGAATCGATTTGACATACACAAGAATCCTCCGTCTCAGACCAGGAACCCCCTTTACACTACAAATACTTGTACTCCACGTGAACAGACACCAGAGCCAGAGAATAAACAAAGCACTCCGACTAAAAATGGGATCGAAATTCGTGACGATGAAATTCGTGCCGCCACAAGCATGAAGTTGAAGGATCGAAGCACAAAACTTCCCATGCCCTCAGCAGTCAGTGATAGACCAGGCCGCCCAATTGTTAGTTTTGACCCCAATTGGAAAGAGCCAGCGCAGGACGAGCCTGTTGGACCACCTGGCAGTGGACATGATGCTTCAACGCAATCCACAGGCTCCAGTGTCACTCCTGCTCCGGTTCCCATACCGGAAGTCAATGTCAGTGCTCCGACAGTCCCCAGTATTAGTATTGAGAATGAAGGTCCAATGGGACCTGAGATTCGGATCTCGCCATTAGGCCCTACTATATCTGAAATGGAGCAGGCGAGTCAAGTGCAACAAAAACGAGAGCTACCCAACCCCGGGCATCGTCAGTCTAATAACCGCCCGGGCTCAAGAGGAATCGAAAGATACCAGTCCCTTTCCAAGGCTGGGATACCGACAGCAAGTTGCGTTGTTTGTGGTCTATCAATATCTGGACGTGTGGTCACCGCAAGCTCTTACCGGCTTCACCCAGAGTGTTTCAACTGCTTTCACTGCCGCACTCCCCTCGAGTGTGTCGCATTTTACCCAGAACCAGAGGAGAAGCGCCGAGAGCGGCTGTCACAGCCTGACCTTCATCAAGATTTAGGACCAGATGAACCACGTTTCTACTGCCACCTAGACTTCCACGAACTGTTCAGTCCACGGTGCAAAAGCTGCAAGACGCCCATTGAGGGTGAGGTCATCGTTGCCTGTGGCTCAACCTGGCATGCCGGCCATTTCTTCTGCGCAGAGTGTGGTGACCCGTTCACTCCTACCACTCCATTTATTGAAAAGGAAGGCTTCGCATGGTGTGTCCGGTGCCATTCACGGCGTACTGCGTCCAAATGTAAAGCCTGTAAGAAGCCAGTATTGGATGACGTAGTCGTCTCTGCACTTGGTGGCCAGTGGCACGATGAGTGTTTCCGATGCGATGAATGCAAGGGGTCGTTTGGGCCAGATGGACGTTTCTTTGTGAGACAGGGTAAGCCCAAGGTAAATGCCAGGGGAAGGCAGATAGGTGGCCCGGTTGAACTACCAATCTGCGAGCCGTGTGAGTCAAGACGTTTGAAGGCGTAAGTTTCGCATTGCAGCCATTTTTGCATATCCCCCCAGTTTGGTTTGATTTCTTTTCTTGTCCTTTCTTTTGTCTCTTTTGGGGAATGACTATTCATTGAAAATTGTATTTTGGTTTGATCCATAGCGTAGCAGAGTAGGCGATAACTTGACAGAAATATCATTATTTTTTGGGGCTTTTTATCACTTGCGTCGGTGTAGTGGGATGGAATGCGGGTTAGGACGGCCACTCCGGCTCAGCCTTCCTCCTCCAAACTGCCACAAATTTCTGCCCATTATTTCTTGTCACTTTCTTGCCTTCTTCTGTCTCCTCCCGCATCACTCGAACACAGTCATCCGCCGCAAGTTCCTCGTCACTCACACGTTCCCATAACTCAGCAATATCATGGGAGTTGAGATCGTTATCTGCAGGTTTCGCATCAAAATGCGAAACCATCCATAGATGCAAATCCTCCACATCTGTAATTGTGTATAGCATCCCTCCAGGCCGTAGTACATATGCATATTCAGCATTAAGTGTCGTCGAAACAATCCTTGCCTTGTGTTTCCTCGCCTTGAAGTGCGGGTCAGGAAAACAAATGAATATCTTTGAGAGCTGATGGCGGAAGAAGAAATTTGGCAGAAATTTCATTGTATTCGAGCGGACGGCAGATATATTTTGGAAATTCGGCTGCTCTGGAACATTCGGTTGGGTAGAAGGTAAGGATACTTCTCCGAGAGTGTTTTCTGGTTCCGAAGCAGCGTCCATTGTGGCATCAGGTGCTGCGGGGCGAGGATGTCTTGAACGAAGCGCCCTTATTCGCTCTGTCACATATTCGAGGACGGAAGAACGGATCTCCATGCCTAACAATGGTTAACCAAGCTGCTTGATGGCAGAGTCAAGGGGTTGAAAATGAAGCATACCAACCATCAGGGTGTCGGGCATTAGTGGCGCCAGCGCTACCAATAGCCCTCCAAAACCGCAGCCAATATCAGCGACTTCCACGTTTTTAACCAGCTTCCTGGCTCCCGAAATATTGACGGCGGTTGGGTCAGGGTCAACGTATGCGGGAAACATTTTGGACCAATCCATATGGTCCGGACTGATTGGACTTGAAACCAGTTAGCATGGCAGCCCGATTTTGAGATAAATAGAGTGAGCAAAAAGGGGGAAATAGAGGACTTCAACAGACATACTAGTCCAGTTGGTGATCTGAGAAAGGATTTGCGTGAGCTCGCTGACGGTAGAGCTTCTTTTTTGGCAGCATTATCTGTCCATTTTCGTCGGTTTTTCCTTCCAATTGTTTCCGTGGCTCCGTACGCTGTTGTTTTCTTTGATCTGGAGCTGCCATTTTGCTGTTTGAATGATGATTGCTGCTGGAGTCGAAGTGTGCGGTTGTTGTTGTTGTTGTTGAGCCGGGGTTTTTTTTTTTTTTTTGCTCTGTTTAGTTAGCTTTCTCGGCCCCACGCGATCTTATCTTATCAGTTCTAAACCTCACTGCAACCAGTGCCTTGCCTCAACCTCATATGACCAGGATAATATATTCTATTTCTTCGAGAAGATGGCAAATAGCAGGAGCACAGATAATGCAGGGAACATGAATAGTAGCCGTACCGACTTTATATTCCCTCGGGACTACTCTTTCCCGCCGTTTTACACTATTCAACCCAACCTCACAACTCGCGAGAAACAGTTCCAGAAATGGTCGTCCTTCATTCAGTCATACTGCAGACACCATCGCATATATCGCCTTTCGCTGATAGACATGATATCCTCGCCTTTATTCCATAATGCGGAGCTGAAGAAGGGCCTGAACCTTGGCGATGCTGTGATTATTCTTGACTGGATGGCTGGCACAGCGGGGGGGAAACGTGCAGAATGGATCGGGAGTGAGAAGACAATAGCTTGGATATGGTGGAAACGGCCTGAGGAATGGGCCACTGTGCTCGCGAGTTGGGTAAGTGAACTGGATACGGTGTGCAAACTCCTGCTAATCATTACATACAGGTTGACGAAACGGCCCAGAAAAATACAGTACTCACTCTCTATGAGCTCATGGAGGGAGAGGCAACCGTTTCCCAGGGTATGTAACTGTCGTTCCTAAATTATACTATGCACTTTTGCCCTTTTTCACTCCGTTATTTACACATTATCTAGAGTTTCATAAGATGGACCCCGAAGTTATGCAAAAATCTCTCCAGGTCCTCGTCAAGCAGGGCAAAGCCCAAGTATTTGGAAGTGAAGACCAACAGGGCGTCAAGTTCTTCTAGGTCAGAGGCAAATACATTAATTGGCAAGCGTCTACGATCGCATCAACCGAAGCAGGTGCTTTGCACTGTGAGCTCCAGGGCAGGTTAGACACTCGATATGTACCGCCTACATGCACTGCCGGTACCTATTTCCTAAGGTTTGCCCTGTTGATTGATTTTTGGATACAAAAAGTATTTAACATGTCTGAGAAGGGGCTTTGGATTGAAGGCTTTGTATACATCGAGCTCTGGATATGTCCCTTACGAGGTATTTTCGTCGGGGTGTTCGTATGAATCTCCATTTCGCCATTCCTGAGATAAAGCAATATCCAACAACCAATCCGAACTGACGACCCTAGGCACGCGTTTGGCATTGCGAGCCATTGTCCGGAACTTGTCCCACAGCTTGACACTGCTCTTGTCAGTTCCACTGATCAGATATACGTCATCCGCTTCAGACTGGTCAGGGCCATCTGCTGCCAAACGCCGGCTACTTATCATTGTTCCTGGGCGCCCTCGATACGGCACGCATTGTCCCCCATTCGCCTCAATTATTGCCTGGAAAGCCTCAATTCCACCATTGACTTTATCTGTGCAGTAAATGGTGTGACCACTTAGCAGTTTTTGCTGGTTTTTCTTTGCTCGCTGCCTTGCTTTTTCTAATGTGAAATTGTACTTTTTCTCAGAGGCTTTGTCTTTGAGGATATAGTCGTTGGGATCTAGGAGTTCTTTTTTCTCAAGGCAGTCTGTAATGAAATTGGAGTTAATAATAACGGGTGCGTGTGCTAGAGCGTTAAGAAATTTCTGGGTTCGTTTGATAGACGGCGCTGCCAAATGAGTGCATCGGGACGGATCGGGGATAACCAAAATTCCTAGATCTCTAAGTTGAGTCTATATGGAAATACCAGTTAGCCATTTAATCATACTACTCAATACTCTTTGGCTGGAAGGTCAGCTTACTCTTTCCGAGTCCTCTATATTAGGCTTCTCAACCCATCTGTTAAAACCCGTAATAACTAAACGGATTGCTATTGGTGGTTTGGACGTCTTTATTCTCTTCGTCTCGATGGCATCTTCTGAACCAGACGCACTGTCGGGTTCAGCGGATCTCTTCTTGGCAGAATCAGGTTCCCCAGCACTCTTCCTTCGGCCTCCATAGATCACACCGCCAACTCGCTTTAACTCCTTTTCATATAAGGATATATCAGGGGCAAGGTTATGCAATTTAGCAGCCGCAATATCCTTTGATTTCCGGCTTCCAGTGGTAGAGGGTGTCTCATTTTCCTTTCCAAGATCGGCAAATCTGGAGGGCACCGGAGTTTGTAGTGGCTTTTCCTTTAGTTTCTTCGTCACCTTTGTAGTACTGTCAGTCTCGGGTCCTGGCATGTCTGGACCTTCATTAATTGCTTTGCGGCCTGATCTTGGTGTCTTGACGTTACTAGAAGATCTATTCAAGGTAGCATTGTTGCCTTTCTGCGGTAGGGTGGACGGCTTCTTTATACTCGGAGCTGGTTCCGGAGGAAAGAAGTGCTCCTCAACGGTGTATCTGTCTATTCGTGTTTGACCTACAACATCACTTAAATTTGTCCTTCGAGGAAAGTGGGTATATCGAGGGTCTGTGACACTTTGTTGCTGCCATTTTGCATAGCTCTCTTCGAGCCAAAGGTGATTCACAATATGTAAATTCCACTCCTTAGCAGCAGTGCATTTTTCACTATTTTTATGAGCAGTCAACAGATGGGTATTTTCCTGCTTCAAGGTTTTTGTCGACTCGGCGCCAGCAGCAGCTATGAGATTCTCCAAGTAAATCCTTGCCTCCCCTGCGTAATTGGAGAGACTGATTTTGAACTTATTAAAGCCGGGAATCCCCTCTCGTGCAATAGGGTAGTGAAGTAGCCTTCGCAGCGGAGATGTCCATGCATTGTGCGTGATGAGGTGGAATAGCCATGAGAGATTGCCAACTTCCTTGCCAGCTCTGGATGCCATCTTGTAGTCTTCGCCTTCGCGATATCGACAGATAAATATGTCACATTTTGAAACCTCGTTGGTGGTTTGACCGCCGCCTTCGCGGATCAGCTCTTCTATTGAGCTGGCCATGTGCTCTGCTATGCCTAAATCTGAAGATATCATCACAGTTTTCCCCTTGAAGATGTTTAATTCTTTCCTTGAGCCGCCGGGAGAGGCGGCCCGGTCTGGGAGAGCGTTGGGTTCGGGAGTCGAGGCACCCATAACGTCTCTATTCGCAGCAATTCGCGGGGGCCGTTCGTTCTCTGGCCGGAGAATCTCGGGATTGGGAAGTAGGTAGGGTCGTTCATCAATCCTCCTCCCAAGCTTGAGGCAATCGTCGAACCTGCTGTAGTTAGACAAGGCGGATCAAGTGCGGAGGCTTGTATAATATACCTACCAGTGAGGTAGTACGATCTTGGTTGCGAGTCCCCTCTTCTTCGCCGCCATACATCTCTCATTCATTGTCAAAGTAACGAGATGGGTCGTGCTGTTGGTGATGCGAGACGTGTATAGACCTCCCATAGCCAAAACTCCACCAATGATCGCATCTTTATCACCTTCGGGGATATCTTCACAGGTGACAATAACGTCATTCATGAATAGCCGTGGGTCTGGGTTGTACTGCCGCGGGTTCGCCAGCTTCTGTTTTGATATAGACATCTGCACCCATTGGGGCTTGACTACCGGAATGAGAGCGTCGCATGCTGCATCATGTCCTTGGAAGTCTATGGTTGGGGAGATTATGTGACTGAACTCGTTTACAGGTGGGAGTGGTGTCTGCGGTTCGTTTATGACCACCTCGCCTCCATTTTCTCGTAAAGCAGACGATATCTAGTGTTGTGATAACAAATATATCAGCATATTATCCTTAAGCTGCAGCTGACAGCTATCCATCTACCTACTTCTTCTGCCTGTTCTGCGTTTAACTGGGCGGAGCAAACAATACAGATCCGCGCCTGGCTGAACAGCCCTTCTCCCTCCATTATGGCCGTCAGCCGTCGCAGAGCAGTATGTGCTTCAAATATTGTATCGGTTTCACAGGGCTTCGCGCTTAGAGTATCTCCGCTTGATCGGCCGTTTGTGCTGGTCCCCTCAGTAGTTGCCGGCCGTCGAGTTTGGTCGAGCTGATAGATTTGGTAGGTAAAAAGCAAAATACAGACGCGCGCGTTTGAGCTTCTGCCGAAACGCGTCAAAGCTGCGTGTATCACGTGCCCATTATTATGTATTTGGGGTAAATTTCATCAAAAAATGGACTGTTTGTATTGGCTGACTGACATGAATATTGATTATAGCCTGTATTGTTACGACTTGGTGTACTAGTGTAGATTTCATCCAATTAGACATGGAATGTGTTTTATTAGTCATCACAAAGCGCAATATAATAGGAAATATTGCACGTGAGGCAGCTTACTCAGCATTTGTCTTTCTTTTTCACATGGAAAAAAAAGATCAAAAAAACATTAAAATTTGCTTGTTTTTGCCTCCTGAAACTAGACGTTGAGCGGGTTGGCATCTATGCATAGACACAGCACGGGGTCTACTATGCTGTTGATATATACCCTGGGATGAAATGAAGGAGAATATGTCACTTTCTGCTCTCCCTTGGCAGAGACACTGCCGATCAAAAGGTAACCTATTGGAACCTTGAGACCTCGGCCCATCGGTAACGACTCGCCGAACCCGCGGACGAGCAACCTTGGAAGGCATCCCTGTTCTACGCTGGCCAGACAGCCTCGCAGCAAGCTACGGACAAAAGTGAATACATATGATGATGCTTTTCATTCAATAATCGAGGAGTAACTACGCTATATCCCCTTCAATTTTATCTTTTATGAGCGAACACGGTGGCAAGCATCCCTATCTCGTTATTCAAAAAGATGACCAGCTGTTTTCGGGTCATTGAGCATGTCGTACCCTGCCAGCATATCAGGGAATACCCTTATGCGACAGCTGCCAGCCAAGAAGAAACGCTCAGCTTAGCTGTCAAGCAGTATGTTCCATTGGATAATCCAAATCCGCAACCGGGTGATGTCACGATAATAGGTACCCATGCCAAT